CGATTAAAAATATAATATTAAAAAGGTATTAAACTTTAAAAAATTTGGAAATTAAATTAAATATTTGGTTAAATAAAAGGATTATTTATTAGAGGAAAATATATAAGAATTAATTAAATATTTTGAGAACGTTTAAGAACTTGTAAAGACGTTTTACCGAGAAAATCCTAACTGTCCACAAGTAGCGACGGATTTAGCCTTAGGTTAAAACTATTTTAAAAAGTAACGGCCCTGCTGGGGTCGCCCTTGGAAGAATTAGAAGATATAAATGAATTAACTGGACTTAAGGCATTTTAGCTTTTACTTTTTTTTTTCTTCTTTTTTACAATCTAATTCTTTATATTAAAGAATAACAAGGGCTTTTCCTTTTGTAATATTTTTTTATGATAAATCTCTTTAAGGCGAATAAGGTAGCGGGAGATATCTTCTTAACTTTCTTTAACCTGTTCGAAACGATTTATTATCTTTCTTTTAAGATAAAAGATTTTATTTTTTATTTAATACTACTTATCTTTAAAAGAGTTTAATTTTTGTTTTAATTTAATTAAAAAGTTTATTTTCGATACGTTATAATTAAAACGATAATTCTTTTTAATATAAATGTTATAAAAGAAAAGATTTAATAAAAAATAATATAAGGGCTTTTTAAAATAAATATAATTTAAATATAATATATATAAGGTATTGGCCAATTTAATTAAGGAAATCCGAAGTTCTTTACTTTTTTGTTAATTAATATAGTTCTTACTTTTTATAATGGATTTAAATATATAATTCGATATTTTAATAAATTAATTAGAAAATAATAAAAAAGAAAAAGGGAATATTATAAAATACATTTATTAAGAAATTTTTAAGGATAAAGAATTTAGGAGAAGGAGGATAATGTTATGAATTAATAACATAGGAACTATACCTTATATAAAAGCGGGGTTTTTAAAATGTACGATTAGATAAATAAACCTCGGATAACTTAATGGAGGATAATGATCTTATTAATCTTATTAATTTTGTTAATCTTAATAAAATTAATTAAATTACTGAAATTATTAAGATTATAATACCTTTAAATAAAAGATAAGAAGGCTTATAAGATATATAATACTATTATGTATTTAATTATTTATTTACGTTTTTTTAGCTATTAATTTAAGCTTTATATTTGTATAAGGGGAAGGATTTTAAGCTTTCTTAATAAGCACTTTTAACGATATCTTAACACTTGACCCGTATCGCTACTGTTTACCTAAAATCAAGCCACCAGTTACTACACTCCTACGGACCTAAATGTAGGTTCGTCACACATTTCTATTTTTTTAAGTATTAAAAAAATTAAGTTCCTTATTAATAAATTTAATTTTTATATATATCTTTTCTTAAATTTTTATTTAATAATTTTAATTAATATCTTTTATTTATTTATATTTAATAAATATATTTTATTTAATTTAAATAATGTTTTTTTAAATTTATCTTATAATTATAAAGTTTATAATTTAAGACTTTTATATTTGTATTAAGTTTTTTAGTAAATAATTTTAAATATTTCTTTTAATATTTTTTAAATACATTAACTAATTTATTATATATTATTTCAATTTTTCTTTTAATTGTTTCTTATTATTTTATTTATTTAATTAATTTTATAAATTATAATATATATAAAGGTATTACCTTATAAGCTTTTTTGAAAGTTGCAAATACGTGTTTATTTATTATTATATTAAATCCATTTAAATTAACCTCTTTTTAATACTTAGATTTATAACCTTTTGTACTTAACTTTAATAATAATTATTTAACAGTATTTTTTTACCAATTTATCTTTAAGTTATTAACTTTTAATTAAAATTTTCTTAAAATAATATTATATTAAATATTAATAATATTAAAGGAAATTAATTATTAATTTTTAATATAATAATTCCTTTTTTTTAATAATTAATTTAATATTTATTAATTATATTAAAATATATAATATTTATTAAATATCTATAATTAATTAATATTTAAAACTTTTAATCTTTTTATTTTATTATTATATATAAATAATTATTAATTATTTAAATTATGTTAACGTTCTTTAAAATATTTTTTTATTTAAATCTTTTTTTTAAACTAATTTTATTACTTTTTAATAAATTTTAATAAAGTTTCGTTAAGTACTTTTATATTCTTATATTCTTCTATATATTTCTTTAAAGCAATAAATTTATAAATTATATATATTTAATATTTATATTAATTATAATTTTCCTATATTTTTTTATAATATATATACTTATAACGTTTATTTTTAATAAGAAATATAATATTAAAAACCATATTATTTACTTATATATTTCTTAAAAAAGTCAATTCGAATTTAATTCGAATTTTATTAATGTTTTTATATTTATATATAAATAAATATCTTTTTACTAATTTAAGTTAAAAACTTATATTTTTTAATTAAATTATATATTTAATAATAATTATAAAAATATAAAATATAAAATATTTTATAATGTTTTCTATATTTTAAATTTTGCTATAAATTATATACATATATTTTTAATTTTAAGTTAAATTTCTTAATACTTAAAATAAGAATTTATCCGTTTATATTTAAGGATTATTTAATTTTAATAGCTTTTTATAATAAATATATTATCTGTAAGATATTAATTTCTACTATCTTTAAATTAGCTTTAATAATTAATACTTTTTTTCTTTATACTTTAAAATATTTATTAATAATTTATGCAATAGATTTTTTTCTTACGTATATAATTTCTCGTTCTTATATTCCTTTAATAATTAAGAAATATTATATTTTTAATTTTTATAATTAAATAAGGCTTATAATTAAGGGAATTAAAGTTATTCAATTTATTAAAAATATATAAAATTCTTTATTTTTTTTTAATAATTTGTTTTTAAATATAAGCGCAATTATTTTTTATTAACTATTTAAAATTAATATTTATTATATTATTATTATATATTTAACAAGTTATTATTTATTATTTTATTTTATTTAATTTATAAAATATTTATTTATTAATTTATTATTTTATTACAATTTTTTATTTATTTATAAGTTTTATAATTTTATTAAATTTATCTTTATTATAATTATTTTAGCAAATTATTATTTAAAATTTTTAATTTAAAATATTTTTAATAATTCTTTTTAATATTAAAATATTTAATTTATAATTATATCATCTTTTAATATAATATAATATTTTTTATAAGTAATTTTCGTTTATATTTCATTTTTTAATATTAATAAATAATAAAGATTATTAAAATAAGAACTAATTTCTTAATTCTTTTTTATTATTGTTAAAATATTATAAATAATTCTAACAATTATATTTACGAAAGTTGGGTTATTAATAGTAATTTTTAATAATAACGTAATTTTCAATATTTTAAGCAATTTAAAAAATTTGGATATTAAATGCTCTTAAAGATATTACTCCTGTAACTTTAAGCTTAAATTATCCTTTTAATATTTTAAATTATTTTTAAAATACCTTATAATTTTTAAATATATAACCCATTTTATTACAGTTATAATATTTAACTTTAATTATATTCTTCTTAAGTTTTTCTATTTTAATAATATTAAAGTTTATTTTTTTAAATTTTTTTAATATAAATATAAATAATTTTCCTAATTTTTTTTAAAAACCTTTTATATAATCTTTTATTATAAATAATAATTTATTTAATATATTTATTAATATATTTAAACCTTTTTTCCTTTAAGATTTTATTTTTAATTTAAGTGATTAATCTTTTATAAAAATAATTGAATTAAATATTTTCCAAAAGTTAAATTATTACTATTAATTATTTAAATTTAATAATATATTTTAAAAACTTTTTAATTTATTTAAAGTTCTGAATAACTTTATAAACATTTTCTTTTTTAAGTAAATTTCCGAATATTAATTACATTTTATTTTTAAAATTAATATATTTATTGAAAATATATTTAGATTTTTTTTATTTTTTCTTAAATTTCGTTTAAATAATTATTTATAATAAATTAAAGCTATTTAAAAGTACTTTTTTTTTAAAATATTAATAAACTATTAAAACCTTATACTTGTTTTTATTAAAGTTAATTTAAAAGAAAATTAAATAAAATTTAACAACATTAAGTTAAATTTTTACATTAATAATATTATTATATTTAAATAATAAAAAGGGTTTAAATCTTTTATTTAATAATAGTAAAATTGTAAGGTTTTTTTATATTAAACGTAAGTTAAGGTCTTTTTTATTATCGTTTTTTTACTTACTTTTAAATTTAGCTAATTTTTTTTTAAAAAATAGTTACTTTGTTTTTAAACGTTTAATAAGCTTTATATATTCTTTAAAATTCTTTTCTTAAAAAGTTTATTTCGTTTTCCTTAATTTGGACTTTTCCTTTTCCTTTATTAATAATTTCGGTAATTTCTTTTACTTTTTCTTTAAATAATTTTATTTAAAATTTAATTTTTATTAAAATTATATTATTAATTAATTTTAAAACATAATTAAAAAGTAAAATATAAAATTTATTACGTTATTTTATTTAATTAACTTTTATTAAAAATTAAGTTTTAAAAAACTTATTTAATAAATATTTTAAAATAAATAAATTATAATTAATTTAAATAAACAAAAAAATATTATTATTAAAATTAACACTTATATTATATTTAATTAATAATAGTATTAATTAAAAAACTATTAAAATATAATAATTTAAATATTTTATAAACTTTTTATCGTATTTAAAGTTATTGTTATTTTAGGATTTAGTTAATTTAATTGATCTGGTTGGATCTAGTGCTAGATCTTACAAGATTTACAAGATTACTTAAATTAATACTTTTTTTTACATATTCCGAAGGTTTTTCCGGTTTAAGCGGCGTGGAACCCCGCTTTTTATTATGGAATAGCTTCTCAAGCTGTTAGTTCGTGACATAATATTTATTATTTTAAATATTCATATAAAAGTAACTGTAAAAAAACGATTTATAATTACGAAACGGTTAATTATAATCAGCGGAACCTAGTATGGTATGATATACCTAGGTAGTTATAGGGCCTCGTGCGCGCGGCACTTAGCGTCATTGGTAGATTCCTCAGGTTGTGAGACACCTGACGCCGGGCAAGACGCAAGATCCGAGAGTCCGGTCAAGCCAAGCCAGGTGCCCGTTCAGCAACCCACTTTTAAGCCACGGCTCGCATCTGCGCTACAGCATGTAAGAGCCCCTTTTCAGTCGTAATTTTTTTTCAATATATTGATTTTGCGACGCCATTTGTACATTATATGGAATGCAGATTCTGGTTGTTGTTTAATTTAAACTATAGTTATATTTACTCGTTCATTGGTAACTCGGAGAAATAATTACACGACTCATACAGTATCATATTGTCGTTCGCGTTGCTGCCGCAATGGCCGGTCGTCACCCGCTCCAGAGATTTGTGTCTCCGTCGAGACAACTCTCCGCCCTCATTCACTTGGCGGGAATACTGTCCTTTGCAAGCTCGTTCAAGTTCCTAAGTGCATGGGAGACGCCAATGTCAGCCGCCTTCGGGGGGCACTTCCAATTCCTTACCATTATTGGACTGTCCCTCGCGCTATGCACCTTCGTCGTCGGGTTTCTAGCCGACGTTACGCTCTCTTCACGGCTATTTGCGCTGAAGAACATCCTCTCCGTATGCTCGGCACCGCTAGAGGTGTTGATCAGCATATTGTATTGGGGCCTTTGCGCCATTGATAAAGGTCTAGTTTTCCCCCCCGAATTCCAGCTTGATCTGCTGCCAGACGTCGGGTTTCACGCCGCGCCGGCAGTTTTTCTAGCTGCGGACTTGCTGCTGTTCAGCCCGCCATGGATGATCCATGGCTTCTCGGCGTTGGCTTTGAGCGAATCCTTGGCGCTACTATACTGGGTTTGGATAGAGTACTGCTTCTCTCGCAATGGCTGGTATGTTGCTTTGTCACTTCTTTTCCTTTGTCCGCTCCCAGACTGCTTTATGTTTCTGACGGCCAGAAAAGGTACCCCTATCCTATTTTCGATAAGCTCAGCACGTGGCAGCGGATCGTATTGTTTACTTTCTCCGCCCTACTGATGACTGGGAGCACTATGACACTAAAATGGACTTATGGAAAAATCAACGGCGTTGAGGAATTTAAAAAGCAAGCTGTAGCGGACCCTGCAGGTCTCCGGAAGAGGAAATGATTACGATTTTTAAACATTAGGGAGAGGGGGGGGGGGGGGGGGGTTCCTCGATAAGAGAAATATCTTATTAGTCTTGAGCATGCCTTAGGAAGGTAGGTATACAAACAGCATTAAGCATCAGATAGTCATATCGGAAGGTCCGAGTTTTCAAAGGGACTCGAGATAATGGACGGGGGATACTAGAGTGCTTTAAGTTTGATAGCATTTTCTTTGAGTGCAGATAGTATAAATGTGATGGAAAGAAAAGGGTTACTTGGAACATGATCACTAGGCTTGAAGTTTTCCAGCTTCCCAGATTCTGAGATTCTCCGTACTCCAGGAGGTGCAGCAGACCTTTACTTACACCTTTCCTTACAAAACTTATATAGGTACAACGTACCTACCTATCTATACTTGTGCAAGTACCCCATACCTTACTTATTACACAGAGGGAAGGCACCTAAGGTTAATGTTTGGGCTGAACCCTTGCTGAGTTGCCTTTGAAATTGCCTTTTAAAGGTAGGAACACCCCGCCATCGGAGCTATCACCCGCCTGATTCTCACTAAAAAAATTCACTAACCGTCCCGCCCCCACCGTGACTCTTGCTTGCATGGGCTAATATTTAATTTTCTAGATCTTGCGACGATCGGCTGCTTTGCTATAGAAGGAAACCAATCACATTGTTTTCTCTTTTTCTTCTTCTTCTTCTCACAATTCACCACTTAGTTCTTGATAGGTGCTAGTTTTATTGAAATTGGTTGTATTCTACTGCGTTCGGGAGACTATATTCACTTTCGTCGGCCCATCATGTCTGTAAGTAATTACATTATTACTACATTCCATCTTGACTCGGGTCTTTCCAATGGCAAGCTTAGATAGCTAGCTGACTCATGGCCTTCAAAGAGCTTTTACATCAAGAATAAGGACGTCGGCAACAAAGCCACTGGCGACGACTGGAGAAGTAGGTACAGGCATACGGAAGACAAAGAATCAAGGCTAATTGGTTCTTCAGTCCGCGGCTACAACCCTCTGACGCCGCCGGACCTACTCCAACACGAAATCCCACATACCGCAAAGTCCAAGCAGACGGTTCTCGAAAGTCGCGAGGAAGTAGTCGCTGTAGTCAATGGTACCGATGAGAAGGAGAGGCTTCTAGTCATCATCGGCCCGTGCTCCATCCACGATCCAGAGTCGGCCCTCGAATATTGTGACAGACTATTGAAAGAGAAGGAGAAGTACAAAGATGAGCTACTCATTGTTATGCGAGCTTACCTCGAGAAACCGAGAACAACAGTAGGCTGGAAGGGTTTAATAAACGACCCAGACATTGACAACAGCTTCCGTATCAATAAGGGTCTGCGCATGTCGAGGCAGCTCTTCGTCGATCTCAATGACAAGGGGATGCCCATCGCTAGCGAGATGCTCGACACCATCTCACCACAATTTCTAGCAGATGTCCTCTCGGCTGGTGCCATAGGTGCCAGAACTACTGAAAGTCAGTTGCACCGGGAGTTGGCGAGCGGCCTATCGTTCCCGGTTGGTTTCAAGAATGGCACTGACGGAACACTCGGTGTTGCCATTGACGCCATCGGTGCTGTGAAGCACCCCCATCATTTCCTTTCTGTCACTAAGCCTGGAGTTGTGGCAATTGTTGGTACCGTTGGTAATGAGGACTGCTTCGTTATCCTCCGGGGCGGAAGCCGTGGTACTAACTACGATGCTAAGAGCATCGCGGAAGCTAAGGCCGCCCTGGCCAAGGCAGGTTTGCGACAACGGCTCATGGTAGACTGCAGCCACGGAAACTCGTTGAAGAACCACAAGAACCAGCCTAAGGTTGCTGCGGATCTAGCAGGGCAGATTTCCAAGGGAGAGACGGCCATTATGGGAGTCATGATCGAAAGCCATATCAACGAAGGTAAGCGTGTTTGTACAGCCCCAGTAACCGACCTAGATAGCTAACCATTCTCTCTCACAGGCAACCAGAAGGTACCAAAAGAAGGCAAGGCTGGTCTGAAGTATGGTGTTAGCATTACAGACGCTTGTATTGGATGGGAAGACACCGAATCAGTCCTTGCTACTCTCGCCAATGCCGTCAAGGAGCGAAGGAATGTGACTGGTACTGCTGTAAATGGCCAAGCATAGGAAATCAGAAATGCTTGGTTGCGAGCTGTCTACTAAAGAAAGTCAAGAGAGAGAAGTCCCACGATCTGTAATAAAAGAAGGTTAAAACTGTTGAAGATATCCAAAGGTTCGGCACAAAGGAAGAAGGGAAGGGGGAAAAAAAAGAAGATAGCTAAAGCGTTCTCTGCGTTAAGTTCTTATACTTAGACCTTCAGCGATAAAGAAGTAAGGGTCAATGAATTATTAAAAAAGTATCAGGTTTAACACCATAAAATACATATTACGTCCAAATAATACTATGATAGGTACTTGATGGTGTTGAAGAAACTCGGTTAAAGGAGGCCGATGGGCGATTCCCGACTTACCGGGGTCAGGCCGGTACAATTAGAAAAACCTGGTCTTGACAGCTTAGGTCACGTGTTTAGTGGGAAAAGCCCAGCGAAGCTAACCTCGGCCAATAGGATTCAGGTATTTCCAATTGCTTCAAGGCCTGAGCACTTTTTCATTCAACCTTGTCGTTTAAACCGGTTCGATCTCTTCCAAACCCCAACGACGAATCTTACCAACTCTCCATTGACCCGATCACCTACCCGTCGCCCACCTCCTACGAACGGGTAGAATCTCGCCCTTCATGTTGGCAAGGTCTTGCCTGCGCTCTACGCGCATCTTCAACGGCGCCAGAAATGGCGCGACCGCCTTCACCAAGGTACGCATCGACTGACGTCGTCCGAAACTCCCATCTATAATATAAGCTCGGAAGGCTGGAACATAGCCGTCACAATCATTCATAATGGAGGGAGCAAAACGAAAGAAAAAAAAAAGAAGAAAAAGACTAACTAGGGTTTTATATTCGTAGCGATCTATCTCGACATCTAGTACTGGAGCCGAATCCCCTTTCAAATTAAATGTGGCCGCTGCCGCTTCCACAGCTCTCGCTATCGGATCTGTGGCATGGTACTACCACCTCTACGGATCTACCGCGCACGCAATGACGCCCGCCGAGGAAGGGTAAGTTTTGGTTTTTAATTTCTATGTCAGGTAACTACGCAGAGAGGATCGTACGATCTATACTACATTAGTTCTGCACCGAGGGGTAGATTGAATAGATTGAAGATGATGAGATTATGTAGTATCCATGTGCTTGAATCAACTATGCTAATACGTCAAATTAGTCTACACCCGACAGCATACCCCTGGGTTCACCAACAGTGGCTCAAGACCTTTGACCACCAAGCGTAAGTAGAAATCCATACTCCTTCAATCTTCAATTTCATCGTCACTTGCTTACAATTCTTATACATCATCAGACTTCGCCGAGGATTCCAAGTCTATCAAGAAGTTTGCGCGTCATGCCATTCGCTTAGCCGAGTTCCTTACCGAGCACTTGTTGGAACTATCCTGACGGTAGACGAGGCGAAGGAATTGGCGGAACAGAACGAGTACGACACGGAACCCAACGATGAGGGTGAGATCGAGAAGCGACCTGGAAAACTTTCGGATTATATCCCGGCCCCCTACAAGAACGAAGAGGCTGCTCGAGCGGCCAACAATGGTGCCCTTCCTCCCGATCTAAGCTTGATCGTCAAGGCCCGACATGGTGGCTGCGACTACATTTTCAGCTTATTGACCGGGTACCCCGACGAGCCGCCGGCGGGTGCTCAGGTCGGCGCCGGTCTCTACTTCAACCCTTATTTCCCGGGCACCGGTATTGCTATGGCCCGTGTCCTGTATGACGGTCTTGTGGAGTATGAGGATGAAACCCCTGCAACTACCTCGCAGATGGCCAAGGATGTGGTGGAGTTTTTGAACTGGGCAGCTGAACCTGAGATGGACGACCGAAAACGAATGGGCATGAAGGTTTTGACTGTCACCGCGGTCCTAATCGCTCTAAGTGTCTGGGTTAAGCGATACAAGTGGGCAACGCTCAAGTCAAGGAAGATCGTCTACGACCCGCCCAAGGTAACCGACAAAATCCGTTTGTAAAGGATATCCGCTGCTGTATGTACTAGTAAGCTATCATACCGCTCCTCCGTCATGGTAAGGGGAGAAGAAAAAAAGACTCAAGGTTGCAAAGGGTTGGAGTAATCCTGAGTCGCGACTCTAGAGTGTATATCAAGTTCCTAAATTTTAGACGTTCAGAGAAAGTTTACTTGAAGCACATTGGGCGACTTTGATAATGGATTTTAATGATGAGAACAGCTTTGCTCAGCTCAGTCAATCCCAAATCCCACATTCACCTACCTATGTACATACTTACAGTATTTTAGGTTAGGTAGGTAGGAGGTAGGTAGGAGATTGGTTACTTGGTACCCCTTATTCACGAGATAATTCGGTATAGATGTACAAGGTACATTGATGAAGCAATACCTAGGTACCTAAGTCTTCCGCATTTGCGTCCAGTGCACCTACCAGACAAGAACCCATACAAACACGCCGTAGTTGCCGTGCCATAATGGAACCTACAAGTTTACAGGGAAGGCGGTTGCCTTATAATTAGTTGCCTCACTCGCGCCAGACGTACACGTTCCTTCTAGGCTCATGCGTTCTTTTTATTTTTTATTTTTTACCTAACCCCGGCATCTAACCACCCTCGGACCTAACGTCAACTTATAAGTATCTTACAAACTTCGAAGTGTCCAAAGCATCCAAGTTACCGTCCCGACAATAATGAATACTTAGGTGCGTAGCCACCCACGAACAATTTTCTTCAACGCAAAGCTACCTCCTAGACCTAACACATCGTGTATTGTTTTCATGAGAGTGGTGCATCAGGATACCTACCTAACCTAACCTATATAAAATACTCAGACTTGCTACAGGCTGTCGCTTTATTTGCGGTGAACGAAACGCCTGTCTTTTAAGATTATTCAAGTTCCTGGATCAAATTTATAGAACGCTTTCACCAGGGCTACGGAGAATATGGCAGGGGATTATCTGACCAAGACGGATAAAGAGGCCCGCAGACAGCTGGCTCTCGACTATACATACGGTTTCGACTTTCGCAGTAAAGCTGATGAACAGTACATCAGACACGCAATAATACATGGTCATGTACCTAAAAATGATCTAAAATACTTCACCCACTTCAGTTTAACGCGTCGCGCTGAAGAATGGCATCAGCTGCTCGCATGCGCAAACTCTTTGAGAGAAAAGATTACTTTCGATGATCCGCTCGAGGGACAAGACCTTCTTACCTTCGTCACTAAGGTCCTCTCTTCGAACTCTAAGTCTCGGAAAGATGTTACGGCTGGACAGACGTCAAGCCTTGGTTTGGAACATGAACATAAAGATGCTGCACGAGGCCCCCAGTCAAACACAACACCACGACAGGCAATGAAGAGGAAGAGAGCAATATCCACCGAACAGACGGATCTAGACCAACCTGCAAAGAAGCATAGAATGAACAAGAAATCGCCATTCTGGTCTACTTCTGAACCGAATCCTCCCCATGGACAAGCTAACCAGTTGGTTGGTGATACGAAAGCGTTGAATGGAAAGAAAAGCAAGAGCAAGAAGAAGACTAAGAAGAGAATGAGGGAAAGAAAGGCTAGAGAGTCATTACATGAGGCTACTACTACTTCTTCTCCTTTAGTAGGGGGCGTAGTACTCCCGAAAAACTCCAAAGTTTGCCGGGGCCTAAACAACATCTCTGCATCATCGAAATTCCGTGAAGAAAAGCACGAGATAAATCCTCCTCCCACTTCTAAAGATTCTCGCATTTCTTTAAAAGCCCGTCACTCATAGACAACCGGGAGTGTATGAGTGGCCACGATGGTGTCTTGCATAAAATTATTCCATTGCGCATCTCTCATAGGAATACTGAAGCAAAAGAATCATTTGCGAGCCAGCAAACACCATCAGACACCCCCGGAAATGTTAAAGGGGCCCCGAGAACAGCCATGATGAGTTTAGGCAAATCAGACGACACTGGGGAAGCATCCGAAAGGGGTGATAATGACACTTATCCTCTGCCACTAGCAAAATGCCTGACCGCAAACCGCAAAACGAAGTCGCCTTTCTTTGACGTATCAACCCCGTCCGGCTCACTTAAGACAAAAGGTACCCGTGCTCCCCGTGGAATAGTTCCTTGCATACCTTTTCCTCGTTTAGACGCCCCCAATTTCGGCTTGATCCAAGAGAGTCTTGCCACCGATCCTTTTCTCTTGCTCGTTGCAGTAACCTTTTTAATACGAGTAAAGGGGAAACAGTCGATACCTGTATTTCACGAGCTAGTAGGAAAGTATCCGACGCCAAGGCACTTAGCAGAAGCAGATAAAAACGACATAATAGCAACCATTAGACACCTCGGCCTTTCTACAGTGCGAGCAACTGCAATCCAGAAGTATGCGCGGATATGGATAGAGAACCCACCTCGAGCTGACATTCGGTACGGCGTGAAGAACTATCCTCAGCTCGGCGACGGGGCTGATGTCCGGGCCGCAGAAGAATTGAGTACCGACGACCCTAGATCATCGGCGTGGGAGATAGGTCACATGACTCAGGGTCGTTATGCTATAGACAGCTGGAGAATATTCTGTAGGGATGTGCTTCTCAATCGTGCAGAAGATTGGAGAGGTAAGGGGCGCGAAGGGAAATTCCAACCCGAGTGGATGCGAGTGTTGCCGGAAGATAAGGAGCTCCGTGCTTGTCTTAGGTGGTTATGGATGCAGGATGGTTACGCGTGGGACCCGAAAACAGGCGAGAAGGATATCCTCTCCGAAGATCTACGTAGAGCGGTTAATGAGGGCAGGGTTGCATATGATGAGGCTGGCGAGCTGAAGATACTAGATTAGGAGACTTCTCTAGGGAATAATTATTTCTGAGGTATATAGCAGCTGCGCTCCCGAATATTCTCTCTATTATAAGGGGTTATTCTTGATTTGCGTGTTGGTTATAGTGCTCTCCACTAATGTAGACCAGTCACAAGATGTGATTGTTGACAACTGGGGAAATATGTTGCAACGAGCGGTAAGTCCCTTATCTTTATTTTCCGCAACTTAGCATACATACCTAGGTTAGGTAGGTATGTATGTATCTCTCATTCCTCCTTATCTTCAATCGAACCCTTCGCCGTCTCCTGGCGGATAATGGCCTCCAGAATCAAAGCCGTCTTTCGATCGTGAATCTCGTCCAGAGCATCGGACGCACTCAGCCACGCCGCAATCAGGTTACCCTGGCGGGCGAAGGAAGTCCTAGCCCACTCCTTAGACCGAAGCTGGCTACGTCGTAGGTGCTGATATCCTAACCATGGAAAGTTATAAGCTAGGTGCAGCTGCATAAGGCTCGGGTGCTCGTCGAGCGAGGAGAGCGCTTGTGCCAGACACATGCGGTAATAATGCAACGAGCCCCCGACGAATCCCGCACAAGATCCCAGCAGGAAGCCGATGCTCCCGCTGCCGGTGAATATACCGGTTGCGGCGGCAGCAGCTAGACCTACTAGAGCCTATATTTATGTCAGTAGAGGTAGTCATAGCTTATCAAGGGGTGAAGAGAGTTGAAGAGAAGGGAAAAGGGGGGGGTAAAACGAACTGCTGCAGAGGATGCTACAAACATGGAACGGAACATGTAGAGGCCATGGCCGCTTTGGATGAAGCATTGTTAGTTTAGGTACCTAAGGTATTTAATATATCCCCCACCCTAATACTTATTTATTATTTATGAGTGGTTACGTTAATCTACCTTGGTCTGCTCCAGTTTCCAATCGTCCTTAGGAGTTGACTGACATGGCTACCAACGCTGTTGGCAGTGCTCACTTCGTAGTCGACCTTGATAAGTGTAATAATTCGCCACGTTAATAATGATTGATCTGAGTGTAATATAGAAGGGGCGTATACCTTACCATATCTGATAATATGTTCCTAGGTAGGTATGTTTGGCCTCCTTATTTTGTTGATACCTAGAGGTATGTTCGTGTTTTAGGGAATATTTGGTACCTCACCTAAAGGTACCTATTCCCCTGAAGGTTCACCTGTCTGACGGGCTCCACTAAATTCTTGCATATCGCTGTACCCAGGTGCCTGTATTGTACAATATAATATATATTATTGATCTTTTTTCTTCATTTCAACATAGGTACCTATCCATAAAATTTCTATACGCATAGTAATATTTCCCCAGCTGACTGCAGAACCATACTTTATATCAATCATTAACTTGACTGGAAATAACTTGCCTCTTACGTGAGATAAGACGTCTCTTACAATATTCTTTTTTTTATATTTCAGGTCGAGTCGTGATCGCGGTATCCTACCATCTCCAACTCCTATACAGAAGTGCCGCATTCACAATGTCATCTCGGGCAGCGTTGAATCCAAACCGTTGAGGCCTAACACCTAGTGGATCAGTAGTCGGTATAGCATATAAATTACCTCCTGGGTAGACATATCGTTCCATTACATTGTACGTATCCGTTGAGGGAGGTATTATACAATAAGAGGCACGTAGAAAACCGCATCAGACCGGCTACGAAGCTTGTCTCAATCAGCTGAGAAAGTGAGAGAGCATAGGCCCAATGAGAGACAAGTGTTACCCCTCCAACATAACACGACCCCTCTTTTAGTTACATTTTCTTAACTTGATCACTTGCCTTCTCCCTGCCTTTATCAGGCAGTATATCAATAGCCTCCTCAATGGGATCTCTTAGTTCAACTAAAGATGAGTTGACCGTTCTGGTCACCGGCTTCGGGGTACGTTCATGTCTACCTAATCTACTCTACTACTTCCGGTGCCCGGCATTCTTTCTCCGGAAGCTCCCGCGGCTGATTGGTTGTGTGTAGCCGTTTAAGGAGCAGTACCCCGTGAATCCTGCTTGGGAGATAACCGCTTCGCTGCCGGATTACCTTCCGCCAGACAGGGTTAGGGATCCCGCCCGGCAAGCTCCGTCAGCATTGCCCCCGGTCCGGATCCTGAAGCACGGACCGGTCCGTGTCAACTACCAAGTCGTCCGAGATTTAGTACCCACGCTATGGGATAATCCGGAGCAGCAAGTCGACTACGTCATCCACATAGGGATGGCCGGCCCGCAGCACGTATATTCTATTGAGAGACGGGGCCATCGTGGTGGATACGACAAGCAGGATGTTGACGGCCAGTTCCTTGGAGATGAGCAGAGACACAAGCTCGAAGGAGACAAATGGATATGGCAGTGAGAATAGCTTGACCATGTTGCCTTCTATCCATCGTGGGGAACTAACATTTTCTACTTAGCGACATACCTGAAGAGCTTTTAACTGACCTGGAGATCGGACGAATTTACAAGAGATGGGTCGAGCGAAGCCCGGTAATATTTCTTTCTTTCCCTCTATCCTAGCTCTTCCAATATCTTGATACTAATACTAACTAAAATCAACCTCATAAAGGATAACCTTAGATTGCAGATCTCGGACGATGCTGGACACTACCTCTGCGACTTCATCTATTTCTCAAGCTTAGCCCACCTGTACAAGCAGGGACGGCCCAGAAAAGTGATCTTCTTCCATGTCCCGCTACACTCCGACCCCGAGTCTGTTAGTCGTGGAAAAGAACTCGCCTTGCAACTGATCAGATCGGTGTGCGAGGTAGGACTACAACAAGAGCACGCGTCTTCATAGCTGTGGCGTGTATAATGTTTCTTTGATTAGCATGTACACATTTAGTCTTCACGGCACTTTTTATATGCTGAATTCACATAAACCCCCCCAAGTTCCGATATTTCAGGTACCTATTTTGGCGTTCGACTATAAAACCCAAAAGGAAATTACCTATCTTAGTTGAATTATAGCTTCGAGTAAATATGCTGCATATAAATGATTTACATATATAATTTTATGATTTTATCAGCAATAGTATATTCGCCGACCACTCGGGCATTTTACGCCTACCTACCTTAGGTAGGTACCTCTAGGTAGGTACCAATTGTTCCAATCGCCGATTCCTCGGCTTGCTAACTTCTCGGGAACTCTTAGCGTCGGCTTATAAAAGGTATTTAATAGACGAGTCGGCGGCACCTACTTACTACTCCAAATAAACATCTCCTCAGCTAACTGGAACCCAAAGAAAATAGTCAAAATAAGCAAAGACTAACTGCACACCACATTCACCTATTAGAATCTTATTGGCTTTAGCCATTCATTTTCCTAACAACTATTATCTTACTTTCAGACAGAAGGTCAATTTCGTCACGATGTGCATGAAGGCCAATTGCGGCACCTGCCGTAAGTCAGATATATTTCATAGGTACCTAAAATATTACTACACGATGCCGAATCTAATTCCCCTTTATAGACAAAACCACGTGGGTCGGCTGCGGAAGCCATATCTCCTCCGTCCTGGACAACATCCCACCTCAAGAATGGTGCACCTGTGAGCCCAAGGTCCAGGTGAACGACAAGACGTATCCTCCAGGAGCCAAATTTTAATCGAGGCTCGACGAATCCAATTACCTAAAGTTGAAGATCATGTCTGGGCGTGGCGTATGGGATGATGGCGGAGTTATGGGCAGTAGGAGTTGCAGTTTATCATCCGAATTGAGATTGGCATCAATCATAACGAGTCGCATATCTTAACCCTATTTTCATCTATCAAAACTCCAAGCTGGGAGGGAGCGTCTTGAGAAACCGAGTCCTCATAACGTGTCATATCATGTCGTGTCATATCATGTCATGTCAGGTTATACCCCGTCTATACTATGCGCCTTGCTGCCGGTCATAAGCATTAAAAGCATTGATAAGTACCTGGTATATCATGTTCAGTCCATCCTCGTCTAGATCTTCTGGCCCTTCCGCCACTTCGCCTTCAAGTACTGGTTAGGCCACTTCACATCAACGCCTAACTCGTGTGCGACACGAAGATTGAACTGGGGCTCGCGCAAGTACTGACGAGCGACAAGTACAATGTCCGCCTGCGTGATCTGGCCCGAGTCATCGGCAACCTCGGCACCATCATTAGCCGTGGCGCCCTCCGACAGTAATTTTCCCTCCTGAACAATTGAACGCGCCATCTCAGCGTTCGTGATTAATCCTACAGCGCCAATAAGCAAATTCAACTTGTCCTTCCGGATGGCCTCGCGAATCTTGCCTGCGAGGTCGACCTGGTAGTACGGGTAAACATTGATCTTTGCGTTTTCGGTGTTTCCCCCGGAGCTGACGTCGAGAAGGTCGACGCCGGCGGCGGGGAGCAGCTTGGCGAGGCGAATGCTTTGCTCGAGATCCCAGCTCGGTTCGCCAGTCCACTCCATCCACTCAGTAGCCGAGATACGCACGAATAAGGGCATAGTCTTAGGGATAACGCTGCGGATCGCCTCGATGATCTCGAAAAGCAAGCGAGTGCGGTTCTCAAAGCTACCACCGTAGTCGTCATTTCGCTTGTTGCTGAGCGGTGAGAGGAACTCCGTTAGGAGATAGCCATGAGCACCGTGAATCTCAATAACATCAACGCCAACCTCAACCGATCTCCTAGCTGCGTCCTTGAACGCTTGCACGAGGGTCTTAATGTCCTCGATCGTCATGGGCTTAGGGTCGGCGAAGCCGTCGGTATACTTGATAGGGCTGGGTGCCCATACGTTGTCTCCCCAACCGCCCTCTTCAGGACGGGCGAGAACACCTGGACAATCATCTGGAACAAGCCAAGGAGCGACCGTACTAGCCTTTCGGCCGGCATGGGCAAGCTGAATACCTATCTTTTGGCCTTGGGAGTGAGCAAAGTCGGCAATGCGCTTCAGGCCGGCGATTTGGCTGTCCTTCCACAGGCCAACATCCTCAGGGGTGATGCGGCCGTTGGGGGTAACACTGGTGGCTTCGATGATAGTCAGGGGCGTGCCGTAAATTGCAAATTTAGATAAATGACCAAAGTGCCAGTCGGTGACATGTCCGTCGTCTGCACTGTACTGGCACATAGGGGAGACGACGAATCGATTCTGTAATTCGACACTCCGGATCTTTATGGGCTTAAACAGCGTCGGGGCTGAGGCCTGGTCAAGGGCCGTTCCGGCAGGAGGGATTTGGGCCGGGGTCCAGTAAGGGATGTTGGGGGCCGGCTTGTGAAAGTTGGACGACATTATCTCTATATTTCTCTCGGAATTGTCACCAAGGGTTTCGATGTAGTAGTAAAATGTATGCAGCTGGACTCTCCAAAAGAATCAAATATAGCCTTGGCAATACAGCTGACTGTTTTTTTCTTTGTCGTATTACCTACCACCAGGTCTTGGACAACTCGATCGAGATGAAGTTATTTTATATTTGTACGTCACGTCACCACGGTCAGTGGAACCTAGGAGGTGATAATGGGGGAAACCCCCATCTCTCATGTCCATCATTATTACCACGTAGAATTGAATAGAATAAAGGGAATAGAACATGGCCGGTCAATTGGGTCATGAAGAAAACTAGGAGGTTTAGTATGTAACTACCTGAGGTAATTTAATGTGATTTGTATGGGTAATGTATGGGTATAGCAAAGAAAAGATGGGCTACGATGCGGACCAGTTGACAAAATTGGAGGTTATGGCACTTGAATTTGGCGATGTGCTGAGTAATTAACTTATATATACTACTACGATAATAGCAGCACTAGGTCTAAATAAGCGACCCAAGAAGCCAACGGAGATAAGAACGGGAGCTGAGTCGAACTGATCGAATAGCGGAACATAGCGGACTTCGATGACGTTAACCTGTGTAACAATTGCGATTTAGCGGATACGTACTATGTACCTAGTACGAACTAATACAGCAGCAGCAGCAGAGCAGGGCAAGGCAAGAGTGTTGGAGAGAGGGACGTGCGCCAAGGTAAACGACTTCTCCCGTTCGTTCTTTGCCTAACGCCGAGTCACACCAAATTTTATCCAACATGCTTCCTTCGGTTTCGCATGGTGACATTTGGCCCAGAAAATTTTATATTAATAATATTGCTTTCCGGGTGCTTATCTTTCTCTACTTAGCTACCTGGCACCATCGAAAATTAATGGCCGGGTCTTGGCATACCAATCTGATTAACTTCCAAAGATTTATTCAAACGACAAATCCGATTAGATTTATTGAAATATATACTATAAAACTCTAAAAGAGTTTCTCTATATAGCTGTCGCTTTAATTCAATTTTTTCAATTTTTCTTTCGTAGTTATTTTGAACACCAAATGCAAGTAGTGCTTCTGGAAGTAAATGCCAAGACCCGGCCATTAATTTTCGATGGTGCCAGGCTACCTCTTATATATTGTTATGTCGCGCAGAGACACAGAGGAGTGTGGAAGACATATATGAAAGGTGGGGATGACGAGAGAAAATGGAGCTCGATTGTCATAAGCCGTCCAGATGCGGATAGATATCTACAACTACCTAGGGGCTATGCTCTCGGAAGAGTCGCAGGTTTTTCCAGAACGTCACAGGAACACGCGCGTTCGCAGAGCAACAGAGCAGCATAGCCATCATCGAGTTTCCTTTCACGATGACAGTTCGAGACAAGTACGGGGTTGGTTCATCGAAGCCGAACTAGAACCTCACCTGTACTATGTAGGAACGCGATCCTGGCTATCCTGGCTATCCTGGTTACCCTGGTCTGTCAGTCTGTCTGGTCCATATCCCGCATCAGGGGCCGAACCTGAAGCAACCACTCAGATCCGCCCCCCCTCCCCTGCTCTCCACCCCAGTCGCAGGGCTTTAACATGGGACAAATATTTCTTATCCGCGTTTCGTCCCGTCATACTGCAGTGCCGCCTTGATGCAGCAGCCCAGACACTGTTAATGCGGTGCAGTAGTGTCCAACTAGCAAAATGCGGGATAGCCTCGTAGCCTGAAGCTTTTAGTGAGGAGTCAATTCTCCACTATCGGGACTCTTGAGGAACTGTCCAACGCCTCGGGGCCCTGCCAAGACCTCTATCGGATCGAGATTCATCCGTACCAAAGTCGGCGTATCTAGATGGAATGCAACTTCGATTAGTGTAGCAAATGTCGAAATCTGATTCTTTTCTTCTTCTTCTCCTTCTGCGTGTCGTGATACTACCATTCGTTCTATATCTCGTATCTGGCGTTTTACGTACTTGGTTGACTTTTAACGGAAAATAACGGAAAGTAAACATGCTCAGAGGAAGATTCGCCGATAGAAGAAACTCGGCTGCTTCTTTTAATTCGTAAGTTACAAATCACTATAGGTACCTAGTTATTTGTCCATGTTAGGGAGTAAATATGTTCAGCTAACCATCCTGCTCGTCTAGACTTGCCGGTCCAGCTATCGTTAAGATACTTGTTGGTTCAGATGGCCAGGAATTCCTAATTCCGAGAAAACTCCTGGCATCATGCAACTACTTTCGCCGGCGGATAGACAATGCTCGCGTTGAATTCGAAAAGGGTCAGGCTCACATCATCGTGGTCGTGGAGGATCAGGAGCCGCCCATGTTCGAATTATTCGTATACTGGCTGAACGAACGCAAGAACTTCGATAAGTTCATCGACGCCGCTGAGGCCGACCACTCCTGTCTGGAACTCCATAACAACCTAGTCCAGTTACACTTATTCGCCGCGCAGATAGATATCCCTGCTTTGCAAGACTGTGCTATGGACGCCATACAAGATGTCTACCTCCGGCAAAATTGGGATATCAGTACGAAACTTATTGACTTCGTCTACACCTCGTGCGATCCGCAAGAGAGCTGTCGACTACGAAAATGGATTGTGGCCATGACAGCTTGGACACTCGGGGGCGTAGTTACGACCGCAATGTCGAATAGCATCCAACGCCTCTTCGAACAATGTCCAGACTTCTGGGCCGAATACAACAACCACACGCGCAAAATGGCTCGGACAGGGCTTGAGGGCCAATTCAAGAATCCCCAATTAAGACTTCCTTCCAACAACCTCCGCGGAGAAGAGCGTCAGTTCGGTTTCCGTCAATGCTCTTTTCACACTCACCGATCGACCGTCGGGCAAGGAAAATGTCCTCACGCCGCCCCCCTCTCGCCCGTTATTCCTTCACCATACACAGACGGCTGCGTCGAGTCAGATTCGGACCGAGGCGAATCCAGGTTCGGGTCACGAATGGTTTCGCCCAGTAGCGACATGATCCCCGAATCCGATTTTGAAACCTCATGAAACATTGTGGTTAAGACGCCACTCGACTGCGGCTTCAACTAAGCCTTTGTATTTTTACCAGCAACTGTATTTTTTTTACACACCCGAGGGGAACAACTTCCATGTGGAAGTTATTAGTCTAGGCGTCGCGTTCGTGTTCGAGGGGGGGATAGGGGATATAGGAGAGTCGCTATGATAGGATCGGCTGCTTGTTATGTGAGCCAAATTGCTCACCATTTTTTGTACACATACCCAAGGAGCTGAATCCTGACGGGAATTATCAGTATCTAATTTGTAATTATAATGAAATATCCTATCTTGTTATAATAATTTGCTTTTGTGCACCTGGATATTTTGATAGTGCTTGTATTGTTGGTACACAAACTTTCACAATAGCCGCTGTAGAACTTACTGGCGAATGCGGTGTTCTAGTATAAAATAGGTCTGATCGTCGTATTTGTATATATATAGGATGGGTGAGGATGGTTTCTTGAGTTGTAATTTCTAAGGGGAACTTCATTGTGCTTACCTCCTCAGGTGTACCTTAGGTGTGTTGCTATCATGGATGAAACCACTACAAGCTGCTACATAACAACATTAAACCAGAAGCGGCATAGGGAATAGCATCTTGTTGTCACAGGAAGCATTTTTGGATAACTTCATTCAATTTTGGGATGAGCCGAACAAGTGAGATTGGTTGTTTGAGGACACGAATCTGAGTTATTTCTTATTGTTTATCATGAATAAGAATGACGAGAGTGAGGAGGGTTTCCTACCAACTATTCACAAACTACAGATTATTCTCATGGAAGATGTTTTTAAGTTATAAAAGATCGTGTTGATTCTACCTATCAACACTATTTATCCATTGGACTTGTTGCCCTCCACCGAAATAAAACTTGTAACACGTGACTATCGTCACGTCATCAGTACAGTTTTTTCTCAGTCCGAACCAAAGACGCCTAGATCTAATCGTAGCTAATAGCTAGTAGCTAATCATCATCTCATATTGCTTTAGGTTAGCCAAGAGATATGCCATGTCGTAACCGTGGATCCGAACAAGAAGGTACTCTTGCTATCTCATCAATCATTCATCCCTCGTGACACTCGTTAGAAAAAGAAAGAAAAAAGAAAAGTCTGTTGTGTGAAGGGGCTTCCTTCTGCTAGATGAAGCTCGTAGGCTTCTGGTAAAAGTTGGTCTCCAAGCTGTCATTCTCCAAAATATATCAAGTCCATGAAATTGCGGAATTTGTGAGATATTGCCCTCTCATCTGGTACGTATAAGGGAGCGAGGGACTGTGATCTCGCATAAAAAGAAGAAGAAAAAAACATGGCTGGGATAGGCTTTAAATGCTCATAATCCGGATAGCGCAGAATATCATTCAAGTCATAAGGAAATCGTCAGGTCTGGTATAGTCGTATACAAATAAAAATGTGCGTTAAGTTGGCGTTGAAATAGGTTAAGGGCGTAATTGTTGAAATTCATACTGGAGGTGATTGAGAACGTCTGCGGTTTCGCAATTCCCTCAATCGTTGGTCGAGATAAGCCAACCGAGACGCCAAAGACGGTCTAGATGGCGATCGTGCTGGTGAGCGCTCGCGAATTGGCTGCTGTACAGTCGCAAACGGTCGGCGCAAAGCTGTTAAATTTAAATTAATTGGTGCTGATAGTCTATTAGGGAAACTGTAGCTTGAACCTGCGCCAGAGAAGGGGGATCCTAGGCGGCGTGGCTGCATAAATGGATCTTGAGGCGCTGCAGCTGAGACGACAAAAGATCCAGATGTACCGGCATGTAAACCTGACGAATTGGAAGATTCTCCACGAGTCTCTTTTGTAAATATATCATCACTTTGCGAAACTTCTTTCCAGAAAGCAGCTGCTAGGCTTGGTCGCTTCCGCGGTAGGTCGTCAACCTCCTTAACCGACCTCCGTTTCTGGGTCCCTGAGCGTGACCTGGTCAGACGAACAGGAGATTTAAGAACCTTTCGATATCCCAGGGAATTTGACTGCTGTGGCGGTGTTATATCGGCAGGAAAAGACGAGGATGAGCTGGGGCCGTAACTCTTGGCAACGACCGAAGATGGGAGACGGGGAAGCTCCGAAGACGGGAGTGCTTGTCTAAGGACGGGCTCGGCATCCTTGGCAAATTCAGGGAAGGGTTCGCTATCGGAACTCATGAGTTGAGCAAGAGGCGCATCAGGCTTCATGGAATCCGAAGTGCTAACTGCCAAAGAAAAGGCCATGTCACGGGCTGAAAATGCTTCAGATGACTGAGCTGGGGTAGATTTTCGGTTCCAGCGGCGATGAGCGGTCTTGTGAAAGGGTGTAGGACTTCGGGACATGTACCGTCCTGGACTAGCCGTGGCCTTGATCCTACACAGCTCACGTAGATGAGCTCGGGTAGCGGCACAGCTATGGGGCCACTCAATATATGGTTTAGTAGGCTCTGCTGTAGGGGTACTGCTTCCACTTTTCATATCCACGGTTAGGTGCCCTTTAGAACCTTTCCAACTTCTTTTGGCTTCCCGTGCAACGCGCAAGCAAACCCCATTAGGAGGAATATGGCTCCTACCTAGACGTATTGGTGTTACTCGCGGGTCTTGTAGGTACAACATATAAGTCGACCATAGGTGTGAATCCATAGCTTTAGTCCACGGTGCTTTTCGTGACCTCTCTTTGTGCGGTACATTCACATCAGTATCAGACTCAAGCTTAGGAAATTCTAGAGCTTTAAGCTCTGGGGTCATATAATTGCCATCCTCGGAGGCATGAGAGAATTGGCTGAATAGTGAAGCGCTGGTCTGAGTTGAAAATGCCGTTGACGGCCTACTAGACTCGTACTCAGGACTTGACTCGACATCCGAGTAGCTCCACTCGGACCCAACAGACCAGTCGGGGAACTTTGTTTCGGAAGGCGGCGCGAACTCTATTGCGGGAGTTTTTGGAGGCGAAAAAGTTGGCGCATGTAAGTGCTCATAGATTTCCATGCTGTCGGGTTCCTCTACCTCGATACTTGGAACCGGCACATCTGCCGCCGCAACAGAAGCCAGAAATTGCTGGGTTGGCGCGTTTAGGTGATTAGACACATGTCGTCTCTTTAGCTTCAATCGGGGCCGTGGCGGGGATGGCAATTTTAACTCGTCCTCGCCAGGGGTAGAAGGTTCGGGCGTCTTCGGGCCCTGGCCTAGACGCCGACTACTGGAATTCAATTGAAGCATCGCGGAATGTGAATGGCGCATGGACGGCTCCTATACTATCCCGCCGCAACAATCCGGAATCAATCAGATAGCTACATTCATGACCGTTCAAAAGATCCACCTCATTAATCACACCGGCAATTAAGACGACGGCGTCTGGAATATCATCGGCGCTAGTCACAATTTGTCGAAGTGCGAAAGCCAAAAAAAGAAGAGGTATGCTTATATCTGCTTTGTCGCAAGATTGGGAGGATTGTCCGGATTATCTCGTTAGAGTCGCGACTAAATTCTTTTTGTTGATTGATTGCAACAGCGCATAGTTAGATAGACTCGACCAGAATGAAATGGAAGGGAATTCGTGGGACGGCGTTCGCAGGATTCACGTTAAGGAAACGAGGTGAAGTTGTAGAGAGGAGTTATGTGATCGGCGCGCGTGCTTCGTGCGTAGGTAGAATAGTGGCTACCACGAGGGGGGACCGGTAGCCACCCTTCCCAGCGGAAAGATTTAGGAAAAAAAGAACGACAAAATAGGTATTGGAATAAAATAGGAGGCCAAGACGTAAGGAGGATGCGAAAGACAGAGTAGTTAAGGTGTAGGTAAACTTGAGAGGAAATAGGTGGATGGCAGGATGGGTAATAGAATCACGTTGCGCTGCAGGTTGTAAATGACAGGGGCCGATTAGGAAAGACTAAGAAAGAGGACCTGGAAAGGACCTGGAAAGGACCTTAACAAAAACTAGGAACTTGTATCTATAGATCGTACATCGTAACTGCGTACTTGATCCTTACACTGGCTTACACTGGCCTAAACTGGCTGGCTAGAGAGGTACTTTACCCAGAATCAGCACGCAGGGTTCGCACCAGTGCCACTCCCGCCTGCTGATTCTGGCAGTTCTAGCGGCATGAAATAGAACGCTAAGCCCTTTGTAGACCCAAGGTTTAGCAGACCCCACTCTACCCACTACTTTCAACACTACTTCAACGAAGTGGAAACTTCAAGCGGTCAGTTGGGGTTTCCTTGCTCTAAACCGATTCACAAACTTGAAAGATTAGGTTTTTTTTTGGCGGGGTTTTTTTTCTAATGTGGTTTTGGGCCTTATTTTCCTGACAAGGTCGTGTGCATTAACTACGTAGCTTTAACGAAATTTATACTAAGTACGATTAAACTATATATACTATACTATTATTAGCCGGCTATAGATAATAAAAATGAAAACGAAGACAAAGAGGTAAAGAGAAAGAAAATAATTTACACGGGGGGATACCTACATATTGGTACGATTGTACTGTAAAACAGGTCGCGGATATTTTAACAAGGTTGTAAAAAATCAGTGGAGAATGAGAAGAAAAAAAAAAGGTTGCAGATGCTGAACCTGGAGAAGAGTAAAAGTGGTACTTGGGATATGTGGCCGAAAACCCAAAAACTGCTACTTACCCTATACCATGTATATTTCCCATACGCAGTAACTTACTTGTTTTGACGCACTTCTGCTTGCGATTTGCGACGACTGGCGCTGCTGCTCATGCACTCCGGACAGTAGCTTTGGCCAGCGGAGGGACACGACAGGAGTGCATATGCAGTGATCGCCAAGTGGGAGGATAAGAGGATACCGATGATAGGCAGAGGGCACAGACGCTGAGCAAAGACCCCCTCTAGGCTCTAGCCGCTTATATGAAGGGGGATGGGGAGTTGGGGTTCCAGTTAGGTCCAGAGAAACGTGCGCGTGCGAATTGGCCATATGCTCACTGTACGCGTTTGGATAAAAGCGCGAAATCTAGTGGACAAGAATGCTTCATGCAACGCGCGAATTCACATTCTCTGCTCTTTTATTCGCTTGACTTGGCTGGTTTCGTTCGTTGGAAAATATGCAGCATCTCGCGCTGGAGCTTCTTACATACATGCGACTGCGAACAACACATATCATATTGCTTAGGCTTTCGAGTGTCCAAAGCTGTGATTGTGAGATCGTGTTAGGCAGGTTTAGTGGCACCTAGCGCATCCCCGGGTGTCTCCCGTCGGTTTTGTGTTTGGTTGTCACTAGCCAATTCGTCGACTCTTGACTTATTAGTCGACTCGAAGTACATGAGATGCAAACACGTAGTAGAATGGGTATCAATATGAGTGGAGTCTAGTCAGGGCGCATAGCAAGCAGTTGATCACTGATTTGTTCTACCTAGGCTTTTCTGTATTGGTACCTGGCTAACCCTGGGAATATAATAAATGGGAGGACATGTTGGGATAGGGTTACATACCTCCTAGTATGTACATTAGGTAGTAGAAAATCTGTGGTACGGGCGAGACCCGACCTTCGAAGTGAGACAACACACAAAATGTGACGGAATGTGACGTGACGCGACCGTTCAATGTCTTGAGGCAAATATCGAGAGAGACCTGTATAATAAGGTAAACTTCTCGGTTTGAAAAGTACCTAAACTACCTCCTACCTAAAGTTATATCACCGGGAATCTTTTCTGTTAACTAAGCGTCTAATACGAAGGTGAATTAACAACGCCAAAGTAAAACGATGTGCACGGAGAATGGATGTATTACCGAATCTTGTCCGGTAAATTATACGAATACAGAAGCTACGCAAAAAAAAAGGTTTATACCTACCTGTAACGATCCTAATATCCTGTTTAGTATAAGCGATGATTGTGATATTGAAATGCTCTTCCATCTCCAGAGGTGCATCTAATCAAAGCAATGCTATACACATATCCTAGAATGTTTTTTTTTTTTTTTAAAAAAAAAAATCATACTCACGATTTCGCTATATATGATTGATCATTATGTCGTTCTCTTCTCGTGGAGACCTTTAGAAGTATAGCCACTTTCAACTCCATTTACTATCGGACCACTTGACTGGCGAATCGGAACGTCCCATTCGGGAGAACACAACGCGAAACTAACGCGAATTTACGCGTAACCTGCTTGCCAGTACGGAATATTCCATAGGAAACATTCGATGGGCTTTTGAACGCCTTACCTTATAACTTCTTACTATGTCCTTGTATTTAGATGTGATAAAATAAAGCAAGCAGAATTTTTAACGCACGGAATCCTAGTTATCTATTCAGAGATAAAAAGTAACATCTCTATAAGGTGAACTTGTTAAATGGCTACCTAGGTTAGGTAGTTAGCCGATAGTTTTTAGGTCTTACCGTGTGCACTTTCGCAAGCCTCCAAGGTAGTTCTGGAAGGGAGTGTGCTATTGATAGGCTGATGTGGCACGGCGTAACGCCTCTTGGTCTAGTGGCCGTATGTTCGATTTGAATTGAACTATAGAAATACTAAGGTTGTAAGCCAACTTAAAGATTTTAACTTTTATCCTCATCGACTTGGCATAAGACTGCTTGCTAGATATAAGAGTTAAGAAACTTGAGGTCACGGGAAAGCGACCTTATGCCGCCAGCCAGGAGGATAAAGAAGTTTCTCATGGCTCTTCTAAACCAGTATTAATTGATATAGTTATACCTAGCATGAAAGCATCATCATGTTACAAGGTGTAATTCACAAGGGAAAAGACCTTCGAAACGTTGTAAGACACAGTGCGCTGATATACGAAATGTCTAATTTAAGAGCAACTGTATAAGGTACCTGCGATCTACGGAGAATTATGTACAGATATTGGATGTATGCTCATTCGTATCAGGTAAGAGGTATCGTATTAACCAACGCTGGAGTGCAGGTGCTTGGTACCCTACCCCACTCTTAGGTACCTAGTCTTTTCATTCGGTACGAAGGTTTGGGCCAAAAGACCTTTCACAATAGGTACCTACCTAAGGTACCTGATACGGATTACATTATGTTAGGTTAGGTTAGGTAAGCATTCATATCCCACGTGCCATGAACGGTGCCGATCTGTCTGACAACTAGTAAAAAAAGGTGGGTTACTCCGGGTGCTCTGAATGATGTCGACTAAAAAAAGCAAGGTGGAACCTCAGTTTGCTTCACATCGGGTATCTATTTCATGACTGACTAACACCACCACCACCATTATCGACTCTCCTCAGATCTCATCTCATGCAGTTACATTCAATATGTCGTCAACTACTGATATCATCACACTTGAGAACTTTGCATCTACGATGCCACCATGGGACCCCAACCTCTCCAACCACCTCTACGCCCTAGTCGACATGGGAAGGTTTGTCATATCATCACCTTGTCTACCATGAGATTACTATTTCCTTCCATTTTACTTCTTAATAACTTTGTGGTAGCAATGGTATTCGGTTCTCCATCTCAGATTTATCGCCCCCGCAAAGTCGTTTTCTCAGATGTATATATCGCGAGCGCGCTGCTATCTCTTTATTTGATGCCCTTCATAAGTCGGCTTCAAGCGGTCCTTTGACATTTTCTTCAGATGTTATCGCACAGGTGTCCATGACACTAGCTCGGTTCAAGTCTATCGCTAATGACTACCGGGTACCGATGGAACATATTTCTGTATTCGCTACAGAAGCTATGCGGAAGGCTGAAAATGCAGCTGAGATGCTGGACGCTGTTTTAGAGAGTTCAGGACTTAGTGTTTACGTGCTAGCGCCAGAAGTCGAAACTCTGTTCGGCTCTATGGGTGCGAGAAGCGGCTTTGACACAGTGGATGGGCTGTTTCTTGATTTAGGGGGCGGTTCGGTGCAGATGACTTACTTAAACTCTTCTCTCGATGACTACGAAATTGTAGCTGCGAAAACGGGAAAGAGTCTGCCCTTTGGAGCTGCCAAGCTGATGAAGGTCCTGGAGAGCGATGAGGGAGAGGCCCAAGTCGCTGCGGTGAATAGTCTGCAAGCGGGCATGCGAGATGCCTTCGCCCAGCTCCAACAGCAGTTCCCGCCGTTAAGGGAGACGCAGATCAACCAAGGTAGTAGTGGTGTCGACGTCTTCCTTTGTGGCGGTGGATTTAGGGGCTATGGTAGCCTTTTGATGCATATAGACCCCATTCAGCCGTATCCGATCCCCACGGTTGGAGCATATACTGTCAAGGGCTCATTCTTTAGCCAGACTGAACATATGCGCAAGGTTAATGCTGAATATGAGGCCAAAATCCACGGCATGTCAAAACGGCGGCGTCAGCAGTTCCCGGCAATCGCCACGGTTGTGGAGGCACTCGTTGCTGCCGTTCCTCGAATCCATACGGTAACATTTTGCAGTGGCGGTAATCGAGAGGGTGCTTTGTTTATGAAGCTCACTAAGCCCGTGAGAGAGGAGAACCCCTTGCCACTTCTCCATCAAGGTAATAGCACGAATTTAGAATCGGTCATTCATACTCTGCAATCGTCATTACCGGACAATCTCGATTCCTCTCATATCCCGACAATATTCACTTTAGGACTTGGTCCGCTCTTCGCCAGCAGTATTTGGGCTCGCATTGGAGAATCAAACGATGCCAATGCCGCATTTGAGTTGCACCAGGCTGTAAACCGCGACCCCAGTGCGCCTGGTCTCAGTCATTTAGCAAGAGCTGTCTTGGGTCTAACTCTTTGTTACAGATGGGGAGCTAGCCTCGGTCCCTTTCACAAAATGCTACAAGTCAACCTTCAAAGACTTGTCAACCAATCGAATCCCGAGGCTAACTTCTGGGCGGAGTATCTCGGCGCAATTGCCAGACTGCTTGCTATGCTTTGCCCGGTAAGCCCAGATTCTGCGGATAAACTCATAAAGGTCGTCAAGTGAGTAACTTCCATGTAACGCCGACTTATTCGCATATTAATAAGTGTTTAGATTTAACTCAACGATGAAAACGACAAAGAAGAAAACCATAGTTCAGCTAACAGTTTCGTTATCTCCCGCTACTTGCCAAGCTCTAGATACGGAAGAGCTGGTTAGCATTTTCAAGAGTGTTGGGAAGACGGCAGACACGGTAGACGCGACCAAAATGAAAGTCGAGCTCACGATTCAGAGAGGAGCTTGAACTCTTGGCTATTTTGTCTGAAATTATGATACCGATGCTTTGGGCACAATAAGTGTACTTGCTCTAACTAAAGCTATTGCTATAGCTGTCTAAGAGTGTCGTACACCACCTTTGAGACATGGTGAAAATATGGACACCTATATAAACACAAGCAAAACGACAACCCTCGCAGATTTTACTAGGGAAGGTCATAGCTCCCGCGACGCTGATACCGGCAGCGAGTGTCGTCGAACAAGTAATATGCCTTTTTGAAATATCCCCCCCACTCTCATCACGAGGCATAATGCAAGCTCAAATGCGGTAGATGGGTATCAGCCTGTCGCTAAACTCCTTCGCTAAACCATCGATCACCCAACAGGCCCAAAAAATGAACTCATACCGAAAACTCTGTTTACAAACCGATCCCAACCAGGTTTAAAAAGACATAACAAGAAACGGAATTACCTAGATACCTTGTGCAACTATGTCACATCTATCGCCTGGCTCGCTTAGGCGCTCGGCCTCCAGCTCTTGTGCCACCTCTTTGTGCGCCTATTAACAGGACACAGAACAGACGTTCCAGTGCGGAAGAGTGTGGATAAGTAGTACAGTCTTGGAGGGTCTGGTCTAAAGTAAATGGTCAGCCCATTAAGCACTTCAATTTCCGAGGACCCTCGTGGCAACATACAGAATTCGTCTCTGCGGATTTCCACTCTTCTGAAATCAGCATTTAATTGCCTCTTTGCTGTGCTCAGCATCACGTTTCCGTCCTCAGTCATTGGTTCTGGTTTCTTTTTGCCGAAACAGATTTCGCACATCACGACTAAGTTGCTGAAGACGCTCGTGGTAATCTTTTGGATCTGTGACGAATCCCCGCAAATGTCTATTGAACAATGTAAGCCGGGTTCATATGTTCAAAATTGGTGTGGCCTCATTACCTTCTGATTGGTTGAGTGCATATATGTCCCGATACATCAGAATGAATTCCATCATGCAGGCCCATAGCGGTAATCGCTCGTGTGGTTTCAAGGCCGCGTCCAAAGTCTTCCAGAACTGTGCCAAGATATCGGATTCAAGTGTCTTCAACCTGAAAACTACAATCCGCTTCAAGTCTTGACATATCTGCTTCGGGAGCTCCTCCAGGTCGGATCCTGGATATTTCTGGCAGAAAAATTTCTTTTGCCGCCATATTTTATACATGCATCTCATGTCGTAGACTTTGCGAACGAGAAGATACTGAGGACACGTTAGTAGGCATACGACGCGAGATTCAGTGATGTCGGACTAACATATGGGAGGAACGAGTTCTCAGCCTGGGCATATCTGCTAACTAGAATGTCTAGAGATGATTGGAAGTCAGAGCCCTCGCCTGTGAGCATCTGCCAAGAAGCCCATTTAGTAAGCACCACATCTTCAGGTGCTCCATGGGGGTTCAAGACGTATTGGGGAATTGCCTGTCCTGGGTTGGATTGCCACCTCTGCCATGTCTGAACGTTATTATGTTCGCTCTCGTCGCGTGAGACTGAGATTGCTAAGGGTTGTTGAGTTGTAAGGCACGGCTCGAAGTATACGTTCCAGCGCAAAGTGGTACCCCTTTGCGACGCGGCATGGGGGTTTGCTTTCGCTTCTGCTACGGTCAGCTTTTTTATTCCAAACCAGGCTTGAACGGCAATGACAATGAGATTGACATACTCCAGATTACATTAAAGACGAGGTCACTGCTAGCAGAAAGACGGCGGAAACACATGTGTTCGGCCAGTTCGCCGTCGTCATCGTTGCAGTACTTGGAGGCGTCATTTTTGCAACGCGAACAAGGAATCTGCTGGTCACACTTCTAGTTGATTAGGAAGGGAGCCGAGATACGACTGTGGCTACTCACTGGGACCTTTCGTGTCTTACACCGGAAACAGGCGCCAATTTTGCGCATCTGGGCAACCTTATCTGGGTTGTCTAGGGGGCGATGTCGCTTGCCACGGCTAAGTGGCAATTCATTCGAAGAAGAGCTGTGGTATGACGACGGTGCAGTTCCGTTGGATGAGGCCGGGGAATGCGGGCTGCTGCTACCGCTGAGTCCCTGGATTTCGGCCCCACTCGTACCTAGCGTGCCGTCGATATCCATGTGCCATGGGTAGGGTTCCACACCGTTGGGTCTGATCTCACGAGCCGGCACAGTGAAGCGATCATCATGTTGTTTAATCTGCTCAACGGCTTCCTTGAAGTGGAAAGAGTCCTCGGTGGACCTAGGGGAAGATGCACCGTCTTCCTCCGAGGGACCGGATGTTAGCCCCGGGATGGAAGAGGCGTCAGAGCGGCTCCGCGAGTCGGCATCGGCGGCTGGGGATCCTTCATAGAAACGTTTATAATCAAAGTACTGGTCGAATTCATCCGGTGGGGCAGGGACCTTGGGTTGTTTCCTCCTGGGGAGCCCGCCAATAAAGTCAGGGATCTCCGAGGTGATCTGGGATAGGTCACTGTTGCTCATGTTGGCAGTTGCGTGGCTCGTGTAAGTCGCCTGTATATGTAGGTACGTCTCTTTGTCAGACCGTGCACGAGACAAATCAGCACACGCCAGCGGGTCGCTTCGGTACCTGAAGTGGGGGAAAACGACGATAAGTGATGTTGAGGACCAAAGGGGCACGAGTGATGAACTGTCATGAATTGCTGCTAAGACATCGTCTCATGTCGAGGCCTTGACGACCCCAAGTCCGCATCTGCGAGTACCTCTGAGAGTGCGCATTATGGCCGTCAACTCTCATTGGCTACACCCCAGGGCCGGGCCACCACAGGACCACCCCATTGACCTATAGATACCCCGGTCTGTACCGAACTGGAAGTCTTACGGCTTGCGGAAGATTGTGTCGCACCCAAGGCGCTGGGTCCTGAAATCATGTGACAGCATGCAGCCCATGACGGAATTTCTTCTGGGCTGAAGCACCAATTTAGACGTTTATTATTGGGGGCCAGCCAATTACCTCCAAGTTCTGTAGAGTTGAGAAATTGCAACTCCAAAATAAATATGGGGGTTGATATAGTCTGACTAGAGATAATTGTATGCGTCTTAGACTAAAAAGACGCAAATAATAAACTATGAAGAAGAAAAAAACAGACACCAAAAATCCCAGCATAGCTTCTTTCGACAAAGTCATAAACAAGTACGGAAATTTACTAGGGTCAAATCGGGGACCGTGCAGGCCTTGCTAGGTAACCCAGTCGTTCTGCACAATTCGCATACCTACCTACTTCCTACTTGTTACTTTTGGAGTATTCTGTCACACGTACCAAGCATACCTAACTAGGTGTGTATCTATTAGAGGGCTTAAGAGGTACAATACTCTGTAGGTCCATAATGGTATGCATGTACTTGACGTAGTAGCGGGTATTAAATAGGTAGTGTATTGCCAGACCGTTTTCCGTACCAGCATCCGGCTTACCCCTGATCCATGATCCATGATCCTTCCCATCCAGATTTCCAGACTCCAGTCTCTCACCGAACCTAAGCAAATGGTTGCATAATCACATCGACTTCCAACTTCCGAGGGAGGGCCCCCCACATGCACGTTCGATGGATCGATGGAGTGGACCGGTCAGAGGTCTGGTATATAAGGTCTGAGGGTCCGGCTTTCCGTCCTGTCGATTTCTCGACCGTTTCCCCATCCTCCTCGTCTTCCTCCCCGTCTTCCTCCCCAGATGTGCAGACATTTCCGAGTGGAAATGGGACTGGGAAGCGGACTAGCCCTGTAGAACTGTGAGTACTAGTCTAGTCGGCGCCGACGAGCTCTGAAAGCTAGATATCGTGAGTAAGGAAGTGGTAAGTGAAAGTCTACGGCGACCGATGCGCACCATCTTGGACGGATGGTATGAGCAACTAGCTAAGTATCCAATTCTCATTACCTGAAGGCATCGTCTTCAGAGCTACGTTTTCCTGCTTGTTCGCTGTTTGCTTGGGAGGGCTGGTTATTTTTCAGAGGCCACTATCCTATGCGATGGCCAGCTCTTTGGAGTGCATTTTTCTATGCTTGAGCTACGTTGAAGGTGGTCTTGTTTTGGCGCAGAAGACCTGGAATAGCTACCGGAAACGCATCCATTCCACGGGTTTTCTGATGCACCCTGTACCACGGAAATCCTGCATGGATATAAATTGCCCCCCGATCTTACCTGAGGTAAGTGTTTCTGCCATATCTGAGCTAAACCTCACTGAAAATCAATTATAGAAGTAGTCCGATGTACTCTAAGGACGAGAGGATCAGAGACCACCCAACTTCAAGTACAGAGAGGCCTAGAGACCCAGGCTATGCGCTTATTGTTGCTCAATCCTGCAATTATCCGATGGTAGGAAATGGACTTGTCAGGATAGATCCCGGGCTTCATCCGGCTTTGAGAGCCTCGCTACTTCTACTAGTAAACAGGACATGGCCATCCGAAGGCCGAGCTTATTCGGGGAGCTTCTACTACCTAATGTTGCTGGTAACACGAGATTACGTGCCAAGAAGAGGTTGGCATTCTTGCTGTTATGACAACTTAACCAAGATTTACGTGTCAAAGGTGTACCAAGGGAACAAACATCAGCAAACGCGAGCTTTGAAAGCGAATGGTTTATTGACAAGTCAGATATCAAATCAGTTAAGCACCTAGGCTAGGTTAGGTACCTGGTATGGGGTTTGTAATGTGATTCGATTAAGACTTTGAGGTCTAACCTAGTAAACTTTGCTAACCTACGGGTTGAGTTAGTTTAACAAGAGGAAGAAGAAATGATTGATACAAGGTATAAGAGTAAATAATAGGTAACAGTTAGAGTACCTACATAAATGTAGGAGAAGTTGTGGCTAGTAAGACGCTCCGCACAAGGGCAATAAAAACCCGGTTCCCGAGCCACGTTTGACCCGACAGATTTTGTGGCTCGCACAGCAAGTCTACATACATGTATTAGTGTTTCCGTCTTCCAGTGCAAGATACAATTAGGTACCTGCACTTAAAGCAACCACGGTAAAGAAGCGGTTAAAAGAAAAAACGACCAACTTTCGGTTCGAGTTCTTGTTGTTTGTTGACAATTGTAGTCGGCCATCTTGTAAACTTATCTAGCCTCATTCCTTCTTTATATTTGAACCCTTTTTTCTTTCTTTCATTATTATCCCGTATGTTATTACCAAGAGCTAGGCAGCATTTTTTTTCGCTTGAAAAAAGATTGCTCACTTATCCTTATCCTTATCCACCCATACCGCACACATTGCACACACTGCACAAGCTGCACAAACGGCCACTACCTGGAGGGCTAGTAATACAACGAAATTATCAGACCAATCACGTCATCCCTTCGACCAAGCTGGCGGCCCACTGCAGCAACACGTCTTCTTCTTCGACCCCTCCCCCTCCTTTTTCTTCTTCTACCACCTCTGACCACTTACCCCTAACCAAATTTAATTCTAACTTTCGCCAACTAAATCCACATCAACAACAATCTTCTCCTATTTCTTCAACTTCCCAAGACCCAACCTCCAACATTGCGTCTCGTCGTACTACCCAACTTGCCCAACACCTGAAGGGCTCTTCTTCATCTACCGTCGACCAGAACTCGGATAATCCAGCATCTACTTCTACAATGGCCTCGTCTTATGGCGTCCGCAAGGTCGCTGCTCCCAACACCTTGGAGCACCGAGTTTACATCGAGAAGGATGGCGTCCCCGTATCCCCCTTCCATGATATTCCCCTCTTTGCCAACCCGGAGCAGACCGTCTTGAACATGGTCGTTGAGATCCCCCGATGGACCAATGCCAAACTTGAGGTATGCATGCACCCTGTTAGAGGGAGGGTGTTAGCTCTGGCGTGTTTTATCTAGCTTGTTTTGCTAACTAGCATCTTTTACCTCTATTAGATCTCCAAGGACGAGCTCCTGAACCCGATCAAGCAGGATATCAAGAAGGGCAAGCTACGATACGTCCGAAACTGCTTCCCTCACAAAGGATATCTCTGGAACTACGGTGCTTTCCCTCAGGTAATACATTCCACGGTACTCCCGTGTATCTTACGCGCGTTTGCTTTGACACAGTTACTTACTAACGCGGTGCGTATCTTGTTTATATAGACTTGGGAAGACCCCAACTCGATTCACCCCGAGACTAAGGCTAAGGGTGACAATGACCCACTCGACGTCTGCGAGATCGGCGAGCTGGTTGGCTACACCGGTCAGGTTAAGCAGGTCAAGGTCCTTGGCGTCATGGCTCTGCTCGACGAGGAAGAGACCGACTGGAAGGTCATCGTTGTCGACGTGAACGACCCCTTGGCCTCCAAGCTGAACGACGTTGAGGACGTCGAGCGACATCTCCCTGGCCTTCTCCGTGCCACCAACGAGTGGTTCCGTATCTACAAGATTCCCGATGGAAAGCCCGAGAACCAGTTCGCCTTCACCGGTGAATGCAAGAACAAGGCGTAAGTGTTACCCCTATTTTTCATACCATAGTCACTGCTAACATAGTATATAGCTACGCCATGGATGTCATCCGCGAATGCGCCGAGGCTTGGGAACGATTGATTACTGGCAAGACTCAGCCCGGTGGTATCTCTACGACCAACCTGACCGTCTCTCACTCGCCGAGCCGTGTTAGCCCCGAGCAGCTGCCCCCCCTACCGCCCAACGAGAACGTCCCCCCTGAGAAGATCGACAGCTCGATCGACAAGTGGTTCTTCATCAGCGGTGCTGCCGCGTAAGCTGGATATTCTTGGGTCCGGTAGAGAAAAGTTTGGCGCGTTAGTAGGCCTTAAGTCTTAAAAAAGATAAAAGAAAAGAGCTTTATTTGGTGGCATATCTGTGTGACATGCTCCGACAGCATGCGTTGGCTTAGGATGAATAAATAGTTACTCGTAAAACGGGTATCAATTCGACCCAATCTATTTTTCCCGTCCGCCACCCTGACCTGTTCGACATTCGATGGGTGATAAACGTGATGTTATATCCCCTTGGGATTTTGGTGATATGTTCATACAACCACTAATTAGGACTTGAAGTGCCTGTGCCAATAATCGGAGCAAAACGCCGGCCAATGCTTTAGGTTAGGTTAGGTAGGTTCATGTTAGGTACCAGGTAGGTATTTATAAGTCGAGGGATAAGTTCCTTAGGTAGGTATGAATAAATTTGATGCATCAACCATCTGTCAAGTCTGCCTGCTTCTGTAAGGCTCGTGAATGTCTATCCACTTCCTCGACAATACCCTTGATCCCCAAATGCTCGCCGTCCAAGGTCATCTCTTTCCCATCCTCTTTAAACAAGGTGATTAGTTAGCACGCAAACCTGGATAACGAGCTCACAATGCTGCTGTCAAGACTATAAGACTATAAGACTATACGTACTGAATTTGACTTGTAAGAGAGCCGGTGCGGTGGAGTCCCGCGGCAAGAGAGTGGTATTTATCTGCATGCCGTTCTGGCGCGCGTTGGGAGGGAGGGCGCTGAGGAATAATCTGGTGGCCCGCGAGCGCATGGAGAAAGGGTTGAACTTGGTGTTCACCTCGGTGATGAATCTTGTGATCATTGTGGTGGCTATCTGTATATATTTTTATACTTGGATATTATTTGGCTTGTCCGTCCGAATGCTTACCATGTAACAAATCGACGTTTCAAACAAAAGCAAGGATAAAAGCTTCCGAAGATTTTCTGGAGAGCCAGCAATTCAGAGGTGAGGTGTGGCTGATGCTATGGCACTTGCACTAGCCACACCAAAGCTACACAATGCACAATGTACAATGTACATAACATAAAAGCTTCCAATTCAACGGAACCTGCAACGTCACTGTTAACAAGTATAAGTACCTAAAGTAATAAGTACGGTACTTGAATCTTTTTTGAACCTGCAGGTCTCAAAAATTTCAACAACTTCAACCCCTTATGAACAATAACAAAGACAAATCACAACATGTCTCCCGAAGCTCTAGAGAAGCGATTCTCCGATTTACAAGACCGGCTTGCGCTCCTGCAAGATGCGACTAACCAGCTCAAGGTCCTGATCGACCGCCTGGCCAACTTTAAGTTCCAGCCCGGCTCCGTGCCCCTCGGCGCGAGCGACGACGACAACAACAACGTCAGCTCCGAACTCAGCTCCGAAATCAACCAGATACTACGCGAACAGGAGGAGGAACTTGAGTTATTGCACGAGGAAATAATAGATATCCGCCCGGGGAAGTCAGGGGGTGGATTACAACATGACAAGGACAGGTTGAAGGATGGCGCGACTCGTTTAGAGGAGGAACTGCAGAAGTACGTAGGAAGGGTTTTATGCATCAATTAAAGTTACAAAGATATTAAATTTAATCTAACCCCCTTCACAGCTGTCGAAGGGCCTTTAGGAGAGCCCAGATCTCGGCGAAGCGCAACCTACAACTAGCCCAGCGCCAAGAGCGCGAGCTTCTCTACGCCTCCTTTTCCAGCACCCCGTCCGGCGCCTCGTCTCCCTTACCTGCCGAGGCCGATACCCTACCACCACTAGCACCATCCAACCGAAGGAAACCGCGCGCTCGCGCCGAGATGACCAAGGAGGAGCAGATGCTCAGCGCGAGCAGCGACGTGACGGAGTCCATGCGCCGGACGCACGACCTCATGGCCGCCGAGCTGTCCAAGAGCGACTTCGCGCACAACGCCCTCAAGGAGTCGACGGCCGCGCTGTCGCAGCTGTCGGAGAACTACTCGAGCCTCGACACCATGCTGTCCAATTCGAGGGCGCTCCTCGGCACGCTGCTCAAGAGCCAGAAGACCGACACTTGGTATCTGCAGTCGGCCTTTTACATGTTGGTGGTTACCATTGGGTGGTTGATATTCAGACGTCTGCTTTGGGGTCCGGCCTGGTGGCTCGTCTGGCTTCCCCTGAAGCTCATCTTCAAGAGCGCGGCGGGCGTGTCTAATGCCGTCAGCTGGCACGGTGCACAAGTATCAAGTCCGGACCTCGACCCGTCATCAGCAGCTACACAGTCCAGGTCGACGCAGGTACACATGAATAACGAAGGGATCCCAACGGCGCAAGTCAGTTATCAATCAGAGGTGTCACGTGAGAGCTCGGAAGCTGTGATGGGAGAAGTTGATAGGATCATCAGTAACGGAACGGAGGATGACACCCAGACAGACAAAAATGTGGAGGAAGGGGAGGAGAAACAGGAGAAGGAGCAGGGACAGGAGCAGGAGCAGGAGCAGGAGCAGGAGCAGGAGCAGGAGCAGGAGCAGGAGCAGGAGCAGAAGGAGGAAACCGTATTAAGGGAGCGCAACGACGAGGAACCCCCTAATCCAAAGAAGCGCATGATGGAAGTAGATATAGAAAAAGGCACTAGCGCAAGCGCACCGCTCGATAGAAGCGATGAAAGACCCAAGGATGAGCTGTAAGATTTGTAGGTTTAGGAAAACAAAAAGAAATGAAAAACCAACAACAACATGGTATAACCCGCCACTTGCAACGATTCTTTATCGCCCGCCCTGGTGCACACATATATATCATTCCGTCTGTTTCGACAGGTATTAATCCGCGACTTTCCCGTCAAGTCCCTTTCAGGGCAGGGAAACTCTCCTATAAAGTGTTGAGCCTAGACGCATTTCCTTTGTCATCCCGGACCGGGGGGTTGGAGGGGTCACGCCCGGCCCCGGTTTGTCCTTGGTTTTAAACGACTTGGGCGGGATTGTAACGAGAAACAATGACCCAAAAAAAAGGAGGGGGGGAGGGAGGAAGGGGTTGAGAATCAAGTCAGATAATAAATAGAGAGAGAAGCCACGTAGTGTCCCTCCCATATACATAAGTAGCTAAAAGGACAAAAAGGACATGAGATCAGATCGGATCAGATGATCTCCTTTCTATTCCATACTTCTGACTCTGAGGCATCAAGTGATTACAGCTTGCTTAAGCTCCATTATTTGCGGAGGGTTTTCATTATTGCATTCTATTTAACCCCTAAATTCTCCCTCCCTCTCTCATTCTCCAGACTCCCAAATAAACATACACTACCACATACACGATGTCCCTGCTTGAGAATAAATGATGCGGCTCCGTCTGTCTGACGTAATTTCACTTGACTTGACTTGTTGATTTCCCTGGCATTCTTAGCCAAGCCGTAGGCGAAGAGGGTATCATCATCATCACCATCATCGCCGCCACCAGTACCCACTGCTACCACTATCACTTCCAGCCAGCCGCCCAACCAACCAACTAACGAAGGTCTATGTCCATGGAAAACGATGACGACGACGCCGCGGAATGACTACTTTGAAAGCGGGCAACCCGACACGCGCACAGATACATACACGCAATGCGCACACTACACACAAGTGTGTAGAGAAAACATACAAAACAAAACCGTAGCGCGGTGGCGCCGGTGGAAGACATGCAAGAGAAAAGAAACAGAGTCAAATTAAATACATTAAAACTGCGTGTCTACTCCCAACTCCGAATGTGGAAAACTTTAGCCTCCGCCCCTTTCCCATTCTTTATTTTATTTTATTTTATTTCTTTTTCTTGTGTTTTCGTCTCACCTCTCCTTATGGGTTCTGCCTGTCCCTTTCATGGCAATTGTCCAAGGTTAACCCCCAGGGCTGTCCGTCGTGCCTAAAATGCCGTCGATGTCGAAATCGGTGCCCGCGGCTAAGGTCTCCCACTCGCCTTCTGCCAGATTCGGCGTATCATCGTGCCACGATGGTCGTTCCTCGGGCACGGTGTGGGAAGGGTGATGGAATGCCTGCTCGAACTGCTGATGATGATGCTGCTGCTCGTCGCTAGCATGATGTCCGCCTATACCTCCCTGGTCAAGTTGGTAGTGATGTTGGAGTCCCTCGCCTTGACCCCCGAGTCCAAGTATGCTTAGCGGGTCAAAGTGGTCGCTACCCTGTTGACCCATGAGTGACGGGTCAATGGGATGCTCGTTGATGCGTTGGTACGGATGAGGTGGAGGTGGGTACGCAGATCCAATCATATTGCCGTAGTGGTCAACAGGTGAGCTATGATAGGATCCCGCCGGTGAGTTCGCCTTGTTCATGTAGACGTTTTCGACGAAAGGAGCCATCTGGCTGCCGTATTGCGGGATATGGTGTGGGTAAGTCGGGCGCATATAGTCACTCGTTTGTTGATAGTACTGGTTCGGCCCAAGCCCGACTCCGTACTCCACTGGGCGAGGCTTGCCCGGGTTGGAGTGATGAAACGAAGATGGGTGTGTCGGATGCGGCAGGCGTGTATGATGCATGACTGGTGACGCGTATGTTGGATACGCCGCTCTCATCCCTGGAGGCCGATACTCACCATCCGCATCGTAAATCGGTCTCGACGAACTTCTCGACGGTGGGGCGGTATCCCAGTGATAACCTTCGAGGTCAGAACCTTCATCCTCCGACTCGACGGCAGGGGTGCTCCTACTACCGGTCTTCCGGTTCTTAGCTTTTGCCGGCGCAAATTTGTAGTCGGGGAAAGCGAGGCCGTGATTTGCTCGCTCAATCTTGGAGTAGGTATCGAATTGCTCTTTGAGGGGCCTTGGTTCCATTGCCCAGCTTACACCGCAGATTCGTGAAATGACCTGATGATTGTCGTGCTTTCTCCATTCTTTGGCTCGATTTTGATAAGACTTTCGATATAACATGAAAGCGTTCATCGGACGCTTCACCTTGCCATCTTTCGACTCCCTCACCTCTCTTTGCCGTACGTCCACGCCTCTGTTCACGTATTCCTCGATATTAGTGTCCTGCACTGTCGTAATATCTTTTACTAATACGCTTAAAGGTGCATCTAGCACTACTGCTGGCTCATCCGCTTGCCCCCTGGTCTTCTTCTTCTTCTTGGCGCCTGCGCTCAGTCCTTCTCCTGCCATTGGAGATTGTCTCTTAAGACCTCGAGAACTCATCATCGGAGTCCCTTCGCGTGTACGGTTAATAGATCGGCCGCTTCTAGTTCTCATACTATCTGTTTGTAAAGGAGTTGGCGGTGAGGTTGCTGGAGTGCTATAGGCATTGTGAGGGGTCTTTTATAAGAAAGCATCAGTAAAGATTGATCGCTCAAGAACATTGAACAATAAAGAACAAAACGAAATCAAGTTGATTGTTCATCTATTGAAACTGGTCAATGTTCTTTATTTCTAATAATAACGTACCAGTGATGAGCCTGTATCGGGCAACTGGGGATACGGGCTTGGTTCCATCTGGTAATTCTGTTGCTGATAGCCGCTATTATATGTAGGAGGGTGGTCGTGTATAGGCATAACCATCTGCTGCTGTGGTGGCGGCGGCTGTTGTACCGGCGGTACTGGACTTGAGTATCGTGAAGGGGGTTTCGAGCTTATCTGGTTGTGTACCTCCACAGACGGTGCTGTCGCATTATGCTGGATAAGTTGCTGGAACTGACTTTGGAGGACGTCGTCGGCAGTTGCAGAAGAAGGGTCGTTGTTAGTGTTGGATGGCACTGGCGATGATGGACTAGCTTTCTCCATATCAAAGTTATTTCCCGACCAATCTACTATCTTGCAAGGAGGGTAATGTATTTAGATTCGGCCTTGGACGTAGGTAGGGATGATTCGCAATAATTATTGGGGATGCACATAAAGCTGCAGATATTGGGTGTTAAAGGGAAATCGTCGTCAGGGAGCCGACAATTACCACCTGGTAATCAGGAAAGAAGCGACGCACTCCCACGTGTGAATATGACTGTAGGACGGCTCCTTAGCAACTAGTTGCCAATCGTGTTTCTTAGAGAATAACCGGCAACGAGGAAGACTCCTGTAGGAATTAGATAAAAAGGCTAGTAAGTAATGGGATCTTATGCATACCTACTAATGCCCTTAACTCCGTCAGCTCAGATATGGGACTAAAGGTTATGGAAATGATTCTTTTCTGATAATCAATTGGAAAGGGGGAGGTCCGATAAGATGAGCCTACGCACAAAAAAGGGACGGTATGCAGTCTCTCTGTGCTTATTCAATAGTTCCTACCGGCTCTGGTGTAATGTAAATTATCACTAATTCGTCTATTCGGATTTGTCTCTAATGTTTGGTCCGTAGCTACTTGGAAGCTGGCTGGAACTCCTTGACCCAGAGTGCGATAGGCGTGGTAAAGTCGGGATTGAGATGAAATAGCGTGAGGAAGGTCGAGAAAGACACATGCAGTAAGGAGGCAAAAGAAAGAAGGTCTCAAAGTAGTAATCAGTATCGTATTGGTCCAGGTATCTTGGAAGAATGTCGAAGATATATCGGGAAACTGGTTGGATGTACCACTTTTGAGGCTGTTCCAACTACAGAGGTGGGGGAGCTTTCATCTGGACTTTCTCAGCCTGTAAATAAGTAAGTCTTTAGTTCCAGTAGCCTGCGATGACTTCCTGCTTCACCACGCATGGACTACCAAGTTGTATCTTTCTGCAACTACAGAAGCAGTGTATTGTGTTAAGAAGACATGGACTACACGGCTTGGTACTAGCGTAGACTGTTGCAGCAGGCATAGATCTATCAGAAACCGGGTTTGTCTCTAATCATGACACTGTAAAGGAAGGGGGCATGCAGCCGCATTCAGTCATGTGAGCAGGAAAGGAGAAAGACGAAGTGTAGAAACTTAGAAGCACATACTTATCGCATAATATCTGCCTGATAATATGTTGAGCTGTCTGTGGTATCCTTGCTCTAGCAGCGCAGGGACGACACTCCGTCTTTACTCTCGTTACCGGTCGTGTGTGCGTACTTCTTCACTCTGTTTCGTTAATAGACCTGGAAGACTGATGGGTAAAGGTGAACCAGAGTCTTGGGATAGAGAGATATGTGTAAGGCTTCTCACCCGGAGGGGTGGAAATATGGGATAGATTGATGAATTCACACACCTTTCTTAGTGGGTACGGGAGAGTAGGTAGGCAGAACGAGTTACTGGTTGATGCAGCGTCCCCGGCAGTCGCCTACACAAGTTTCCTTTCTTTCTTTGTTCCCGTCCCTTCGCTAAAGGAACTTTAGATACCCACGTGCCAAACAAGTAGCACGGACTGGTAGCCGGGACTAGTGCTTCTGTAAGGCTGGCTATCGATGTGACCGTCCTCTAAGACTGGATCCAGGTTCCTTGAGCCAGATATATCGACAGGGTGCCTGGAGATTGATTTGAAAATCGAGTGTGTAAAGGAACTAATTATTGTCGGTAGGCTGTATGACCGCCTTCTCCTATCCCTATCGACCCAGCCAAGTTGTATAGCACGACTGGATGTTTCATGAATAGATGGGTAAGTAAAAGGACTAGATGGAAAACTACTGCTAGGGATGACCTTTGTTGACCCAACACGAACGACGAAAAGCAGCGATGGCTAACAAGAAACAACAAAAAGAAACGCCTTTCTAAATTTCTCTTTCAAAACAGTATTCCTGGGGCTATAGTTATTTGTATGGCGGCTTTCTTCGGAAAGTAGAATGCGGCCGCAAGGTAGTGCATTACCGCTTTCGGAACGCAACAGGGAAAAATGCGAGGCATTGTACAACGTGCGCTGAACAGGAAAATTATTCTAGGTCACTTATGGAGCTATCTCTAGCCGTATTCGGGGGCAAAAGAGAGAGAATCTAGGAACTGTGCATCTGCTGGGTACCGGACATTCCGGGCTGATAGAGAGCGGGAGGGAAAATAGCTGGTCTTGTTAGCTCTATGCTTCATATGGTAGGTCGAATGTCGCCTATACCCATTTCTTTCCCTCCCTTTCTTGATTTCACAAATTCTGCATCTGTTAACGCCGATAGCGATGGACTGCCGCTCAACTATTTCTCACTAAGGTAAGACATTTGAAAAAACCAAAACCAAAAAAAAAAAAAAAACCGTACTGTACTTACATGATACCTGTAGCCGCAGATCCTGGGGTAGAAGACTACATGCAAGATTGCATGAGATATCCTGCATAAGGGATCGGGGAGTTGAATAAACTTGATCCCCGAGCAACCTAGCCTTTTGCCACATCTTCGGTACGACTGAGCGGAATATCACCCATCAGTTGCTTTTGGCGGTACCTTGCTACCTTGCCAAGGTTTTCCAGATGTTCGCAGTTACTAGGTACTATCATGGCTACTCCTTGCCGATGTGAGGGACTGGAATGTTGGTTCCTGTATAAGCCCCGAAAACGTGCTTCTCACAGCTAAAATCTCCAGTGGCGCACATACTCCAACATTCCTTTGACATTTCTCTGGATAAATTAGCCAAATGCAGATAAACTAGTACTGGATTCTTTCTTCCCCTCCTCGCCGTACCCCCTTTCTCGCGGCGAATAAGCGTCTAGCCAAGACGGTCATGACGCGTTGCTGTTCACCATTGAACAGGTGCAAGTAACTGCATTATAGAGAGTCCAGTAGCGAAGAGAATGTCTCCAAAGTACCTAACATGTAGTGTATGTAATATGTATGTAATGTATGTAGTGTCTTCATAGCTCTATAGGTCAACCCCTTTATTCTGGGGGTGGACCCAAGCGCGAGGGACCTACTGGCTGAGCAGTAGTGCCGTTTATCCTGCAATATAGATGTTAGATGTAGTACTCATCGGCCGCTAGTGTGGCCCTTCCTAACGACGAGTGATGAGTGATGAACACATATGGCTGACTGGCGGATCGTGCCTGGGCATTTGTTTGCAGCCGCATCCCTGTACCGTGCGACGGGTGTTTGCACTAGCTTTGCAGACTGTTTGAACCTCGACCCTGGTAGTGCTGAAAAGGGGAAAACCCAACAACTAAAAACTGACGTACATTCATCATGCCTTATAGATAGGAAGGTAAGTTGTTTTGAGTAAAGTTGATAATTCCGATGGTATTAAAGGAAAGCAAATAGGAAGATGTCAAGAGATAGTACTATCGTCTTCATTAGAAGACCAGTCTGCGAATAATGAATGAACATCATAGAAGATGGATGTAGATATGCAGCATCGCGCATGCACCGATGCATATATACTAATTATTCGCTTGAAAGACCGGCTTGTGTTCTCTTCTTTTCTTTCGTCTTTTTGGACTCGGAGTCCGTCTTTGAGGCCATCACGCAGTTAGCTCTTCCTGGATCTCTCTTTTTCCTCCCTTGCTATGCACTGTCTTGCCAATAGCTTGGAACTTGTAGAGCTATAACAATGAAACTGTTAGAAAGAACCTAGTCGAGCTGCCCCCTCTTACATTCATACCTTCGAAATCATTACCTTCAGCTTGATACCAAATATATTCATGTCAAGCACGTGTGACTCTTTCGTGTTGCGTCGTCCGTTCGCCTGCCTGCTTTACTGATATCATGTAAAAGCATACCAGTAAGCACGCACTACCCATCTCGCTTCAGTATTGCTAATTGCGTTTCTGCATACCGGTACACCATTCTGCTCCTATCCTGTCTTAGCGCTTTGGCCAACAGTTCGTGCGAATATTCGGGACCTGTGTGACAGCTCAACTTCGAACGGCATGGCACATTGCCCAATAATAGTTACTAGAAAGTCTGGGTTTGATTAGGTTGGGGTTTCCCCTTAGCCCGCGACAGATGCAAGACTAGCTGGCTCATCCTGGAGCCCGGAAAAGATGTCCTGTCTCGTAAGACGCCTAGGCGCGCCCGGGCTGCGAACTGCTGTGCATCTATCTGCAGCCTGCCGAAGAGAAAAACGTGGAGTCGGTGTGGTTGCCCACCATTGGGAGAGCTTTGGGTTAGACACTAAGATGAGAGAAAATATAGTGGAGATGATAAGTGAGAAGTTAGATGGAAGACGAAATGGATGCAGATTGATGTACCCCGACTGTAAGTGATATGTCTATTTTACGTACCTAGGTAGATATGTGTTGTAGCAGGATGCCAATACTGCTAATATTAGGTCAAATAAATTGAGATGAAAACTGATGAATTTGCGGTTTGATACATTTACATATTGCCATATTGAGGTGAAGATTTGGAGAGAACCCACCAATAAGAAAATAGGGCAAGAATTTTTTGATGTGCGATCAAGCGGTAAGGCGTTGCGACCCATGTAGGAGGTGGAGGTACCTATCTGAAGACGTGCCTGATTATGGGAAAGTACGTTACTCCATATAAGCAGGTACCGGACATCCATCCTAAGGGTTTTATGCACAATGTACGATATACGATCTGACGATGCGCAAATGCACGATGCAAGATGCACGATGCACGATTGCTCTTAAAATTAGGCCCCTCTCACATATACAACACACAACGTGTACCTAATGTCAGGTACTTACATGTATGTACCTAATATAGTAGGCATTAGGTATACGCAAGGTAAGGCCATCTAGGCAGGTGAACATCTTTGAATCATTGGATGATGTGGTCTCCTAAATATTGCGCCTCATTTTTTTTTTAAAAAAAAACCCTGTCAGTGTCTGTTGTGCATCGTCAATGCATGCAAAAACTAGTATTGTAACGTTTCCCTTATAGTTTACATTTCAGGTTTGCCTGTCTTATACGCCATAAAAATGCATCCATCATCTAAAACCACCGGAAACTTCTATTCCTACATGCTCCCAACAGGTTTGTGGACGCATTCCGTTCCCCGTCCCGTAGGTAAGAGAGGTTGACATTATAGGAGCATCTGAGCTCATTTGCCTTTGCACCGACATGCCAAAGAAAATAGCCCAATATCAATGCTAGGATTGGATAGATGCATGAGACCCTCATCCTATCTCAACCAGGAGGTAATCAAGCCTGTGCTGCCGAAGAAAGTGCACCGAAGATATGACTACTCCCCAGACTACATAATAAGTTGTTAATAGTCTATTCTCGATAACCTGTCAAGGTCTGGTCGGCTGGGCAACTAAGCCATCGTCTTGAGACATTTCTGGTTATTCGTCCCTAATAATGCCACTTGGCGTTTGTGATGCCGGCCGCATGGGATCCGAAGATTTGACGGGCGGTGTTAGTATTTGTTGTGAAGGCGAAGGAGACAGGGCTGTCACCGGAGGGAGAATCGAATGTGCTGGGGTCGACGTTAGCCCATTGCCCGATTGTTGATGTGGAGGCGGCGACCGTTTTAGGGGCGAGATCCCATTCTGGGTTGGTGGTAGGCTAGGCGTTACGTCAAGCCGTGCTCCCGCGTGGTCAAACTTCTTAAGCTGTGGAGTAGAGAGTACTGCTTGCTGGGTGTTGATATCACTGCTTGAAGGGTGTGTTAAGGCAGAAAACGATGCGGATGGAGGAGAAAGAACTGGATAGCTGCTGCCTGCGGCATCAAAAGGCTGCTTTGAAGGCGAGTCAGATTTGGAGGCTAATGGATGTGCGGACGCATCCACATGAGGTGAGAGGTTGCTCGACTGTGCGGAGGGAGATATGCCATTAGCTTTGGATGATACGCGAAATACACCTTTCTGCGGCACTCTAATATCCCCAGAACGACTCCCGGAGATTGGCGATGACGCATTAAACATGGTTGAATAGGCTCTTGCCTTATTGGGCGATTGCTCCGGTGGTGATAAATTTGGGTGTGGCGAAGAGAACGGATGAAGCCCGTCGCCGTTGGTGAACGGTGAAGATGGAGGTGGGACGTTGGGCTGGCCTGCCTGCTTTATGGGAATCACTGGCTGGGTGGCGGCGAGCTGTGCGTTGTTAAGCCTTGCTGGTATTTCAACTGCAATGCCAGGGCGTTGGGTGAGTCGAGCACGGTCTGGGGTAGGCGACCCCTCCGACCTTGCAGTAGGAGCTGGAGATGAAGCATCGGGTTGATTAGCCTTCAGTTTGATAACTGTGGCGGATTTAGGCGTTGAACTCTTTTGGCGACAGCTCTTGCATATGAAATGAAAATCGTCACGATCGGCCTCTTCCTCACTAATGCCAACACACTTGCTGTGCTGCCAGACGTTGCATCTTTCACAGGCAATACTGTGTGTGCCATCATCAACCTGGCCGTAAACACCACATATGCAGTCGAAAATCCAGTCATCCTCTTCCTCTTCAAGCTCCTGCAGGGCTTGCCTATTCTTCTCGATTTCCGCTTTCAGCCGCCTCTCAGACAACCGACCAGTCCCAGTGCTTAGGTTTCTGCTATCCTCAGACAACTGGGCTAGTTCCTCTTCGTGTTGTCGCCGCCGGGCCTCCCGTTCTCGAAATCGTTGCTCTCTTGACATCATACGGTTATCGCGTTCCTTCTCTATTTTCATACGCTTCTGCTGCTCCTTTCGAGCAGCCACCTCTTCTGCTCGCCGTTTCTGTTCCTCTTCTCTAGCCTGCTGCTCTAATCGTTGTTGCTCAGCTTTATTAGCAAGTCGGCTCGAACGTTTGGCATGAGCCATCTTTTGGAGATTGAGAAGCTCTTTCTCCCTCTGTAGAGCTTTCCGTTTCCGGGATTCCTCTTGCTTCTCTAAGATAGGCAGAAGATGTTTCTCAATAGTGTTCCTTAAAACCTTTTCATTATCATCGCGGGTCTTCCGAATGGTACTGAGGAATTCTTGCACTTCTGCAAGACTCGCTGCAATGCATTCCCACTTCGCACCCCCAAGGCCGTCATCCTCCGGCTCAGCAGGCTGATCCGCGTCGGAAGCAGAGCCATCATCGCCATCACCGCCATCGTGAGCTGCGGACCTTGATGTGCGGCGTCGCTTGGCAGCTCTTGCTGCTGCTTTGGCTTTTTTGGTATTCTTTTTGGGTTTCCAGGGCGTAGGGGTTGGTGGAGCTTCTGTCATACGGTATATTCGGTTATCGTCTAGTATATAATAGATGCGGTCGTCACTATCCCAGCCCGAGGGCTCAATTCTCTGATGTCCTGTTAGCGCTTCTCTTTGAATCTCGAGAATGGTATTCGTACCCATTCGGTTTGATCACTCGGCTTCTGTTCATCCATCTTCTCCCGGATTCTTTCGGGATGCAACATTACCCATTGGGTAAGCTGCTGCAATACTTTAATCTGGAGTGAAAATATTTAGCATATTATTGTATCGTTATCGGCCACGCAGCTGACGAACCTTTGTCAAAGCATCGAAGTCGTCAAATTTGGCGGGTGTGTCCGCCGTACCGAAAGGATTTCGATCGGGGGCTTTGGCAATATACTGTCGTCGTGTATATTCGTCAAAGAGGTCCGGCCTTGGAAACATGTTAATAATTAATAATATAACTTTTGAGAAGCGCGCATTGCGATAAGACATACGTCAAGCCACGATGCGATGATACAAACTTGAGTAGGGCAAGCCCAATGTCGACTAGAACAGTTGAACGAGGTTTTAAAAGCTCGGCTTCCAAATCCTATGAGAACGGAATGTTAGCGCTACAGATCGGTACTCAAGATTCCGCTTGACGAGAACCATAAGTTAAAATTAATGGCAAGGGGTACATACATCTATCTCGAGATTATCGTCTATCTTCACGACCTTGCCGAATAGGTAAATCCATTGGAACAAGTTGGCAAATTGCCAAGTATTTCTAATGCGATGAAGTAAAGATGGCTCCTGGTGAGGCTTCTGGGGAGGCTCTTGGGCGTTGGCTTCCGGTTCGGTGTCGCGCAAGGCGCGCTTCCTTGATGAAACCATGACGACAAATATACCGTTCTATGCACGACCGAAACTCATGCAGCTGAAAAATACAAAGGGGGTCTACCGGATGTTTAAGCGAGTTCGGAATATATTCAAATGGGAGCAGGACGGTGTGGTCGACGTAGTCGGTTAGGGTAGTAGTCGAGGGACGAGTGAAAGAAAGGGCAGAGATAGAATTAGGGTTAAGGGAAGTTAAACATGGGCACAGACAAAACGAGATATTTCATGGCGATGGGCAAAGTAAAGTTTGATTAATTTTTCAACACCTAAAATAAGTTGGGTAATATACCGTTAGGTACGTTTATTATTGTTGTCGTTGTCGAGGTTTTGGCAAAGCGGAAAACTATATTCGGTAATCCATAAGGTGACGTGAGGTGAGGTCGAGTTGTAGCTGCGGTAGGCACGTAATTTTGGGGGAATGAATTTCTAGGCGCGGTTTTGGGAGTTTGCACCTCCATTTCTCTGGACATTTCACGCGACGCAACTGCGCAGTACATGCAGCGGAATGCCGTGTGGATTCCACTTTACCTGCTTACGCGCCGCAGCCCACCTGAAAAGAGGGGACCGTGGGGCCAAGCCACAAGATTCTTTGAACTTTGAAGGATGGAGTTACCTAGATGCGTACTGTACATAGAGATGCTAAATAGGCACGTGATGAAACTTCAAACATTTCAAAAGGTAATGATAGCAGCTCCTATCTGTGATCAAATGAAAGTTAAGTGAAATAAACAGGTAGTATAACTGTTCGAGCTTTAGTTATTTATTATTTATTAAAGCCCTAAATATTTCGTAATAACACATTGCAGTCTAATGTATACCATTATAATCTGCTATAGGTAGTATAATTGCGTTAGTTAGATTAGACGTTACGTACCTATGCTTGGAAACAAACAATCATTCGTCATAAACGGATGAACATAATGAGGACACAGAGTCGTGCTAAGCTGTATGTACCTAGATGCCCCTGCAGATAATAGCCCCATTGGGGGCATCTCTAAAAGACGGCTCGTATTTTAAGTAACCTATCGATAGTGTAACGGACGGCAAGAACGGCGCTGCAGCGTATCAATTGCTAAGGCCGATCTAGCAAAAACAGGTACAAACCGTAGCTATCCGATGCTATCTGATTAGCAAAAGATACAGCGGGATAAGGCTTAGTTTAGTTTGATCATTCCTCCTTTTGGCTCCTTTTGGAGGGTGCTCCCAATTGGAAGTTAGGAGACCTCACTTCACTCGGCGCAGGTCAGCAAGCGAAATGCGGAAACATTGTAAATCGTCGGCTTGGGACCTTCCTTTCCGTGTGTCTTTACTAGTATTTGATTTAACGTTGATTTTCGATTCTATACTGTAATAGCCTCCCTATTTGCAGCAACAAAAATTAAAATTTTGAATTTTTCTTTTTAGAAGTCGAGGTTTATGGCAGCCCATAGCAGCAACCCATAGCCTAGTCCCCAGATTCACTCGATAGAAATTCGTGCAACATTTATGTTTTACGTTTATCAATTTGCATGTCCTTCTCCCTCTCCCTCTCTGTCTTTTCTGTATCTGATCTGCAACCCGCAACCCGCAACTTGCGACCCACGCGTCCTGATTTTTATGTGTTTCATACTCTCTTTTCCACGTCTCTCATTCAAATCCGACCTCATATTGTTTTTCTTTCTCTAACGATCTTGGCTTGGCGTATCCTTTCTCCGGATTCTGGTCTCGATATACCATTCGAAACGAATTGCCTATTTCTATGTGATGCTCTTGATATCGACCAAGTAATCGTCTTGCCGGTGCGCTTACTTGCGTATTGTGCCCTGACGTCTACCCTTTCTTTCTCTCGTATATACATATATCTAATTTGGTGTCATCTGGATGACACTATATTACCATGACTAGATCTACCACTTCGCCTCGAGATTCGCAACAGAACCCTTCCGCAGCTTCGTCCCAATCCATCCCCTTACAGGATCTTGCAAGACAGCAACGTCAACATGATGGCCAGTCGCAAGGCGAGGGACAGAGGGGATCTGCGGGTCGCAATCTGGGTGTTTCGACGTATTGGGATGGCTACCAGCAGCATCATCAGAATGCCGACCTGAGCCCGAGTCCTGGCGTTTCGCCTATAGATGCTGCTGCTCTTCAGTTCGCCTTACCTCCGGGAATCGAACCTTCGGCCCCGGCCTTGCCTCGAGATACTTCGACACCCGCTCAGCGATATACCCCCGAGACTCCCTACTACGATGAAACGGCTCACGTAGACTACTTTGAATCCGATAGTTCCCCCCTAACGTCTGCTGCGCAGCCGATCGCCGGTGCTTTGCCCACCCTGCAAGTTGACACGCAACCGAGAGATAGCTTCCAGACGGTCTCTGATATAGACAATTCACGCTCGCCACAACGCTCTCCCCGGATGTTGGGGTTTGATTTGGAGAATGCATTTCCTTCGAAGCACCGCAGCTACGGCAGTTCTCTCGCGCCAAATGACAATCGGACCTCGCGAATGCCAAGCACGGCCGATGCCCTATATAGAGCTGGGTCAATTGTTAGGGCCATGTCCCAGCGTGTTGTTAATATCAGTAATGAAGGGGAAACTTTTGAGCAACAGCAACAAAGACGGCAGAGATCAAGATCACCTAGTGCAGATGGCCGAGCGTCGCCAAGTCATTTGTCCACTCAACTAGGTGTTGACACATCATACCCTTCTCAAGTCTACTCGAATACTGAGAAGAGTGGCGAGCCCGGGTGGACTACGTCGGAAACTCCTTTGCCTCCTCGGCGTGAAGGGCCAATGCCGAACCCTTTGAAAGGACGTTCTCTAGGCATTTTTGGGCCCGATAATGTCATTAGGAGGAAGCTCTGCGATATACTGGTGAATCCATACATGGAACCCTTCCTCCTCCTCCTGATTGTGCTCCAAGCCATCTTGCTTGCTGTCGAGGCTGCAAACAATGTCTATCTTCCCGGAAATGAGCGCCCCCCTCTCTGGGACCCCTCTTCAAGCACGAACTGGGCCCTTCTTATCCTCTTCATAATATTCACCCTCGAGACGATAGCTCGGATAATTGTATCTGGCTTTATACTAAATGCTGAAGAGTACAGCACCATTGACCGAAAGAAAGGAATTCGTGCGGCTATATCGGACCAGTATAATGCTGTTTTTCGGCCCCAACGTCAGAAATCTGTGAAAACTCCTCGAGAGCCGGCTTATGGGCCTTCTACATTTGCTCGATCCTTCACTATGATGCATAGCAGTATGCCCGAGACAATCGAGGAACAGCAAAGGATGCAACTAGCTCGCCGAGCTTTCTTGAGGCACGGGTTTAACAGATTGGATTTTATTGCGGTCGTGTCCTTCTGGATAGCTTTCGTCCTCAGCATCACGGGCATCGAAACGCAGAAGCATTTATTTATCTTTCGCATGTTGAGCTGTCTTCGAATTGTTCGACTACTCGCACTTACAAACGGAACAGCGGTAAGCTACCTCACATGGAGAAATTCTGAGAATTGCCATTTCTAACTCACGTGCTAGATTATACTGCGAAGTTTGAAGAAGGCTGCACCACTTCTTCTTCGGGTTTCCTTCCTTCTAGGCTTTTTCTGGCTCTTATTTGCCATCATCGGCGTGCAAAGCTTTAAAGCAAGTCTAAACCGACAGTGTGTCTGGCTGGATCCTTCACAGCCCGATAATATGTCCCTGTCGTATACAAATGATATGCAATTCTGTGGCGGGTATCTCGATGAAAATGGCACAGAACGACCTTGGGTTAGAAGCTCGATTCCGGGCACATTGCAGGATCTCGAAAGTCCGTCCCGTACTCCTAAGGGTTATATATGCCCCCGGCATTCCATTTGTCTCGAGCAATCAAGTCCATTCAACGACACTGTCAACTTCAACAATATCCATCACTCGTTGGAGTTAGTTTTTGTAATCATGAGTGCCAATACATGGTCAGATCTTATGTACTACACCACCTATTCCGAGTTCCTCCCGGCAGCTCTTTTTTTCGGCGCTGGTATTATGATCATGATGCTGTGGCTTACCAATTTACTCATTGCTGTGATCACCTCATCGTTCCAGGTTATCCGAGAAGAGAGCAAGGCCAGCGCTTTCACAGCGGACGATAACTTTCAAATTTCCGATTCCCAGGAAGAGTTGCGTAGGATCTCAACATTCGAGAAGATATACAATAAGACACGGCTGTTTTGGGTGTTCCTCATCGCGGAAGAGCTTTTTGCTCAGGGTTGGCGAAGTTCGGATATGAGACCCACGCAAGCACATTTTATCCAAGCAAATAGCATCTTAGTGACGGCTCTCCTAGATGTCGAAATCGTCATTAGAATCGCGGCTAATTGGAGAGCCTTTCCTCGGAGCTACCAAAACCTATTCGACCTCTTTCTAGCGTTTGCAAATACGATAATAATCATCCCCCATATCGTAGAAAGCGGTCAAACATACATGTGGCTCACGATATTCCAAATCCTACGATCCTATCGTGTGGTTATGGCCCTACCGCTCACTAGGAAATTGATCCTCTTGGTCCTCGGAAACGCTACGGGTATCGCAAACCTTATGATGTTCGTGTTCCTGATCACCTTTATAATGGCCATTTTCGCTGTCCAACTTTTTCGTGGAGAGATGCCATTATATGACGACGGTGGTGAGCTGGTCAGAATATCGTTCTACAATATTTTCAATTCATTCCTCGGCATGTATCAAATTCTATCAAGTGAGAACTGGACAGATATTCTTTACGATGTAACGTCGTACACCACCCAGTACAACACGTCCTGGTATGGCGCAATGTTCCTTATCGGCTGGTTCATCCTCGCATTTTTCATTATCGTTAATATGTTCATTGCTGTCATTCAAGAGAATTTTGACGTGTCGGAAGATGAGAAGCGGCTGGAGCAAGTTAAGGCATTTTTGCAACGCAAGGAACTGGGCAGCAATGCAACCACTAATATTACGCTCTCGGATATTTTCACCTTGGGGAAGTCCAAGCAAAGAGATCCGTTGGACTACGGCCCAGCGACCATGGAGATGCTGTTGAAAGATGCCGTCGTCCGAGAATTCCTTGACGATTCGCTGGCCCCATTAAACCAGGAATCTAGCAGTAGTTCTACTCCACAAGAAGGGGTCGCTGGTGAGGGTATTCGGCCTGGCTTTATGTCTTCCATTTGGGGCCGGATTCGTGGTCTATTTACTAGCAAGGAGCCGAATCCGTTCTATTCTAACATCCGGTTTAACCTTCCTAACGACGCCCTCGATCCACGGCAGATGGCTCGTCAAGCTGTGTCTGCCACTGCCGAACGCCGTAAAGCTCAACGCGAGTATCTTGCCCGTCATCCTACGTATAATAATTCGCTTTTCATCTTCACGCCACAAAACCCTATTCGCCGGCTTTGCCAACGACTCGTTGGGCCAGGAAGAGGTAACGAGCGCTTTGATGGCGTGGAACCAAACAAGTTTGCCTTGTATGGATTTACGGTGTTCATCTATGCTGCTATCATCGCCATGGTGTTACTAGCTTGCATTACTACACCGCTGTATCAAAAAGAATATCTCCAAGTACATGGGGGAGAAAACCGATACAAGAGTTGGTTTGTCTGGGTCGACCTGGGCTTCGCAATAGTTTTCTCGGTGGAGGCAGCAATCAAAATCATTGCAGATGGTTGGTTCTTCACGCCCAATGCCTACTATAGGAGTTCATGGGGCATCATAGATGGCGTGGTTCTTATCACACTGTGGATTAATGTGCTTACCCTCCTATTCCATGACGGGGACGTCTCTAGGGTTATCGGCGCTTTCAAAGCATTGCGGGCACTTCGTCTACTTAACATTAGCAACAGTGCAAGAGACACCTTTCATTCCCTAATAATAGTAGCTGGGTGGAAGATTATCAGTGTAGGTCAAATTTTGTATCAAATACTTTTGAGTGTTATGCTAACTTAATATTCTAGGCTGCGCTGGTCTCCTTGTCTCTCTTAATTCCATTTGCCATATATGCCTTGAACTTGTTCAATGGACAACTGTTGGAATGCAATGACGGTGACGATATTACGCACCTATCTGACTGCTTTGGCGAATTTGAAACTGCGCCGGCTAGTCCGAACTGGACAATACTCGCCCCTCGCGTTGCAGATAATCCTTATTTTAAATTCGACGACTTCGCTTCCTCATTATTTATTCTCTTCCAAATCGTCTCGCAAGAGGGTTGGGTCGACGTATCATTTGCTACTCAGGCAATTACTGGCCGTGGCTTTCAACCGCAAGCAATGTCAGCTCAGGGTTATGGGATGTTCTTCGTAGTTTTCAACCTCCTAAGCACAGTATTCGTGCTGACCCTGTTCATCTCTGTCTTCATGCGAAACTACACTGAGCAGACCGGTGTCGCCTTCTTAACGGCTGAACAGAGATCGTGGCTTGAATTGAGGAAGCTTCTACGTCAAATCTCACCGTCGAGAAGTTCCTACAACGACTCGGAGAATAATAAATGGAAGAAATGGTGTCATAAGCGAGCAATCGAGAAGCGAGGCAAGTGGTATACGGCGATCACCGTGGTGTTAGTCCTCCACTTGATCTTGTTGATGTTGGAATATTACCCCGAACCAGAACAATGGTCTATCACGAGAGACGCCATATTCCTACTATTCACGCTATTCTATATGGCTAACATCGCTATCCGCATCGTTGGTCTTGGCTGGAAGCGGTTCAGAAGAAGTTCATGGGATGTCTACTCACTGATATGCGTGTCCGGTTCTCTTGTAACTTCCGCTCTACTAATTGCCAATTATGGGAATCAGACTTTCACTCAGATCCACAAATACTTCCTCGTCAGCATCGTCCTCCTTCTCATCCCTAGGAATGATGCGCTTGATCAGCTTTTCAAGACAGCGGCGGCAAGTCTTACAACCATTTTCAATCTACTTGCCACGTGGCTGGTATTCTTCCTAGTGTTTGCAATAGCATTAACGCAGACTTTCAGCCTGACCCGCTTTGGGGAGAATGAAGACATCAACATCAACTTTAGAACTGTCCCTAACGCTCTTTTACTGCTCTTCCGTATGAGCGTGGGTGAAGGTTGGAACCAGATTATGGAAGACTACGCCAATATCATGCCGCCGCTCTGCGTCAACAGTAGCGAATTCCTTGACAGCGATTGCGGTAGCACTAATTGGGCTAGATTTCTATTCATCGCTTGGAATCTCATTAGCATGTATATTTTTGTCAACCTCTTCATCTCGCTCATATACGAGAGTTTCAGTTATGTCTATCAGCGCTCAAGCGGCATGGCGCACCTTGACAGAGATGAAATACGGAGATTTAAAGAGGCATGGCGCAGTGTCGACCCTGCTGGGTCAGGCTTCATCAGTAAGGAAGCATTTCCAAGATTATTAGGGGAGCTCTCTGGTATTTTTGAAATGCGGATATACGATTCCGGAGATTCAGTTCAGCAGATTTTAGAAGACGTTCGCAACGATAAGAAGCATATGAGGCATTCGTCAATCGCTACTACCAGTAATGGAGGTGAGGGGGTGGACATTAAGAGGCTGAACGAGAGGCTCTCGAGGATCGATGTTCGGAAAGTACAAGAAAGGCGCCGCCGATTTAATATCTTTTATGAGGAAGTGATGGTTTCTGCGGACCCTGTCCAAGGAATATCATTCACAACAGTCCTGATGATTATGGCGCATTATAAGATTATCAGTGACAGCAAGAGTTTAAGGTAATAAGCATTCCCTTCAAGATCTGACTAACTAAGAACTAACAATATCTCAGGCTCGAGGAATTTTTGCGTCGTCGCGCACGTCTTCAACGAGTTGAGGAAGAGGTTCGACGAAGGATTGTTGTCGGGTTTTTTGACACAGTGTACGTTTTTTTTTTTCAACAGTATCTTTGGGGAACCCATTTTACTGACGCAAAGGTTAGGTATTGGTCTCGCCAATTCAAGAAACACATGGAGAAGAAGAGATCTGGGCGGATGGCAGCAATTCCTCAGCTAGACGTGCCTGACATCTTTGTTGATGACGAGGACGACCGTAAACGGACAGCAATGCAACGTACTACAATAGCAACTCCAGTTGCTAGTGGTACGTCCGATTTCCTTGCTGTATCCTACGAATCCCGGCCGCAACACAAGAGCTGGAATTCTGGCGCGGATATATCATCATACGACTCGTCACAGGCGCATCCCTTAAGCCTACCGAGGGCGAGCCCGTCAATGCCAGGGCAACGTTCCCACGCGTCTGCTTTTAGCTTCGAATTGCAAGATCCTGGAACGAATTCAGGCGACAATAGTAGACGGGGTAGTTCGGTAAGTCCGGCTCAAGTCAGAGAATTACTTGATGATTCTGCTTGGGTTGAAAGCATCAGACGAAGCGCAACAATACGGAGGTCGGTACGGCGTTCCGATTGGAGCGGGCCTCGATGAGATTACTCGTTCATACAACAATCACATTAAGTACCTACATTGTAAAAGAGCATGTACCCAAAGAGGCATGCCGCGGGGCCGGATTCTTTTACGGACCTGAAAATACCTTTATATGTCGAGATTCAGGGTACGTTAGGGCGGTATATCAAGAGATGCTCGAAACGGAGCAGGAATGACTTGGATGAAGTCAGCAGGCGTTCTAGGGCACTTGAAGGGGTTTATCAACAAAGGGGTTATTCGTCAACGCCATGAATAGGCAAACCTTGCTTCATATTACATGCGTTCACTGTTTACTATGTTCTACGGTGTTAGTTAGATCCCAAATATCCCGGGTGCATTATACAGGTAGAGATAGCATCATCATCATGCAGGTGTTTGACTACTTGTATCTGTTAGGGCTCTAAGATCTAGAGCGAGGCTAGATAGAGAAGTAAACTATCACACATGAATTCCAAATGAGACTCCGACTCGCATAGGTCCTTAGGCACCTCTAAGGATGTAAGTCATGAGTGTGGGGATAAGAGTCTGCGTCAGCTACCGTCTTTACGTTCCTGAGGCGACGCCAAGGGCAGGGGTTTTACTATGTATGCACATATGTACATATGTACCTAGGTAGGCTGCTGTGCCACTGTGCCACTGTGCCACATGCAGATGTAGATGCAGATAAAGGTCCGTGTGTAACCCGCATATTGCCCGTATCGCGGTTTTCCCTGCCAATTTCAACGACCTGGAACATCTTCAATACTGGAACGCGGTTCTCAATTTTCTCACCCGTCGTATTCTGACGCAGTAAGGATTACGGGCAGCCCTGACTCTTTTATTATTCGACTATCACATAGAATTCATTATCGCTTATAATCCATTGTCAACACCGTGATAAATTTCCAACCCTCGGGTTCGATGGAATTAGTTCGTTGCCTTTGGAATTCGAGATCTCTTCTATCACCAATCGATAATAAGCAGCCATTTGAAAACCCCATTCTCACAATCGAAACTAGTCATGATGCGCATATTTTCTCTGCATCTATGATGAATGCTGTCTTTAATAGATTGACTATGTCATGCCTGTTATGAAACAACCTGAATCATCGACCAACCCATTTTCAGCAAGCCCTTAAATCCTGGTTGGCGATCATACGCCCTTGGACAGAACCGTCTTTACCCGTTTCGGTCATGAGAAACCCAAAGACTGCACTGCAACTGCACGCACGCTCCACAGCCACCTTGCTTAGCTTGCCCAGTTCAAACAATTTGGCTGGTCATGGTGCGAAACTCCGGTAGCAGGGCTACGAGACAACGACATTGTTATCTCACCAAGTGAGCCTAGAACAAGATGGGGTTGCGAAGAAGATTCGTCTGTTTCACCACTGCTGACGATACGCGAAACCCATTTTTCGCTGTACCGCAAAAATCTCGTTGGTATCGTGTATTATCGTGTCCTACCATCCGTTACCTTTCTGGTCGCAGCTATTACCGCAAGCACCATACTATCGATTATATCGATTCTGCCAATTACTTGCTACATGAGACATATCATACTAGGTTAGGTATGTAAATGCGGTTCTTGTGCAAGTGTACTGAATACAGCCACCAAAAAATACCTATCTACCTGGTACCTAACCTAAGTCCTTGTCGCATTAAAACCAAGTCTTGATGTTCAGCCCCTGAGCGGAGATCTGTGTGCTTTAACGAAGTAACATCACTTGTCATGTCCTTGTCCTATCTCCCTGTTCCCTCAAACCCATGATCTAAAGTGGATCTGATGGTATATCGACTCCTTACTATGCGCATTCCTCTCTATCTTGCACCATCCCGTATTCAACCTCACAACCCTTGGTTTAAGGCTGGAGTCATAGTGTAGATCCTCCCGCGCTCCTACTACTTAAAACTTCGTCGGACCGTACCTCATCAGTGTTCCTTCTTCCTCCAGACTCCTCTGTAGTGTCTGCTTCTTGCATCATTCCTCCTCTAAGACCCAACCGCCCAACAAGTATTGCTTGTTTTGTTCTATTCACGATTCTTACTAGAATAGATCGTCCCATCTTTTTTATTTTTATTTTTTGAACCAAAGCCGGCTTTGAGCCCTTCATTCACTTGTTACGTTCTTCAAACTCACAGGCTGAGCCTCATTTTTACGCGTTTGTGATCACCAAGCCAAGCCTCACGACGGAATATCCGAACCCATTTCAAACGATTCAGATCCCAATTTATCAATCAAAACAAATCACCAGTAAAGATGCAGTCACGATTCCAGACCATCCGATCCCGCTTTACCCCTAGCGGTATCCGAACATCTTTCCGCCGCTCCTCCACGGCATCCACCACTTCCACAAGCTCGTACCAGTCTGACAGCTCGAGCTCCTCATCGCCAGTGAGCACAATCAACGCTGTGTTATTCAGACAACCGTCAATTGCAGACCTAGAAGAAGAGAAGCGGAGCTCCGGGCCTGAGTTAAACATCCTCGAGCCCAGACCCATCGTTTACTGGGGCGGCGTTGAAGAGCGAATGGGATCCCTAAACTTCTGAACATAAGCTTATGACAAACACCTTCCTCCAACTTTAGGGGTCGAGGGGGTTTTCAAGCTTTTTTATTTTTTATTCTTTTTTGCCGAACAATTATTTTAGACCTTGACGGCCAGATGAGATGCGCAACTTAATCATATTTTAAAAAATGGGGACCCCTGGAGGCGTTTCGCTGATGACCTTAGGTCATGCACGATGTGATGGGACAGGGCTTATTGACTGAGTACGTTTCCCCAACGATTACGGGACACGACAAGACAGAACTTGAAAAGATATCACGCAATTCGCGGAGCACACGGGAGGCGATGGGACGGAATTGGGGTTTAATGGCGCCCCAGGATGGGTTTATTCGGAGTTATATAACTGACCTACTGCTCTCGTCGATAAGGCAGTTTTTAGAGATTTTTTTTTTCCAAGATATTTACGAGGAAATGAATAAGAAGAAGCTTGCTCAAGCAAGTTGAAATTTCTCCAAATTACATATGCTTGTCTGAATTGTTTGATCTGTTTATGAGCTTTGCGACGTTAATATCCTTATGTTTCCCGGTCCTATATATAAGACAAACATAGATCCTTCGTTGTTTGTGAATTGGAATATACCTACACTTTGACTAAAGTTTATTGATCAATTATAAAAAAAAGCCTTGTTTATCCTATGCTATCGGCTTTGAAGATTGATCAAAGTAAAGTACTACACTATGCTTTTCATAATATACCTCCTATGCAATAGAATAAGAAGCAGACCAGGTGTTATCCCGGTTGGGGACCCCGCTAAGAAGATAACATCATCGGTCAAGGTTATGGCATTCGCCAATGATATACATCTCCTCTCGGCCTGACTCACCCATTAGCCAATTCATTGTAACCCAAAAGTAAAACACTTGCATAGCTGATACATAGCTTATAGCTGTTGTCCAGCAGAGTACCTAATGGTTTAGTATAATATTTTAATAATATAATACCTTGGTCGCTGTTCGCTTCCACGCTCAAGTCAAACTGTCTAAACTAAAACTCACTCTCACGACCAAGTGCGAAATGGATAGCGACACCAGCACTGAGAGCAGTTTCGAGCTACCCGACGAGGGATCCCACCAAGGCGGAAATGGCGGCGTCCCTCCGAATGGCCTCACCCGGGCACAAGCTCTGAATCTATACGTCAGCCATGCCTTTTCGACATGGAATGCTCGTGGTTATGAATTTGCCGCAGTACGTCGCCCCGGAAGAAGCGATTAGATGAAATAACTTCTCATTACCTCACCATCTTATCAGGTCCTTTTCACGGCGGCTGCATATCCTGATACCCTTGTAGCAGCGGCGCTACGGCAAGTCTGATCGGCTGTGCTGAATCTCTGGTAGCTCATTGTTAACACAAGCTTGCAGCATGATCATAGTTTATTTTGCCATGATCCTGTTCTCCAGCTCGGTTGGACGATGGGTGCAGAAGTCTCCCAGTAGACTCCGCACCTTACTCTCTACCATCATCTGCAACCGCGGCTCGGTGATTCTCGGCTCCTTTTTCTGGATCTTGATATTGAGCCAAGAGGACCTGGTAGGACACGAAACCAGGTTTGTGTTGCCCACGAACGCCGTCCTTAAGGGTATAGGATTCGCCATCGCGGTGACGTTCGGTATTGTCGAACGCTTAAGTGCGTCCGGTAATCTCATCTCTATGGAGCGAGATTGGGTCGTTTCTATTGCTGCCCCGACCGGTAACCCTTACGATTTAACTCACCTTAACGCCGTTATGAGAAGGATCGACCTTGTCTGCAAATTAATCTCGCCTATTTTAATTTCAGTTGTCATCTCCATCCTCGGGTCTATCCGCCTCGGTGTAGTATTCACGGCACTTACTAGCCTAATTAGCATTCCAATCGAGGTCTTCTCCGCGAAGCGAGTGTGGAATAGCAGTCATTTGCTACAAGCACCACGTACCGTACCAGCCTCACGTCCAGAGGCAGCAACGCAAGAGACATCAAGATCATGGATATCGAAGACTCGGCAGTACTTTCACGGCTTCGAAATGTATTTTAGCACGTCCGTCTGGATCCCGTCTGTTGCTTTAGCGCTTCTACATTTCAATATGCTGACCTGGAGAGCCACCTTTATCACATATTTAATCAACATAGGTTACTCGCTCAATGCAATTACAATCGCCAGGGCTATAGGTTCCGTATTCGAGATAAGCAGCACAGTCATTACCCCCCGAGGCATCGAGTACATGGGCAAGACGCACCATCACGCTTCTACCTACCCCGCAGACGAAGACGACGAGTCAGGAGCTCGCTTGATTACTGGCGAGCAGGATGGAAACCAAGATATTCAAACCATGATAGGGTTGCAGCGGTTTGGGCTCTGGGGTATAAGTTGGCAAATCATAAATACAGTATGTCACTAGTCTTGTGTGATTCTATTGATTCTTTCTGTCTGAATGCCTACTTACGAATTTTGAAGGTACCGGTTGTGCTAGCGCTATGGGCAATCTCGGAACAGCAAGATGGGGCAAGCAACCTCATTGCTATTGCTCGGAGGATTATTGGTGAAAAGGTTCCGCCTAATGCAGCTTGGAGTGTCGTATTGTTCTCATTCTTAGCTTTCTCACGGCTAGGAGTATGGGTTTTCGACCTCACAACCCAGCAACTTACACAAACACTTGTCCCGGAACACCAACGGTCAAGCTTTGCAGGTACGGAGAACTCTGTCGTAAATATATTCGAGCTCCTCGGCGCCGGTGCGGCTATAGCTTTCCCACGTACGGAGCAGTACAAATGGCTAGCATTCGCGAGCTTGGTCTCCGTACTAATCAGCTGGGTAATGTATGCCGGCTGGGTTCGTCGCCAGAGGGGCCACCTAATTCATTGGGAGAAGCTAACTCAGGGCCTATGTGTGAATGAACGGGGCCGGTGAATAGCTGAGGGGTAAATGGGAGAGGATTCACTCGGTATGCCATTAAGAACCTTCCCACCGTTACCTAAGTCTGGTCCTAACGACTAAGCACCTCTCGTGGTTAAGCTCTACGATAGGCCGCGATCCTTTTCTTCCCTAACAACCTACATATCGTTGCCTTAACTAAAGACTTACTCCATTAACTATTTTCAGTCATTCTTACCTCGCCCCGTGTTTTATAATTCGACAAATCTCTTTCTCGGTTATCACTTATGAACTATATAGTTATCAGGCCTAATCTCCAACGTACTGTACTCTTCTACAATGTTGCATACTTTTCACTCGCAACTATTCTCTCAGGCATCAACAGTACCCATCCTACTACCATGCTCTCTTGAGCCTTCACTATTAAATTATCAGTACCGACCAGAATTATCTTCACTTAATTCCGACTTACAAAAAGCTACTTACAAAAAGCTACTCTCTACCATGTCTTTTACACCGAGAACACCCTCTCCTAAGCCGCAGCGCCCACGCACTGCTCATTATCGGCGCCACTCCGTGGAATCCCCGATCACCGTGAAGCAATGCATGTCAGGACCGGAATTAGCATCCGCCGATCGTCGTGCCCAGCTCATAAAGCAGCCATCGCCATTCGATTCCCCAACATTCGCCTTCCAAAGCACATCCGCCAAGGAGCACGAATTTAGGCAATTCTTAATACGGACGTCAAATCTCGTTCCTATCGAGTGTCCCCTTGACCGGCTTTCTTCATACGGTAGCCCGTGTCCCATGTTCCCCAAGACCCTCTCAAATTCTAAAAATACCGATGGCGAAATCGACGAGCCGTACGAGCCGTTCCATTTCAAAAATAGCAAGCGGTTCCTCGCTTTTGAACTATACAAGCTCTCACGCGCTGAAGATCTGCACTGCGAGCCTAATTTTCTCAGCCATGGTAACGAAATTATTCCACAAAAACGAAGCACGGTTATGGACACAGACAAGGACGGGGAAAGTAGCGGGAACCATTGGCGTTCCTGGCGGGAAATGGTTGGCATTGTGGACGGAGACGCTACGGGGGAAGAACATGTGAAAAAACGGGCGAAACTGTGCAATCCGGATACTGCTACCAATGACGGCCTTGTCGCCTCCCAGCAGCTTCCCTGCCTGCGAGTACATCAACTTTGCGCTGCCCGCTACGGAGAAGATTCAGGCTCGAGTTGAAAGAGTGCGGCGGGATGAGATCTAGTCACACCACGGATCACGAAGACGGAGAGTAGTATGCATAGTATGCTCAATACCTACCTAGATCCCATATACACATACTCGGCTAGCAGGTGACCGTTCAGAATGCTCGAGTCCTGTAATAACTATTAGCAAGATTGGCGACTTTGGCCTACTATGAGCAGATGACTACATACATTTATTTTTTGCGCCCTCGAAATTTGTGCCATAGCCCCGACAAAGCTTCTTAATATAATCAGCCCCTTACTTCCGCTACAGGAATCTTGCGCGCCTACAGCCCCTATCATGCGTACTACAAGTATGCCTTAGTACCTAAGGTAATTAGCTCATAAGGCAATACCAATGGAGGTATCCTACACTGGTGTTTGCACTTTTCTGGTATATGGACCAGTTAAGTTATTAGAATCACTCACTTTATCTCCTTTCTAGGTAAAGTGCCTGGTGCATTAAATTTGTTTGTATCCTTTTCTTGTGCAAACCTCGTGACTCGCCGTATTCATTCGTACCTTACTTGTGTGTGTATCGGCCACTTGGGTTCTTTGCAGTTCTTTCTTACTGTTGCCTTTTTCGCGCCGCGGTCGCGTCCTACTTATTCGCGTTTTGTTCCTTCTTTCCTACAATCTTTTCAACTTTTCGACCGTTCTACCTGATTCGCACCCCTTCTACAGATATTCGATATTCCAAACTTATTAGTTACATCGAATTATTTAGTATTGTCGCGTTGCAAGGTTTCGCCTTTGGATTTCTCCTCTCCTCCCCCACATCAATCTCAAATAAGTATTATATCTCCTTTTCTCCTACAACAGGTATACCACTAAGATATATCTTACGGGTTCTCTCGTGGTTTACCTTTGATACACTTTTATGTAAACATTAGGCACTTACTCTAACCATCCGTCATCATGTATCCTCCTCCACGAACCCCCTCCCCCAAGCCTGAGAGTCCGTTAGAGATCCCAAGTTACATCACTCAGCTCCGTGCCCTTTCTTTGGATGACAACGATGAAGAATTTGATCATGGAAACCTAGAGCCGGCCTCACCTGCCAGCCGTGCTCTACTGAGTCGCCACTACGAGGGAATCCGAATTCGAGGTGACAACAGTCCTCATCGCCATGAAGAACTCTCGCCTTTCGACTCGCCTACAGCCACCTCTGGAAACAGTTCTGCTTTCCCGGGATGCCTTGAGCAGGAGCAAACGGGATCTACTTATCCCTTTAGTTTCATACCCACCATCCGTATCACGTCGCCCGCGTCGCCCTCTCCCCCTAAGCGTGGTGGAAGTCGTCGGTCTCACCTCAACTCGATCCTTCCTTACAACAATTCCATGGATGCCCGCAATGAGGACCCAGCACGACGAGTCCTGGAAAATGAGTTCTACGATCTTGAATCCGTCGACTCCGCTACGGGCCATACTCACAGCCTCAATAACCCGTTGGGTACCCAAATCCCGGGTAGAGATACCTCACAAGAACACACGCGCAGTTTTACTGAGAATCGAAATGTGCGTCTCTATGGCGATGCTAAGATCCGCCATGACAATCCAAGTGGTAATGAATCGGTTGCCCGTTCAAAGGAGTGGAGCAAGGGTGGTCAAAGCCCAGTCCGTCAGGAGCAACTCAACGAGCGTACAGAGAAGATATCCCCAAGCCCTGGAAATGGCGGTTTCGTCAACTATAAGTACCCTCGTTACCCACCGCTTGTTCACCCTTTGCGAGCTCACCCTGTGAGCCTTCCGCCTGGAGCCCCTCCGCAGCATAGCGCCAGAGACGAAGATGAACCAAAATAGGCAATCTCGAGAACATCTCGAGCACGGGAACGATGGCCACTTGAACTCAATTTGGATGCCAAGTAAATAGGGTGAGTTGCTAAACCTGATATTATTGACCATTGTGTATACTAACGACCTCAGGATTACCCTAGCTCCAGCCACCCAGCCTCTGCAGAAGGACATGGCTTGTACCATTCTAGCTTTAAATGAGTTATCGAGCTTCCTATGTAGCAGGCCAGCAGGCATGTTAGTATAGTATACTAGCCTTAGGTACCCAGCTTAGGTAGGCACTGGGGTAGAGTCTGAGGGGTTTGCTAGATGAGATGAGATGAGATAGGATGACATGCCGGAAACCGGCTTCCATGGACCCGTCTTCTAACAGTTAGGTAATTACCCAGATAGGAGATAATACTCATGATACGGACCTGTTTCGGGTCTACGCATATGAATGAATGACAAACCAGTTACCGCGTCCCCCAACCACCATACTATATTTCGTAACACCCCCCTTTTTTCACTATATATATAAGGTACCTTATACGATATTTATTTCTATGCATGATACTTGCGAATTATCGTATCATTATTTCTAAAACCCCAGGTCAGGTTGCGAACCACGCGAATTTTCGGTATTTCTTTGACGTAGCTACTAGCGCACTTACACACTAGGCAACCTTTCCTATAAAACAAGCCGCCCCGAGGTTGCTTAGTAGATTTGTTTGCTTCACGTGCGGACCAGCTACGAAGAACGCGCCTAGGTGATATACGGGTCTGTTATGACGACCGGCGGCGCTGCCCACCATTCTAACCTCCTACGGGATTTGTATCAATATCTGGCCTTCCCCACATCTCTCTAGCTTTCCTCTCTTCTTTTCTTCCCACCAGAAACAACTTTTTTCTTGGACTTCCGAATCTTCTCTATCTCAATCGATACGGATCATCCGTCAGAATCCAAGAACCGATTTATCTATATCGGCCCCTAGAGAGTACAAGGACATCTATTAAGATGCCTTCTATTATAAGGACCCACCCGCCGCCGCCTCCCTCACCTGACTCCCAGCTAAATGCCTTTCAAACTCGTTTAAGTAAAGAAGACGGCTTCTCTCTCGCGGTGGCTCATGAAATGGACGATAGACGCAAGCTCGGATTTACATCGCTTTCCGGCGATGGAATACCTAGGGACTACTACAGTGGTATTATCCTACGACCGGGCTGCCCATCGTCATTCGACTCACCGACATCAAATCGCATGAGCACCACTGCAGGCAAAGATGCTGAATGGCAAGAGCTATTCATGGACAACTTCACAACGGCGTATCCGCCAATCAAGCCCATAATGGCGCAAGGCTCACCCACTCGCTCCTCTCGCAAAGGTCCGGGTCGTGGCATCGGCCCGCTGCCTTTCTACAAAGAGACCCTGCCGCTCAAAAGCAAAGATGGAAAGGACCCGGTTCGTCGATTTCTTGCCGACGAATTGTACAAACTGGCCGACCGCGAGGAAAGCCACCAGAGCGACTCTAACTCTGTACCGGTCCTGGAAATCATCAATGCAGGCTCTTGGTCACGTTTCCCAAAGAGAAAAGCAGCTCGTGCTCTCTGGGACAGCGACTCGGAAATCGAAACAATCATAGAGGATCAAAGCGAGGGGAGCCGAAGCCCGGGGCTTACCCATACCACGGGTGAAGGTCACATGGTCGAAGACACACCTGCTTCGATCAAGCATCCTGCAAAGAGAGTTAAGCTTGATCCGGACTCCTGGTCTGTGGGATTCGAAAGCCACAACGAGGCTATCGATCCGCATGCCGAGTCGGTGTATAATACTGGGAGGTACCTAGTGGAGACGACCTGGACTGGGACCTTCCGAGCCTAAAATTGGGTTCGTGATTGTGCCACTCCGATACATAGGTCATCTGGGGAATGACTTAAATCGTGAAAAACCCGCTTTTGAACGTGCGTCTGTAAGTTCCTCCTACAAAAACATCGCGTTGTCTAGGTATACATGCTAACATCTATACTCCAGGCTTGGTTTTCGTAGTTCTTGAGCTTTGACAGTTCCTTGTGCGAATGTCCATTGAGACACGCAAGTACAGCAGACACCCAACGTGACAGTATATGGCATAAATTGCCTACCTGAACATACAATTTGGAGGAATATTGGTTGCCGTTGAAGAGTCTGCTTATGTGTCGTTGGGGGGAGGGTTGGGGAAGAGGGAAAGAAAAGCCGCAAAATGTTGCTTTCTTGGTTGTACGAGATATAATGACGGGACTCTGCTGAAATATATAACCCCCAATTATCTGTGTTGCACTTCGGCGATGTAGACCTTGGTCGTTGCTGTGATCACGTGATATGGGCTACCCCTGAATGACAGCGTTTACTAGCTCAATGCTTGTAGGATGTACTACGATAGAAGATCTGATGAGTTAGACGTGTGCTTTTATTCATCTCATATTATGGTATCAGTCACCTTGCTAATATCTCATTGCCCCGGAAAAGAGTCGAGACTTCAGATAATTTAGTTAGATGACAGGTACCCATGAAACACCATTACATTCATCTGAAAAAAGTAGCAATGTGTCATAGAGACTAGAGGAGTGGCTATCGCAGTAAGGCATGACTCTTATTTTAAGATGGTGACTATGATATCATCATATATAATTTTCAAACATCATGCTCATTAATATATATACAAGCCTTCTCCTACTTGCGGCCCCAAGGCTTGCCAATATTCCTACTTGCTCAGGTAACAGTATGATCTCATGGCATCTGGCTTTACACAATAATAAAGCATTACCGGAACTACCTACACTTAGGTATACATGTATGTTATTATCACTAGACCGGCACCATGCCTGAAGTACCTGTATCTGCCGCCGACACTAGCATCAACGCCAACGGTGCCCACGATAACGCCAGTCCTACCAGCGCAGCCCCCGAACCCGATAACACACAGCCGGATGGTCCCGGGCCTAGCAGCGACGGCGCAGAACCAGCACCTGAGACTCCCTTAGAGAGCAACATCCAGCCCTCAAACCCACCCCCCGAGGTCGCCGACCCAGAGACTCCAGAACCACCCCCAGCCCCAGCCCCAACCTCCGAAGCATTCGAGGGCCCTCCATCTCCCCCACCAAACGCCGAACCCGCAACTCCCCAATCAAAAGACCCCGAGTTGGCATTAGACCAACCCCTGCCCCTAACCTACTGGCTCCTCGCCGGCGGCACCGGCCCGCCGCCCACGACAGGGAAATTCCTACGCATGACGAGCGAACGCAACGCCGTCTCCCTGGAGGCGGAAGCACGAGCAGCTGCTCGAAAGCAGGCGCGCGAGGAGCGCAAAGCGTATCTCGCCGCTTGGGACAAAGAATGGGGACCCGGGGGCGTTAGGGGGTTGCTAGCGAGGGCGTTTGGGAGCAAGAAGAGCAAGGCTCGGATACCCACTTAAGACAGATAAGTACCTAAGGTACCTAGAAAATTAAAACAAATAGCTCGTTTGGGTTTGTAATGCGAAAGGTTTCATTAAGAAAGAGGTAGTAGTATTAGTAGTAGAGGCAAATTATCAAGATAGAAGAATGCTTTTTTCGCAAGCCCGATCCGATCTACTGACCCCGAATCCCCCCTGGTTAAAATAGCACAAAGAAACATAATCCACGTCCACAATTTAGGTTGGAGGTAGGTATCAGTAAACATTATAGTCACATAGAAGCGATTCTCACTTGGGCAAACATAAACATCACGGTGAAAAGTCTTGGGAAAAACAAGTATTGATCTGAACCTTAATGAAAAACCTCGACTAATGCAACGCAAATCTCACTGCCTGCCCCCCCAGCCATTGGTCCCTGGTCTAGTCCGAACTAGTTAACAGTAATATGTACACCTTGAGAGAAATCTTCTCTCCAAACTGCCTATCGACAGCCAACTCCGGATGGCCATCCGTCAAAACTTCTAGGAAGAGTAGCAGGCTGAGTTGGCAAGGCCTCGTCGATAGAGACAGCATTGAGCTCGTGAATAACCGAGCAGAGCATTATGGTTTCCGCTGAGAAAGCGGTAGTGACCGGAAAAAATTCGTAAGATACGCAAAACGCCACCAGCGCTAGACGCCCGCCTGAGACTTTTTACCGTGACGTGGTGTGCCTAGCACACAATATGAGAAACATGCAACCAATGCGTCAACTTAGCTGCAAGCTACCGTAGCCCGAGGGTTCTGGTATAATGAAAAGACTTCCATGCAGCCGTCTGGAAGTGAATTTTTTCATGGGTATGAAAATTGGACGCCGAAATAAGAAAAACGACCATCAGCTCAGGTGGTAGGAACCGTAATCAAGATTATGAGAGTCATCGGCCGAACGTCATGCAAGCTGGTATCGTAAGGCCATCATCCAATGAGTCCCTGAGTATCCTGACACTCAGTAAGGCCCTTAACGTAGAAATATCATATTGAGGTTGAATGGTATGTATTAATAATCTTCTTCCTCTTCTGGCTCAGGTTCAGGTTCCAGTGACGAAAGGTCATCCACGGACAATTTTGTGTCTGTGATACCAAAGATAGGTGCGTTCTTCCTAGCCCATTGGCGAGTAATCAAGGATGCTATGGACCGTTAGTCACCTAATATTGAAAAATAGTATAGTCGATCGCCACATACCTTTCATGAACTTTTTGCTGGCGTACTTCTTGTAGAAGGCTTCGTGGCAGATAGGGCGAGCTAGATAGTCAACCATAAGCTCAAACACGGGTTCTATCTCTTCTTCCGTGTATCCGGCATAGAAAGCAATGGTGGGATCCTAAAAGACGTTAGAACACAATGCAAAGCGCATTATGGCAATGTGACCACTTACCCATTCGCCACGGTCAAGGATCATTCGGGCGAGATACATGGCAGCGGCAGCAATGTGGCTAGGTCGGTACGCCAGGAATCGGTAGTCAACGATGCTGATCTCCATTAGGAACTTTCCAATGGTTCGACATTGTATATCATAGTCATCTGCCTTCGAGATCCGTCGAAGGAAGTTCATCGGGTTGGGATAGCTGAGATCGTAGTTCAACGTTTCTAAGATGAATCGTTCTGCACTAAGGATCTCGGCGTCACTAAAGCCGTCATCGGATACCATTCTATAGTTGCTAACGTGAGGTGATAGCACCTCCTCATACTTGGCTGCAATAAACATTGCTGTAATGCCGACAAGCTGGACGCGGTCTAATTGGACGACCTTCTGAGATAGAAATCGATCGATGATGTTGATAGCAAGGAAAAGGGTCTCAGGAAGAAGATGGAATCGAGTGTGGACCTCGATCATCCAGTCGACTAAAATACTTCGCGTCTTCCACTCCAGCTCGTCCTGGTGTACTATGTACTGAGGGTTAGGCACCGACCTAGACTCCAGGTCTCGGAGATATTCGAAGATTTCGTGGGCATATTCAGCCACCATCACAGGGTCGTCTAGACCTTCTTCCTCCAAATCCTTCACACCCTCAGGAAGTGAAAAGCCAATCTCCGACTTGACGGGGGCCTGCTCCTTCCGAGACGGCTTCTGGGCTGCTGTTTCTGGTTTCGGCAATTTGGATGCGGGGCGTTCGAGCTTCGCGGGTTCGGGGCCGGCAGTGTTGACCTTCTTGCGAACTGGCTCCTCCAAGAGGACATCTTGCTTGATTGTCGTCGATGTGACTTTTCTCTTGTGAGCAGTACCGAGAGCACCAGAACCAGATCCTGCTCGCTTCACCTCGGGCTTCTTGGCTTCCTTGGCCGCTAAAGCAGATCGAGTTGAAGTGGCACGGGAAGTAGCCTTCTGAACTCCAGTAGGTTGTGCAGCCTTGGAGACTAGGCCAACTTTGCTAGCTGTTTTCTTTCCCTCAGCCGCCTCCCCTTTTCCGACGTTGCTGACATCACCAAGGGCGGCGCGCTTTCTCTGTGCCGTGGGGTTTGCGTTGATCGCAGACTTCTTGGACTGAAGTGCCTGCTTGGCAGGTTGGGATGAGACATCGATGTCGAGGGCCGCAGCCTTCGCACGCGTCATACGCGTCGCATTTGCAGTTGCATTTTCATCATTCTCATTAGCAGCAACACGGGTTTTGATAGTGCGTCCCTAAAGCTAGGTTAGCTCGTGTCAAAGAACGCGATGTGAAGCTGATTTCGAGATAGAAATCGCGTCCGGAGAGGAAGTCGGTGAAGAAATTAGGCTTACCGGAGGCATCTTGTAGATTGGTGAAATTGTTTGATGTGGAAACCACAATTAATTCTAACTGGGATCTAAAAGAGTAGAATGGGTTAGCTATGTTTTTAAACGCATGTACATATAATGGAGGGTGGGTGGATATATGTAGGGAATGCATCAGAGATGCCGGCTCAAGCAAGCAAGCGCGTACTACCGCCTGTAGAATCGATGCGATGTTATGCCGACAAAACAAATAGCAAAGGCCAGCAAGTCATGAGTAAGGTAAGAAAAAGACAATTCATACAAGTCAATTGATGGTTGAGAGGTTAATAGTGAGAATGTTTTGTCGGCAAGCTCAAAATCAAACCAAGCGCTGAAAGATGCAAATGCAGATGCAATCGACGAAAGACGCGATGCTTGTGGAAGATGTTCGCGAGACGTGATTGGGGGGAGTAAGGTTGTAAGAGTAAAGCGTAGTGGAGTAATGAAGGATAGGAAGGGAAAAAAAAAAAAAACAGAGGCAAGCTGAGTTTTTGCTGAAAAAGAAAGGTATGTAAGGTGGATGGTTCAATGTTGACGGTGAGTAGAGAAATAGTGATGTTTTTGAAGAGTTTGGCCAATGTTTGGCTTTTGGGTGGGTTTCGAAAGCAAAAGCGTGGTGGAGGTACAAAAGTTACGGGACTTTGACGTGAGGGATGTTTGTACTGGTACGTACCTAACAGATAACACGGTCCGCTAGCGCGAATTGAATTTGGGGGGGTTCTCAAGGCAGTTTTTTTTAGGGCACAACACCCCTGTTCAGAGAGCAGAGCTTGTTGTTCCTAGGTTAGGGCCTGAGGTGGTCCTGGATACTTCCTGTCCTCAACGCAAGTAACTGAGAAATATACCTAATTCTGGCGTATGAGCACACGCACACGCGCAATTTGGCTCAAGCTACCAGATGGTCGATGTTGATTGACTAAATGGTATATTGAAGAGGCTATTGTTCTTGAAAGTGAAACTAGCGAACGAAGGTCTGAAAATGGTACTTAAGGGAGGAAGAATGGTTCAGAATGATCTTCTCAATTGGATGTTTGGGGAATGGAAGATGGTAAGTAAAGTGACAATGAGCAGGTTAAGTAAATTCGTGAAAGAGAGAGAGGCTGGTAGTGGTTAAAGAACTGCGGGAGCTCCATCACTTGCAAGACGCGATCTAAAAGGATCTTACACGGTACAAAAATACATAATACTGGGTCCTTCCACCAGGCGACGGCTGTTGCGATCGTTACGGGACCCGCACTTGCTCTTTTTCTCCTTGGATACGTGACTGACCCCACATGTCCGCTTCAATCAACAGAAGCAACGGAGGGGCAACGGCCCCTTCATTGGCCCAGCTCCTCCCGACCAAGAGGATTCACTTCTTTCCAACCAATCCGCTGACGTGATCCCGTGTTTGCAAGGATTCTGTACCTGACTTTGTTACTTACATACATAGTAAGTGCAGCAACTCACGGTAAGATGTGGCTGAACCTAGCTTAGGTACCTGGTTATGTAAGGTGAATGGGCTTGAAAAAAAAAAAAAAAAAAAAAGGTACATTAGTTTCGTACATAGGTAAACTCGCTAACGCCTCAGCCTCAATACTGGAAAAAGGTCGGCTGATCAGCCATTAAATTGACTAAAATTCAATTTAGCTATTCCATGGTGCCAAGCCTTTTGGTCCTTGACCTCGGAAGAATTTGAATTCAAGAATAGCTTCAATTTTTGAATTTCCCTTCCCAACCCATACCCTCCAAGGCGACATATATGCTACCGCTGGCTGTGAGATGAAATAATGCTACAGCCGCGGATACTGTCCGTTCAAGCCCGGACGGTGCTGGCTGGGCGCCAATGCTCCCGCGGCCTGCTCCTCCGAGCCTATGCGACAATTCGCCAGGCTGCACATCCCCCGAATCCCAAGAACGACTATCTACCTAGGGTCCCTAAGAATGAGGAGGCACCCCCTAAAACCGCAAGACAACCAGCGCCCTCCGGGCTCAAATCTGGAAAGGAGTCGACATTAATTCTACGTACATATAAACCTAGGACCCCTGGTGTACGACATCTTAAGCGACCTATCAACGATCACTTATGGAAAGGCAGGCCATTTCTCCCGTTAACTTTCCCCAAGAAGGGTATGGGGAAGGGTGGCCGTAACAATAATGGGCGTATCACGGTCCGGCACCGTGGTGGTGGCCACAAGCGGAGGATAAGGACAGTGGATTTCCACCGCTGGCTTCCCGGCCCCCACCTCGTCGAACGAATTGAGTACGATCCGAACCGTAGCGCACACATCGCACTGCTCACGGAGGAAGCCACCGGAAAGAAGACCTACATCATAGCAGCCGAGGGTATGAGGGCTGGAGATGTAGTGCAAAGTTATCGATCTGGTATTCCCCAGGACCTTCTCGAAAGTATGGGTGGTGTCATCGATCCGGGTATTCTAGCTGCTAAGACGGCACATCGTGGAAACTGCTTGCCGTTACACCTTATTCCCGTTGGAACTCCAGTGTACAACGTCGGTTCTCACCCAAAGGGTGGTGCTGTCTTCTGCCGAAGTGCAGGAACCTTTGCCGTTGTCGAGAGTAAGGATGAAGAGGTAAGGGATGATGGTGTTAAAGTTGTGACGGGCAAATACGTTACCGTTAGGCTACAGAGTGGAGAGATCAGGAGAGTCAGCAAAGATGCATGTGCCACTATAGGTGTCTCGAGTAACCCTCACCACCATTACCGACAGCTTGGTAAGGCTGGTAGGAGCCGATGGTTGAACATCAGGCCTACAGTACGTGGTGTGGCTATGAACAAAGGTAGGCCGAATGCGCGTTCAGATCAATGTCAAATACGATATTAACTATCTGTCTCTAGTGGATCATCCTCACGGTGGTGGTCGTGGTAAATCCAAGGGTAACCGACATCCAACAAGTCCTTGGGGTACACCGGTATGTCTCGCTACTATTCCACGGAGAAGCTTAGCATTCGAATACTAACTCATGATCATAGTCGAAAGGTGGTTACAAGACACGTAGGAAGAACAATCCTAACAAGTGGGTTGTGGTCCCTCGGGCGCGGAACATGGGCAAGAGGAGAGACAAGAAGGGCAAAGAATCATAGAAATGTCTTTCTTCGAGCGAGCCCCATACACTCTGTCTATATGTACCACCTACAGTCTCAGCAGAGAGAGCGAGACTTATGTATTGAAGTGTACTATATCAACCGAGTCGTCATGCAACTCTAGCTATCAATAGCTAGGCATCTTTCTAATATTGTGCCTTCTCAACAGGTAAGTGGCTTGAATGCAACCTGCAATGAGACGCGCCACCCATTTTTCCCTCTCCGATAGGCCAGCCTCCCTTCTATCATATAGCCTAAATGCGTGTGGTGAGGCAGTGAGTGCGTAGCTTATTACGCTCCAGCACCGTCGAATAGGAAATTTACGCCTTGACACGTCAGAGTAGTACTCTTGCTCTAAGCCGCCAAAGTACTTGGGCAACCTTACTTTGACGTATCTTAAGCATCTGCAACCCCTAGATTCAATAAGGTAATCCGAAGCAACAACGATTATAGCGGAGACCAGTTGCTATCTACAGGTTTCATGTAAGAGGGGTGTAAATAAAATACGAGCCTAAGTTAAAAGCTAGGTACCTAACCTATCCTAACCTACCTAGGCTAGGTAAGTAGGAGGTAGGTAGCCGGAATTGCGATTCTCCTCCTCACATCTCTTAATACTCCCGCGAACACGAATTCATCGGTCTATCACGTTTATTAGAGAGTATCTCTAATCTCTAATAAGAAATACTTTTACGTGAGTGGAGCACCTCGTCGACCATCCGATCAAGACCTAAGAGCTTATAGTTGTTGTTTATTCAACATGGATGTAAACAAAACATGACATGGGTTTTATGGACCACCCCCTTACCCCTCTTTGGTCTAAACTAAAGCCTTGCCAATATACATTATGCGCCCCCTACTATTGACTGTTGAGAATTACTAATATAGAGAGATGTTCTAACCTTGGTAGGAGGGCCTACCTAGGGATCTCTACCAAAGCATATCTATAGGTACATAGATACGCTTTGGTTTTGTGGAAAATAATATCCAAGTTCCATATCCCGAGCCTGTGCCCCAAAACATAGGTACACACCCACCCGGGGTGACAGACGACCAGCAAGCTACATATCCCCCCTACGAAACCTGCCTATACCAGTTCTGCACCGGATCCCCAAGGCAATCGCCCACCGTCACAGCCTTGTACCCGCGGCTCTGGATGCCCTTGAGCATGTACTCGGTGAGGTTGTGAACGGTCTGCTCGTGGATGTCGTGGGAGATGACGAGGGCGTCGTCCTCGTCGGGGGACAGCCCCACGAAAAACTGGTCGAAGTTGTTCTTGGCGTTCTGGATCAGGGTCGGCGAGTCGTTGAGGTAGTCGGCGGTGTCGAGGTCGAAGTAGACGACGTGGTACCGCAGCGCCACCATGTCGTCCTCGCACCCGCTCGCCCGCGTGCACGAGCTGTACGGCGGCCGCATGTACGTCGGCATGAACCCCAGGATGTTCCGGAACGCCATCTCGTTCTTCACCATCTCGTCCCGCCGCCGCGCCGACGTGATCGCGCTCAGGTCCGCGTGCGACCACGTGTGCGACGCGATCTGGTGGTTGTCCGTGTGCATGCGCCTATACAACAAGAAAAAGAAAATAAAACGCGTTAGAAATCCAATCTGCGAACTAACTAGTATAATTGGTACGTGGTAGGCACTGCTAGTAAAACTCACTTGATGATAGACGGCCATGGAAGACTCGCGTTGTCGATCTCGCCCTTGCCGTTATTATTCCCGGTGATGAAAAACGTCGCTTTGGCGCTATACCGCGCCAGGAGGTCCAACAGCTCGGAGGTGTATTGGCCCGGCCCGTCGTCGAACGTCAGGGCCACGTCGCCTTCGCGCTGGCAGTCGTAGATCCCGCCGCCGCCGACCGCCACGCTCCCGAGGGGCGAGCGGGTCAGCGTCGACGTGTTGGTGCCGCTTGGGCTCTTGTTCGCGTCGCACGCCGGTCCGTAGTCGAAGAGGCAGTCCGGGGCGTTGCAGTAATCCGGAGTGGTACCGCAGTATCTATCCAGCGGGTGCATGAGCAGCTGTGACTCTTATATAGCTCTGAGGGAGATGGGATAGGATAGGATGGGATGAGCTGACCCAGAAGCGGAACAACATTCCGTCGCACCGCACATCTGATCGTCAAAGTCAGGTCCGCAGCGCCCATCAGTGGAACTTCCACCGTTCCCGCCGCCTCCCGGCGAACATGTCCCAAAAGCAGATTGACATCCAACACCGCAATAGTCAGTCGAGTTACCGCAGTATCCACTAGAGACGGACAAGTTTCAGTCTATAAAGTCTAAGAAGGAGAACATCATCATCCGAAATCAACTTACTACTGAGAACAACAGTCGCCAGTCGGGCAGATATACCCATGCTCTCCGGCCCCCGTATTTCCGCACGTCAGATCCGGCGAGGTACCTCCGTCGCCGCCATCTCCCCCGTCCCCATTCCCGTCGCCGCCGGACCCGCTACACAGGCCGAACTTCTCCTGGCAGCCGGCGGCGCAGTAGTTTGTGCTGTTGCCGCAGTAGCCGTACTGCGAGCAGCACAGGTTGTCAGAGCACGTGTAACCCTTGGTCCCAGCCCCCGTGTTCCCGCACGTCAGGTCGGGCGAGACATCGCGCAGGCTGAGCGGCAACGGCGGCGGGACCGCCACAAGGGCGAAGCCCACCGTAAGTAGGCTTGCGAGAACGAAAGACAGCGAATACATTTTGTTTTCCCCTTGCACTGGTTGTTGATCCCTTCAAGCGAGCGAATTCATAAACGAATGTAGGGTAGACAGGAGAAGCCCAGCGAGCGGTGCTGGATGTCAGACGAAAAACGGAAGAGGGGGTTGGGCAACGGGAAGATTTATAGAGGCGTGGGAAGTCGGCCGCTTATAGGGTATTTTACACGAGTGCGGCTGACCATTCAGGGCGGCGCCATAATCGGATGGTACTGGGGGCATAAACTCTCCTTCTCAGCTCTCTTTTTTCTCCTCCCCTCTCGGACGACGGCGGCGCGCCACAGGGCAACAGGGCGTCGGGAATTACGACGCGGGGACAATAAGCGAGGGGAAGGGAAGGGGATAGGAGAGGAGCAAGGGGGAAGGCATCCCGACGAGATGTGCGCCGCGTGTGGAAAGGAATTGGATCGATGGACTCATGCAATGCATACACACATACATACCTACATTAGTTAGGCGACTCGGGAAATTCGAACGAAAAAGTATGGCCTTCGTTATTCGTGGCTGCATGAGAGATACCATACGACGGACCATATAAAAAGTTTTACGCCAATGACGTTGCTCGGGGAGAGCTAGTCAAGCCCGTATTTCCCTCCAACGTTGAGCTGAGTGAGCAAAAGGAGTTTTCTCGAACCCATGATGTGATAGCGGATCTTGGAGTCTAGATCGCCAATGTGTGAGGCTCCCTTTTTTTTTTCTTCTCTCTCTTCCCCCAAGTCCACCAGATCGAACCTGATGTTGCGTAATCTAGGATGCATAATAGAAAAAGAAAAAGGAAAAACTTTTCATGTTCAGTAGGCTATCAACAAGAAGAAGTTATCTGTGTTCAACGGGAAGCTGTCACATTTCACAGCAACTATACAATAACCTCAAGTCCTTACGCGTTTTTGTAATGTCAACATAATTGTTTTTTTCTCCTTTCAGCTCCAACTTTCAGTAATGAAAACAGTACAGCTCCCAAAACGGGTGATTCATCTCGCAGGTTTACATCGATATTTCAGCACATCACAGCTGGCCGACCTGCAGGTTACATGCATGCTCGAGGACCGGGTTGGGCTATCTGCTGACTCTGCCAAGCCGTTGTTGCAGCCACCAAATACGAGATCACATTGTTTTCGTCTCTTTCTCCCCTCCTTCTCATGTAGTGCTACGCGGAAGTGATAGGTAAGGTTGGAATGATCTTCTCTAAAAGCCCCTATTGTTACCTTAGAAAATGAGCTCCGATCCAAGGTGTTGTAGGTATAAGTAAGGGTCCTATTTCCTGTTAGAACTTGATATTGATCATGACTGGAGAATGAGGTGAGATGATGTTTATCTATCTCCAATGATAATTTGTCGAAAGACATGCTTACGACTTTTTTTTAATTAAAGAATACGGATTATATCAAATAGGTATGGCCATTATATCGCATGACGTCCATCATATAATAGTTATGTCCGATCAATGAGTGAAGGGCGAATGGGCGAATGAGTTGGTAATAGCTTTGCTGGTCATACACATACATAGTGTGTATCTAATATATAGAGAGTGTGTATAAGACGGGACGCGAATGCGAGCAAATACCTACTGACAAAGATCATCATTTTCTACCGACACCTTCCAGCAAAGCCTTGATCAAACGTTATGTACGCAATTGGGGCTTTTACCCTAAAGCCAAGGCAACCACAATATCATTTATATTTATATTTACATTTAATTTACAATTGGTATTTGATATATATGACATATGTAAGCGATAGAATATGAGATGACGCCTCTCGATGACCGCGAGCTGCCGAAGCCAAAGGACTCCAAGAGTGGCAGTAGGAGTTATCCCTGTATAAAAGTCGAGCTCATAGGTTTATGAACCACTATATATGCTTATGTACCTCATATGTGCGGAATACATACATACATATTAAATAGGCGTACTAGTGCAAGTATAAGCCACGCGAACCACGTAATGAGATGCGACTTGTGTTATGTTATTTGCCCCTGTGTGTCTTAAGTACAATACAATACATTGGTGTTAAGACTCAGGAGGTAGGAGCTTAGGAGGTTTGGTACCTGTAACCTTAATTTCGTCAGGTTACCTTCACTTTATTAATTGCCGGTAGTCTGTACTATGTAGAGTTAAAATAACCTCCCGCGCCTTGTGTTACGCCCAGATACTATGGTATGATGTAATGGCTGTAACCGTTTGAATGGCGTACTATGTACATAGGTAGTTTATGCCTTGCGAAAAAAGTCAATTCATACCTGTAGATAAAATTTGTACAATTTCATACTCTAAGCGCGCTCCTATATGAATAGGACGAGCATAGCCTGCTTTGTCGCAGCGTACATCAGATTTTAGTGTGTCATTTTGTATGTACAATACTTAAACACTTAAACGGGCACCTATCGCATCTTGCTAATGTAAGACATAGGACCTTGTAAATCGAAAACCCCATCTATTTATTCACTTTAGGTCGATGCGATCTTTTTTGTTTGTTACACACGCCATTTTTCTCTCTCTCCCTCTCTCCTAGATCTTGATTTTCTTTAATTACCTATTTTTTTTTTAAAAAAAAAGAAAAAGAAAAAAAAGAATCTGTCTAAGACCCGAAGCAGCACAGGAGATGCGCATGTAAATCCTGCGTAACGAAGGAAACAATTTTATTGAGCAAGACTTCTTCTAATTTACACAAGGCACCACTCTTATGCTGCCACTTAACCGTACACTGCCACATCTCCATTGTTCGACCTTGGCTACCTACCTAGTCTAGAATCTAATAAGATATAAACCGGAGCCAAGGGTGTCCCAAAAGGCAACGATATAAGGAAACCCGATCCGCGCGGCAAATCCGTACCAGCGCTCCAACCCATACTTTTCTTTAGTTAACCTTAGGTACTAACTAGTCAGTTATACATCCATAACTGGGAAATACCGTCAAACGCTGCTAAGCCAAGACCCTGGACCCACGAAACCTGTTACCTCATCGGGCTTGGCTCGTCTCGATTTCCCTATTTTCCCAGGTTGCTCCAGGGCGCGGCATAAGACGATCACTATTGGCATTCGTTGGTATTCGTTAGCAGCGAAACGCTGTCGTTTTGCAATTGGGCCGTTCGAAGTATTCCGGTCTAAGAAAGGAATACTTACCAAACCTAAGGTATCTCTCGACCCTCGATCCTCGACCCTCGAAGGGGGCAGTGACAGTGACCAAGCAAACCAAACAATAAGAAATTCGGGCGGCACTTTTAAACTTCTTCTCTCTCCACCTTCTCCATACATACAAATATCGTCATCTGATGTACACGAACACACACACACCTATCCCATATCCCATACTACATTATACATACTGGTATCCATCAAAGTCATAAAGGGGGAGAGCGGATACATTTCTTAATAATAATGCCCCAGGGCGACAGCGCCGTCCCGTCCATCTCTCCTTTGCTTTCCCATCCTTACAGCAAAATGGCAAACCACAGTACTACAGGCTTCATGGGCCGTAAATCTAAACTCAGCTTCATCGTCATCGGGTCCTACGTGTTCGACTGGTTAATACTCATAGCCGTTGGCATTATCGGCGTCATTCTGGGTAATGTCACTCCGAATAAGAGGCCATTTAGCTTGCAGGACCCTAATATTTCGTACGTGCCCCTGGAGCTGGACCCTCTTCGCAAAATTGTTGCAAAACCCTCACTACTGTGTATGTAATTCGCTAACCCGTCTGCAGCTTTCCCTTCACCGTCCATGAGACCGTAAATTCCAAACTCCTATTAATCTGCAACGCCGCTATCCCCGTCGTCGTCGTCCTACTCGTCGTCTTCATCTTCGTTCCCGGCCCCACCGTACCCAAGGGTACGCCCAAGTCCTTAATATGGAAGCGGAAACTGTGGGAGCTTCATACGGGTTGGCTGGGCCTGGCCCTCTCTCTTATATCTGCTTGGATCATCACGCAGGGCATGAAGAACCTCTTTGGCAAGCCGCGACCGGATCTGCTATCCCGATGTCAACCTGATCTCCAGAATGTCGCTAAGTATATCATCGGGTTCCACACCCCCGCGGACGACGGGTCGTTAGACGGCCCATATAATGGTCAGCTTGTTAGTGCGGATATCTGCAAGAACCCGGACCGCGCCCTGCTCGACGACGGCTTCCGCAGCTATCCTTCGGGCCACTCTAGCTCCGCAGCCGCGGGTTTGATTTACCTCTCGTTTTTCTTAGCCAGCAAATTCGCCATCACGCTCCCTTTCGTGCCGCACGACGCGGCGACGGCCGACACGAGCACCGTCACCGCTTTCCCGTCTCGGCTACGTAACACGGACACGTCTTACGAAGCTGTGCGAAATAACCAGGACCTCGACAGATCAGCTTCGCCTGTGGATCCGGCGACTGTCAAGCAGATCGGGGCCCATAACTCCGCTGTCCTCTCCACCCGAAGGCAAGCTGCCGCGCCGCCCCTATACCTGCTCCTGGTGACCGTCCTCCCCTTCTTCACATCCATTTTCATCGCCAGTTCCCGCTGGTTCGATTTCCGCCACCACGGATTCGACATCCTCTTCGGCTTCATCATCGGAACCATCTGCGCGTGGTTCGCGTTCCGATACTACCACATGCCAATCCGATCGGGAGCCGGATGGGCGTGGGGACCTCGCAGCCACGACAAGGCGTTCTGGGCGGGCCTGGGATCGTGGAGCTACGCGACGGACAAGAAGCACTGGGAGAGGCCCGGCGAAGGGATCGAGAGGATACCCGGCCACCACCCCGACGACATCGAGATGGGAATGCGGTACCGACCGAAGGTGGACAATTCGTCCCATGCGAACACTTCGGAAAATCCCGATCTGGTGGGCGACCGAATGTAACAGCAGAGGAAAAAAAATTCATATATAAACGGAGTTCTGTTGGAAGTAAGTTTTTTTATTTATTTTTCTGGCTGGCCGTTGGTCGTTCGGCGTACGAGGGTGGCATTTTGTATCGCACTTGTAAACGAGATGAGAAGGTCGCATATAGAAACGATAGGGAACAAACTGGCTGGTACATACATTATATGACTGCCAGAATATGAGAATGACTCGGACTTCTTTTTTTTTTTTTTCGTATTTAGCCCAAATTAGAGTTGTCCGGAATCGTAGCGACTGTAGTGTTCTGACAGGGTGAGAAGGGAGGTAGACATATAACTATCGCGTCGTGGCGTGTGCTTAGTCTACAACGGGATATAGCGGCTGCTCCCTTTCGTAGACATTTACCATTAACCGTTTCATGTCGCACAGCCCCTCCTCGAAGCTCAACGGCGAGTTTCTATATATTAGGTGTATATATATATCTAGCCGTCGTAGTAGTACTTGAGGAGATTCGGTCGACTTGACGCTGACCCCTTTTCCCCTGACGTTTCGTCCTATCTTCTGCCCATAGTTATAATAGTATTGACGCCGGTGTATTTATGACTTGCTAGGTTAGGTAGGTAGTCTGAAGAGAACCAATTTTTGAAATTATAGATTGAAGTCACGGAGAATCGTGTCCCTATATGTCTCTAACCTAACCTAGTTTTCATTGCTGTGAACCTTATGTTATCTCCTTCCACTTTTGGCGCGTAGATTCCTATCATCAGCTAAGGAGGTATATGCAAAGTAGCGAGTAGTTGCCTGCCCGGTAAAGAAAGAAAACAGAGCGCAAGTTCTCTCCAGCATGCTATGTACCTCTGCCTACCTTAGGCAGGTACATCTACATCTACATCTACAATGACATCACACAACTCCCAAGGCATCTCATCTTTATTTAATTTTTCAGACGCATTTTATCATATCAGGTGCCGTTCATCGCATAGGGCACTACCATGTACGGTATTTTCAATATATCTAAATCCACAGTACAATCACCTAAACATAGCAGCCTCGAAAAGCCTCTTCAATACCACATCGTCACATCATATAGCCATAAACACATAATCCCGGATACAGTAGGAGATGTATATTATTAGTGAGGAAGTTTATTAATATCCTGGGGGAATCTTGTAAAAAAACGCCATGGAATGACAGCCGAGTCCTTCTCAAAACGCCTGCATTAACAACATCAACTCTGCATCTTGACTATGAATATCGCCTTATACCGTCCACCTGTTTTTTTCTGGTGCTCGTGCCTTACATTAAAATCGTTGTCGTCGAAGGCATGGGACAAGACATCGTACTACACAAGCAGAAGGATTTCGTGCTTTGATTTGGTCGTAGGCATCGGAAAGGGTTCCCTTAAGGTTGTGACTTTTATACGGATAACTCCGATGCGCCATACGCTCTCGCATTGCCTGTCGATAGCTTAGGTTACGGCTTAGGTTACGCTCAGATAAAACGATCCGGTCAGAACCATAGCCTAACCAACAACGTGCATAGCATCGCCTTCCATCCCTTCGACTTCTATATCCTCCTCCTCCTCCTCCTCCTCTTCAAGATCCTCATCGCCCACGTCTTCATTAAAACCGCTCTCTATCTCCAGCTTCCGTAACCTTCGGAGCATATCTGCTCGCTGGGTGTTTTGCCAACGGATCAACGCGGCCGAGGCGTGTACCTTGAAGCCGTAGACGCGGGGTATGTATCGTTCGGCGGTCTTGGGGGGAACTAACGCTGGGTAGACCTGGAACATGATGTTGTGGAATGATGTGCCAAAATACGCGCCGTCAATAGCAGCGTGTCGTGAGGACTTCGGGTTGTAAACATCTTCGCATCGAACGCAATAAAGCTTCACAGGCTTTTGGTGGGGGACATCGGTCTGGCCCATCGGTAGGAGGGGGTGTGAATGGCAGAAAACTCGCGGACATTTACCGAAATCGGCTTTCTTGTATTTGTCGAGCTACAGATAGATAATTAGTTGGGCCATCCGAAATATAACAAATCGGCACGAACATACCATCTTTGCAAGGCCGCGAGTAGTTACAATGTAACGGGCATGTATCAAACCATACAGATGACGGGCTGATTTCTCAATAGTCTCCCTCATGTCATCGTCGCAGTCGAGATCGAACACGTCCGTGATAAGATCGAGGGCATATTGATAGTACTGAACTTCGGTATTGAGTCCGGTTAGGTTGAAGCGGTCAGTGAGGTAGTCCTCGTCGATCTCGCAGAAATACTCGTTTCCGCGCGAAGAAATAAACTGACGGCGCATGATTAGTACTAAGATAAGAAAAGAGTCCGACCGACAATATATTCGGAGAATCTAAGCTTAACTTAGGTGGGCGTGGATTGGGATTAGATGTAGCTCTAGTGAATATGCGCCCAAACTTCTTGTACTAACAGTTGACTGCCAGGCGAGGGAGGAGGATTGTGTAGAAGTGTCTGAATGTAATGGTGGTTCGGGGGAAGGAGGAAGAATGGGTGTAATATTGAATTCCCATAGAATATTCGATTCCATAATCAACACTAGCTAAGAGAAAAAGACAAAAAATAGACCGAGCATAATCTAATTCTCCTGCAAAGGACAGTAGAAATAGTACCGTCGTTTGGAAGAGGAGTTTTCCGCGAATCCGAATCAAATACGTGGGAATATCTGAACAATCCGAACAATCCGAACAAAGGACATCGACCTCGAACAAAAAGATATAAGGAAGCTATGAAAATTCCCCCAAAATAGAATGCGCTCTTAAGGAAACGTCTTGTACGATGAGGGGGGGAATGGGCTACCTAACAATCCACCCGCATACTCTGGTTGGAAGGAAGTTCCAAGGAACCACATGCACTTACCCAGTCTCGCCAATAGCTGGTGTAATCACTATCAGATTCGGAAGCGAACTCGTCCATCATGGCCACGTCGGGCAAGTTCTTTTTGACAAATGTCAAACGTTACCGAGTTTGCAGTCGACGCGCGACGTTAGGCGTGACGGGTGAGTAACCGTGGCGGAAGGGACAGACTAGGAAAGGGGTGGGAAAAAAAAAAAAAAGAGTCTCTACGATAATAGATGATACTGTTGGGTCGCGTCGTGTGGGAATACGGAGATGGAGGGGTTCAGGCGCAAACAAGCTTGCCAAAATTGATGAAAGGCCGTTAAGGTTCAGTGGGGCTGGGCTCTGTGGGCTAGTGGGGGGGTTCATACTGATTTCAGCCTCAAGCAGCCTCACTGTACATACATAATTCCAGTATATACCTAGTATTCCGGGGATGTGGATTCTACCTGCCAAAGCAACATCATAGTATCCAAGATACATACATACCTAACCTAGGTAGGTACCTAACCTAAGGTACATAAGGTAGGTACGATACCTACTACGTAATATAACATAATCAACCAAAATCAACCATAATTATTATTGGTCACACTTTATATAATATAAAATACCATAGGTATTACCTACCTCATATATGTACCTAGGTATGTACTTGGGTACGATAGAACTTCGAAATGACTTCCACCACCCCTTTTCAAATCAATATATGTATTAGACGCATATATTCAGACCTCATCTCCTTTGGGTAGGCTAAGTACGTAAGGCACCCAAGGTAATTTGATGAAAGATACCTATATAATTCAGTTACCTATAAGCAGACCAAGTCTGGGTCTGCATTCTAACCAGACCGAAGGGATTTACAATACAATCCTTTGGCAGCTAGGTAACTAGGTACCTAGGTAATATGAAGAATGTAACCCGCTTTTCGCTCGTTCCCTTTTATCCCAAACCCCTTTCTATCATTATATTGGACTAGCCGTACCTAAGCTGCTTATATCGCTTGTTGAGTGAGCGTCCGAACCTGTCTCCGAGTTCTGTCTCGCGATGCGGGAGCTGCCATTAGCTTTCCGCGGTGGCACCTCAAGCCTAGACATTATGTCAGTATCGTCTGACTCCTGCTTGACTCTGATATTGACTAGTTCCATTGCCTCTCTTAACGTCTCTCCGCTTTCGTCCATCGCCGCTAGAAATCGAGCCAATTCTTTACAAAGTTCCCAATCCTCTTCCCGGATTGCTCGAGAGAATAGCCGCACCGACTGTTCTGATGCTGCACTTAGTTCATCGAATGTGTGTAATATTAGCAAGTAGCCTCCTGCTGTTTTCAATGACCCGCGCTGAAGCGACTCTTCGAAGAGCTCTTGTGGTGGAGGTAGGTATGCAAACAGTGTTCTCCAGGATCTAACCTCGGTTTTTCTTGTGCATTGAACAACAATATCTAGATATTGCTTGAAAGATGATAAAAGAGAAAGCACCCTGGGAAGAAGGGCAGCCTCCGGTTTGGGTGCCGAGTCGACCTCCTCGTCGAGAACATGATGTAGTAGTACCTCTAAGGCGTGTGCAAAGTACTCAAGGTTTTGGTATTGTCGGGCTAATTTAAGCGCGGCGGCAGCGTTGTTTGTTGCTAGATAGAATCGTAAAATCTCGGGGAGAAAAAGATGAGTCTAGAACTGATTAGCGTGGCACGGGAAAGGATAAACTGTTTACGTACCCTGATGGAGAAACGGAAGAAAGAGAAACTGACGTCTCTTCGTTGGACTAGCTCGGGTTCAACCCCTAGTACAATTCCTTTACCTACTAACACGGAGAGAGGATAGAAGTCGATGGGCATGGAAACCGTAGATGGCAGTTCCTTCGTTGGCTCAATCGAGGTGGCTCGCAGAACTTCCTGGACATCGGGCCAGACTTTTAACTCCTGGCCTTCAAATACCCATAATGAATTTCGAAGGCTGTTTTCTTCGACTTCCGCAGAGAAATGCACACTAGACTCGCCCAGTATATTAACGGACGACTGGTCTCTCATGCTGACATAGAACTCTACGCTGTGAGATATGACGCGCATATCATATTTAAGCTGCCCTTCATTATTCACGGATGGTTGAAGGAGAACGAGTTTTCCATCTACCAGGAATAACACTGAGGCAAACGTAACGTCTTGTGAAGGATCCCCGTCCACCATCTGGTTCTCAGGTAATATCCAACTGAGGCCTCTCACTCTGGCAGGAGATCTGACAATACCGTGGAAAGCGATTTGCCCAACTTGTATGGGCCTCACCGCACCAGCGACGGGTGCAAATACAAAGTGGTAAAGAAGGTTATCGTAGGTGTAGACTAGTAGAGAATCTTCTCCGGACGGGGTAATCAAGACAATAGGTGCTGGCATTTGCTGAGTAAACATGACGGTCGAACTCTCTAGAGCAGCTTCTCTAGAGTATAGCCGAAGTTCATATGATCTATTCGCTTCAACAGCTGCTACGAGGATGTGCTGATACCAGCACATCCCACCTCTGACCTGAAACTCGTTTTCCATGGCCTCGTTCGCAAACGTCTTCCACCTACCGCTATTAACGCTGTAGTGCGCGAGTCCGCGTCTACCCGCGACCGCAACATATCTGCCATCGGAAGACACGACGGTACACTTGATCGGCCATTGGTTTAGAAGATAGTTAGCGGGGATCCTAGCGTTATGCCAAAGAAAAGGCTCGGCGGAGATACTGGTGAGATCTGGGAGATCGTAACCCCGGTAAACCATAACGCTAGACGAACTTTGTAGTACGGTACGGAAGAGGTTTGGAGGGGTGTAGCAACCGGTAACCGCGCTCCGTGCCATTTCAAGCAGCCAAATGGACTCACTTTGACGAGCAATCATCAAGATCTCGCAGGCCCCACCAATCCAACTGGCTTCTATAATGCCGCTTAACCATTGCTCCTGATTAGATGAAGTAATGGAGGGATTGTGGTAGAAGCTGTGGCTGGCAGTCTTTCCAAACACGCTCCACGTTGCCCATCCTTCTTCATAGCCGGCGAAAAGACAATACCCATCCGGGGAATAGCTCAGGGTTTTTAACGGACCTGCAGATTCGGACGAGACTGGTATTCTGTGGACATGAGACGGAGGGATGTTGCCAGCGTAATCCCTAGCAGAATATACGCGGATGCTTCCGTCAGTACACCCTACGGCGATTAGGGAGAACCTGGCATTGACGACTGCTTTAACAGCATGATCGCCTGCTCCAAGAGGCGAATGGAAACAATAACCTTTGAACAGTTTCTTCGGGTCCAACTCAGGATTGTTTTTGGCCTGACTAGCCGAGATTCTCTGAACAGCATATGCTTTGCCGTCGCTTGTAACCCATGTGGAGAGGTTCATGGGTCGATCATGGGTCATTTCTTTGATTGATACCTTCTTCTCTAACCAACCCATGCGGCTTACGAGCTCGGTGCTCGTTTGACTACCGCTGCTATCGGGAGTCCACTTGATGCATTGAACAGCCGCTGGCTTCTTGGTTGAGACAACTAACTCGTCATCCAGGGCAATCGCATGTTCAATGCCGGCGTCTACCTTGATCACCCTACGAAAACGGAGACTTATATCACGAACCCCGGCTCCTTCACCCGGTCCTAACATGATCTGGTCAGGTGTATTGTTACCAGGGCCTCCAAAGTGACTTTGTCGTCGCCTCTGGATATTACTATGATCCGAGAAGTGAGGTTTGTAGACGCGGGACTCGGCGTCGGTAGCAAGCGAATACGTAATTAGAAAGCCTAGACTTGTTTGAACGACGAAGATAACAGAGTCGGGTCTTAATAGGAGAGCGACATTGGTACCGTAAGACTTAATGGACGCTTCCGATCGGACGACAATGGCTTGGATGACAGTAGGCTAGGAGGGAAAAATTACCATGGTCAGCACGAAAGATTTAAGTAAAGCCTTGTATAAGGGACGAACTTTGGTCTGCCATATTGTCATGGTAGTGGCTGTAATAACAGCGAATAAATGGCCGGTCCTTGACACTTTTAAAGCCATAATTGGATCTCCAGCTGGAATAGAATTTCCAGCAGCCCCCGTAGGATGCTGATGGGAAGTAAAATGGCTGCCATCGTGATAGATATCATGTTCGACGGAGTTTATAGCTGGGGTAGCTGGAGTCCTGAGACCGGGCGTAAGAGGTGGTAGATAGTTGTCTAGTAAGGACTTGTCTTTTTCCTCGAGAAGCACGGGAGGGGGCGGTTCGGAACTCGAGAATGAGTCGGTATCGGCTGCGATAGAGGAGACGCCATCGTTAGATATAGCGAAGTTCGTCTTAGCAGAAGCTTGACTAGTGGTTGTCGCATAGATTCGAGGAGTTCCAATGGGCCAGTACATGGCTAAAACAGGCCCTAGGAACCTTCATCCGTTATGCCGCAAATATCGTCAAGTCATGGGTAAGGTACGATAAGAATAGAATATGAACGGCCAATTGTGCCGCTATGTGAGAACTGCGTCAGTTGGCAACATCTCGAGACGTGAAGATGGTCGAGCTTCCGAAGAAGGCTGGTTCGGGGTTGATACATAAAAGCACCTAAAAATATATAACTAATAAGTGCATTGATGAAGAGGTACGTAACATATCTTAGGCACAATATTATTTATTTAAGCGTACAAACGTACAAGCTAACAAGTAAACCCGTACCAAAATGACAAAGTGGATCCTTCACTTCCATTTACATACGTAATACGTACCTGAATCGAAGAAGGTAGTACTTAAGGTACCTTGTATTGTACCAGACGGCCTTGACTCCAGCTTTATTAGACAAAGCTTCGAACAAACAGTAAATTCAACGACTAAAATTACCTAACACAACTTTCGATAAGAAACATATAACTTCAGTATCTGCTAATTATCCGTCGAGATATAAGGTACCTAGTACCATAAAATACCATATTATGGTATGAAGTCATTTCTCTGCTCTGTTCGAAGTAACGCCTTACCCGCCATTATCAACTCGTGAAGTATCGAAGACAATGGCACGCATAGCACCAAGGACGTCGGTAGCGCCTGATAAATTCAAGAATTTACTTCCCACTTTGAAGCCCACTATTTACCACGACCCGGCAGTAAATAAGACCCCAAACAAGTAAGTTTTATTCTTGGTAGTTATACCACATAACTTGACTTTCGACTGATTACCTCTACCAGCATTCGCACGATCGCCTGGAATCCACTGGGCACTTATATTGCAACGGGTTGTTTGGATAAGACTTTACGCGTCTGTACGTGACTTATCCCCATTTTTATGATTTGATATTTGACAACAATACTCAATACCATCCCTTTAGGACATTATAATTGGGATTCTATCTTGACTGTGGTGGTGAATGCTAATTCTTTATTGCGGGTTCAAGGGAACGTGGACAAGCCTAATGTGCGCCAAACGACCGAGTTGAAAGGTCATACAGCATCAATTGAAAAGGTTGCCTTTAATCCCGTCAAGGAGCTTGAGTTGTGCAGTGTGAGCAGTGATGGAGTGGTTAGGTTCTGGGATGTCAAGACTAAGCAGGTTCTGAACGAGGTTAAGGGCTTGGGTGAGACCTTTACTTTAGCATGGGCTCCACGCGGCGAATGTGTTATTGTCGGGAACAAGGTAAACCAATCTCATACATCTTACTTTTCCAAATCCTGACGCATACCTTTAGGAAGATACACTTTTTGTCATTTCACCAACCGAAAGTACTCCAATCTCGTCACACCAACAGTCTGTACAGACGAACGACATCGCGTTCTGTTGGAGTGGTGAAAGGATATTTGCTACCACCGGAGATGGGAAAATCCGAATCCTCTCATTTCCGAGTTTCGAGCCTGCCTATCAGTTTAGCTACAAAGAGGGACCGGATGCCGAATTCCAGTTAACTGGACACACCTCGTCTTGCATATCTGTGGAACTACATCCGTACAATCGGTATCTAGCCACGGGTGGGACTGACTCCCTGATTTCGTTCTGGGAGACAACGGAATGGAACTGTGTCAGGACAGCGACGAAGATGATCGGCCCAGTCCGCACTCTTAGTACGTATAACGAAACTATACGGCATAAGCTATTCGCGCTAACTTTACGGTGTAGGTTTCTCCTGGGACGGTCTGTATATAGTAGGCGGAAGTGAGGAAGGTGAGTATCAAGCCATACTTTTGTTGAGAGTTTGACTAAATTTTGTTTACTGCATGCAGGAACTGGACTAGATATCTTCAACTCTGAAACTGGAGATCATCTCTGCACATACAAGACCTCAACAGCTTCTCCCGTCATCGCCTGGGCTCCAAATCGATATGCACTCGCGTATATCGACTCGGGAAGTTTACGAGTAATAGGAGCTAGCGCCGGAGGGAAGTAGGAAGTTTGGGTGCGAGTTTAATTGATTACTCGCTATGGTAACGGGTAACTAAGGAGAGACTCATACTATGAAGACTCAATTCTGGTCGACTAGTTGAACTGTATACGATGGATTTTAGGGGCACGGTAAAGTGTAGTTTTAAAACTGCGCTTGTTCATATAGACACCTACCTAAGGTATAAGGAGATAATATTTCGCCAATAATCCTTGAACCACCAGATGAAATAGCCAACTAGCAGAGACGGTAATTACTTTAATTAGAAACCTACTCAGGTTTTATGTACACCTGATGAAGAATTCTTTCTATTACACGCTAACTATCGTTAGCTGAACTGCAAACTACTTACGGTTGTCTACTTGGCATCGTTTAGATTTTTTCAATATTTTTTCTCTCCATCATTTACCATTTTAAGCTTAGATGTAAGCTTAACTTAGCATACCTACCTGAATAAGCTTTACGGACTCAGATATGACAATATGACAGTATGTATCTTCATGCTGCATACTTACATGTCTGCATGCATGGTAGTAAGGTCCGTGTAACGTTGTTTTATAGGAACTCTCCGCTAGTACGAGCGCCTCGGATGACTTTGAATATAATAGCCAATTAGATCCGATTACAGCTTACATACGCATATGTAAAAGGTAAGGGAGGCAGTATAGTGAAATAAGGATTGAAAAATTGATCTGCAAAGTGAGACGTCAAGATGGATGACAACGAGAGAAAGGAATGGAATAGAAAAAGGAGCGTTAAGACTTCGGTACATAATAGAAACCCGATCCCGCTAGGTACCTAAGTACTACCTAGGTACGTACCTTAATCTTCAATGAGCTTAAACTTAAACCAACTTAATCTAATCCGTAGAACCCACTTTATTCAGGTGCTATGTACTCCTACCGCTATTTAGTATTTAGACTCAGCCCTACTGCGTGAGGTACAATACATAAGCCCCCCCCCCCCAAAAAACTGGAAGTTCCCTCTTACGTATTAGTAATACATCCTTAGTTCGAACAGTCTCTTTATGATTGGCAGGACATAGCGATAATAACGACCGGGATTCATTCCCATCTCTCTCTCATTTCGCAAGAGATGTGTTTGGTCTGCTGCTAGGATGGGACAGTCATTCTTCCTGTTGCCTACCTAGGTATCTTATCAAAGTATATGGTATGCTTGGTTACAACCTCGGGGTTCTCTTATACACCATTTTCTTATACGCGATAGAGCGTGGCTCTTGTTAATCTTGTCTTGAAGTTGAGGTGGCTCTTCAGCCCGACATGTTAATCAAACCGCTTGATCTGAAGCAACAATACCATTACAAATTTCACATATAAAACAAAGGTTCTACTTCGTATCAGGACAACCTAATTCCCCACATTACTACCTATCGACTCGAATCCCGACCGTAAGATTTTGAGATTTCTACCGTTCAGGCTCAGCAATACACACTAAAGTATCAACACAAAGTGGCGGAGAGAAGGAATTAATAGGGGAGAAGGATATAGTTTTAAGGGTTTGGGTTGAATTGTTCCCGCTGTCGATATATCGTCTATATTCTGGTCCTCGAAGTGGCGCGTATACCCGAGAAGCCATAGTGGCTTGAGGCCGAAGCGCATCCCCAAATACATACGGCTCTCCCGTTCCGTGTTCACCTGCCGACGCACCGCCGAGTCTTAGCTACTGTTCCGTGCCGTTTGATATTGTCTTAGATTATGTCGACTTCGACCGGCGAGACCCCTGGCGCCGTGGCAAACGACGCCGGGTCTCAAGGTACTGATAATAGTCCAACCACCGACACGAGCCCGCCGGCCGCGCCCCAAAGCCAGAACAATGGTAATGTTCCCAGGCCAAAGCGGTTGGCGTGCATGATATGTCGAAAACGCAAGCTCAGATGCGATGGCGTAAAACCGAGCTGTAGCACATGTACGAGGTTAGGACACGCTTGCGCTTATGATGAAGTGAGACGAAAGAGCGGTCCGAAGAGGGGATATGTGAAGGCTCTAGAAGAGAGACTGAGTAAGTAACAATTCACCGGGACACATTTTAAAATAAGCGAGCGAGAAACTAAGACGTCGCGTTCTCAATTAGAGCAAGTCGAGACGCTCCTGAATAAAAAAGAGCCATCTTTTACCGTCGGGATTGATACAAACAAATCACCAAACGTCACCTACGACCAACCGAACCACAATCAACGAACCGCTCCGACGCCCAGTTTTAATGTCCCAACTCCTCAAATGAATATGTCCAGGGATCGTGATATGGACCAATGGCATTTCAACGCGGACTCGCCACAAGCCGCTACTGGTTTAGATGAATTTAACTTTGGCGAAAATATGAACATGAATGGTGTCGACAACAGTTTTCAGTGGGAGATGATCGGCCTTGGACTGGAAGAACCTCTCCCATCACAGGAGACGATCGATGAACTGTGAGAACTCTCATACCGTATATGCACGTGGTCCCGACTAACGAAGGCTGGTAGGCATCAAATATACTTCGATAAGATTCATCCGTCGTTGCCTATGATTCATAAATTCCGATACCTAGCAGCAATGAATTTGTATGGCATATCCTTTGTGTTCCTCTTATATATGCCTCCTTTAGCTTTCCAGCAGGTGTTCATGTTGATGTCCTAACTCATCCACTCGCTAGGGCTCCGAACCAACGTCCGCCTGTTGCTCTACGTTATGCGATTTGGACCCAAGCATGCGCTGTAGCAGACAAGTTCGCGGATTTAAAGGACCTTTTTTATCAGCGCGCTCGTAAGTATATTGAGGCAGATTACGTTAAAGGCTACGGCGAGCACATGATTTCAGTAGCTCATGCTCAAACTCACGTGCTACTTGCTTCGTATGAATTTAAGATGATGTATTTTCCGAGGGCCTGGATGAGCACAGGTGCCGCTGTGCGCCTATGTCAGATGTAAGTATCAAAACTTAACTTTATTGGACAATCATGTGCTTATAAAAGTTCAGGATCGGACTGCATAGACTTGACGGATCAGGCCTTGATGTGAAGCAATGCCTCCCACCCCCTCGGGACTGGACGGAGCGTGAGGAGAGGCGACGGACATTTTGGATGGCCTTCTCTCAAGATCGGTACGCAAGTATCGGCACTGGTTGGCCCATGACGATTGATGAACGAGATATCATGACCAATTTGCCATCTTCGGAGGAGGCGTTCGAAATGAGTCGACCAGAGCAAATGCAATCGCTTTCGGACGCGATGTGCGCAGCTGGAGCCGCCAAGCTTTCATCCTTCGGAGGCATTGTATTAATGGCCTGCTTGTTTGGCCGCAACCTCGTCCATCTTCATCGGCCAGATGCTGACGATCGTGATCACGACCTCAATGGGGAATTTTGGAAGCGACATAGGAACATGGACAACATTCTGCTTAACACCTCTCTTTGCCTGCCAAACCACCTCAAACTTCCCACCGGTCTTTCTAACCCCAACATCGTATTTACTAATATGAATATCCATACCTCGACGATATGCCTTCACCAAGCCGCTATATTTAAGGCAGACAGGAATAAACTTTCCCCGTCTGTCAGTGCAGAAAGCAAAATCCGATGCATCACGGCTGCGAATGAAATTGCTAGTATCATGAGGATGGTGTCTCACTTGGATTTGTGCGCTGTAAGTCCCCCTTGAAATCATGGACTGTGATGGACTGTGAACCTGACAACCGTGTAGATGAACCCGTTCATATCTTTCTGTTTATATGTTGCCGCAAGGGTATTCGTCCAATACTTAAAGAGTCGGCCAGACGACAGTCAAACAGCAGATTCGCTGCGGTTCCTTCTTGCTGCTATGAACGCATTGAAGAGGAAGAATCCCTTGACCGAATCATTTTTAGTGCAATTAGATGTCGACCTTGAAGCATTAGGAACGCGGATACCTAAGCTCAAGTCTGCCTTCCCGAGGAATACAGATAGCGTAAGCCTCATTCCCGATAATTTATCGCTTGATAACCTGTACTGACAACGTAAAGCCTGGCTCTGGTGTGAAGCTCCCAAAAATGCATTACCGGAAAAACGACAAAAGAGGTGGTCACTGCCCATCAGACCCCGAGTCAGGGGGTGGTGGTCTCCTCGCTTACCGCCACGCAAACGTGGGCAACGATAACCTGCCAAATACTTCGAATAATATTCAATCCGAAAACCTGCATCCAATAAACGGTAGACCGTTGGTGAACGAATTCGCGGGCCAAAACTGGCTTGCAGGAGAGCAAAACCCATCTGCTTGCGATCAGAGTGCTAGTAACAATACATGCAATCATGCGACAATTCCGCCTAATTTGTTCCCGGGTTTTGTAGAAGGTACCGGAAGTGATTCGAACGATATGTCGGCATCATCAAATACAGACGGGCCATCGAACAGGCCCACACCAAACTCGAGTAGCGCCTCGGACAATCGCCAAAGCATGGCAGGGCCTGGTCAGATGGCAAACTCAAGTGGCAGGACATCCTTCGATACTAGTCCTATCATGTCTCACCAGAGTCTAGGGCCACAAGCTGAGATAGATGCAACTACAGCTGCTTTCTTCCAGATGGGTGGTGGCACAGGTATGACTCCAGACCAGACGTTTGGCACAGCAGAAAGTTCGGGGCACGGTTTCACACTCCCAGATAATTGGGCCGGGCAAAATGACATGACACCGGTAGCCGAGGGAGTTTTTCAGCATTTATTAGATGTGCGGATGGAGTTGGGGTGGGATTCAAACACATGAAGCTGCCAAAAGGATTATTGGCTAACCAAAAGCTCGGCCATGCTCTCGATGTAAGCTGAAGAGGGATAAGAGGGATAAGACGGCATTGGGTAGGTAATGTACAGGGTTTGCCGCCGGACTAGGCGGTTCTATTACGACTTGGGACATATTGGGGCGTTCTAGGTGTTGCACGCGCAATATCGACAAGGAGGTTTATGTTCATTTGGAACTTGTATAGTAGCCTGCCATGACGCGACGCACGGAGGGTTGGATTTTTCTAATGCGTCGATTACGAAAAGGAAACCCTTACCTCACTTGCTCATATATACTCCATTCATATATCGTATCCATAAAGACGAACAAATGACGAAATCCTACGACATAAGCAGATATGGTACTATTTCTTCAAAAAGATAATTAAGCAAAGTGGAAGCTGAAATCATTATAGTATTACAAGTACATATATTGCCATCCGTTGCCGTTGCCGTGATATCCATCGCTATGGGGAATGGAATGTCAGCTGCTTTTGTGTATCACGACACCGGAATTACCAGAAATTGGGAGTGACTTGTTTCCATGAGGTACCTTATATTCCTAGGAGGTAGGTATATAATCCAACGTGGCTTGTGATGAGAGGTTGATTCGTAGAAAGGGGGAACCAGACATGGAATATGTTGGTTTCTTTTCTTTTCTTTTTTTTTTTCCCAGCTTGAATTTTATTAGGTATTTGTTTCTCTCCAAATTGAGGAGTAAGGAGATAAGAAATAATAGCAATATAATGATAATGGATGAGATCTTATTACTTAGATCGTCAGGGTCCAATTCCGCTGCTACTAACGATTATTGGCCGAGGTATATATTGCCTGTAGGTATTACCATTACACTTACATATCTCACATATTTACCTAACATACCCTTACATTATGTACGGTCATGCACCGAATCTTATAAATGTGTATACCTAAGTGCAGCTCATAGTGTGTAGGTTGGTTCCATAGGCAGAGGGGTAATTTATAGTGTAGAAATATACTATGCACTACATCATTAGTGTAAGTTAGGCCGTTGGTCGGCATGTGGGGCCTTTGGGAATTGATGGAATTGATGGGATGATAAGCAGGATAAGGCCCGGATAGACAGGTGTTCGCTTGCCATTTTAGGACTAGACAAGGAAGTAGGTCTGGCCGCCCTGCAACCTTTCAATGGGGCAATGGACCCGCAAGGCGGGGCAATTTCGTGAGCTGCACTTTTCAGCTTCTATCGGCGCTTTTTGGCACTTTTTGGCAATTTTAACATTTTCCATCTGATCTTACCTTTTTACCTTTTATACGTTCTAGGTAACTTCTAGACTCTTTTCCCGCCTCTCCCACCTTACCGGTATCGTCCGATTACATTAACCCAATTTACTAGCTTCCCTCTCTCTTACCTACCCAGCTACCCCAGCTACCCCAGCTACCTTGGCCTAACTTAACCTACCTCAAAACTAGCAGAAGTCAAATCATGACGGCGAAGACACTTCGCCCACGACATCCGACTTGAGAATGGGGTAAAAACAGGCTTGGTGGGCTGCGCCGAGTTTGTTCAAAGGCACCAAGCAGCAAGAACACTTACATGCCAGAGAGCATAATCATAATGGACCCCGCCTCCATTTCTTTTCCACAACCGCCGCCGCCGCCACCACCGCAGCACCACCAGCAGCACCACCAGCAGCAGTACCACCACCACCACCAACAGCAACCTCAACAGCAACAGCCACAGCCGTCTCAACCACTCTCACCAAGAACCAAGGCTTCGCTGTCACACGAACTACATAATAATAATCACAACCATCTCCCACAACAATCGCATCATTATCTTGCCCCAAGTCTCTCATCGCATTCGAGCCTCGATCTGTCCGCCATTGATACTACCGATCCTGTCTTTCAACAACACCTTCAACGGCTACAGACCGTACCCGCTGTCCCCGTCGTCCAGGGCGACTATTGTTCACATGCTCAAGATGGCTTCGATCACGAGCCAAATGCCACTCAAATGCTCCAGCACTCTCATAACGAAACGACTTCCGACCTCCGCAGAACTCCACATCAACACCATGCTTCTCTCCCGCCGTCCTCGCACTCGGCGCCGCCAGCTTCCAGCCAATTCGGTATCTTAACGCCCAATGGCATGTCTCCATCAGGTTCTGTGCCCCAGTTTCAACAGGAGGAGGAAATGTTCATACAGTCAGCACAAGCCAATTCCTCAACTGCTGAAGCCTCTGAGCAGAGACCGCATGGCCAATTGGTTAGCAGGATAGTCGTCGATCCACCTGATCTGCAAGCTTGGCGCGAAAAGTTGTTCAATGTGGACGATACCATCATCTTGACCAATGACCAGTAGGGAGCGGGATTCTCTTCGGAGTTAAGTCATTATTACTAACTACCCACTAGATTCGAGACATACTTCCCTCATATCGACAATGTTTACTCGCATCGTTCTACGCAAAAATACAAGCGCAAACCGTTTATATCGCATTACTGGGACTGCCGAATGAAGGGACGACCGCCCGGAACGCCAAAATCGGATGACCCTTCTAAGAAGAAGCGCAAGCGGAGCGCACGAGAGAGGGATCTATGCGACGTCAAAATAAAGATTACCGAGTATTTCCCAGGAGCCACCATCCTACCCAGCGAAGGGGATGCCAATCCTAGCCTAGTCTCGCCGAGCGTTTACCAAGCTCCACAGCAGCAGATGTTCAACGATGGTCTACAACGGACCACGGATGCCCATCTAAATGGAGAAAAATTCTGGACAATACAACGAGTCAATGGCAATGGCGGGAACGGTAAGGGCGATGGTGTCGCCGGTCCCCATAAGCATAGCTTGGCAAAGAGCGATGAGATCAAGAAGTCAACCGTACAGAGGTACATTGCCGCGCAGGAGAAGGAGGCGAAGAAGATTCAGGTGGGTTATTCCTTGTACCATAGCCGCGATTACCTTTATACCCGATTTTATATATGGAAACCTTTCTGTCAAGATCCAACCCATCTAAAACGATAACCCCTTCCTTTAGCACGGTGGAGGAAAACATTACTATTAGAATAGGGGGGAATTTCCTTGTTTAACTCCCACCATCTTATATTTACGCTTAACAGCTTTAAAATTTTAGCCCAAATCCCCTGACGCTAACTCGCTCCTATAGAAACCTTTACCGAGGAGAATATCAGGGGCTGCACTTGCAACGGCAAAGAAGCACTCAAAGGAACACGAACTCAAGCTCTACGCTGCTTGTTTTTGGTAGGTTATTGCAGTTAGATATAAGAAAGCTTTACAAGCTGACAAGCTTCTCTGTAGCCCCTTTTCACAAAGAGTATGGATCGCCCTGGAAGCGAAGGGTATGCAATATCAGTATTGCGAGACAGATCCATTCAAGCGCCCGACCCAGTTGCTAGAAGCAAATCCGCGTGGCCTGGTTCCGGCTATTCGCGAAGGTGACTGGGCCAGCGGCGAGAGTGCTATCATTCTAGAATATGTAAGCCGCTATAGTGTTGTAGATGGCTCTCTTTAGTTGCTAATTAACCTACTCCTTAGCTTGAGGATCATAACCAAACAGTGCCGCTCTCACCCACAGACCCAAGACTGAAGGCTAACTGTAGGCTATGGATCGACCATGTGAGTAGCTAGATAACATCCACCGTGTATGAGGTAGAAGGGAGCCCGGCTGACAGATCTAGATTAATGCAAGGATCGTTCCGGCTTTCTTCGCTTTAGCGAGGGCTACCGATTTCACAAAGCAATCAGAATACGCAGAGAGACTCCGGAGTGAGATAACGGCCCTTGTCCAAGCTGCTAATGACAGAGTAGGTATCCCACCCCTTGCATTTACTCCTCGGAGCTATTTTTTTTAATTCGTCATTCAGGGGCCATATTTCCTTGGAGAGGACCTATGCCTCGTAGACATCCACTTCGCTCCCTTCGTCCTTCGAATGTCCCGCATACTCCGCGAGCTTCGTAATTGGGGCGATCCCGTGCCGGGGACTCGCTGGCAACAATGGGCCGACGCCCTCGAGCAGAACCCGCACGTCCAGGCCACAACTAGCCAGAAGGAGCTCTACATCGAAACGCTAGACCTCTTTCTTAACAGCCGCCAACCCAATGGCGAATACTTCGGATCGTAATATAATAATGGGATTTATTATCGCTGCTACGTATTTTTTCCATATATATTGGATGGTCAACGCATTTGCATTAAATGACGGGGTGTTCGTTATCACATTCGAGCAGTACATACATACGATACATTTCATGTCACCCTATACACATGACAGAACCGGGCTTATAAGCCTTGCCGGGGGCTTCTTTATTTTTACTTTTTTACTTTTCCTTCTTCTGCAGTATATTACCCAGCTCCCTTTATCAGACAGTACTCTCATGCCGAGAACTTTCAAAAAAGGGCAACATGGGAACGGAGTCCAAAGCTTCATTACGCGCTACATAGGTAGTAGGAAGTACATAGGTATATTCATTTTCATCTGCATGGTAGGTAGGTCGTATAGGTATTTCGGGGGTATGACACGTATATTGATTATGCAGGGCATGAAACGAAGGGGATGGACTTTGGGGGGAAAGTGTGTATAGAAGGGTTCGATACATATATACCTAGGTACACATATACACATACTCTTTTTTTTTCTGAGTAGCTAGCTACCTCTTGTTGATACACTCTGTGGTCTTGTTGTAGGAGCTGGTAGGAGTTCTCACGGTAGGGACTGTAGATCGTGTCGGTTGTGGCGCATGACAGATTGTCTCTCCCGAGGCTTTGGCGTGGAGAGGAACTCATAGCAACTGTAACACTGCTCTCCTATTAGTGACTGAAAAATCTGAAAATGGTAGAAAAAGCCATCTGGTTTCAGTCATACTTACATACCTCTCAGCTAGAACCACGAGATCAACTTGTCGATCTTTGGCGCTTCGAGAATATCGGCACCTGTTATTCCTAAAAGCTTTACGAGATAGATGAGTATAGAGCTTAGTGAAACTTTAGCAGACAGAGGCGTAGTAGCTGAGTACCTTATTATGTCCTCATGCGCGAGAAGGGCGCAGGTGCATTGCTCGTTCAAATTTTCGATTGGTTAAGCTTTACCCTGCTCTTAGAGGGTTTGCATCTGAGCATAGGTATGGTATTAGCACTTCCGAGGCTGAAGTAGCTTCTTTTCTAGTCACGATACCTATAATATTTGCAAGGATGTAATCGGCCGTTAGTCCTGGGCAAAGGCTGAGCTGTCACATTCACCATAATCGAGCTAGCATATACTACACATTTAGTACAAAACTCTCCCATACAAGCGGTGAAAGCTGCTAGGTTCTAGTCCAGACTATTGTACAATAGAAAAGTTTTTTTTTATGTGCTACTCGCGGAAGAAAAATATGATCTACGGTTGGGTAGATACGCCTTGCAGCGATGGCGACCTACGCACGACGAGCTGTGCAAGGTTGGTTGCTTTTTAAGCTGTACGAGATCGTCCAAGGTAAATCTCAAGTCTTCAATAAAAGAGGGCTGTATTGTTGTCGAGCACAAACTGATTATAGGTCGCAAATAGAAACGGGTGACGTTATACTGAGACATGGATCAGACACCGACTACGCATGAAATATCGTCTGGACTTCTCTGATTGTGTAATGAACATGATGCCCAACAACATGTTAATCTGTTTAGGTTGGGTAGCTAGATACGATATGTGTTGTAGTACGACGTATCTCAGCAGTTCGGCCATTCCACTAGATTCTACATATGTAGTATACTGTTACAATAACAATATGAAGAATGAAGCCCCATCGTAGTTGTCGAGGGGTGTAGGGAACTACCCTGTAAAATGACTGAGGGGGGAGCTGCTTTTAACAACTCGATGACGTTAGTTTGTACCTAGGTATGCAAATTCAGTTAGCACGTACGTCGAGTAGCCACTTAAATGCATCGCTCTGACCGCGAGGCGCAGCGTAGGACCTTCGTTTGAAGAATCTGCCCAGTGTCGGTAATTCGCTTACAGGTTAGAGGAGGTAGTTTAACCCTCTCTCGAGATTCACTGCTGAATGGATTCAAATTTATAAATTAATGGGAAGTTGGAATTTATAGGTAATATGTAATGATTTATTTATATCTTCTTTTCTGAACTACAAAAAAAGACATGTCTTTCATAATGCATGTACAATACTTTATAAGCTATTACGATGCGGTAGCACTGTATTCTTGCTTTTAAAAGGTCTCGCCTGGCTTACAGGGGTTGACGTCAGGTAACACCTAACTCCAAGCTTGTTTTTCGCCCAGGCGCAGCAGATAATAAGTTGCCCCGCTCCAATTGTAACGCACTAACAACACCACCATCGCTGGCCACTGCATCATATGCGCCTAATACCTCTCTCGCTCTTGCCCCCCCCTTCTCGCCGCATGTAATTACTGTGCTGCCGCTCTGCCGTTCCGCTGTTCATTACTCATAACTTGAACTTCCCAACTTCGACTCTTCCCAGTTGAATCATTTTAGAGTTTGATCCGTTTTTTTTTTCAACTAAACGCATACAAAAAAAAGTATCAATTCGCACTCACACTTATATATATATACATACACATATTACGGCTAACACGCACTATCGCACGCCAAAAATGTCCGCGTACGACCCTTATGACCCTCCCGCGCGCGATCATTCCCGCCGGTATTACCATGATGATCGCCGTGAGAGGGCAGCTCCCCGCTACACCGAAACTCAGGAAACATACTACAGAGTAAATCCAACGAGCCGAACCGCACTTGTGCCCCGAACGCGGGAGGACAGTGAACAGCTCTCCGTCGAGGAAGTCCACAGAGATTTCCCCCCTCCTGGTTACTCCCGAGATATCCGTAGAGCCAAATCCGCTGACCCCGGCTACGATGATTACTACTACGACTCGCGCCACCCTTACGACGGTGCGCGGGATCAGCGTTCTCGTAAGAAGCCCGCTAGCATCTACTACGAGGAGGAGGAGAGAACTCGCAAGCGCGTCCTGTCAAAGCAGGAAAAAATCATCGCCGCTGTCGCCGGTGGTCTCTTAGCCGCCGGCGCTAAAGAGCTCTGGGATCGCCGTGAAGCGGAGAAGGAAGGCGTTGAACTTCATCGAAACATAGCCGCTTCCGCTGCGCTTGGCGCTGCGGGCGCATTGGCCGGCTACCAAGGAGTTGACTACTACAATAAGCACGCCAATAAAGATGACAAGAAGTCAACCTACGTCGTCCACAGAGGACGAGATGGTAAAGTTGTCGAGTATTATTCCGACGATGACGATGATGATTCCAGACATCAAAAGGGCAACAAGTCTTTCCTTGAGAACGCCCTGGCCGCTGCTGGCCTGGGAGGCGCTATCAAGGCCTTGACTGGCGGCGGCGGTTCCGAGAAAGATTCAAGGAGCCGCCATGGAAGTCGCCGCGGTAGCCCCGACTCGTACCGTTCACGAGGAAGCACGAAGAGCTCGAAGGATACTCCTGCGGCTAGAATGCAAAAGGCTGCTAAGGCATCGCTCGTCGCAGGCGCCGCAGAAGCTTTTAGGGTCGCAAAAGAGCCGGGCGGTTGGAAGGGAGAGAAGATGAAGCGAGTTCTCACCGCGGCTGCCGGTGCTGCAACCATCGATGCTGCCCACGATCCTTCTAAGGATAGTAAACGCCACCTTGTGGAAGCCGTCATTGGTGGTTTGCTTGGCAACCGCATGCTTAATGGTTCTAGAAAGGATATCGAGGAAGATAGAAGGACGGGCCGGAGCAGGTCTCGCTCTCGTGCGCGTTCCGAGGGCGGCGGAGTACCTGGTCTTGCGGCGCTAGCTACGGCAGGGCTAGGGGCTTTGGGCGCTAAAAAGCTTGTCGGCCGAAGTCGATCTCGATCTCGTCGGGGTAGCTTCGATTCATACGACAGCCGAAGTCCCTCCCCCCGAAGGCGCCACAGCCGAAGCCGTAGCCGCAGCCGCAGTATCGTTGATAAGACACGACGCAGCCTGGCTAAGATTGGCCTGGGCAACGGCCCTGATGACAAAGACGATGACTACTATGACGACCGGTCTTCTCGCCGGAGCCGGCATAGGAGCCCATCAAACGACCGATATGATGATGATGATGATTACAAGTCTCGTGCCTATATGAGAGGAGGCCGGGGCCCTGCTAACGACCGATATGATGATTACGATGAGGAGGAGCGTTCTATTGGTAGTGGACGACCGCGTAGCTCGTCCCGTTCACGCGGAGGTAGGTCTAGTTCTTTTTCTAGTAGCGATCTTGGAGATTCGGATGAGGATAAGAAGATGACGTCGAAGATGCGACGTAAGCAACTCATTACGACGGGTTTGGCAGCCGTTGCTACCATACACGCTGCTCATAACGTATATGGTAGCATGGGACAGCGCGATGCGAGGCACAGAGCAGTTAAAGAAGGTAAACTGAGTCCAGAAGAGGCTCGGAAATTGAAAACCAAAGCGCTCTTGCAAGATGCGGCCTCGGTCGGCATCGCGGCACTGGGCGTCAAGGGCGCCATCTCGGAGCTCAAGGAAGCCCGAGAACAGGCCAAAGCAGTTAAAGAATGGAAAGAGGAGAAAGAGAGGCGTCACGAGAAGCGGATGGAGCGACTTAGACGTGAAAGTTCCAGCTATAGTGGCAGGTCTAGAGCTGACAATTGGCGCTCTTCAGCTCCGCCGCTGGAGAATCGGCATGACGATGGGCCCCATTATACTGACGGGAACCCCTACTCCGCCCTACCTGCACCTTCGGAGGGATACGACAGGAGATAATAGGTAGGGTATGCTACCATTATGCACTGTCCTGCATAGAGCCTACTCCTTTTTCCCGCCGACTGCATCTGTTGGGTTGCAGAGCATAACACCTGCACTATTTACTTTACGCCGTTACGACTTGACGATTTACTGCTATTTATGGTTCTAAAGGGAAAAAATATACATGATGGTGTGTTAAAGGCGTTTGGGATAAGACGAAAAACTGCTTGCATCGCGCCATTGCTGCTGAACTAACCCCGGCTGTCTTGAGATAGAAACAAATTCTCGCTCCTCGCATTGCTTTCTTTACCTCTTCTGAATCTCTTAAAATACGCGAAATTTTATTATTTATGATAAATACCTTGAGCATCTCACTGATCCTGATTAATGTGTGACAGATGGGCGCCATCGCCGCCACCACCACCATCGAGACGACTAATGTACCTATATATCCCGCTCTAATGCATACAGCAAGGGGTAGAGGGGCTTTTTTCTGTGTTACTTTGATTTCTTACCTGCGTCACCGAAAACATTTGGAGCAATCAGCCCCCTGTTGCAGCACAAACGCGGAACAGCGACGTACGTCAGTGGACCGTTCACTCGCTTACCGGAAGCCACGGGTTTAGGTCTCTACTGCCTGCCACGAAATTCGATCTGAGCGTCCAGAGCCAGCCAGTTAACGACTGTAATGAGGGGGTGTGTGTATGGGAATTGCAATAGGATCTGCAGGGTTACTTTTTTTAGTTGGAACTCGGTGGGATCTAGAGAAAGTTATGTTCCCGACGAACGGGAAAGAGGGGAGAAAAAGAAAAGGATGAGGGGATTCGATAGAGTATTGGGTCGGGAATCACGGACGAGGTCTAAAGGATATATATTACTTCCATTAAGAGTACATGTACCCGAGGAGGAAGGGGGCGGTGTGTATAAATGGAGAGAGAGGGAAGGGAGAGGAGGAGAGAAATTGGGGTTTGCAAGTTTTCCAAGATCTTGAGATTTTTTTTGGCGGGGGGAGACACGCTGTTTTATGACTAGCCTTTCAGTTTGATGACGACGATGACGACCTTGAGATTATTTCTAATTGGACGATGTCACGAAGGTTTTCTTTTTCCTTTTTTCTTTTCCTGTCCTTTTCTTTCAAAATACCTTAACTATATATTCCATTCTCTTCTATCAAGTCTATCATGAAGAGCTATTAACTAGGCTCTTTAAATTTATTGCCGTCTTTATTCACATGTGTGTCATAATACGTACCTAACGTATTATGTTGTTGTTATCTTTACACGACTGATACTCGGTGAGTACTTACTGTTGGGCTGAAGTATGAGGTAGCTTTATTCAGATGAACAACCGAGTATCCAAGTTGTCACGAGGTCCTACATCTGACAGCGTTGCAGTCCCCCTTTGTCTGCATCGGCGCATATACACGCAACACGCATACCTTAGACCCAGGTGTGTAGGTACGATACAACTCTTGAGTCCCCGAATCTGATGCCAGCATGGCCGAACGTGCCGGTGGGAATGAGTAGGTAGGTACAATACATGTACCTATGTGAAAGCTTAGCCATGTCATCTACTTAACTTAGTGTAGGTACTTACCCACCGACTCGGGAAGATCGAGAGAAGCGGTACGGATCGAATAAGTTGGAGGGCAGGGGCATCTCGGTAGCGTGTCTAAACCATGGCGTTTATAAACCAAACTACCCACATGAGGCACTTTCTTGTTAACTTTAGATGTATACGGCGGCTAACCTCACGGCCCTGCCTCTTCCCATCGCTCTGCCAGCACCCACCCTGTCATGACATCATCGTGCTGACCGCCTCCCCGCCTACTATTAACCCCCACGTCCCATAGTGTCGTATAGGTGCCTACCTACCTAGGTTGAGGTAAGTAGGTAGGTAGGTAGGTAGGTATCCATCCACTTCCCCCGAATCTATGTATTGTATTGTACATGAGGATACTTGAAGTACCTAGCTATATACATACCTACACTACACTACACCCCACGATACGATACGATACGATACGATACGATACGATCTAGTGTTATTTCATCCCTGGATCGTTGACTCCACCGTGGACACATCGAGAAGAAAAAAAGCGAATAGAAGAAAACACGGACCTAACCAGACCAAGTTTCTCTCTCCCTCTCTCCTAACGGAGGACCACTCCTTTAGGCTAGGCAAAGGCACGCGGGCGTGGAGTGCCAGTTGGAGTTGGAGTTGCGAGTTGGAGACGGTTGGTTTCCCCAACTTCGGGGTCGCGTGTCATGCGCCTCTGGCAGTTGACGATCCCCAAAGCTTACCTACTTGTATCAAGTACCTACCCAAGGTATAAGGGAGGTAGCAGCAGCAGTACCTAGGTAGGTAGGAGGTAGTATGCAGGTCAAGTAGGTATGCAGGAATGCAGGCAAGCCGTCAGATCAGGGTGTGCCTTGTGTTACCGCTCTTGTTCTTTCTCTCTCTCGGCTGCATAGTACCTATTCGGGAGTTTAAAGGGGGGGGTTGGACGAAAGAAAATAGGGTAGTACTCCGTCCGTCTTATGGCTTCTAGGGTACCTAGCACGCGCCTTTGTAAGAATACCATACTATACTTAAAGGGTCGTATGAAATAGGTACATCTCGAGGGCTACGTATCGAGATGTAGTTCCTTCAAGCTCAATCAATAGCTTGGCGAGTCGGGGAGAGCCGAGCCGCATGTCTATCCTCCCCACTAACATTCTTGGCACGATTTCGAAAGAGAAGACGGATTTGTGAGTGCTTTGATGTTTGTTTCTCTTACAATACAACGTATGGTCCTATAGACGATTAAGGCATAGACGTGAGCAAGATCTCCAAGATAATGAGGTTCGACTGCGTACTAGCAATTTAATATTCGACCAGTCCCGCAGTGGTTGTTGTATTAGGCTGAGTTCTCGGCTTTAAAAATAAAAAAATAGCCCATTATATACCTTAGGTACAATATTGAACTGTCAATCTCCTCGATACCTTTGTTTGGTACACCATTAATAAAAAGCGCTCCGTCGTCTCGATTAACTGACGGCACCACCTCCTTGCTTCCAGGCCTGAGCCATGGCAAGCATCTTTGACAGGTCTTGCTTCTGTTCGTCGTCCGCAGGGAATACGTAATCGATATATTCCTCGAACGTGTCGTCTTCCAGTCTGCGCCTGCGCTTCGTCCTCCGCGGCATCTGCTTCTGTACCTTCTCGATGTCCTCCGCCGATCCATGCGTGCGCTCGAACGAAAGCCAAGCGTTAAGTAGGGAAACTCTCTCCTCCTTGAGCTCCTTCTCCTTCATGCGCTTATGAGCACGCTCAAACACACTGCGAGCCCTAGCCTTAGCTTCTTCACTAACAGGCCGCTCTTCCTCTTCACCTCCTTCCTCCTCGTCTTCTTCGGGAATGTTGATCTCGAAATGCGCGTAGCTGATCCAGACCTTGACGTGGTCTGTCTTCTCGAGTAGTCTCTCGTACAAGTCGCGCGTCTTGTCGTACTCGCCCTCTTCTTCCTCGAAGTCTATGTACGCCTTCCACAGCAACTCCGGCATGTCGAGGATAGGCTGATTGATAGCGAGTTCGAAGATAGCTCTTGTCCTATCGAGGTCGTCCAGTCCTCTTTCAAGCTCAGCGAATTTAATCCAGGTTTGGCAATTAGCCGGATTCCACTCGATGTGCTTTTCGTAAAGGGTTCGACACCGTACGAACTCGAACAACTTCAGTTCCAATTCGATATAACCCTTGAATAGTTTGTCCTTCGGGCACATGCCAATTGCCTGTCCGAGTGTCTTGCGTGCGGTGGTAAGTTGGCCTTGTCGAATCTCGAACTGCGCCCTCAGTAGCCAGACTTTAGCAAATGTAAACTTCTTATGCGGAATTAGGTCGAGGCACAGCTTATAAATCTGCCGCGCTCGATCGATATCCTTAGCTTCCATCTCCTCCCAGATGGCGTAGAAGATCCATAAGTAAATATACCGACGCCAATGCCTCTTTTCCTGCGTAGGTGGGATTTGAGCTACAGCTCGCTCGTATACGTCTCTTACCCGGTCGGGGTCACCTGAAGTCTCCTCTAATCGAGCGTAGTCGAACCATATATCGTAATTCTTGGGGTTCTCCTTGATCTGGTCTTCGTAGTGTCTCCTTCTCTTTGATAATATTACATCCTCTACACCGTCCTTATCGCCATACTGCTTTTCAAAAGTCGTGTAGGCCTTGTGTAAACCCATAGACTTTGAGCGCGGGAGGCGATCTAGAGCATATTTGTATATAGCTCGAGCTCGCTCGTACTCCTTGAGCTTCGTCTCGAACCTCGCGTAAGCAATAAAAAGCCTCTCATCAACAAACTCGTCGCCCAGGGCCTCAACTGCAGCACCAAAAACCTCCCTCACCAGATCACTTGTTCCGAACTCTTCTTCGAATTTGGCCCACTTAATCCAGTTGCGTGGTTCCGGATGCACGATGGTGAAACGCTCGAAAATATCTCGGGCACGTTGGTATTCACCGTAACGCTTCTCCAGCTTGATATACGCGCTCCACGCAGCCTCATCCGGTTCCCAGGCCATCCACCTCTCGAATACCTGTCTCGTACCCGGAATGTTTCCGAGCATCTCTTCCATATACACATATTTGTACCATAGCTTGTCGACTCTCGGTAATATGGTAACGGCACGATCCAGGAGATTCCTCGAATGATTGATGTTCCTGTTCTTCATCTCGGCCTCGATATACCGAATCCATAACACGACGGAAGTCGGGTCGACATCGAGGGCTCGCTCGAAAATGGATCGCGCGCGCTTGAATTCCTTCTGTTCGAGTTCCCATGCAGCATAGCGCATCCAGTTGTTCATATTAATGGTGTTTCGGCGAACGTAGTTCTCGAACTCCCTTCGCTTCCGACCTTGGAACTCATGGAGCTCTTCTAGGTCACCAAAGCGCTGGGTGGGAGCTTGTAAGGACGTCTCCTGTCGATCTACTGCTTCCCGAAGCAGCTGCTCGGCGGAGATCTGAATAGGCGCGGCGGCCTTGTTCTTGACCCTTGGAGGGCCGCGTGAGGACTCCATCTTGACTTTAGTGAATGATATATGTAAGTCAATTGAGGTAGAAGTCGATATTAAAAAGTAAAAAAGGAAGGAGTATTGACGGGTTTGGGGGGTGGTATGGCTATGCCAACCAAATAATTAGGTGTTGAGCCAAGGGCAACTTGGATGTTGCAAGTTGCAAGAGGTTGGCAAGGCTGATTCTGATTAGAAAGATAAGCGGACGCGCGACAAGATCAGTTCAACTGTTAAAGTGGATCCAAACCTGGTAGACAAACGGAAAAATGAGATTTACCGACAACTTTACATCCATCCATGGATCTGATAAGCTCAGTGATTGGATACTAAAAGCTTAAGGTTCCACATTAAATTACAAGTCGCGACTAAGAAGGCAAAGAAGGCTGCGACCAACTTCTACATAGTACATCTTTTAATTTCCTTGTCGCAATTCGAAACTTTCCTTTCCCAACCTTTCATACAACCAAGAACTTGTCGATTTTTCCTGGATTACTTCCCACCCCTTCATATGACCGTAGAGAACTGCATACTCTTCAAAATTTTTGACCTGACGGTTCATCTCCCGTAAATACGCCATCGTTCGACAGTCCAATTATTACCCTTCGACGCCATGTCGACTCTAGCGGAGGAATTGCTGCAGGACTTTGAGGACTCTGGGTCCGAAAATGGAGAGGAGCAAAATGATGTCGGTATCGATCTTGACGGGCCAGCCACTGGCCCCCCAGCGAGTCACGATGATGGTGAAATGGTCCTGGACGGTGATGAAGAAGAGCCCGACGAGGATGAAGAGATGGGTGGCGTGAGTATAGGCGCTGTCGAACCCGTGGAGGATGAAGAAGCTACCAAGGCCAAAGTTGAGAAGATGCAGCTGGGCGGAGTTAAAGATATCCGCAAGGTCACTACTGTTATGGACAGGTTGGACCCTTTACTTAAGGTTAGTCTACCCTCTATTCCCTCTCTTCACACTACGAACAAAGTGATGGAATGTTTACATCTCCTGCCTTGAGCTATAGACCTGACCGACTGGTTTCGACTTTCTAGGACATCGCCCACTACCAAGCAAAATCTCTCACTCCGCACACGACCAATATAGGTAATATTGAGGACAACCCCGAGTACAAGATCCTCACTGAATCCAATACGCTCTCCACTCAGATCGATGGCGAGATCATGAAGGTCCACAAGTTCATCCGAGACCATTACTCGGCTCGATTCCCCGAACTTGAAACCCTCGTTCAGAATCCGATCGAGTATGCGAAGGTCGTGGCCATTTTGGGAAATGGACCTATGGATTCGGATAGCATTAGAGCACTTCAGGGCTCCGCCGACAATCCTCTGGGCGAATCGCTTAAGTCGGTTCTAGACGGACCTTCTCTGATGATTGTTACCGTCGAAGCTACTACTACGAAAGGCCATGAAATAAGCCAGGAGGAGCTCGAACGCATCCTAAGAGCCTGCCATATGATGATCAAGATGGAAAAGGCCAAGAAAACACTTACGGACTACGTGCAATCTCGAATGAACATTTTTGCCCCTAATCTTACAGCCCTAGTTGGATCCTTAACTGCTGCGCAACTCATTAATACAGCCGGAGGTTTAACTAATCTTTCACGGGCTCCTGCCTGCAATCTTGCCGCTTGGGGTTCCAAACGATCGGGCAATACGGCATTCGCCACCAATGTGGGTGTAAAGCAGCAAGGCTACTTGTATCATTCACCAATTATCCGAGGTATCCCAACCGACCTAAAGAAGAAGGCTATGAAGGCTGTGGCGGCAAAACTCGTCTTGGCTGCACGTGCAGATACCGGCCACACGAATTCTGATGGATCTTATGGCGAAGAGCTCAGGACTCAATGTTTAGAGAGGTTAGATAAACTGACTGAACCGCCCCCGAACAAGGGTCAACGAGCCCTGCCAGCCCCAGATGATAAGCCCTCACGTAAGCGAGGTGGACGACGGGCTCGCAAAGCCAAGGAGGCAACGGCGATGACTGAGCTTCGTAAAGCACAGAACCGCATGGTGTTCGGTAAGGAGGAGAAGGAAACAGACTACGGAATTGGAGACTCTACTACGGGCATGGGAATGATTGGCCAAACGAATGACGGGCGGATTCGTGGAGTGCAGATTGATAACCGTACACGAGCGAAGCTTAGTCAAAAGCATAAAGGTTGGGGAGGAGCTACGCCTATTGGCGGTTCGGCTTCGTCATTGCGCGGCTTCGGCCAATCAGGCGGCAACATCGACCTCCGCGGTAAGGGTCTACGAACTTCAGGGGTAGGATCCACCATCGGAGGAGGTGCTGGAACAGCCTCGTCCCTAGCATTCACGCCGGTACAGGGACTCGAGCTGGTGGATCCAAAGGTTCAAGCCGAGCTTAATCGCAAGCGAAAGGCGGAGGAGGACCGCTGGTTTAAGGGCGGTACCTTCACCCAGGTCGCCGGGGGTGGGACTTCTAGTGCCAACGGCGGCTTCAAGGTCCCCGAGCACCCTAACAAGAAAGTCGACACCGGCGCTGGCAAGATGGGACCGCCGGCGCTACCCGCTAAGAAATAAGGGGCGGGCGAAATACCGCGCTGTTATTACTGTAGGATCAGTGCGTGAAGTAAGGGACTTCTTTTTTTTGGTACAACGTGCGTACGCAAGACGAAATATATAGGTATAAAGCAAGGCATGGAGTTCTAAAGGGACGGCGGGGTTCGGTTGCATGGCATTGGCGTTTCTTGGAATGGGAATGGGGGCCTATCGTAGTGTGCAGTGTATAGTTACTTAAAACTTAAACTACGGGATTTGAAGCCAAATCGGCTTAGTCTTTTGGTAACTAGTTTTTTCTACTTCTTTTCTTTATACCTACATACACATGTGCTACCTCAAAAATGTGTACGCGTTTCTTACCTTAGGCACCTAATGTATGGAACAGGTTCGTTCTCTTGGAAACTTAAAATTCTTCCCAAGGGGCCGCGCGTAACCTGTCTGAAAATCTGGATTTGAATTGAATTTAAATTTGAATAAGGGGGATAACCCCGACCTCGGTTTGCGCAAACTCTAATATCTATCTTTATTTCTATTTATATCTCTATGTTAGGTTAGGTTAGGTGTTAGGTTAGATGCCCAGATACGCAGATACGCAGATACGCATCTTCTTCTTTGCCTATGCTGAGGCGTGGAGTTGCCTCCGACCCCGTCGCCTGCTCTTGGCCGGAGTATGGTTTTCCATATATGTATATATGTAAGTTATATGTATGTATGTAAGGTATATATGTAGGTGAAGTAGGTAGGTTAAGTACCTAAGGTATTTGCCCGCTAAGGCGTCAGGAGATAGCATGGTGTTTTCTTCTTCTACGCGATGATTGGTATCTTACGTAGGTCAGGTAGGTACCTAATCTAGGTACCTACCTAAGTCTTTGAACCTAATATCTAGGGGTAGGTAGTAAGTAAGTACTGTAATAAGTATGTGCCAGTCCATGTGTCTATTTCTTTTCCCCCTTGTCTTTTTCTCGGCTTTTGCGTCGGCCTAGGACGTACATAGTAGGACGGACCTAAGGGGGGAAGGGGACATGGGGAAAACCACCAAAAGAAGAAGAAAAAGTGTGTCACGACGTCGGACAAAGAACGGGGGGGCCTGGGAGGAAGCAGGCTCGCACAGATCTCGATCGCCGGGTGAAAAAAGGCCTTTTGGGCCCGGCCTAGAACTAAAAGGGAGGAGGGAAGGGGACAAGTAGATAGGTAGATAGACCACAGAGAGACGGACAGATAGGTAGGTAGGTAGGTAGGCAGATAGATGGCTACGTTAGATAGCTACGAAGAGGAAGGGAGGACTGGGATTTTGTTTTTTTGGCCGGGGCGCGGCGTGCGCGTGGGTTACACGATACGTGGTCCCCCAGATCATCTCTCGTAGCATGCTGCTGGCAGCGTTGCAAGCCTCCTACATATGGCGTATGGAATATGGAATATGGTATATTGCCAGAGATATGGTATTTGTATATTACGATATGGCAGAGTGCGATATGACATGGTATAGATGAGAACAGGATGTAGGCGTACGTACCGTACGCAGGAGAGGGTGGTGGCTCGGTACTACTACTGCCGGTAAGTAAGATAGGTAGATGTGTCAGGTATAAGTTATATGTATGGATGGATTGTATGTATGTAGTATGCGTATGTGGTAGTGTTGGTGGTGGTGGTGGTGGTGCGTACGACCAAGTTGCCGTTGTCCAATGTCGCAAAACGTGAAGAGATGAGAGGTTAAAAACATTACAGAGAACAGAAGAAGAAACGAACGAACGAACGAACGAAGAACAAAAAAATGACCAAATGCAAATCATGGATGGATGGATAGATTGATTGAGGTTGGATCGGGAGGGTGGGAAACACGCGAGAGGCGGGAAAGTGGGAAAATAAACAAAAAAATAAAACCAAAAAGTCCAGAAAGTAACAACGAGAATATGAGATATGGATTAGATTGAACATGGCGTTCTAGTGAAAAGGTCGCACACCCTCCAGACATGGGAATCTATCATTCTGGCTGGTCGGAAGCATGGCGTTTCCCAACTTTCGCATCCCCGCGGGCGCGGGAAATCATAATAACCCTAGATTAAAAAAGAAATATCGATACGTCTGTTTTCTGTTTTCTGTTTCTCTGTTTGATTTGTTGCTTTTCTTGTTTACACCGCGCCATCCATCATATCTTGCGGATTATACCATGCTATGTCAATGGGCTGGCTGCAATGTAATTGGCAAAGTAGATAGACAATGCTGGGCAAAGACCTTCCGAATAGCTACATGTTCGAACGATATTTTCCCTCGTCGTAATTTTCTACCGCTGTCGCGGCTACTGCTGCTATTGCCTCTGCTTCTTTTCTCTTTTGCTTCTCTTACATCTGCAGGGACTTGGCCGGGAAAGTACCTACATACGTGACCTGCTGCTACCTATGCGCCGTCTACCTATATTATATTATACATAGAGGTACATAGCTACCTAATGTAGTAGGAAACAATGGCTAGGGGTTGTATTGTCTCGTCTTGTCTTGTATGTTCTGTTCTGTTTCGTTCCGCGTCCCGTAGGATAAGTCGAACTACCTGAGCGCCGATCCCTCGAAGATCGTAACGCCAAAAACAGGATTTCGTCATCACTAATCACGGTGACATACTACTTACATACATAGCTACATAAGGTATTATACCTAGACGAGGTGTTACAAACATGAGGGAAAAGAGAGAGGGAATAGCCCATGGCGCGGGGTAAAAGAATAAGAAAAAAAAAACTGGTACCTTAGTTTAGTAGAGTACCACATGGACACACATGTGAGGGGAACACATGTGAGGAGGAGACGTAGACATGGGGGAGGAAAATCGTATCCTTGTCCGTCTTGTCGTGCGTACATAGTATATTGTACTGGAGGGTATCTTACCTTCTCAACTTCGGTACAGGTCGTACGCGCAACAGATTCTAGGTAATGTCCATCCATGGTATTGTCCAAGTATACCTAATGCATGTGCGTATGGCTATCGCGAGTCAGGTTGGTGCAGTTGGCTAATATCGACATAGAATTTCCCGGCTCTTGGATAGCGCAAAGGTATCATAAATGTATACACCACGTAGACAGAGATATGCACATATGTCTATAGTTAAAAAAAGGAAGAGACTAAAGGGTTGGCAACTACGGCATCTGAGTCCCGGCCTATCAGTAGGATGAAGCTTGTGAATGAGCTACATGGAATAGTGCGATTTCTTTACGCATGTAATAGCGACTATCGAAAGAGCTTCTGCAAGAGATTTGAGGAGAAAAAATAAAAAAAATGCTGACCGTAAGGCTGCGCTGTTGTTAACGGACACGGGGCGTATCCTGTGGGTCAGGGTCAGTAAAAAGGGGGGACCCCAAAAAAACCCCACGATCGTGCGCAAGCTCGGTAAGGGGCTATGTATTACCTACTGCATATCCCGAACGGCCGGTGGTCGTCGCAGGTTGCTCGGTTTGCTGCGACCGCGGAGCTCCGGGTCCTTGACGGCATGTCCCGGAACAGCATACCCGTTCGGATAGTACGGTCTGGGTCGATAGCTAGGCGAGCGTCTCCCCATTTTTAAATAACGAAAAAGGGGGGCATTGCCAACCCTCCTATACAACATGTTCCCATACGTTTGTTGCGTAGCATGTTGTCGTAAAACCTTGGGTAACTTCTGCAACTTTTTGCCCCTGTGGCTCGTGGCAGAGCTTACACTTACCTACCTACCTTACATACCAGCTTTCATCTATGGTTCAATTCCTATTGGCCTTGATGCTTGGCTGTTGTATTTTCTGGCCTTAATCCTTACGTTATTATCCATTATCCTCGGTATGAAGGTGCATATGTTTATTCACTGCATGGGGCTTAGTCCACTAGTTTGGATAGATGTGTGAATGTGGTAAGTAACGTTCCGACCAATCTTCGGCTCGGCTCAGGATGATATACACCTTGCTGGCGATGTTTTGGGTCTATTTGTGCGTCTTATCTATATGTACGTAAGGGTAAGCAATATCAAGGATCAGAAAGAACGGAGTCTGGCCCAGATCATCAGATATATTGCATGCGCAACAGATAAATCCCATTCGAAATCCCATATATGCGAGCCTATCTACGGTCTGCTTTGATCTTATCATGAGATTCGCATGCGACACGTTATACCTACCTAGTCGAGTCTATGGATGAAGCAATTTGGGTGCTGTGACTCGATCGACCTACATGCATGGTAAGCACTGTAAAGGGATGTTGAAAAGTGTAGCTAAGATATGTAAATAGTAATCGAACGGCCATCGTAACGTGACGATGTGGAGTATACCGAGTATAATCGCGATAATTCTTCGACGACTCTTTTATCAGCCCATGGACTGATGCTCGAATGTTTTAGTGTCTGTTCGTGTGGACCTTTCTTATGCCGTCTAGACCTCGCCTTGTACATATCTCAAAGCAGGGGTTGAGCTCCTGGGGCTGGACTCCTGGGGCTGGACTCCTGGGTACGGAGTTCCATCCGGGCATCCAATGGCCTGACTGGTTTTTGCATTCCCCAAACGAATGACATCTTACACCCGGGATACGGTCCAGGCCTTCCTAGAACGAATAAGTGACAAATGAGTACATTTCATGATGGAGATAGATATCTTGGGCCTGCAGGTTAAAAACTTAACTATCATGGAAGTTAGCAAATCGAATTCGACACGAGGAGATTCCGAACCTTCCAAGCCCTTTCCAAGCCTTACAAAATGCTGAAAAAAAAAAACTCTTGGAGGAATAGAGTCCAAGATGCCGAGCCGGAAACAAGACATAACGCGGACGTGGAAAAATATCGAAGGTGGAACGGATAGACCCGGAAGCACGGCCGTTTCGCTTGTTAGGTATGGACCTAAAGCTCCGAGGCGTCTACCCCGTGTGCACTTCAGTTTTTTTTAGTTTTTTTTTATAGCCTGCTACCTACCTAGTTTCATTTTGCGTCATTGTGACAAACCGATATATCCATATTTGTTTTAACAGGTAGGTATGTACTCTGATGCGCACCTATGTATCGAACCGGTAGAAGCGAGTAAAGTGAACATGCGTATATTCGAATAAGTACCTAGGTGTTATTATACGGGGCCAATAGCAGTGGACCCGTCATGGGTAAATCAATAGGTACCTCACCTATGCAAAAAAGAAAACAAAGAAAACAAAGAAAAAAAGAATGCTCTGGTAAATTTACGAATATAGACAAGTGTCTAGGTAATTCAGAAATCAAAATCGGCTCCACCGGAAACAGAAATTTCAAATGACTCAAAAAAAAGTTTATATAGCAAGAAAATAATCCGCAATAATATATCCTCGGCGCCTTTCGTTAGATAAGCTGATGGGTTGTGATGGATTATCTGTAACATACCGTATTCGGACAATGTTGTTCTTGTGTCTCGGCCGCACTCAATGGCATACATTGGACATACCTCATACAGACAACGCAAAGATATCCCGCAGACATTTCGTCCATCGCAATTATTAAATTCGTTGGGCGAAGGTAGTCCGAAGATCTGGAATCCCATTCTTTAGATCTCATGAGAGTTGTCCGCTTCCGGATGTCAGAAGGTTTGTACCGTGGTTGGCGCGCATAGACAGGTGGATTAATAAGTTAGGTACACAAACCCGCTTCCAAATTTTCAGGGACCACTATCGTACCATAGGCCGGCAGTGCAATCGATGTATTGCATTGTACAATAGTAGACGTGAGCTGGTTGAAAATATAATAATATTTATTAGACCGCCAGAAGCTCTTAGAATTTCAAGGCGCCCAGCCGACTATTAACGAATCCAGGGGAGAGAAGCAAAAGATAAAAATCCCAGCAGCACGACTTACTATAATGTACCAGAGGTACTGCAGCTGTACATTGAGCCCAGGACCTGGACCTGGACCTGGACCCTGGCTGTCAAACGATAAGTTGGCCCTATGGAAAGATACGAAGTTCGTGCCAAGAAAAATTTAAAAGGTGTGTTCCTGTAATGTGGACCTCGCCGGCGATCTCGCTAGCAATCGACGATTGCCCAACATTGTTTCGATCTCTGTGTTGCTGAAGCGCGGAGCAAGTTCCTCAACCCCTAGAAAATTTGTTGTTACGCCTTTGCAGCTTCCAGGGCGGCTTGAAGGAAATGCTGGCCGTATTCCATTCCACTCATTCTATTTCGGTAGGTAGTAGTGTAGGTATTCTTTATTAATTATCATCCCCATCGTTGATTTTGTTGCTGTTGTTGTTGTCGTTGTTGTTCCAATCGTACCGATGCGGCCCTATTCAGGCTTCGATGTACATGGGAAAGGTATCATCAATGTACAATAAGAATTATCACAAGAAGGGATCGAAAGACTCAAAAAATGGAGGCGAGTTACCCTACCTCTTACCATGTACATGACATGACCCCTCCCTATGTACATAGTAGGACCGTAGAAGGCCTCAAACATGTGCACAACTTAAATGTAGGTACCTAGGGTTAGTTGGCGCATGCCGAAAGAACCCTTAACTTTTGGTCAGTCAGATTCCAAGACTGCAAGAGTTGCCCGGATACCCAGCATTAAAACCCCCACTTCCTGCAAGGCTTCTTGCATCGTGTACCGTATACGCACTATAAGCGTACCGTAGGATGAATGGATTCATGTTGTTGTGCAATCTGGTAACGTGCATGTATCGACATCAGGGATATCAGGAACATCAGGGACAGCAGGGACCTGTACATGTACATGGTATCATCTACCTACATAAGTATATGTAGGTAGGTATTAGGTACCAAGTAAGCCACAGCCGAGCCTCGTTTGGACGTCGCACATATGGACATATGGACATATGGATCTAAGTAGCGCGGTGGAGTGCGGAACGGTTTAGAAACAGCCTCACCGCGAAGTCCCTTACTGTAGTGTAGCGTCCATTTTCTCAGGGTATCATATTTTCAGGGACTTATTAGCAACGGGAAAGAGACCATAATACCTAGCATGGACAAGCCTGCTAGGTCCTACTGTAAGTCTGTAACAAGGGCATATATACATCGTAGTAGAGAATTAAAAAAGCAACGAAAAAAGGAGGAAAGAAGAAGAAGAAAAAAAAAAGATCAAGTTCCGAGTGGGGCTCGACTGTTCCGCTTTCATTCAAGTCCCTTGCCAGAGCTCCAGCTTTGCGGCCCTCCATCAGACGGAGACCGATCCCCCTCCAAAATCGAGATCGCTCTTAAACATCCTCGGCCCCATCGTCAGAATTGCTGGCTATCGAAACAACCGCACACGGGCAACCCTCTCCTTCGACATTTGGCAGCGACCCGCTTTGTGCTTACCTTGGACTCCGGCGGTTTTTTTTTTCTTCGTTCATGACATCATGATTTTCCTCTCATTTCTGCCGCTTTCTTTTTTTGCTGGTAGACATTACTAGAGTCTAGGATTATTATTCGGAAGCCCGACTAATAAAAAAAAGATCGATTTCCTGGGGCTCCGAATATGCTCCCCCGCACGCGGCGCAAGGAAGGGTTAAAAGAGCTAGGAGCTAAGGATTAAGTGCTAAGGGCTATAGGTAACTCCTCTCAAGGACCCCTTAATAACAAGTCAGCGACTGCAACACATCATTACAGGTGTGCATGGGGTTAGGTAGACTTGCCGAGTTGGCGCTGTGTGAGACCCGAAGGAAAAATGTGGCTAATGTATACTAGTATCTGCTTTGTGTCCAGTATCCACATTAGAAAGAAAAATTGATGGAGTGGATGTCGAGGATCGAGATGGAGGGAAAGTGGGGTTCGAGTGGAGACCCTCGAAGCATCGAATTCTGAGAAAAACAGAAACGGGAAAGAAGAATGCCATGAACGGCAAGCGGATGACAAAAGTACTATGTAACCTTGCATGTCTCAACTCTACCTACTTCTATACAAGGCAAGCAACCTCGAGTTCCAATTGTCCTATTGCTGCGACAAGTCATTCGAATATGAATATAAATTTAAATAATTAAAGTTAGCTCATATGATGAGTGATAATATCAATCCGTTATTTTTTTATTTAATTAATTATTCTGCATCTTGTTGTTATCCGCAATGGAGACGTATTGCACACGAGTGTTAGTGGGTTTCGTGGGTTTCGTTGGAGTCCATGTAACTTATCCCACCATCCACCACATTGTATCATCAATGGACACTTGGAAAATAGGTAGTAGGTACCCTGAATACCTTTAGGTAGGTTAGGTACCTTAGATGATCTGTGTCGCACAAGGTTACCGACATGTACCTTCACTGCTTGTTCCATGTACCCCGAGCTTCCCCCCTGTCTCCCTTTGACGCCATACGTCTTGGCAAATTCGATAAATAATCTTCCATCTGTGTTCCGACCAGGAGATTGAGGCGTCGAAGGCGTCGACGAGGCTATACTTACATGCATCGGAACTTGATGCATTAAGGGTAGCCCGCTGTCATAAAAAAAAAGAAAAAAGACCCTGAAACTATAGCTAGGTCGATAGAAAATGAGGGTATTTTAATCTTGTCCTCCTAGGGCTTTTGCTCCGGACTTGCTCTTAAATACACTATGATATTATAGTAGTTCTAATGTAAAGAAACAAATAATTTCAAAGTCTCGTATAGGTCTTATCCTCATATGTCTAGTACTTAGGGTAAAATGAAAGAATTCACCCTATGACATAACGCATTCGTACCTAACTTGGGGTAAAATATACCTGGATAGGTAGTCAGCAGTACGCGGTTATGATATATCTCACTTGACCCTATTCGGTAGACGACCTTCAAATTATGTGCATAGTATTGAAATAACTGCTCCATAACCTAACAGTCAGTAAACGGCTATGGATATCAAAGGTGGACGTCGGAGACGGTGAAGGTTTACTATGTAAGATAGCGCAGACTAGCTTCAGGTAGCTTCGATAGCCTCCCACGTCACCTTTAACACAAAAGTCAGACAGCCTTGACGATAGCGCGCACCTGAAGGCCCGCCTTATGGGAGTTTGTGTCTCCCGGCGGGTGGGCTGTTGTATGGAGACCAGAAGCACGAGTTATTCCTCAACCTGGAATGTCAATCAGGGACCCAGGCGACCGATTTTGGTGGTGCTGGCATCCTGAAAATAGACACTAGATGAAGTGAGATATGCTAGCAAGATCCGAGCAATGCAACATCCAGAAGGTGCCTGCTGATCACCTGTAGGCAGCGCAACGCAAGGTGAGCGAGCTACAACAGTTGTACCCGTCAGCCCGTCTCAGCCGTCATCTCCAATTCGCCAAATAGGTACCTTCTTCACTTATTCTTGTAGGGCAGATAGGGCAGAGGTACGTATCGTACTCCTGGAACGGATCAACAAGAGATCTCCCTGCACAGCAACGACATAACATGTTTAATAAGTGGTCCAGAATAGCGTTTGCAGAATAGAACATAACCGTTTCGTTTTCGTCCTCGGCCGAAAATTTTAACTTTTTGCTTCGGCAACATCGGGAAAAGTTGTCCCCTCAAATGCCTCAAGTTTTTTTTTTTAAGTTTGCGGTTGCGCTTTAGTAAAGTTCTGCTCGCTCTATTCTGTGCATCAGTACATATGTGTATTGTACATACCCGGGTAGTTGAAGATAGATACCTTATAACCAATGTACCTAGTTATATGTAGGTAAAATACGAGAAAGCCTTGAGAATAAGGTCGACCTGCATGCGCAAATATTTTATTAGAATGATGAATCACGGCTTACCATTGCGATATATGGCTGTCATGCAGGACATCTGAACATATCTGAACGGCTCCTTTCGTACATGGTAAGCTATAAGCGGCCTACATAGTATTAACAAGAGCCTTACGATGTAACTTGACACTAGACGGTACTACTACCTATGTAGAAAGATGTCTGGATGTAGGTAACTATGTAGGTTAAGCACTTGGGCAGTTACATGTAAGTAAGGAAATAAGCGGTGACGACGATCTTATTTGGTTGTTCTTCGGCACTAGCTCGCCCAGCAGCACCTAGCCTAGCACCTAGCACCTAGTACGCCAATGCATAGAGGGTACATGTGCGATACTCGCAATACTCGGTCAGGTACAATGCCTCAGTCCCATGTGTCTGCAACCGTCCCCCCGCTTCCTTCTGCTTTTTTGGAACCACTTGCTAGCATGTAGCGGGACCCTTGATCCCTGTAAGCTTTGTGCGATGTGCCCAAGTACTTCTTGTACCTTTTAGTCTGTCCTCTTTGGTTGGAAATGTGGAGGAAGCTGGGAACTCGATGGGATTCATGCCTTTCCCATGTTTCCTTTTTAACCAACTCACTTCCCATCGTTACTCGCACGAAAAAGCTCTTCTGATCTTGCTTCACCTTCCAACCTTTGTTCTCGAACTCCCCCCTTAAAATATTCAAAATAGCTACTCCACCTTACAATAGCTATTGCAATTCATCACAATTGCCTTGACCTAATACCTAGGACGAGAATAATCCATCCCATTCTAGCTTGAACTTAAACCGCACACATACGCACCACACAAAACCTGTCGAACCCGCACATCTTTGACCAAAAGATCATAACCACCACCACCTCACCTCACTCGGTCTCTCGTCGCCTTTTCGACTTGTGCCAGTTTTAGCTGCTGCCCACAATAAAGCTTCTATGAGTTCAGAGCGTGCTTGATTTAAGCACCATTTATTGAAGACTTTTGTCTGCTCACTTCATAAATTGCTCCGCTGTGCCTTACCTTATCTTACTACTGCTGCTGCAAGGGTGTGAGCTTCACATACATACGCCATACACCATACACAATTAAAAGACGGAACGAGACAAGGCAACGCTTGAATACAACCACGGTTCAAGCAGCTGATATTAATTGAATTCGAATTCCGCTTCCTGCGCCTAACCCCCACATCTACAGGCACAATGCACGCCCGAGACGCCACCGGCCGTCAGGTCTCTCTATTAAATGATGACCCATACGCCAGCCACCAGTCATACCACACGGCTATCCACTCTCAATCCACCGGCGACCAATCGCCGCCGCCCCACACTCCAGAGCTCCTCCGTTCGGATTCCTACGACTCTAACGCCAGCTACGATGCTTACTCGCCATTAACACCTGGTCTGTACGATTATTCGTCGCGCCCGCTGTACGATGATTATCTACCTGACCAGAAAGTTGGCATGAAACGTCCGGTCTATGTTGCAACTAGTCGTTCTAACTCGTATGAAGACGACAGCTCTGCTAGCTCGGCGGCACCTGAGAAAACTGGCAAGCGTTATCCTTGCCGGTATCGTGATAGTCACGGCTGTGAGAAGACCTTCACTACCTCCGGACATGCCTCACGTCACTCCAAGATCCACACTGCCGAGAAGGCCGTTCAGTGCACATACCCCGGCTGCCATAAGAAGTTCACCCGCGCGGACAACATGAAGCAGCACCTCGAAACTCACTTTAAGGACAAGTCTAGGTCTTCTGGCTCTTCCAAATCCAAAAGCTCATCTCTGTCTTCCTCCAAGCGTGGCTCAGTATCTTCCAAGTCTTCATCTTCTCACAGCAGCGCACCATCTCAAGACATCCAAATGTGGGAGTCGGACCAGTACGGCCCTGACATTCCTTTCCCGTCCCCCGGTGGAGCTTGGGACATGCGTGGTCTCAACATCCCACTTATGGCCCGGCCAGGTGCAATGAGAACCAGCAGTGGATTAGACGCTCTCGCGGCGATCGCTTGTCAGGAGGGTGCTTAGGGATCCCCCTAACGCAAATTTTCCTAAGAATATTTCTTATTTACGAGCCGAATCAAGACCAACATCTAGTAATGAAGGGGTAATGGACGGGGATTTGTTCCTGCTTATGTAACGGGGACCGGTACGACGGGATATACGTTTATAACACGGCGTTTGGGGGTATATTTTGGAAACACAACTCATGAAGGCATTATTGATACCACGGTGGCACGCATACGATGGGCACACCACTTTACTTTGCATCTTTGAAAGACGGCGGGGAAAAGCATTTAAGGAGCCTGAAGTGCTTCTCACGCTTCTCTCTACTCACAACACGACGACTGGTGCCAATTGGCTTGTTGGCCCCGGTTTTTATTATTATTTTTCACCTGCTTGGAAAATGATGCGAGTAGCTGTATAAATCTCAAACGAGGGAGGATACATGTGTACTTGCATATACACATGGGAGCTGATTAGTAGGCGCACGGGGAGTTGCGCCGGAGACCCACCGTGAAAGGGGTCCACATACCTCGTCGGGCGGCATTTTGTCTGCTATATATAAATGACGTTGGAGTTTGGCATTAGATACCAACGTTCGCCCGGAACAGAAAAAGGGGCGGATGGCATACGAAGATGAGACGCAAATATTTAATGATGAAAAAAACTCAAGTTTTTTTTATTACCTTGCTAGCTATGAATTACTTAAAAATTGAAAAGTGACTTGTCTTGTGATGAATTTACTATGTATAAAAACTGAGAGCGTTCTTTAATTGCCGGTCCGGCAAACGGCCCGGGGTTTATTCTTCATAAGGCAAACGCCCTAACGGAATTTCTAACGTCATTATTATCTGCTGGCAACGCATCAGAGTCGTGATAGTCTTCTAGGGTTCTGTGGTTGAGGAGAAAAGAAAAGAAAAAGGAAAAAATCAAACTAAAAAAAAATGAGCCCTAGCCTCGGTTGTGCTAATAAGAAGTCCAGCTGCAACAGCTGCAGCGCTGGCGGTCTGTCCTTCTTTCTCGCTCTTTCTTTATTGGACTCTCGTCTCGTCTTTTACCAAGTCCCTGGTCTTGGCATAGGACCCTGATGATCCATCCCATCACACAACCCGACTTTTTCTCATTCTGTTTCTAGCCGTTTTCCCTCCCGGGCAAAGCGCAAGGAGTTGAGGAGGAGTGAGGGGATACGGATACACACTAACTAGGTCAAGGGGATAGGCAGTGTAGTGGTTACGTTTCCCCCCCGGCCGGGGGTTCGATCTACGTTTCTGCATACGATGCTACAACGATCCTTCTCGAGTGATTATCTAGCCTGCCACCTCGCCGTTCATGTGAAAGTTGTGCAGTGCAGCGCAGGCGCAGACGCAGACGCAGACGCATATATAACACGAACTGAAACTTACCTAGGTACCTTCTATCTACCTAACTAAGGGAAGAGGTTTAGAGGGGGTTTTAGGGGGGGAGGGATAGACGGAATATTGTTTGTTGTTCTGCTTTTTTGATGAAGTTCTATTGCATACTGTAGCGTCAAGCACCATAGCGAATTTAGTAACCGCCTCCAAGGCACGCGCACGCGCATGCGGTTCGAGGTAACCGTAACACCTAGTACCTGTAGTGGTAAATAGGCTGAGGACGGGTTATTTTTTTTTTTTTTTTTTCGTGTAGACTTGATTTTGGGGGGGAAGGATATATGGAAGTGTAGTATAGACGGCCCCCAGCATCGTTCCGCAAAGAGACAGAGGGGGTCGCTCTTGGTAATCGGTTGTTTTTTCTTGGGTTCATTATTACGCTTCCCGGGACCGCTTCCTTCTTCTTTACCATTCCCCCCCTTCCTTTTGCTATTCAACGACGTCATCTTGCATCAGTACGTCATTGCCAATTACTTTATGGCCCCGGACCTGCTGTCCTACCTACCCCCCAGCCAGTCTGCCCCTTCCACCCCTCGAACCAATTCTTCCTCGGCCTTGGAAAACTTGAAAATGATGAAAAGAAAAAATCAAAATCCTTCGACGCTCGTCCCTTTTTTCTGGTACCCAATCATTAAATGACACTCCCCCATATACGGGCGATGATTTTTAGTCCGGGTTTTAGGCCCCCCATTCAATCTCCACCGCCTACCCGTTCCGTCTTGTCACAAGTCACTTTCCCAGCGATCTTGCTGCAAACGATCGTCGGTGCTGACAAGCGGGGGTCAACCTTTCCACGCCCCCCCGTTCCTGTCGATCATCGGTTTTTTTTTAATTCTTAATTTAGGCGGGAACTTTTCCCTTTGTTCTTTGCCTTTTCTTTTTTTTTCCCCTTCCCTTGGAAGTGGACTCGCCGGTAATTCCGACTGGTTATGTATTTAGTTCCCGCTTGCGCTTGCGGGAATAGCCTCACATGCCTCTCCGTCTCGGATCACCCTTGTCCCTCTTCTTGCTAGCCGCACCCCGCCCCAGTTGTTGCTATTAGTGTAGTGTTATCTAGGTACACTACCTGACAACGTGGGCGGAACCCCGAAACGCGCTCGGGCTTGGATTGCGAAGCCTGGATGGGGAAAACACAGGGTGCTTCTCGTATTGTACCATTGATCATCGCAGGTCAGCAAGGGGAAGAGAAAAACAGTAAAGATATTGTTGAGCGATCATTTTTATAGCTGGAATCTGGAATCTGGATACCCTTTCCCTTCAAAAATTTTGACATGTTATTTCTCAGATCGCATTTATCCTAGATTTGTTCCCAAACCCAAACCCTTCTCCCGTATGTCTCTCTGTCTTCTAATAATATGCACCACTATATGCATGTAATGTTCTGTATGTATCCGCCTGGAAATAGACACGGCTAGGTATCACATGTCTCTTCACCACAGCTCGTCGTTATCGGCGCACCCCCTCGCCATCTCGTACTGCTCGTCCGTGCGGCACACAAGGGTCCTGTGCCTGGCGCCCTTGGCGCCCACGTCCTGCACGACGCTGGAGATCTTGGCCGCGTTGAGCGTGGGGCCGATCCCGAAGCCAAGGCACCCGACCTGCTCGACGACGGCCGCCCGCAGCTTGTCGCTCTTCTCGCCGATGCCGCCCGCGAACACCAGCGCGTCCACCTTGCCGGCCAGGGACACGTAGTAGGAGCCAACGAAGGCGCACACGCGGTCCGCGAACAGGTCGAAGGCGAGCTTGCACTCGGGCCGGTCCGACGCCGCGATCTTGCCGAAGTTGGTGGTGCCCGTGATCGCGCTCCACCCGCTCTGCTTGTTGAGGATCTCCTCCGCCACCGATATGTGCAGCTCCTTGGTCGACGACGGCGACAGCTTGCCTACGTCGCTCGCGTAGTGGAACACCAGACTCGGATCCACGCTGCCGCTGCGAGTCGCTCCCGGGAGCCCCGCCAGCGGCGTCAGTCCCATGCTCGTGTCCCAGCTGTGACCGCCCTTGATGGCGCATGCGCTGGCCCCGCTGCCCAGGTGCAGGGCGATGATGTTGAGGTCGGACTGATCCTTGCCGAGGTATTCGGCGACGACCCGCGTAATAAAGGAGTAACTAATGCCGTGGAAGCCATACTTGCGCAGCTGGTTGTTCTTTGCGATCTCCTGGTTGATAGGATATGTGCAGATATGCGGTGGCAGCGTTGCATGAAACTGGGAGTCAAAGTAAGCGACGTTGAGGGCGCTTGGAAGCTCGTCCATACACGTCTTGATGATGCGCAGCGCGTTGGCGTTGTGCAGCGGTGCCAGGTCCGTCAGCAGCTCTAGATGGTGGTAGGTATCTTGCGTGATGACCTTGGCCGTCTTATAGTCGCCTCCGTGGACGACCCGGTGACAGGCGACCGAAATGTCCCCCTTGGCGGATATCTCGGGTAAATCCTGGTCGCCGGTGAAGGTGCCGAGCAGGATCTTGAAGGCGTCATCCTGCGTCGCGACGTTCTCTTTCACCTCCTGGTGGTCGAGCACCTGGACGTCGCCCCGGGAGTACGTCAGCTGCGCTGGCGGAGCCGTCAGCCCGCTAATCTGGGCTTCGGCGAGCTGCTTCGGAGGCTCGCGGTGCTTGGCCGTGTACACGGAGATCTTCACGGAGCTTGACCCCGCGTTGATGGAGAGGATGATCTTGGTCATAGTTTCTTTTCTCTCCACACCTCCTTTTTTTCCCTTCTTTCTCCTTTTAAATATTTTCGGGTCTCGTAACTAATTTTTCCTTTTTTCTTTCTTGGTTTCTTGATGGGTGCTGGTGTTTGGGAACCAATAAGAAACTTTTGCTCAATGTGATATATGAAGTGTTGGTAAGTATCTGATTAATTGATGGGGACTAATATAAGTGTAATGGAAGTAAGTAATTTATAACTGTAACTGTTGCAACCTCGTAACAAAGGGTCACAAGGATGCTCTTTTTATATAATTTTTTTTTTCGGTTGTCGTTATCGCCTTTCTACTTCTAGGAATCTCGAGGTTTCCTACTGAATACATAGAGGTACCATGTCCTTCAGTGTTCAGCTCTTTTTTTCTTCTCTTATTACCCCGCTACGAGGCTTTCCCCGAGGGGTTACGGGCCATGTGTACCCTGTGCATACATACACATACCTTGCATGGCACGATCGTCCCATGAGTCCATGACGTCTACTAATGGGCTGACTTTTTTGGTTTACCCAGCTCTAGCCACGCGTTAGCCTCTTGCTTCGGCCGGTCGCAGCGCCGCAATCCGATGCTTTGCGAGCTGCGTTAGGTACCTATTGTGTTGGTTTTCTGATAGCGTGAGGGACAAGCGGCCGGGTGCTATCGTCGGAATTTCTTATAGGTACCTAACCTAACCTAACCGGTTAATTCTTCTTCTGGTAACGAATGTCCTTGGTAAGCAGCAGACCAGGCCTGCATAGAATAGGATAGGATCTTCGGTCCGTCAAAACAGGTGCTTGGTGAGATGCATGCACCATCATATCATTGCTCATTCTTTTATTTCCTTCTTCTCACTAGTTTGGGTTAGGGATCCCGAGGGGGAATAGGACTTGGTAGTGCTTTCGACCCATGCTACGAGGCTAGTTGATACGAGTTGCTGATGCTGCGTTGCTCAGGAATGAGTTTCCACGTGCAGCCGGCCAAGTGAGGTCAATAGGTATATAGAGGTATGAAAGGAAGTCCGGTCCGTATCTCAAGACGACAAGCTCAAGAACACCGTGAACAAGGACATAGACTTTTTATCACCCTGGCGAGATATTACGATAGACTTAGGTACCTACCAGGGCACGTATAGAATATATTTCGTTGACTATTGTGAATAACAACCCTTGTCTGCAAGCCAAGGTCCTTGGACCTCATTCCCAATTCACCTTTGGGGGCTTATTTACCCCTTTCCCCTTTATCGAACAAACCTTACGAGAGACATCCACAGCTCTCTCCTATACCAACACTTGCTCCGAGTGTTATAGGGGCGTATTAGACGAAGGCCATTAAGCGGCCTTAGGTATTACCATTTACCACTGCTAGTAGAGCGCGGCGCCGCCTCATATGGAATCTTCAGTCAGGATCATGCCTATGTCTGCGATGGAAACTCCTTGTGTCAACATAACTACAAAAGAAAAAAAGAAAAGAGAAGAAAAGAAAACTTTCTTAAGCATGTCCCATTCTCCAAGCGTCACCAGGTAGATAAGTAAGGCCAGTGCAATGGAAAGCATAAAATAAATATGCATAGATAGATAAGTTAGGTTAGGTAGGTAGATATATATGATAAATAGTTTTCAGTATGTACGCTTCAAGTTTGAATGTAGTTGTATATATATAGTCGATATCCCCGAGCAGCAAACCACGAAACCATAACGATAAGGAGGCATTTGCCACCACTTCGCATAGATTTGTAGAAACAGACACACCCACAATCCAGAAAAAAAGAAGAAAAAGAAGAAAGCAACTAGACGATGTGCCGATAGAACCGCAGCTCCGGAGAATCAATCGTCTCTTCGGGGCGGGGCTTGTCTTCATCGTAGTTTTTTCTAGGTATATTTTTTTATAAAAAAAAGTGGCGGTGGCGACAATAGGACGAGGAGGCGATGTAAGTGGTGATAGGTGATGAAATTGACGCAGAACCAACATGTTTCGGAGCACCTAGATGCATCACTTGGATATATCAAGGTTCCGTTGCGTTTTGTTTTTGTTTTGTACTTTCCTACTCATACATGATATAAACCCCATAACAAGAGAGGAAGACCTTTTTTGTTTCTCCTTTTATGACGTCGAAGTCTATTTGCAAAATCCCCATTCCGTGAGGCCTTCCCCTTATGCGAACAATCCACGCCGCGAATGCAATTGCGAAAATGAAGAAAGAGGAAAAAAAAAAAAGAATAACAAATCAGTGCTTAATACTTTTGTCTAGCGGCGACATGCTTACCTCTGCGCGCGCGGAGGCGTCTAAGGGCCAACAGATCCGCAGAGACGAGTAACCGAGAGAAGGACTAAAAGACTCGCATTAACCACAAATCACCACCGAGATTTGATTCTTGAAAGAATCCATATTCCATGCCACCAAGGGGGTGGGTTTGCCGTAATGACAGTCCCACTCCAATGTCGAGGCCACTACTATATGTGGCAAGTAGCTTGCTTTCTGGTGAACAAACGTAAGAGAGAAAGTAACTGTGGTGCCGAGCACACAGTAAACAAGGAGGGCTTGCCGTAATAACGATCAAGGACACAAGGCCAATCTCTTCTTATTTACGTGGCAACCACATAAGAAGGGCGTAAAGACATATCGTCTCGTAATCCTTCTATTTCGGAGGGTTAAAAAATTTCCGGGAGTTAGACATCCATCGTGTGCTACATGCTAATCGTCCGTAATCGCCAACGCGGTAAGTCCGTTGGCCATAAGTCCATGGATAGATAAGACTCACAGCGTATCTTATTCAGACGTATCCAGGAGGTTTCCATTGAAAGTAATCGATCATCATCGGTGAATGGGTATCCGTCCACTAACCGCACCAAGAAATTCCGTTGAAATCACCGAATACAGCAGCACCGGCCCCATAAGCCGGAGCCGAAACCAGAAGAGTAATAAAATTTCAGATGACCGCAGGTCGGCAAGGTTGTATAAGAACCGCAAGATATTGAAGCGCCGCATAAACTTCATCATTTGGTGATTCATCGTAACGCTAGAATCGTATAAGGTAGATATATACCTGCCTTAGGAACGTAATATGGCTATCTAAGCCTCATGAACTATTCATAGAATCAGCCCAAAGGACTGAATTAGTGCGCCTCAGTTTCATGGCTGACACTAATTCCATTTGTGGCCGAGTTATCACCTAGGCTAATCTGTCCCTGGCTTCCTTGTTCGTGAGAACCATTAGGGAGAGAGCTGGCTTGTTCACCCAAAGGCGGAGCAGTAGTCTTTCCGTCAGTATTATCTGACACCGGGCCATTACCAGAGGATGTGGACTGGGCCTCGCCCTGCTGGCTCACCGTACCCATTGCAAGGTTGGCGGTTGGTGAGAACTCCGGAACCGTCGCAGACAATTGGGAATCGGAGGGGCGAGTATGACCATTAATACCGTTGCTAGTTGGGGAGGTCACGCCGTTGCCATACATATAAGCCGCGAAATGCGCTTCCGCACTAGTTGGCGAGAACATGGGAGGCGCCTCACCCCCATATGGAAGCACCTGGGGCCAGTACAGCATTTGGCTGTTGTATGCACGATAGCTCTTCGGGCCGTCATTCTGAGCGTGTGAGAATCGCAACCCCATTTCGAGGACCCACTGCTCCCAATTTTCGCGGCGTCGTACCTTCTCGTGTCCATCATCCGTTATGATGATTTCGATATGAGGTGAAGCGTCACAGGCTATGCGAATAATCTGATAGTCGGCTATTTCTTGCATTCGCTTGAAGGAAGCTATGACATTCAGGGGCACAAACCCTTGAGAATCCATGCATTTTCGAAGGTAGGTATCCTTGCAAAGGTTGTCGATAGAGAAGTAATACTCGACTTGTGATAATACTCCGCTTAATAAGTGAGTAGGATCCGCAAACCCACCATACGGACCATGGCCATGCGGATAGACCGGGGCTTCATATGCCATATTGATTCCTGTGTAAGGAGTGGCTCTTGAAGACGGATGTCTACCATGTTGTGTGCGATTGCTTCCTGAACTAGGTCGACTGCGGTGCTGGCCTCCTGCTGCCTGAGCTGGATAAGCGCCTCCGTATGGCATATGCACGTAGCCATTGGGGTATTGGTGGCCGTTTTGTCGGATGCTTCCATTGCCCGGATAATTGTATCCATTGGCGCCTTGGCCAAACTGAGACTGAGAATGGGCGGCTCCGTTCACAGCAGCGTGGCCTCCACGACCGCGGCCACCACCTCTTACGCGCTCGCTACGGCCCACGGGGTTCTGACCCTGGAAGTTCGAGTCCCTAGCGCCATCTCTTGCAGGCTGTGATGACCTCTGCGTCTCATCAGCTCGCTGGTTCGAGCTCGTAGCCCGAGCCGGAGCATTCTGGCTCGAAGCCCCGTTGGAGGCCGAATCGGGCTGGCTCTGCTTCGATGTATCCGCCTTTGAGCTGGCCTGAAATTAGGATTAGTATGTTGTCGCATTGCTTCTGGTCTAGTTTGAATAAAGCTTTGAACTTACAGATTGCGCTTCTCCTGAAGCCTTGCCCGAGGCCGACTGGGTCAGGGGCTTTCGGCCGTCGCGGCCTGCCGACACATCAACAGATGCACGTTTGGATCCCGCCGGTGTGCCAGCGGCGGATCCTGCAGCCGCACCATTGTGCTGGGTTCGATCTGGACGATAGTTAGCAGACGCGCAGGTCGTAAGGAGCTCTGAAAATTTACCAAGTGAGACACTAGCAGCATGATTGCCTCTCGCCGAAGAATCTCGTCCGCCCCTGAGACCACCACGACCGCCTCGCGAACCGCCTCTCGAAGGTATAGGAGTGTTGAATGACACGCTAGGAACGAATTCTATAGGCTGCCACTCCTTCTTGCTCCGAGGCTTGCTCGGACCGGACTCATCCTTCTGCTCTTTCTCGGATTTTCCACCTTGAGCTTGAGTCTTCAATCCGTTTGCAGCTGTTTCAGGCGTTGGCCAGGACGAAGTGTTAGTTGCGGCCGGGCTGAGAGCCTCGAAAGGAACTCGTTCTTCGCCGTTTAACCTAGCCCCTCTAGGCGCCGCCCTGCGGGGGACTTGTCCATTGCTTCGAAATGGATCGAAGTCCTTCTTAGATGATTTCGGTCCACCGGATGAGGGCCTACTGCTAGTTCCACCTACTTCGGCACCCTCATTTTGAGGTGTCTTTTGCTTCTGATCCTGTGTATTTGTATTTGTATTGGATAATCCGTCAACTTGACTGGCGGTTGCGCTACTGGAACTACGCGGTTGCGTAGTCGTAGGCGAGGCTGTCTTGATCTTTGCAGCCCTAGCTTCCTGTCGTTGTGTCCATACGTTAACTGCTGGCACTGGTGCTTCAGACAGCTCGGGCTTGGGGGGTACATTCTCCTTCTTCTCTTGGTCCTGATCTTGAGCAGACTCTTTCTCGCTTGCTCGGCTTTTCTTGCCCTTTCGACCCCTCTTACCATCACCGCCATCCGTCGTCTGCGAAGTGAGGGTCTGGCCCCGACCGCGGCCGCGCCTCTCAGCGCTTTGTGGTACAACTTCTCCTAATGCTTTTTCAGCGCCCTGGTTTGGTAGGCCAGATAACTCTGCTGCCTTGTCGCTAGTAGAGGTGATATCCGAATCGACGCTATTCAAGCTAACAGACTCAGCCTTCACAGAGGAATTACCAGTATTTTGCGAGCCATCCAATTCATTCGATGTTGTCGAGATTGCGACAGAGGGGGCCCTTGTGCTAGGCGTAGGGACGATGTCGCGACTTTGCGTGCTTGTGGTCGATGGCGCTTGACTCTGCGAACTCGACTGGGACGCAGTAGCAGGTGGAATTGTAGTAGATTGGCCTTTAGCGGCCTGAGCGTACGAAAATGATGCCGAATTAGACATGGCGCTAAGACTCGACCTGACGATATTCGTATGCGAGTCTTGCAGTTTATGAGGTTGTACAGCAGAGTAGCGACAGAATACTGGTCTGTCGCGTACCTGTAATAGGTGAGGGGGTAGATAATCTTCCCACGTCCACCGACACGCCAGGCGCTCAACCAGCCCTGGAAGCACCTCACCAGCCCTGGGTGGCCCTCCACAAGTATAGATGCAAGCTGATCAAGCTTCCAACAGCAAGTGGAACTCAAGTCGAAACCTAAATAGGTCAATCAACCAGTAGAAAATATAGTATCGGCGATGCGAGAGATCTGTTACGCCAGTTCAAGAATGTCGTGTCGAAAATATTCGCAGAAAATCGACGATGTGTGAGGGGGATGAAAAGCCGACAAGAAGAATTTTTTTTTAACTCGTTATAAAAATGGCCCAATGGTAAGTGGGTTATCAATTCCTGTAAGTGAATGCGGGGTGCGATCAACAAACCTCCCAGGTGTAATTCAACCGAGGACGGGGGGAAAGTAAAAATTGAATAGGTGTATTAAACCAAGGATGTTTTTTTTTATTGGCGACGTTAAAAAAAAAACCACCACAACTTCTCAAATAAGCCTTGGCTGGTTACGTGGGTGACTAACAAATTGTTGTTGTCGTTTAGGTCTTGGGAGGATTGGAGGAGGGGGGGGGAGAGAAAAAAAAAATTAATGAGGGAGAAAATGTAACAGTTATCCGAAAAGATGAGATGACTGTGCCAGTGCTTGGGGCTGCAGCGGGTTTTTTCTTTTCTTTTCTTTTTAGTTTAAGAACGGAACCCGGTGTGGCCTGACCAAATTCAATCTGCTTAAGTTAGAAACCCCATGGATTTTCGAACTAGTTTGTTTGTGTTAGTAACTGGAACTCTGGATTATGGGCACTGAGTTTTGTATCGCAAAATAAAGCAGCGGTTCGGACCGTAATGGTTGCCCACAGCTTGCGTACTTGAGACTGAGGGTGCGCGGGATAGGTTGTAGTGGTTGTAGCGGTACCTCGTAGTAGGAAATAAAAACCGTACTCAGGTAATGTTGGTTGATGATGATGGCAATACAATAAAGTGAACGTAAGGATGGGGAATAAAAAAAAACGTACATGTAAGGGAAGATAAAAAAAGAGTACCTGATAGAAGCACGATTCACGAATTCGCAGAAGCGAAGTGAAGCCTGTGATGCTTCTGGGGTTTGGATTGTCTTCCGTTTTTGCTTAAGAGTAACAGTACGCAAAGTTGAGAAGAAGTAGGGTTTTAACAAATTGCAAAGTAATAAATGAGGAAGTGTGTGTCTGCAATGTTGTAAGAGTAACGGGTGTGTGTAAATGGGTTTATTTTGTGTGCAATGGAAAAAAAAATTATTTTTTTTTTCCCTCTTCTGGTCCCCTTGCTAAACGACCTAAGGAAAAAAAAAAATCTAGCTAAGATCGGGTAGCCGGTGGTTGTACGGGTTGATTTTTGAATTTTGTTACTTATAAAAAGGTACGCTGCAATCATTTAGTTTGGAAACTGATGGATGATGCTTGCTCGGTACTAGGATAGCCCTCCACATCAATGCATAGGTAGAATCATATATGGTATTTGTACAATACGTCTATTAAATTTAACTTCTTTTTACGCTTATGTTCTATGTACATGATATTTTGTACCACGACTCCTAGAGCGTCAAACATTTTCTTCTGCCCTTTTAACCTGTCAATGTAAGGCAGGTGCCTGATGTGTAATAGGCAAATGTATATAGGTACATACCTAAGTAGTAAGGTAGTAAAGGTAGTTACGACTCGAAATACCTAGGTACCTAGGTAGGATCGTGTATCAACTTCGGCGGTAGGTACATGTGCTAAGACGTGTACCTAGGTATCCTAACTTACCCGTTGCCTATCTTGGTAAGGTTACCTAGAAGTCTAGGCGGAAACAAGGTCACATACCTACTATTTTTACGGCTGTTGCTCGGCACGAACAATGTCATATTCTAAATTTCTACCTACCTAAGGTATAATTCGTTGCCGCGTGCATGTTTCGCGGATGACCCAGCATGTGAGGCAGTTGCCGCAAAGGAATATTTTATTATTTATCACCCTTAGTATTTATCACCCTTAGGTATGCTTCGAAGACGAGGACCCAAGGACCATCAGAGCTAAGGGAATACAAATGTGCTGTCTTGTGCTGCGTGCCCAGGTGGCATTCATAAATTTACATGCTCACATATTCATACATAATGTTCGTATGTACCTATCTACCTAGGTACTTAGGTAGATAGCTTGACTGCCCGTTTATACCTATAGATATAATCAGATGCCTAACAACCTGATAAACTCGGTATATAATAAAATCAGCTTCGTCATCACTACCTGCAATAAGAGGTCTAACCCCTCGCTGCACCTGAACCATTTTTTAAAAAAAAGCATAATCAGCCGTGGCTTATAAGTATAAGTGAGGGGCACACAGCTGCTTGTACCTAAGCAAAGCCCCCCAACATAAACAACGAGTATAGGTGAATAAAATGTATATACATTGGATGCCTACGTCTGAATAGGCATGTAAAGAAGCTTCTGGTGGTTAGGCTGAAGAGGGGTAGGGTCCTATCATAGCAGGTAACTTTGAGTTATTCTATTCTTAAATGACTCATTTATTATTATTTATTGTTCTCCGCGTGGGGGGAGTGAGGGGGAGGTTTGATGGAACATTTTTTAAAATTCAATTTTGAACAACGAGATTGTTTTTTTCTTCTTTCTTCTTTTATCTCGTCTCTCTCTCTCTCCCTCCTTCGTCCAAGCATCCCTCTTATTATACCCCGCGTAAATGAAGCTTCCATTTTTAGAACAATGAAGCATGCATATATGAATTGTACCTTTTCCTTCCGGTAAACTCTTTTCGACTTCTCTACGCAACGTTCTAATCAAATTCTAGATCCCCTCACCTCGTATATCTAAACAGGTAATGTAGTACCGCAATCGTCTCGTAAGTGATCGTTGATTCTCCATGTTGCCTGTTCTGTTCTACCTGTATCACCCTGAGGACCAACGACCAACCACGATGGCCATCACGGTGCTCCGCTTTCTCCATTCAATCATACATCGTATATCTCTTATTTATATGTTATACATAGTACCTATGTCAGGTAGGTACCTCACCTACAATTAGGTACTTACCTCGTCCCTGAATTCACTCCGCTTCTTCCGCTCGGTTTGAGGGCTTTTCTTTTCTTTGGAGGGATTTCTCCGTCCCTTATAATACACCATTCATCGCTCGGGATTTGTCTTATTACGGATAGCAAACCTATGTCTCATTCGAGTCTTCAAACGTTTCTCCCGCTGCTAGTTATGGGTCTTGATCTAACCGGCTCTTTATCGAAACCATGTTCACCCACGTATACACGAACTGACTTCCAAGATTGTATTTTCCAAGAATAGAATATATCTGGGCAACGGGGGATGCAGCTTCCGAGGGGACCTTGGCCATCATCTAAGAAATTAAATAGAGGACACATCCAGCTAGACTTCATCTGTGATCTATTATTTTATTACTCGGAACAACTTCTAGGGATTTATATTTGGAATAGGCACATAGGTAATGAAGCGCGGCCGGTTCACACAAGGTCAAGCTCTGATTTCAATCTTTGTAGACCGTTCTAGGCGGATCAATTGTTTATAACCCTATTGGTGAGTACGTGTTATCTTATTGTTCTTCTAATCATACTCGAGTACTAGTAGAATAATTGTTTCCTTATCCCATACTTACCTACCTAGGTAGGTATGTTCGCAGCTACTGATCACTCATGAATATCAGGTTCAAGACTTAAAAGCACGAAGCCACCGTAGATAGAGAGATTTGGCAATAGTCAACACTTTACATTCCTTCCTATTAACTATAGAATGATTTTTCATCCTGATAAACGAATTCCAATCATTGTAACCTGTAAACGAGACCGATAGGCTTCTAATCGCAATGCAAGCGAAATGCAATAATATACAATAAACAAAGTCTAGCCCGTCATCCAAGTAGCTGCTCTGCGCGCCCCAAAGCTGGTAGCCAGTCGAAGGCCACTTGAACCCATCGGGAAGTAACTGATCAGATACCAGAGCAGGCATACCATCTGGATGACAGCGGCTATGAGAGTAAGAAAGCCGTTGTGGAGCTGCGATAAGTTAGCTACCCCAATCTTGCTTAGAGCGAACGATCCATACTTACACCCATAGAGAAGTAGATAGTCAACGCAATGGATCCGAAATAAGCTGCCGTGAATGGCAAGCGCGGCCCAGATGCCAAGTGTTGCAGGTATGCCATCGGGCCCATCATGGCCCCGAAGGAACAGAGGAAAAGGATGGAGCCAAAGGTCCATCTAAGAGGCAGTATAATGTCAGTACGTTATTCTCAAGTTGCACATCGTCCGCGTAGGACCCGGGACCCGGGTAAGTTGTGGGAGACGTTGTAGAAAGAAGGTTGGATCTACCGGGTGGATTACCCGTGTCGTTATGCAAGATTGATACATATGCAGCAGCGGCTGCCTGCAGAGATCTTCATCTTATCTAGAATCTTAAGGAGGCTATCATGGGCCACGAGGACAAAACGACATGGGTAGCAAGAAAAACTGGGAAGCTAGGAGAGCCTTGGCCTTACAAGATGACGAATTTGCTGGGCTTGGTCACGAAGACGGGCCACAGAACGAAGCAGAGGAGAAAGCAGATGAAGGCAGCCAAGTTACAGGCGCCGAATATTAATAACCGGTCCCACCGGCTCACTAGGTAAAGGAATCGAGATTTCAAGTCAGTCCCAAGTCAATCTGAGGAACAGTGGCGGCGGGTCGTTAAGTCCATGTGCGAAGGTGAGACAAGCCGGGCGCCGCGCGGAAGACGCACGTGGTGTCAACGATTAAAGGACCACTTAGAGGTCCGCTGCAGGGGGAAAAATATGATACTCAAAACAAGAACGAGGGGAGGACTCACGGACAAACCATCCTTCCTCTTCTTCGCGACGGTTGCTGGCCGGTAATGGAGCGCCAGCACTCTCTGTAGTAGGTAATTGCACATATCCACGGTCTCCAAAGGGGTTTAATGACTTTATCGACGATAGTAACCCGGACCGTTGTGACGTATTGGCTGTAAATTCTCGGTCTGGGTCACGGCGTGACCACCCTAGGGAGTTCATGGATTCCCTAAAAGACGCAGACGCCATCGTGTATACGATCCTCTCGGTTGTTAGACTTTTGGGTCGAATTGGTAGAAAGTAGGTATCAGGTTCCGCGATCGCAAAGGAGGGCGACTTCGGTCTCGGTAGGTAAGAATCGTAGGTGTGGTATGAAGATATACGGAGCGGGTCGTGCGGGAGATGCTACTTTGTAGTGGATGTTACTATGCGTCAAATGACACCCTCTCCTCTCTCTTTGGAGCTGGGAAGTGCTAATGGAGGCTATGGGTTGATGAAAGGCGGGATGCGTTTAGTTGATGTTGCGTTTAGAGAAGCACTAAAAATGAAGTGTGGTGGAGATAAGTGCGTATTGAAGGGAAGCGTAAAGGGAAGTGCATCAGCCAGACTGCCAGACTGCTAGAGCCATGAGCCACACAACCATAAATACGGTCGGTGGTCTGTGCGTGCGAGTGGGGACCACTTTAGTATGCCATTCGGATGTACGTCATTGGTTCACTAACCTGCATGTGGCTTCAAACAGATTCCATACCATCTACTTATACCTTGTCTCAAGATAAATCCATGCCTGCATACCCGGTAGAGACCTACATGTAGTGTAGTATACTATGTACAGTGCTACCTACCTTCGTCTATCTACGCGCGCAAATATCCCTAGTCGTTATACTATCAAAACTTCCGGTTTGGTTTAAAGGGTGGGCATGAGCCATGAAAACATGCATGATTTGCGAATAGTATTGCTGAAGAATTTTTGTGGAAGCCTAGATATTCTCGAGTGAGCTTTGTCGACGCAACTCGCTAATCTGCTTCCCACCCTCGTAAATCTAAGCATCCGTCCGCTCCGCCGGTGGACAAATGCAGTGCCTCCCATCAGGCAGACGTTCCGAGTCGTCCACTGGGTTGATGTAATTTATACGCAAGGCTTGAGATGTTCGCGTAAATTCGAAGGCTGCGCGCTTGCGTATACCACATCCTATACACACATACACACACACTTGTACACATACAGAATATAACTAGGTACCTACCTTGCTTATCATTAAGGTGTGTTGAAAGCGAGACATCCTATTGGTGGGAAGCACCTCAATCGTCTGAGATTAGGGATATACCTCTCCTGATGGCTGCAAGGACTACCTATTCGACTTTCTTGGAGCGGCGGGGAGCGCGGGAGCGCAAGTTGCGCAAGGACTACGTAGGTGGGGGGTTATGTAGGAGGTAGTTAATGCTTGTTAGTTGCTACGTAGTACCTAGCATTATCAGTATATTAGTATAACTACCTCATTAGGTAGTTAGTAAGGTCAGTATAGACAGTAGGTATAAACTTGGTTTTCATGTAATTGGTTAGGTACCTAGGTAGTTATTTTCAAATTTATTCATTAGATTTATGTTTTTATTCTTATTTATCAAGATAAGCCTTACCCGTCCCATCTATAGCGTCAGCTGGGCGCGGTTAGGTATTGTTAAACAGCTAGGATTACACATCCGTACTCAAATACCAATCACGCACCGTGCCGAACGGACGCTATCCAAACTCTATCGACGACCCGTCCGAGGTGCTGAATGCGCTACGAAATTGATTGGCTCCCGCACTCGGCGCTGGGGGTGCAGAAGCCGTGGATCGCCATGGGGAAGAGACCGTCGACATTTGGGAACCTGCAGCTTTGAGTTACATCGGAGCGGTCAACGTCCGGCAGAAGCCAAGACCACATATACCAGACATATACCAGACATACCAGACATACCAAACATACAAGACATACCTACCAGCATACTTTACTCTCCTAGCATTTGTGCATACCTAGGTACCTAGGAGGTAGGCAGCTTGGTAGTATAAGGCATGTATCATGTACCTATGTTCCAAGATCTACCCCTCCATCGTCAACAGATCATACTACGTTGTATATGCAAAGAGACTCTATCCTCTCTATCCTACCAACTGCTATGACCTCATAGGCTTCGTATTGACATGAAGATATTGCAGAAACGCTGCTGCCGCGCGAGACCCCTAACATATTCAAGATTTACAACTACCTATTCATACCTACCCGGCAAATCTACCTGACACATACTCTTACGAGGAGATAGAGCTTCGCCCTACACACCACGCGGCTCGCATGATTAACCCCTGCGCACGAGGTTTGTAATAGGGTAGGGAATCATACATAATATCAAATAGAGCAATAGGGCAGTAGAGAATTAAGCTTAGAAATTAACATTCGGGACAAAATGCTGCACCCCACCATCATCGGAATAAAAAAGAGAGAAAGAGACTTAAACGCGAGTTCCTAAAAAAGGGTGCCTTACGCAAAAGAGCCAGATCTCGCAGTCTTCAGTCAGCATGCTAACTTGAATAAGGCACGACCTCATTGACTGTGACTCATACGAGGGATCATGCTGACCGTTTCCCAAGGTTCTGCCGTCTGGATTGCCAAAATAAATCCCATGTCCTCAACCACACTTTCCACACTTTCCGATAGATCCTCGTTCTATCCTTAGGCCAAAGTTTTGAAAGGGGGGGGGGGGGACATAGTGTCTCACCTAGGTGGGTGGGTTGGCTGACTTCGGTCGGGTCACAAGTCTAAGTGCCGCCCACCCTTCCCCTTTCGTCTTTCATAGACAGGGATCGCTCTTCATTACAGTATCCTGACGATAAGATAAAGCTCAGTTGCGCGGTTCGCGGTTCGCGGTTTGCGATGGAGGGAGGCAACTCTGTACAAGTCTGGTGAGGGTTGAGAGAGACACCTCCTTCCCACTGCTTCTCTACACACCATTATTATTTTCAAACGGGGCGGTTCCAAGTTATAACTAAGTCATAAGACGTATGAACAAAACCTGTTTGAGTAGAACATGGTAGCTAGTTAGAAGAAGATGTAGTTTTGGAGTTTATCATCTCACATGGGGGGTATTTTTAGATGTAGAGGAATTTGAATATAAAATCTATGCACCCCACGCTCATAGTCTAATGGCTGGACATTATTTCCGTCATTTCAACGATTGTAAGTAATCAACAAGACTGACACAACTGATTTATGGAATACTTTCCTACGAACAAAGGAAGCTTAACGATATCATAACGCAACGGATTACACACTGGTTACAAGCTGAAAGACATCTGTTCAGAAAAGATACTTCTCTCAACTATCAAGCCAATAGCTTATTAGCAAGAAAGCAACCAGTGAATGCTGTGCAAACCAAGGCTTTTGAGTTGGACTCTTCCTCCAGTAAGACTGTTAGAGGTTACGGCATAAAAACAAACGGGATCGACCTTGCAGGAGATCTGATCAGGGATTCGACATCACCCCGCGAAACCTGGCCAGATAATTAATTACCTACACGACAAATTCCGATAGCAACTGGTTTACATGGACGATATTGCCCGTATATACTGGACTATATCGACTTGTTCGTCTAAATCGAAACAATACGAGCTCACTAATACGGGACGATTAGTGCGGCAGCAAGGAAATACAAATACCAGAAAGCCGGAGATCTGGCGGATAGCTGAAGGATATCTTGGAACGGCGCAAAAGCTCCGACAAGACACGATCTCACTCTGTCGATTCCTCTCTTGGACTCTTCGACACCTGACCCTTGTTCAGGAAAAGTGGTTAATAAGTTTGGGTCCTTTAAGTGTTGTGGAAGAGTCGATCGGAAGCCGGAGTCACTAAGGTGCTTGCATGTGCCTTCATACATAACCGGTTAAGGGCACACGCTAGAGTCTAGCACTATCACTTCGCTACACCCTACCTACACCACCCCCCTAGCAACTTCCTAGGAAGTGTATAACACCTGCTGCAACCTGCGCAACCCCCTACATACCTGGTACGCACACCTAAAAGGTGCCAAAGAGCTACCAAAACTTACCAGGTGTTCACCCCAAGGGTCTCTAGGCTCTAAGCCTCTGTAGGCGCAACCAATCAATTGTCCGAAGGTGACAGGGAAGGCACAACAACGGTGCACTTGCATTGGTCTGCGTTACCCTGTTCACCTTGCGCTATCCCAAGTTCTTCCTACCTTGTCCAACATCAGATCCCTCAAGTTAGCAACACATTCACCACATTCACCACCCCCACCACCACTTCTCGAGACTTACCCCCCTGCAAGTTCGAATTCACCGCGCGATTCCTTACAACTTGCATCATCCCAATCATAAGTACGCGACTTTGTTTGGTAGGCCCTCAGATCTATTAAATCCATCGGTACTCCAGACGATTCTGTTGCGGCTACCCTCGTTTACTTGAACCTATCAGCATCTCTTTGGTTGTTCCTCCTCGTATAGGACCTTAACACCGGCGTTTCTCGGCTCGAAGCTTTGCACACAGCTCTGCACACAGCTACTACGGTTCATCTGGAATTTAGACGACTTTTTACAAGAATAAGAATTGCTCTACCACCTACCACCTACCAACGAACTCTGCCACTAATATAACCTTGCCAATCTCTTGCCAACCAAGAGTTCACCCAACCCAGGCCAGGCTACCTACATCTTCCCTCCAGCCCAAGGACTTACCGCCTCGTTTCCTAAGGTTCCTAAGCTTCCCAGGGTCCTCTTCCTCTTACACATTTAGCAACATCACCAACCCCGACCCATTCCCACACATTCAGCCGAGTTTCCCTCTGCCCATTCTTTGACCTAAACAACTTACCAGTCAGTCGCCTTGCGCTTCGGACTAGTATTTTGATTTCATATACGATCCATCACCTCTCGTGCAACTGAGTACACTTAATAAGAGCCGACTAATCCCGGCGTCACCTCCGTGCTTACAGTCTGACAAGTCTCGTCATTTTTAATCTCCCTCTTCGTACGATATTTAGGTGTTACCTTCCGTACCCTGCAGTTGATCACTCTTCTGAGGTCAGAATCGCCGTCATCGAGGGTTACCGGCACTGCTTCGGTCGTCTATCACATCTTACTGGTGTAGGGATTATAGCGATACCGCCTTTCAGATCCGACGAGGCGCAAAATATCTCTTCATTTACCTATCCCCTAAGGAAGCCAAACTTTTACTTCCTTTTCTTCTTCTTCTTCTTTTTTTTCTTTTCCCACAAAGTAAACCGCTTACTCAAGCCGACCAATAAATTACCTCAACGCTCAACGCCCATTGTTGGCCATGCGAATTCGCTAAACCTGTACGTATACATCTACTGATTCATTCGCTTTTTCTTTCCGCATCTCGGACTACTCGCGTCGGATTATACAGAACAAGGGACGAAAGCAGGGAAAAGGGAATCCCGAAAAAGAAAAAAAAAGAATTCAACAAAAATTCCCCAATTCAAATCAACGCTGAGTTCACTCTAACCCTATCCATACAATAGATATATACCTCGACACCCAATTCAAGTCCCGCACCCGCATTCCCAACTATATGCCTAGCTAAATAGCTTGGATCCCACAAGATATTTTATCTAGGCGACCACACTCGCGCAACATTGTTCGTTATTTATCTGCATGGCTACGTAATCTGTGGCCAAATTTAAGAAAACATTTCTACACGACTTCGTGCGCATTTTACCCGAGGTAGATAAGAAATTTTTTTTTCTCTTTCTCTCATTCTCTCTTTTATTTTGGTGTTCATGGTTGTTACATAAAAAAACGCCCTATGACTATTTGACCATTCACAGCTGCCTTGCATTAATATTGGTTACCTAAAGGTACCTAACCTACCTTAGGTACTTGCTTGTTAGCTGAAGTTTCCTCGGTGTATCAAGTGTATCAAGTGTATCAACTGCCCCACACCGCATCCCACTACTCCTACTCCCACTACTCCCACTATTCTTCACATCCTTCCTTCCTTTACCCACTCGCCAACGATCAGACTAGTATGTGTGGATGCGGGGCTGACTCTGTCCTCGACAGAATAAATATAACTAGACGCCCGATTGCCGACCATACTCGATAGGCACAGCAGCCTCGCATCTTCTTTGCTTCGCTACAAAGGCTACCTTACCATATTGCTGACCGATTACCATCATTATCATTACTGTTGCTGTCATTCTCATCTTTAGCCTTTTCAATATTTATCCAATCCGACGCTGGAAATGATGGCACAGCACGCCTTCAACCAGTTTGGTGGCGGCCAGAACCCTGGCGGTGCCAGTGGCAGCGTTGACCCAAACGACTTAGCGATGTCTGGAACATACGCAGCGTCATACTCAAACAACTTCAACGGAAACAACAACTCCTCCAATTTCTTCGGCGATGACGAGTTGCTCGACACCCTTGGCAGCCCGACGGATCCTATGTCCAACCAACCTGGCATGCACAACCAAGGTCAGGATTTCGGTGGCATGAACGACATGAACATGGGGTTTTCGCATGGCATATATCCGTCGCATCAAGGGAGCCACGGTATACCTATGGATCAAAACCATATGAACGGTTATTCCCATACGCCAGATGGCGATCCTATCCAGAGCCCGTTCGTCCACAGCTTCAATCAGGCGCAATTCCATCAGATGCAGCAACAGCACCAACCATTCGGAAACTCCCTTCAGTCGCCGATATCCTATTCTGGCTCTCCTTTAACCGGCTCCGACCTGAACAACGAAGGTGATCCTAATTACCTAAACGCGAAGTCCCGTCCTCAACTTTCCAACATGCAGCGCAAATCATCCAGTGCCCGGGGCCCACTTACGCCTAAGACTGCGGGTATGTCCAGCTTATCTGTAAACTCTCGGGAACAATCAGGATTCGGCCCCCAACCGATTCGAACTAACAACGGCCACCACGAGAAGTCGCCTTCAGGCCAGTGGATGCACACTCCTAACAGCCTTTCTTCCTTTCCCGGGTCCGGATTCTCCTCGCCCATGCAGCACGGCATGCAAAACCCGCAAATTACGGATGTACTACTTAAAGGTGGTACTTCTATGCCTACAAAATTAAATACGCCACCAAATGCGGTTTCGTCACAAGAGATGAAGAGGAAACGACGTCGCGAATCACACAACCTTGTCGAGCGGCGGCGACGTGACAACATCAATGAGAGGATCCAAGATCTTAGCAAGCTTGTTCCAACGCATCGATTGGAGGACGAGAAAATCAGGAAACTTATTCAAAATGGCACCCCGTTATCGCCTAGTCTAACCGGAATCTCTCACCCCGCGCAGGCTACTTCGGGATTGGCCGGCCCAGGCGCAAAGCGAGCCACCGGAGTTGGCAACATTACCACCGGCCTTCCTCTTGAAGAGAAGGACAAGGGCCCTAACAAAGGAGATATCCTCAATGGAGCAGTCAGCTGGACCAGAGACTTGATGTGGATGTTACACCTCAAGCTTCAGCAACAAGAAGAGCTTATCAACACCATCGTGGAACTTGGTGGAACCGTACCACTTGGGCTCACAGAGGATGAGAAAAGAATGCAAACAGAGTTGATGGAAGCAATGGCCAAGAACGGTCCGCATACCTTTTCATACTCCCGCTTTGCCGGATCGGGTCTTCGAGTGCCCCAGCATACCGACTTCAGAGGGGACTCTCTGAACGGATCAGACACTGCGATCGCCGCCACTTCCGTGAGTCCAGACGGTCAGGATGCCGTAGATATCGCAGCAGATATGGGTGACGCCGGTCCGTTTTGGAACGACCCGGATGATGATGACAGCGGTCCCGCATCGATTAACTTCAAAGAAGAAGACGAATTCGGGATGGATCTCTCCCACGACTAGTGATATTTGGGTTTTTCATATCCCTTGCATCATCGCAGCATTTTCTGGCGTTAGCCAAGCTTTCTATTGCTCATTCGATTTTTTTTATTTTTTAGTCATCTAGTCATTGAGCAGCATTATCATCATCTTATCATCACACTTGAGTTCGGGTCTTGAGGCATTTGTTTTTTTCCAACATTTCCGGGGCATTCTAGTCAAGGGAAGGACTCAATACTGCATATGGCGGCCGTTAAGGGTGGAATGGACTGGCGTTCTATCTTACCCCACGACTCGGTGGGAAACCCGGCTCGGAGCAGCCGGAGGTGGTCTATCATTTTCATGGGGTTTGTTGTCCGGGATATCCGGGACAATGGAAGGGTTCTTTCGCTTATTCTTTACATACCTACCTTAGGTACTTTTCCCATGTCATTTCATTTTGTTCCATCTCTTTTCTTTCCTAAGTCCCTCCGGCATTGTTCATCTATGGGCTGGGTCTGTTTGTTTTCCTTTTACCTTCCAATGATACCTCGAGGGCAGCGGAGTTGGGGTAAGGGATGAATGGACCATGTTTCCGAGATATCGTGTTCCTTTTTTTTTTCTCTCTTTTTTTCGCATTTGCATCGTCACGTCGTTGATATCGGAGTTTATTTTATTTTTCCTTTCCTAGGTTCCCTTATTGTAAGCCGCTACAAACCACCCGCCTACGGGCGAAGGTCTCGGCATCGTTTGATCTATGTATGCGTTAACAACCCCCCTTGAGTTGGGAACCCGATCTGGAGTGAGGGAGAGAGGAGCGACGTATTCGGAAGGCTGCAAAGATTATATATACACCGCTAGCGTACTCTCGGGTTATCCTAATATTCCAATACGTTTACTTACATGTAGCGATGACATATAACTTACTTCTTATGTGAATTACTTAGCGAGTTATATGTTATTTTAGAGTACTACCTATCCAAGCTAACAACTATCCATGTCAATGACGATTATACCAACTACCTACCTAGGTAGGTTAGGTAGGTAGGACCCGAGGTATGGATGAAGTGAAGCTGGTTTTCCTCTTTCCACTATGCCGTACCACCACTACCCCATTCTCCCCCTCCCCCTTTTTTCCATTCGTCCGACTGTTACGTAAAGTCTCTCTCTCTCGCTCACTTTCTCTCTCTATCTATTATCTATAGCATGTACCACACACATCTAGGTACACACTTTGAGTACCCTTAGATCGGGGTTTAAAAAAACAACCTACCAATGCCTAACGCACAGCAAATACTCGCTCATGGCATTAAGCAGATTCCACGCGTCGCGGCGCTTCATGTCCTCGTGCAGCGCGATGCGCTCGAGGGCGTAGCGCCCGTTGAAATATTTCCAGAAGTCGGGCCACTTGGCGCGAGGGTTTAGATTTGACGACCCGGCTGGTTCTTTGCCTTTGCTTTTACCTCCTCCTCCTCCTCCGCCGTCGGTGCCGGTGCCGTGATGATGGCCGGTGCCGGTGGTGGTAGAAGAATGCGCATGCGTGTGCGTAATGCGCTCCGGCAATCGCCGCGCTATGGCGAGCAAGTACCGAGAATCCCGGTCGCCGACCCGGCCGGCGTCGGCGATGATGTACGGGGTCAGATGCGCGAGATGCGGGGCGTCGTTGGTGGACGGGTGGTCCGTCTGCCGGGGCGGGGGACGGCGAGCGTGAGCGGCAGCCTTTTCAGCAGCGGCGAGGTGGGCGCGAGTCGCTATACGATCAAGGCGAGCCTGCTCGGCTGCTTGTTCGCCGGCCGTAGTCGTCGCTGGGGATTTGATTGTTGCGGTTGAAGATGTCATTGATATTGCCCCCGGTGGCGGTAATGATACCGCCGTTGGACTGATACTTTCGGATTGGTCGTTTGAGTGTACCTCGACAGGCGAAGAGGGGGAGAGCACATCGTCGGATGAAGAGTTAGGGGGCGACGAGGATATGTGAGAGGAGGATTCTGCAGAGGTATCGGTGGCGCTGGAGGCACGAGCTTCTTGGAGAAGCTCCTCAGCTTCGATCTCGTAGTCAACTTCATATATGATCTCGGGCCAGACCACGACATACGCGAAGGTACATAGCTGGGTGACCCAGCCGCCGCGCATGAGCCAGGCAAGCATGGAAAGGTAGGTTGGACGATGATTTTTGCTGGGTGCGAACAACTTGTAAGAACGCGGTGCTGCTGACAATGCTGCGAGGAACTCGGGAAGAGGGGGTGCAAGAGGAAACGCGCGCGCCCATGCTTGGCTCGCTTTTGGTAGCCGGCTCATATCACTATTTGGCGATAGGATATAAATGTCCCGCGCATGCAAAGGTGGGATTGCGATCGCCCGCCGCCAGAAGATGAAATGTTGCGCATATTTGCGCACTTGGGCTGGCGAGAGTGCGGTACCTTGGCCGATCTGGTAGAATCTATTTGAAGTAAGTTTTGAGTAAAGCTCGGGTTTAAACCACGATAAGAGGCTTGGGTCGTTTTCACTTACGACATCGTCGGTTTGGAGAGCCGGACGAACTCGATCATGGCCGCTGTCGTTTCATCCGGGTCCGCCTGGAGCTCTGCAATGATCTTTTTTTCGTCGCTCATTAATAGTAGCGCAAAGTTTTTATCGAGGAATGCGGGATCGTTAAGACTGTCTTCCTCGACGAAGGCATTTGCAGTAGTAATCCATAGACCCTTAGAGCCGTTCTCATCATCCGGTGGCAGATCTGGAATATAGAAAGGCATGGGGATCTGAACTGAATGTGTTACGGCGCCTTCGGCCGTATCTAGCTGTAAAGCTGCGATTCTATTGTGAGAGACAGCCTCGTATATATCCTGCATAGATGCCGCTAAGGATGATACTTCCAGGATTTCTCTCCACAGCGTGCTCATCCTAGTCCCTGCAGTGCGGTACGTAACGTCTTGTCAGTTCCTCGGTTTACCAAATAGGGTAGAATACTAAATAGGATAGAATAATATTCGGATACGTACTCGATTCTCGTCCTTTATCTTTCAAAGCCAAGATCCTTTTCGATTCTTTCCAAACAAAATCACTTTTCTGCTGGCTGTACTTGTATGCTTTATTGATTTTCTTGATGATATGAAAATAGAGATTCTCTGCCAACTCCTTTCCCTCGTGCTTTTTGGGGTTCAGAATAAAGACAAGGTTGAACATAGTCATCCCGCTCTTCTTCTCGTCAGCCTCTTCAGGTGGGCTACCCGCAGTAGCATCCTCTGCCATGTCTTTGGTTTCTATCTGCGGTGCATCACTCGCAATGATAGAGTATTCGCCGTATTTACTTGCGGATTCCACATTATCAGGCGATTTGGGCGGTTGATACTTTGGCTGCTTCTTCTTCTTTCGCCATATGCCATTTTCCGGAACGTATATAGGATAGGATGCGAAGCAAAGCTGCTCCAGCGTAACGTGAAAGAGCTTCTTGTGGAAAGCTCTGTTAGGCGTGAGAAGACTCTCAAGGTCCCTAGTAGGGTAGCCGGCTACGTGCTCCCAGGGGACTATCTGGGAACCACTTTCAGTTTCCAGATGGTCATCGTGGTTCCAGTTCTGCAAATCTATTGACTTCGGCACCGAGCCGGAAGGCGTTTCAACAGGGGGGTGGGATGGCTGATTTAACAGTTCGTCATCGTCGTCCAGCTCGTCCCTAGGGACATCATCGCTAGAGGGTGAGGCGTACGGCCCCTGTATCTGAGGGGGATAGTGAAAGACAAACAATGGGCCGTCGCGCAATCGGTTGACGACCAAGGCCACGCCCAAGAAGTTGGACGTATTTGGTAATATCGGGGACGCCATGTCCTCAATATCTGGTGTTACAAATGGCGACACAGGTCTTAGATGCAATGGTTAATTCCCCAAGCCTTGAGGGTGTGCGGGCTGCGGTCTTCCGAAAGACCATTTCAGCTGGCTCGTCATTGAGAGATGAAGTATTTATTTAGACCCACACATAATTCTAGTACTCCTGAAGTTGTTCAAGTTTTCAAGTTTTGGATGCTTAATATTATGTAGATGTATAAGATAACCTTAGGCAAGTTGCTATTGGAAACGAAGCATACCTAGGTACCTATCAGTCTCCACTCTTAAGAGGTGCTAAGACTCAAGAGGTAACACCTCTAGCCTCTTGACGTATTTATCGATAGGGGCAGGTCGTAAAAATCAAGATTTTAGGTACAAATAAATCATTAGGTACCTCTTACATTCATCTCACAAAACCCATATACTTATAGCACATATACATATATATACCTGCCTGATCTATTTTATTTTTATTTCTTTCTAAAAGTGGACTATGCCTATACTTTACATTTGACACACTTGACATGACTAGCTTATTTTATCCAGGAGCCACCTGGGCATGGCAGTGTATAAAAATCTTAGATGTCTTAGGTACCTAGATCCCCGAACCACTGAGACCCGTGGAGGATGGCCCAATGTCCGCTACTACATCGGGTCCATAGTCCCCTCAAGTCGGAGCAGCGACATCTCGTCGTATCAAGCTGGTATCCTCGTAAGCGATCTTCTTAGTATCGCGCATGCCCATACCCCAGCGACGGATGCGGCCCGTAGACACTCGTCTGCGGAGAATAGCAGGCCGCTCTAGGTTGCACAGCCGCAGAAAGGACTGGAACAGGTTCTGCTGCAACTCGTCGGGCTTCATGCTCAGCGAGTTCGACGGTACGCGCTCCAGAGGCGGTTCTACTGTCTCCAGAGCGGAGGTCGACGGCATCGGCCGTATAGGCTTGGGCGCTACGACGCTCACCTCGCTCAAGTATACGGGCGGTTGGTCTGCTGTTTGGGTGGTGGCTGACATCGTGCTGGCTTGGATGGCTAGGAGCGCTGGTGCTGTTAAGGTGTAGTGTTTTTTTTTTTCCTCGGGGCGTACTCGAGGATATTAATAGAGAGAGTACTTGAAAGCTGTACTGGACGAGTGAGATACGTCGCATTAAAAACAAGTCCTTATACGTGTAGAACAGTGGCTCACATACAAAGACCATAAGGCCGGAATCGCCGGCTATATTCCGAAAGCCGATTTAACAAACCCTATTGTCTAGTTAACTAAGTCATTAAGGATTTTATTGTCAGATATGAAAGCAATCTTCGGCCTGAGTCAACTGTCTTTCTACCTCTGTGCATTCTGATGTCAGTGGCCCTACTCAGGCGTTCCTTTTTTTTAATAAAAAAAAATAAGAAGAAGAAGAAGCATTTGAGTTCCTCAAAATCAAACAGGTGAAGCTCGAAGCTCGGTATAGTGCAAGGCGAGAGTTCGTTCCAACAGCCCATCCGATAGTTTGATTCATTTTGATAGCCAACTATGAAAATGAGATCCCATCCTCGTCCTAGTCCAATATCTAAGGAAAGCGATCCTTCATTCGTTCCCGGTTCTATGTGCAAAACCCCCCTAGATCCATTATAGGCACATATCGAGGTACGCCAAACCCAAATATACACATTCAAAAAAGGGCCATAATGATAATAATAATTTGTGACGTCATTCAACCGGTATTTCAAGTCTCCAGGACTCAGAGCACGTTGGCGGTTCAGTTCAAAGGACACAACTGTCCGGTTGCAAGATATTGTTCCATGGCCGCTCATATATACCCACCAATAAGACTCAGACCAACGCCAGCGATAACAGCAGCTATAGAAGCGGCGGTAGGTCGTGTAGCTGCATTTCCGGTACCTATGATAAAACCCCCAGTGGTGCCGGCTTGGGTGCATTGAGCACTATTTAAATTAAAGCAAGCCTCGGATGATAGACTCGAGCACACAGATGTCGCCGATGCGGCGGGAAGTCCGGTAGCTTGCGTGACGTCGACCGTCGTCCCGCCTCCCCCCGGGACCACGATGGTCACACCGTAAGCCGCGCTATTGCCACCTAAGCCTGAGACACACGATGCGTAGTTCCTCGAGCATTGGTTGAGAGCCGATGTACATGCCACCGAGTTCGCAAAGGACGTCGGTATATACGGAAACGAGAAATATGTATTGATGACGTAGGACAGGGTGGGTGTTGGGCCAGTTGGTGCTACGCCAGTACAGGTGGCTCTATAATTCAACCAGACGTGTGAGTTTTTCGAAGCAACAATTCATTCGTATCCAAGACTGGAGATACCAATTCCTCATGGGGCCAACTTACGTAGTAGGACAGCAAGCTGCTGAGCTGTAGGCGTCTAGGGCACACAGCTGTCCGTTCTCGCAGCAAGTACCTTCGAAGACGGCGCCCCTATCCTCGCAGCTGAAATAGTTATTCGGGCAGGTGATTTCCCTCCTCTGAACTGGTGAGAAGTCCTCAAAGACGCCATACGCGAGGGGGTCGACGATAGAATCAGCGAGCGCAAAAGTGGTCGCAGCTATCGAGAGGAGCGCGGCATATCGGCAAGGGGTTAACCGCATCTTCTATATAGGTTTTCCACGAGCATCAAGTTGGACACAATCCACTTCCGCACCGGGTGCGGTCGTCGTGCGGGTTTATAATAATAATGACAGCGAGGACTTTTGGAGAATAAGTGCCTAAGATAGCAATTGGATCGAATAACAGGTACGTGTTATGTATCTAGATTAGGTATGTGGTATTTTTAAAATTCCCCGCTGGCGAAGCCGACGACGCTGCAGACACGAGGTGGGGAGGTGGCAGCACGTTACTGGCCTTTCGCTGGTTTTTGTATACCTTAGGTAGGTGTGTGTACAATACAAGGGTTGTGTAAGTCGAGGTGGTGGTATACACCTGATAAGGTGAGAAAACAACAAGCCGGTCTTTGAACCAAGTATAAAATAGTTATTTCAAATAGGAGAGAGTTGAATACGGAAATACCTGATAAGAGCTATCTACCTAAGGCAGGCTAGGTAAGTACAACATGCAAACAGCAGAGCACATGTGCTGGACTGCTAGACAAAGAAATCCGGATGTGATGTCAAGATTAATTCGACAGCGGTTGTTCGCCCAGCAACGGCACCACAGCCCACCTAACAACGACCTTGGAAGCAACGCCCTGATCGACCCGGAGATCTTGGACCGATGTGGGGGGAGGGGTCGATGATACATATGTACCTTGTACAGTGTTAAAGATACCTAACACTGTGGCTCTCCAAAATTTCGAGGTATCACATTGAGATTACCAAACTGAGAAGCTTCCAATTTATTTATTCTAATTTATTTATTCCAGTTTCTTTTACTCACAGCCGAGATTAATTAAAGTTGAAGGACGCACAAACAGAAGAAACGATAAGCATTTTCCATGAGTACCTTCGGCAGCCCGGGCTCGGGCCCATATGCTGGAAAGCCTATCCCGTATGTCTCCTAGATATCAGTCCATCATTTTAGAGAACCTACTTACTGACCTGGGTTGTCTTTTTATCTTCAGGCCTCAACGCGGTAGCTTCCCATTAGATCATGATGGTTAGAAGGCCCTACCATATAAGTATTTCTTTCATTTTATTAACCGTGCCGTCCATCTCTAGGCGAATGCAAGGACGTCATGACCAAGTATCTCTCGTGTATCAAAAAGGTCAAGGGCGTCAATGACAACGAGTGCCGCAATATCGCCAAAACATATCTAGCCTGTCGTATGGACCGGTAAGTTTTCAACTTGTGCACTCGATTTTCTAAGTATTTTTCTCATCATTTAGGAATCTTATGGCGAGGGACGACTTCAAGAATCTAGGATTTGCCTCGGATACAGATACGCCCTCGAGTTCAGAAGCACAGAAACGGTAGCACGTACGTACGGCAATAGCGCGTAATTAAAGCTTGCTCATCAGGGAACTATGAGGATATTGTCGTCTAAGGCTCTTGATTTAACTTCCGTTCTGACCGGAGTCCCTTACACTTCCCAACGGCGGGTTCTCTTAGGGATGGAACATCCGGCTGAGCAGAAGTCTTACTTCTTTACCGAGGAGAACTACAAGCACCAAGTCCCCAACCTTAACCTATGGCCCTACTAACTATAACTATCATATCACAAGAAACATGATAAAATAACGGTTTGGGATGAACGAAATTACACCTCATATTGTATATCATCGTCAGGGTATATTCAGAAACAGAACCCCACATCAAATGTCTTACAACCCAGCCCATAATCTTACATACCTCTCAAATTTACAATGTATATCACATTCAACTTATACTACTTGCATCGATTATGCCTTATTATACTCGTCCCCTTTAAAAAAGGGTTTAGTTGGCGAGTTGCTTGTTAATCCAGAGCTTCCGAATTCCTCATAGTCGGTGACAATCAGGCATATCCGATTTATTCCCAGAACTGGTTAAGGTTGAAGCACTCCCGGGTCCGGTGCCGGGCTAGTTGCTTCCGAATAGTGGACGACAAACATATATAAATACCAACATACCGGGTTGTCTAGCAATCTTCCCGTCAATTATATTATGCAACCGTATTTGGTATTCGGTATGATGAATACCTTGTTGTATACCTAGGTAATATCATGAGTAGTTTGTCCCAGTCCATTAAGACATTTCAATAACATGCTCCGCACCGTCCCGAGGTCTAGGACCTGGAAGTACATCTCCTCTCGAAACCTCGGTTCAAGACAGACTCTATTCCAGAACCACCGCAACTTGAGTTCGAGTTCGGAATATGACTCGACTTTGAAGAATCTTAAGATTGGTAGCCATACCCGGGTTATATTCCAAGGATTTACAGGTTCATCTCTTTCATATCTCACGCTATCCCTATCGCATGCTCACACATGAAATCTAGGGAGACAAGCAACGGCCAACGCTTGTGAATCCATAGAATGGGGCACAAATATCCTGGGGGGCGTCACTCCCGGCCGTGAGGGCGAACACTTAGGACTACCTGTCTTTCCTACTGTCCGCAAGGTACGCAAACTTCGAAAGGGATGGAAGCAAGAAACGAGAACAGCAGTTATCTAACAAAGCTGGTTTCCCCTAGGCTGCGGAAGTCCTAAAGCCGGACGCGACGGGCATTTATGTAGCCGCACACCAAGCCGCCGGAGCGATCGAAGAGGCGATCGAAGCTGGAGTACCACTTATCGTCGCCGTGGCGGAGCACATTCCACTCCATGACATTCTCCGAGTAAGCACTTATAAGGCTTCGTAGTAGCTATTAAATCTAACTGACGACGAAAATTTAGATTCACTCCATATTAAAAACACAGTCCAAGTGTAGACTCATCGGTGCGAATTCGCCTGGTATCATATCGGCAGTGGGAAAGTGTAGAATCGGTTTCCAACCGCTGCCGTGCTTCGAGCCTGGGAGGATAGGAATCGTGGCAAGATCGGGGACGTTGAGTTACGAAAGTACGTCTCCTATTTTGCTGTTATACGACTATATCTATTGTATTGGCTAATTCTCCTCGCTAGCCGCCGCCTCTACCCTCAGATCTGGTTTGGGGCAAAGTATGTGTATAGGTGTCGGCGGGGATATCCTCCCAGGCACGAGTCTAATGGATGGCCTTAAGATCCTCGCCGAGGACAAGGATACGGAAGGGATCGCAGTAATAGGGGAAATTGGGGGTGAGGCTGAGCTTGAGGCTGCGGATTGGATCAGAGAGTACCGAACTACTACTGAAAACCCGAAGTAAGTTGACATTTTATGCATAATTATCAGAACTCAAGAGCTAGGACAAGCAAGGTAGTTAACAGTGGATAACATAGACCGATGGCTGCTCTCGTTGCCGGTGTGAACGCGGTTCCAGGCCGGCTCATGGGCCACGCCGGAGCATTTACTCTACCTGGAGAACCATCCCCGCTAGACAAGATAGAGGCCTTGAAGGCAGCTGGAACAGCTATAGTCAACCATCCTTCTAGATTCGGGCCGGTATTAAAATCTATGCTGGAAGGTGTGACGCCCACGGGTTCTGGTGTCTCTCCTTCACTCAACGGATCTCAGCGAAGAGGAATACACAGCATTGTCCACCGTCCTGTTCCATCCCAGCATGCCACACGTCATCTTCCCCGGAACCAAAAAAGAAACATCTACCTTTCCTCAGACGCTGCCCTCAATCTCCTCCGTCAACACGGCGTCCCCATCGCCAGCGGCTTCTCCACCGGCCCTCAGAAGCTCCTGGCAATAAGCATCGACCGATCCGCCAAAACCCCCTGCATCATCGCCTCCCCAACCGGCGACACCTCCCAAGCAGCCAAATTCGCCTTCGAGCCCATCCCCACGTCTGCCATACTGCAACACCTCAATTTCGACAGCGCCTCCAGCACCTCTCTACACACCCTCCTCACAACGCTATCCTCGCTCTTCACTTCCAAAGAAGCCTTCCTCCTCGAAACCCTCGTCTCCGTCTCCCCCTCCGCCGGAACCACCATCCACGTATCCTCCGCGCGCTTCGGCTTCGACGACGCCGCCGCCTTCCGCAGCTGCGTTCGCCAACCCGACATCCACCACCACCACCACCACCACACCTTACCACGCGATGGGGACGGGGACGGGAACGAGCACCCGGCGGAAATCGAAGCTGCCAAGCACGGGATAGTGTATATCAGGATCGACGGGCCAGACAATAACAATAACAATTGTATCGGTACCCTGGTCAACGGCGCCGGCCTGGCGATGAACACCGTCGACGCCCTAGTCGATGCCGGGGGCCGCGCGGCGAATTTCCTGGATACGGGGGGGAAGGCGACGAGCGAGACGGTGAAGAGGAGCTTCGAAGCTATTTTGACGGATTCGAGGGTTAAGGTAAGTCAGTCTCTTTTCCCCATCCCCATCCCCTGCTCCCTCCTTCCCCTTTCTCTTTCTCTTTCTCTTTCTCTTTCTCTTTCTCTTTCTCTTTCTCTTTCTCTTTCTCTTTCTCTATCTATCTAACCCGACCGAATTTAACCTAACACTTATCCACCTCATAACCCCCCCCCCCCCCCCCTCCCCCATCCATTCACTCCGTTCTCAGCCGGCATATACCAGGCATCTTACTAACGTCTCGCAGTGCATATTCGTCAACATATTCGGCGGCCTGACGCGCGGGGACATGATAGCCGAAGGGGTGGTTCTGGCGTTCCGGGACCTGGGGATGGCAGTGCCCGTGGTGGTGCGCATCCGCGGGACGAACGAGAAGGAGGGCCAGAAGATCATTGCCGACAGCGGGTTGCCGCTGTTCGCTTTTGACGACTTCGACGAGGCTGCTAGGAAGGCTATCGAGTTGGCTAACCAGGGGCTGTAGATACAGATGCATCTGTATAGAGTTATATTTATACATATACCTAATATATACTATGAATTTTGATTATTTATTATAGACATTAACTACCTAGGTGCTTTATCAGTATATGGATTCTAACGCTGCTATATGAGTGCCTAAACCTGGTAAGTCTTTTTTGTTTATTTATCCTGTAATTCTTTAAAGGAACGTCCTGTAGTAGACATACGTTCCCTTCTAAGTGACTATAATTTTCAGTCACCACGTTATACCCGTTCTATAACCCAAAGCCCCTTAAGAATAGATAACCGCCGCCGAGGAGGGGCGGGCCAATCGGCATTTTGAGACTGACTTTCTATCACCGACGACAATAGGCCTTCGTCGCGAATGGCAAGTTCTCGCTGCTCCTTATCAAGCTGTACCTGTTCCAGCTCCCAGACCTTCCAAGCTCTAAGGGCCCAACCTGTATTGTTCAATGTTAGCGAATCAAATGCTGAACGAGGAAAACACGACACTTTTCTCGAGAGACTGAACTAGATTAAAGAGGGTCTAGCCTGGGCGGTGAGACTTGCCGAATATAAAGGCGCCAATGTAGCAAAACGCGGTGAAGAGCTGGACGTGGAGATAGCCCCCTGGGCCAGACCGTCTGAGGCTAACACCGATGACCTCGGCGAACGTCGCCGGTAGGACTAGCACGAGCCAAGTCAATGACAATGCTATATAGAAGTTAGCACACCGCAATCGAGGAGGTGCATGTCGTTGGGAGTTGAATGGCGGTAACAAGTTAGGTTAACGTAGGATATCGCCGGGGATCGTTGACTGACCTGAAGGTATGAGAGCAAGACCGACAACTTCGGCACAGATAGGGGCAACCGTGGCCCACATGACGCCGGCAACGCTGCCGGCGAGGAGAGCAAATACTATGCAACTAGCTAGGGTTTTAGCTCCAAATATCCAGAAGAACATGCAAAGGAGGCCACAGAATAAAGTAGATAGGTTGGCGATATTGAGACGCCCAACCGAGTCGCTTGATAGACCTATTGCAGGTCGTCCCAGCCCTTGAGCCACTATGTTGCGTATCCAGTCAGTACTACTATATTACTTGATAATGTCAACGAATAACTTACAATTAAATAACGCTCCTACTAGAGAAGCTTGGGAAGCCGTCAAGCCCACAGTCTGACAGTAGTCAACGATGCTGAAAACAAGGATGACGTATCCAAGAATAGAGAGAACCATCCAGGCTTGGAACAGGAGAAACTCCGGTCGCTTGAAAAGCTTCCAGTCGAAAGCGATATGGACTGAGCCGATAGCATGATTACGGTCGCGGATGAGATAGCTAGCAATAGTGTTGGCCACGAAACAGACGATAGCTATGACACGAAAAGCCCACGATAAGCCGATGTTGTCGATCATAGCATTGGTGGCCAGTGAGTAGCATAAACCGCCGAAGCCCGATCCCGAAGCGGCGATCGCATTAGCGAAGGATCGGCGTTTTACAAACCATTGAGGAGGGACGGCGGCAGAAGCGACGAAGCATAGACCCATTCCGAGTCCAAACGACACACCTTGGCTCAGAATCAGGTGCCATAGCTCTGAGGCAAATGATGAGCCGATGAAGCCAATCCTATAAGGGGTTTAGTATATAGGTAGGTTTTATATCTCCGTATAAAAATCGGACGAACTTACGTCTCAAAAATAGCACCGAGAAATATAGTTAGTCGCGTCCCGCATCGTTTCCAACCAACCAAAGTGGTGGCTAAAGGTGAAGCTAACAGAGCTATGCCTTGGTTAGTTAAAATACAGGTAACGAATATAAAAATTCACTTACCGATTGAGATAGATAGGCCGCCTACAAAAGCGTACCCAAGTTGGCTTGCTCCAAATGTACCAGACCTAAGGTAATAAGCGAGGAATACAGCAAAACTCTGACAGAAGCAAGATGTTGTTAGCAAGTTGGTGATATTTCATTTTGGGGGTTTTGGAATAGACTTACAGAGATGAAACCCCAAGTATGGGCGTTAAGTATGAATACGCCGAAAATGACCACCCTGAAGAAAAGACTGTAGTTAGTATCGGCAGTGTTACTACAGGATAGGATGTTGGAGACGATCGAAAAAAATAAAAAACTTACCAGCCATAACCACCCTCCTTGAATTCTGCTTCTTGCGGTTGAGGATCTTGCGCCTCGACGTTTGTATTGACTGGATCGTGATTGCGTATGGTCATGGTAAATAGCAATATCGAAGGTAATAAAATGTATTTTGTATAGCTATTGATGTTAGCATTAAGAAGCACCTAGTTATATATATCATTAAGCATATATATCTCAGCAGATATTGCCACAGCCGCGATGGGAGGTTCACACGTAGGCGTATTATATCTTTTCGAAAATTTTATCTTTTGATGCCCTTTATTATGTAAAAGGCGGCCGGGAATAATAGAAACTAGCGATAAGTAAATGCTTCCTAGGCATTACACTTTGATATAAGTAGTTAGTCAATTTTTGCTGAGCCGTACTGGATCTAACAGGATCTAACAACTAACCCAACTACCCAGACCGGTGGCCACCCCGGTCCCGACTCTCGAGTTAACCGCCCCACGGGGTCCACGGGGTCACGGCTAGCCAAGGCAGCTTGATATTGTACCAACGATTGGGCGTCAACGGACTTGTCAAACGTCTTCTGTGTAATTGCTATCTCCGTGTCCGGCAAGACTGTCTGACCTGAAGCGTCCGTGATGTAACATAAGATAAGAGGAAATAACGTGGTATTGGGCGTAAGAGTCAGTAATCATATACGTCACTAATCGGAGGGAAATATCTCACTGGAACTTTCATCTTGACTTACTATCACTTACTATATGGATGTCCGATATCGAACGAGAGCCCGTGTTCGGAAATACACACTTGTAAGTGATTTAAGTGATTTTTATTTATTCGAGAAATATTTGGCCTCTGTCTTGCATTCGATAACGTCGAATCATTAAAACCGAGTTATGAGCCGTAGAAGAGCGATTATTTGGTCATAGCCGGTTCGGATGGGTTATATGTCATAATAGACATATAACATCATCTTGCTCGAGGCTGGTGTTCTATCATCTCGATCCTATAATAACTTGTCTTGCGAAACATAAGGACGACGTTCGAGTATGGCGTTAAGACGTCCTGCGAGATCGACACCTGATAAGAGAGCCTCAATTGATAGCACGTGGTAAATGACATCTGCATGCAGCAAATACCAATAGAAGTCGTATCTTTATTAAATCCGGTGTTACATCCGGCGAGTGGATTTACGGATATATAATGGAGGCTGGATGCATTTGGTAGGCTGGGGTTTAACGGAAGAATCGAAGTGAACCAGCAAAACAACACGTGAGGTTAATCAGGGGTCAGGAGTCAAGGAGTCAGGGACTCAGGGCAGTCCGAACCAGAAGATATATTAAAATGGTGTTGAATGAAATAGGATTGGCTCTTTAAGAGTCATCCTCATATGCCCGGTATGCCTAATAGTATGTATGTGTATTAGATAGGAATAGTAAGAGTGACAAGGGTTGGAATGGCACAGTTGATTGAGAAGTGGTTATGGTGGATCCTGATCGAAGATTCCAGGTAAATTCCAGGCCTTCCCTGCAATTTTTAATACTGTAGTATCTAATCTGCAATTGCCTAGGTCTGCTAGTGTTATTAGCTGCATAGTAAGAGTAAAAGTTAAAGTTTATGTGAACTGCCTGAATTGACTTTTTTTTTTCTACTATCTACCTGTAGTACATAAGAGGTATGTAATCCTTGGCACTTTCCTACCTTTGGGCAGCACTCGCCAACTGTTGGAGTGGGGAACCTTGCAAGAACAACAGACTCCAACTGCCAGTTGTCCCACGCTGGGAAGCTGCGCAGCTGCCCCGTCCCCTCTAACGGTAGGTGCCGTAATAGGTGCCATAGGTCCTGGCGGTATCGGTATCGACCCTAAGCGGCTGCCCTGGCAACGCTCGGACGGTAGTACCAAGAAAACATTGGCCCAGCATGAACCGCCCAAATTCTCCCCATTCCAAGACTACCACCCAGCCAGCCCGACCGAATAAAGGAACCGGGGTGGGACACTTCATCATGCGTTATGATTTTCTGTGAAACATATTTTCCCAACTCATAAATAAATACTCTCTCTCTCTGCCCCTAGCAACATTCGGTAGTTAAGAAGAAGTTGTTCTAATAAACAGAATTACTCACTAATAAACCGCTATAGAAAAAAGCAGCTATTAGTTAACACTATATTTGATCTGCAGCCCCCCCGATTTTAACTACCAACCCCCCCCTTGTCAACAAACCATCGTCAACTTGCTCACCATAGGTACAAAAAAAAAAGAACAGCAGCATTATAGCAGCATACAAGATAGCTCACCTGCGCAGCCATGTTGCGAGGCAGGTCAAAAGAAAGGTCCTCTCACAGAAAAGTCACACCGCCTTCGCCAACTTATATGAACAATGAGCAATTCGGTTCGTAGACATCTAACCAAAAAAGAAGGAGGAAAACATGTGATTGCAGTACAACACTGACTAACCGGGATATTTTTTATAGCCGCATATTTAGCAAGTCTACGAGATAATCGCATAAGTCGTCCGGGAGGTGCACGGCCCCTTCCTCCTTCGTCAAAGCCACCGCACCGGGATTCCACAGAACGACTCGCCACCGGCCGCCCATCCCCCGCGGCCCCTTCTGTCTTGTCCGAAGCCCCTAGCAGTACTCCCCAGAGGCCGTTATCAGATCTGCCAAGGCCGCGCGGTAGCCGCCCTAGTGTCGCCCCGAGCATGGCCTCTCGCTATTCCACCGTATCTTCCATCGGGAGGGATTATTACCCGGACAACCCCACCGTTCCGCCTTTGAAACCCGGCGAGTTCGTTCCCAGCGCCACGTATATCGAGCGCGGGCAGAGATGGATGGAGAAGGAAGAGGCCGTCTCACTTCGCGAGGCAATGGATGCTATGGACGCCATGGCCGTGAAAGCCGAGGGCAAAGATAAGCAAAGGGATGGAGAGCAGCAGGACGACGATGAAACCCGGATTTATAATGCGGCTCTCGACGAGGCGGCAGAGTTAGTCTGGCAGCACGAACATGGGATAAAGCCACCTGAGCCTGGAGCTCCCTACCGATATAAATCCCACTTGCGAAAGGATAGTTACGCCCATGCTCGTGCCGCTAGTGCCGGGCGGTATGGTGGTGAGATTAGCCCTACTGGTCTCGCGAGGGACTCTATTCGATCACTCTCTGCTAGTTCCTCAGGTAGCGACAGAGCGCACTCGCCAGTGAGTGGACGGACAAGTATCGATCAGCAGCACACTCATTCCGTTGGATCGACTAAGTCAATATCGAAATCGTATGGCAACGTGGGTAGTACAACACGCTCGAACTCTGGTGGCCGACGTCTTAGCAGTTTAAAGCGCAACATCAGTGGGGAGGTTGAGAAACCCTTTTCAGGAGATCAAATATGGGAAGAACCAGAAACGATCACCCCTGAAAAGACCCCGAAACGGACTCCATCGCCAGAGAAACCGCCAAAGAAATCGGAACCCCTGGGGCTGAAGGCGAGAGGCATACCTAACAGGGTCCAATTCGCTCCAGCCTCGGTTGAAGACGATCCGGAAGATAATCTATCGTCGGTGCCCACCAAACCGGTGTCCAGAACCGAGATTCATAGGAATCCTCCGTCACAATCCCGCAACCCGGCCTACACCACGAACACTCCGGTAGACTTAGCCCGAAAGTCCCAGGAAACGCCGACGAAGAACGGCATGGAGATTCGCAGCGACGATATTAGATTGGCAACTAGCATGCGGCTCAAGGACCGCAGCGCGAAGCTCCCCACGCCCTCGGCCGTCAGCGACAGCCCGGGGCGTCCAATCGTAAGCTTTGATAGAAACTGGAAGCCCCCAGTGGAAGAGGCGACTGATTCAAAACTAGACGAGTCCAAGCCCAGCAGCCACCGATCTATCGGGGTCGTCGGTAAAGAGCGTCCGGGCCAGAATCCGCAGCCGCCTGTCCCTACTATCTCAGTTATGCCGGATACTGAAGGCCCGAAGCCGCCGTCTCCGTCGCGCCCGTCCCGCGCCACGCCGGCCATCCCGAGTATCCAAATAGATGGGATGGACAACAACGGTCCCAAGGTGCCGTCGATCTCGGTTTCAAATGACGGCCCGGCTGTCCCTACTATTATACTACCTGGAGACGATGATAATAATAACAAAAATAACAAAGCACCTAATGTACCCACTATAAATACCCCTGACGGTGGTAGCGGTAGAAAACTTCCCGCCAGACCCTTACCAGACCCCAAAGCACTCAATAATAACACACAAGATCGTCGTCGAAGCCATTGGTCTCCGGCACCCGGAGTGACCGGCCGTCGCGCGACCGCGGTCTGCCACGAGTGCGCAAACCCTATCGAAGGACGCTTCGTAGCCCTAGCCGGAGCCTCGGAGCGATTCCACCCGCAGTGCTTCCGATGCTACTGCTGCGGGACGGCGCTCGAAGCGCTCGAGATCAGCCCGGAGCCGGACAACTTCCGGAACGAGCGGCTGGAGCGGATCCGGCGGCGAGCGCGGGGCGAGATCCTGGACGAGGAGCCGGGGAAGACGATGGCGGAGGACGGGGACGAGCGGCTGCGGTTTTATTGTCATCTGGACTGGCACGAGCTGTTCGCGCCGCGCTGCAAGCACTGCAAGACGCCGATCCTCGGGGAGCACGTGGTGGCGCTGGGGGCGCACTGGCACTACGGGCACTTCTTCTGCGCCGAGTGCGGGGACCCGTTCGAGCGGGGGGCCACGCACATCGAGAAGGATGGGTACGCGTGGTGCGTGGGGTGCCAGACGAAGCGCACGGAGCGGCGGGCGCCCAAGTGCCGCGGGTGCCGGCGCGCCGTCATCGGCTCGTACGTGCGCGCGCTCGGGGGCGAGTGGCACGACGAGTGCTTCCGGTGCGCGTCGTGCGGGGGCGGGTTCGACGACGGGCAGATCTTCCCGATGCCCGAGAGGGGGGAGGGCGTCGTGCTGTGCACGAGGTGTCGGGCTGCGGAGCTTAAGATGTAAAAAAAATAAAGAAAAAAATAAATATAAAAAGAAAAGCTCAAGAAATAAGAAGGGAGAGTGGGAGGGGAAAGGGGAAGGGGGCGTGAGTGAATACAACACGACACGACATGGACACGATAAGCTGCAATATGACCTCCTCCTCCTCCTCCTCCTCCCGACTGAAATGAGATTACGTACGAAACGACGAAATGAAACGATAACCGGGATTGAGAGATTATAAGAGGTAATCGGATAGATAAGATATTTCAAGAAGAAGAAAAGGAAGAAGAAACCGATGAACGGTACGCCGAGTTTGCGAGGCGAGGCGAGCCAAGGCGGTTTGTGGTTTCTTCGACGGAGTATGTATTACTGCGGTAGTTCCTGGTTTTACCCTCTTCTCCTCCTCTCTTATTTATTCATTCCCTTTAGCATCCATCATCTACCGTGGTGTCTTGCAATAGGAATCAAGCAGCGAGCGACCGAGCGAGAGAGGGGGTTGGGGGTTGGGGGTTAGCAACCATGGCTGGTGGGTGTTCATTGTCATTGCTCCTTTTCTCTTTCCCCCGAAATCCGACAAGGCCTGCGCGTTATATTACTTACTTACTATACGGCTTTAACGCATTGTGTTTTCTTTGTTAAAACCTGCTTACCTTAGGTGCCTTCCAGTAATACTTCATTTCATCACCATCATCATCATTATCATCATCATCCCAAGGCGTATGCGAGATTGCGAGTTTAATACGGATGGATTTGATTTGGCCTGAGTCTGGCCTTGGGGGTTGCTTTGCTTTGCTGGTAGGCGGTAATAAGGGCGGCGTCTTATAATATTGGAGTTGAGTAATAAGTAGCAGCAATAGCAGTTCGGAAATACACGAAAAGGCTTGCTTGGTTCTTCTTCCTCATCGCATCCGCATTACAGTATTGTGCTAGGTTAGGAGGTACCTAATATAGTCTTGCGCCGTGATGGAGATATCAAATGCGATGATGATGATGACGTAGGCTAGGTTAGGTAGTTTAGTACTAATAGGTAATAAAACACTAAACTTCTATTATTTTCATCCTCGTCTTCTTGATATCGTTTTTGTAACTGTTTTATATTGAAGACCTTGGGCGTCTTATTGGCTCTTCTTAACACAGCCTTTAATATGATGTCGGCATGATCAGTGATATAGTAATGTTTGTTTATTCTTGCTCTTGCGAACAGCATTGGGTCTTGTTCAATTACAAACTCAAAAGGGACAGGGTTGGAAATAAGAGAACCAGTTTTACTCCAATAATTAGTAGGACTGCTTGGAGTCCGGACACGTATGGGACAGTGAAAGATAGGTACCTAGGCGGAAACAGAGAACAAGTCCGCAGATAGCAAGAGATGTAGAGAGACGAAAGTAGGAAGAACAATCGCAGCTCTAATCCGAGATCAGCTGCCACCTCAATTAATGGAAGAAATACCTCTGAAAGGCTCATAAAGCAAGAATCTACATGATAGATGCTCTCCGACTCAGGGCATTAGGAGAAGGGGGCCACCGAGGACACGTAAAGAGGCCCTGGGGGGACGAGAGATCTCGTTCATAATCGACCCTGTTGTTTCCAGCGTCACCTGACATTAGATCGGGAGATGCGGTGAACCTTTCGAATCCTCCCCGTTCCGAATCCATGATTCAACCATATATCATGCCAATGACGGGATCAATCTGCTAGTCAAAGGGAGGTTTTTTGGTATCAGCAGTGGCACGAGCCTCCCACCTGTTCCTGGTGAACTTCTAAGGTATCGCCGTCCGCCATCTCCAGCTACGAGGAAGAAATACGATGATTAGCTTTCGTTAGAACACAAAGATAGATGAAGAATAAATTATCCTGAAGATGGCGATAGAGTGCTGAAGCCAATAAAGGCACTGTCTATGGTAATACTCGGGAAGCTAAGGGGGTGGGTGGTAAGTAGGCAAACTCACCGAGTCAGGAGTATCACTCTTTTGGACTCGCTGTCCTTCGAAGAGGAAGCGCACGGAATCAACATTCTTGCCTTGACGCTCGCAGAAGGCCGTCATCAACTTCTCCAGCTTCGTAGACCGCTTAATCTTGAAGAAGACTTCGTTATTGTTATCCGTAACCTTGATGTTGAGATGCTCGCTGCTGCCGGCGGGTGCATCCTGTCGCTCCGCAGCAGGGCTTCCGCTGTCGTTCTCTCCGGACATCGTGAATGGTGCTAGGTTTTACGTGTGAAGGAATTTACCAGACGATCTAAGTCTAAGAAGCTGTAATTTTGGACAATTTTGGGTTCCCTAGCCTCTCTTTTATAGTTAGCATATAAGAAAGTATAAATGATTGCGTGGTAACTCCTAACTCCTGGCTCCTGGGGCTGTGGTTGGGGGAATTGGTTGGAGAAATCTGTGGTTTTCACGCACACCGGAAAGACGTGTGAGAACTTACGGCAAGCGTAGAGAAGGTACTAATAGCTCGAAAATGAAATATGGTAGTAAGTAACTCGAGTGTAGAGGCTTATTGCGCTCGAGGCGATTAGTATGGAGGTATTTAAGAGGGTTGGTTGTGAAAAGGATTGGGAATAAAGGCAAGTGGGCAAAAGAAGAGAAGTGAAGTTTAAGAAGTTTGAGAAGTTATGCGATTGCGGATTGCGGATGGTGAAGTTTGGAATCAACGCGAAGGCTACCTAACGTGAGGCGCCTTCTAGGTGGAAACAAGGACCGTAAACCACGCTAGATGCGGGGCACTTGCTTCAAGTGTAAGGGAAGTGCACTTAGCAAGGTGTGCCTTCTACAGCCTACAGTTCCTACCTACCTAGGTACTTATTCTCCTTAAAGGTACTGTACACCTTTAGGTAGCTTAGGCCTTAGGTAGCACCCAGCCTACCTCTACCTACCTACCTGAGGCTGGAAGGGTCTTTAGACTTTTCTTTTCTTTCTTTCTTTTTTTCTTACATCAGCCAAAACTTTACGTATGATATATGCCTTAGAAGTGTGTATTATTCGCTACCTGCAATGTGGTTTTTCTGTGAAAAACATATTATTCTCAAGCAGTATTCTCTTTTCGATTCCGAAGTTGAAATCAGTATCAGTACCCTTTTTTCCTTCTTCTTAAAAAAGTCCTGGTTAATCGGATGTATGATGTTTATCTCCGATTCGTTGAATCCGATCCCGTCGCTTCGCGAGCGTAAGACGTGCAGGTAGATTTGATAAGTCGACATCATGTAGGATTTTAGCCTACACGTTCTGATGTATCTTCCATGCCCATGTAAGAAGGAATCATATAATTACCTAGGTATACTCGATTTATATTAACTTGTTGAGATTCCAACCATGTAAGAGGTATTCGCTTTTCAAAGCTCACTTCTGATATAACTAGGTATTAGGTATGCCCTATAATAAACCCGATGAGGTTAGCTTTGGCCGTCTACGTCATAATTGATTAATCGGTGGCATAAATAATCTTCAATGCTGAAAACCAACTCCAAGTTAAAAATGACAACTAAGTACCGAGCGATCTGAGCCTCATTCCTGAGTCCTTTTTAGATAATAATATTATGTTACCGGCTATTCGATATCCATTCTGATAGCATTAGTATCATTCGTTTATCGTGCAGAACTAGACCAGCAACCCGGCGTATAGCACTAGAATATGGTCTGTCTTATTCGATAGGTACAATATGTGCTTCACTAATTAACTGTGGCCATAGGGATTGAAAGAAGATCTAGAGTCGAACCCTCCCTGCCATCCTCGCGCTGTAAGTACCTAACCTTACATATAGAATTCAGTCGGTTCATGTTTAACACGCACACACGTAACTAACATTTATCTACATTCAGTGTGCTATTCAAGGTATAGTATCTGAACACCCGGACTGCCCCTCAGTTCTAATACAAGTATAGATTGCCTGGCGAAGAATGGCTATGATGAAGCAAAATGCTCTCGCTATATCGATGCCCTATACGAATGTTGCGATGCTTTCTATCGACAACATGGCGACGAGGCAACAAGTGCTTGCTGCCCAAAAGCAAGCCTTCTACGATTGAAGATGAAGCAGCGTCGAGATGAACAGAGCAAGTGAAAGAAAGCTACGGTTTAAACAGACACGTGTATCAAACATGATAATCTATCTAGAATAATCTCCTTTCTGATAATTGCACTCATTATTGCTGCGAGAAATAGATACCTGGCATTCATTACATACCGGTACGGAGACGAGGGTAGTATGTTCTACATCTCCTTCTTTTGCGTCAACCCGAATAAAGAGGTCAGGCGACATTTACGAAGAGTAGAAATCGTTCTAGGCGATCATTGAGCGCGCGAGAGATCCGCATGGGACCTGGACAAGCATTGAAGGAAATAATGGCTTATCCCGAGACTCTAATATGAATGCCGATGACATTGATGAAGAAAAAAGGAAAAAAAGAGAGAAGAAAATTTTGGCAGAGAAATTCTTTTGTAGTCCCGCCTTGCAGCCACTTTCGGGCTAATCGAATGAGGCTAGTATGTGTTTGCTGCTATCGGATCGCTATTGGATAACGGCTTCTATCTAATCTGCTAAACCGTGCAATGTAGTACAGTAACCTAGGTACCAAACCTTATCAATGCTCTCTACTACTTCTGACTGGTAGCTGCTGCCGACACGCATGGGAACCTTTGAGTCGCGTTTATTCTTTTTTAGTGTGTGAGCTTGACAAGCTCCATTCCTGACGACACCCAAGTAAATCGCATTTCTCCCATTCTTCTCACCAGTCTAAGAAAGATAACAGGTACCATACCAAAAGAGACCAAATTATCATTTTACCCCCTCTCTATAGTCGATAATACTGCGACCGCCCTTTTTTTGTTTGCAAACAACAGATAATTCGGAGGATGCTGGCTTGCAACCAGCTCCTCGCCCAAACATATTAACCATCTGCAAATACTTATCGCTTCTCATCACATCTCCAAGATGCTCGCCCGAAGATCCCAGAATACGGTTGGCCTCCAGTTTGGGCCTTCGCCCTCTCCTGATCTAGATGAACAAAGTACACCACCACTACTACAATCAATAGAATCTAACAACTGGTTAGAGGCTGACAGTGACATAACAATAGCGTCGCCCATGTTCGATGATGCCGAAAACGAATTCGCACAAGATGCCGAAGAATTTGCTAAGGGTCTTGATTCTCTTTCGATAGTACCGAAGCCCAACGCAGAGAAACGAGCCGACGTATTCAGGCTTGTCGATACTTACTACCAGTATGCGGCTAATAAGGTTCGCGCTTTGCGCAAATCGTTAGGACAACTATCCGGGACCGACGCCCGCCATTCATACGATATTTCTAGCCAGGACTCCATGGACCTTGACGAAGGAGATGATTTGGCAAAATCGCCAGCCTCGGCCGAGATGCTCAAGAACTGGGAACTGGAAGCACAAACATGGGATATGTTGCGTCGCCTCTTACCACTTCGATACCCGAACAAGACCTCTCTCAAACCCGCGCGTCACGATACGTCAAGATTCCAATCATCTGCGCAACTCTGGGACGAGTTCCTCCAGACGGATTCTACCGCTCAGGAACGCAAGGCGATCCTCGAATGTTTACAGACTAGCGCAGACGAATCGCGGGTAGATATAGATGAATTAGTCCGTGACTATCAGAAACGAGCGGAAAGAGGTGACATCGTCGCCTATGGATGGCTGCATACGCGATCCGCGCTCAAGATGCAGAAGAATCTGAACGGTTGGTCTGGGGCGCTAGATCCTAACGCGAGCGATGTTGTGCAAAAACTCCGGAACGGATCAAATCCTATGGTAACCCAACTTGACCCTGATGTAGCAACAAGGCAGAACCGGAAGCTTCAACCGCAGGATGAGTATTTCGAGAGGGCTATATGGCTTGGGTGTTATGAATTACTGCGAAGAGGACGAAATATTGCCGAGATTCGAGATTGGTGCGTCGAAAGGACCGAAGTCTGGCGAGCCGTAAGCATGTCGGCTATGCCCCTGTCAAAGGACGAAGATGAGAGCCGGTTTAGTTGTGACCCTCTCTCAATGCTCCTGTGGCGGCGTACCTGTTTCGCCTTAGCCAGACAGGGAGGTACTGATGACTTTGAGCGTGCCGTTTACGGTATACTTTCTGGCGATATCCCAAGCGTCGAGAAGGTTTGTGAAAATTGGGACGATTTTGTCTACGCGCATTACAACGCTTTGCTTCGAACGCAATTCGATACCTACTTGATGAAGCGATCTCCACCAGACGCAACCGCTACTATTACCCAAACATTTCCCGCGTTCAACGCTGTTCAGTTTCATGGCGATGCTGCTTCAGTCGGAGAGCGCCTCGTTAAGTCATTGGAGACCAACGCCAAAACTTCCGCCGAGGCAAAAACCCCCATGAAGACCTTACAAGCAGCTATCATTTCGAACAATGTGGAACAATACACTTACGAGCTCGGTCTCGCCCTTGGGAAATCAGCAAATTCAGGCGATACGTCGGCTTTGATACCGAGCTTCAGTGCCTCGGAAGATATTGACGATGCCAAATTTGTCCAACTGAGGGATCATAACGGCCTACGACTCTTAGTCCACGTGTATCTCATCATATCACGTCTTGAGGAGTTACAGGGTGGTTTACATATGGAGCTCTCCGAGCGCCACAGGGTGCAAGAGAACATAGTCTCGGCCTATGTCAGCACTTTACGGTTAACGGGCTTAACAGATATGATGCCGCTATACTGCAGCCAGATGCAAGGGGATAGAGCCTTTTTCACCCTGAGCAAGAACGTTACTGGCGTGACTGATCAGCATGAACGAGACATAATACTAAGACTTATGGAGAAGCTCGAGATGGACATCGCCGAATTTGTTCAATTCCAGCCTCGTTCCCTACTCCAGGAGCACCCCGAACCGGAGGATCACCCCCCACCGTTTGGCAGATTTACCGTGTTTTCCAACGACCCCCCTACGCTTAAATACGGACGCCCACTGAAACCTGATTTCCTTGGGGAACCCCCAGAGAGTCTAGATCTTGTTGATGAACATCTTATCCAATCGTTGGAATGGTTCCTCCTTGTCGATGGCCTTTGGAACGAGTTTTTCCACTATGGCACCGCTATCTACAAACGCTTTCTTAGTAAGTAACCCCTCGAACCGCACTCCAAAGATGAGATTGCAATGCTAATTTTACATTAGAGCAATTCAACTTCCATGCGGCTCGCGCGTTATCTGAGCGAGTTCGCTGCGGCGAAGTTTTCAAGCGGAAGGCAGGTATTGTCTTAGACGATTCGGACGTATCGTGGTTTGATGAGGTTCGAGCAAACGCTGCTGCTGGGTCACTAGATGAGAATAGCGTTACTCCCGACGAAATCGCGGTAGCGCAAAACTATTTCGAAATGGAATGCTTAACTAGAGCTCTGGATTCCATGGAGACTATTGCTTCTAGTGAACTATTAGCCCAAGAGTGAGTACTGGTTATGACAACTACCTTATCGCGAAGCAATATGAGGCTAACTTCCGATATAGTCCTGCGGAGAAGGTAGGCAGAGACTTCTGGTCTAACGTTGGACATGAAGTGAAGAGCATCAAGAGTTTTATGCGCCCTATACTGAATAATTGGCTCATGGAAACTGTTGAAGGTGAGTTATAAAATCAGTATGACGAGGGACGTATCTCTCTCTAACTAGAGTAAGCAGAAGATGAAGATTTTGCGTATCTTCGAGACGCATATCTACCCGAGATGATTATAGGATACGTCAGCGTTTTGCATTTCGCAGGCACAACCCTGACCCGTGACAACCTGCTAGAATGCATGGAGTTGGCGTCAGTCATCGCCAAGAAGGACGCTGATGTTGCAGCGGTGATCATGAAAGCAGGACGAATGAAGGAGCTAGTAGAGGGCTTCGCGAACTGCAGCAAAGCACTGGCTATAAGTAGCAGCGATAAGAAGGGAGCCGGCGGTATTAATAGCAAGAGGATGATGCGAGAACGCGGATGGACGAAGGAATTATGGTCGGTCTAAAAGGGGAAAAAAGAAAACATGAAGAAGGGCCGTTACAGGTCTACGCCGGGTATACAAGTACTAATGTTTGCAATACTTCTTCTATACTCGCATTTCGGAATGGCTATGGCTTGCTGGCGTTGGTGATTCTTAAGGATAAGAGGATGACTATTAAAAAGTGAAGGCGTTCGTTCTTTTGGGACATATGAGAATGTCCGTAGTCAATGTACAGCACGATCAACCCAAGATTATCGGAATGCCATACACAATACTCATAAAAAGCCAGAGAGTGATCACATAACTAGCTTCTTAATTAGTTTATCTTTTCGGCGTACGTCAAGGCAGTTGATATTTATAATATTTGTTATTTGTGTAGGTACTTCGTAGGTAGTGAATGAAAAGGGGATCCTTTTAGGTACCAGGTACTTGATGTAAATGTTACCCTGTAAATGTTATAGGTAACAGACCTGCAGACTTTCAGGCTCGATCTAAGTGATAAGATAAGCGGCGTAACGTAATGTACAATGTACTCGTAACTCAACTAGGTAACCCACTTCTTCCAACAGCTTGAAAGTTGAACCTTGATAGCTTCACCTCTCTCTCCATCACAACTACCATCTCATCAATTTATAGTTCTGCCTACGATACTCAAGCCTCAAATCCTACGACGAATATCCATAACTCTCGATAGGGCATAAATTAAATAAAGCAAACAAAAAGGAAAAGAAGAGAAGAGAAAAAAAATCACAAACAATGTACAGCCCGACTCCCCCACCCCCCGTTCCGCCCCCGAAGCCCAGCAGCCACGACGCCAGCCGCCTCGGCACACCCGCCGCCTCCAACTCGCCTCGGCCACCACCACCAGTCCCAGACGACGCGTTTTCGAAAGCGATGGAGGGGAAGGGGAAGTTCGTTTCCAGCACTACGACGACGATGATGGATGCCTCGTCGGGCTTAATACCGGCTTCGACGACGTCTACAAACGGAGGAGGAGGAGGCGCGGAGAAAGAGGTTGTACCGGATCCGGGAGACCAGTGGCTACCGAAGATATTAGAGGATAAATCGTGAGTATTTCCTGGCTGTCTGGTTGTTATGTCGATTTAAATACCTGGTATATACCTATATATATATATATAATGTACTTTTCTTTTTTCTTTTTTTTTCTTCTTCTAATATATAGGACTATCTAACAACCACATGCAGGAAACAAGACCTCGCCGACATCCTGTCCAACCCCTCCCTCCTCTCGGCCCTGACGCACGCGCCCGCAACGGCCCACCCGTCCCTGACGTGCACGCGGGACGCGCTCCTGTCCGCGCTGGACGACAACGTGGCGCTGGCGACGCACCTCGCGGAGCTCGAGGCGCGGCTCGCGCAGCAGCGCGGCGCGGCCCAGGCGCAGCTGCTCTCGACGCACGCGCTCGAGCGCCAGTGGCGCCAGAAGCAGGCCGAGATGGACGCCGCGCTCGCGCCCTTCTCGCCCGCCGCCCTGTACGCGCGGCTCGGCCAGAGCCTGGCGGAGCAGGAGGCCGTGTGCCGTGCCCTGGAGGAGAGCTTTCTGGACGGGGACGCCAGGGGGAGCAGCGGCGGCGAGGAGGAGGGCGCGGGGCTGGCGTCGGAGAGGGAGACGCTCGATTGGGTGAGGCGGTATCGCGACGCGAAGAAGTTGTTGTATTTGCGGCACGAGAGGCGCGAGAGGTGGAATGAGCACCGCGTTGGGGGGTGGCGGTGAGGAATGGCGAGAAGAGAACGGATATCCAACTTACCTGCCTTTTGGAACGAGCGTGTCTCTAGTTCTACGAACAAGTACTGGAAGAAAGAGGAGAAGCGTTGAGGTGCACTCGATCGCTTTGTGCAAGCTATGCGATGCAACACGATACGATACGGCTGGCATGATTCTGGGTTCATGGACGCTCGAACGATATGCAGGGCCACGACTACGCCGACTACCACGACTACAATACAATACGGCTAAATATTGGCCTACGTATTTTCCTACGTATTTACTTCCGCGCTTGGGATTATCTACTCTTAGCCGTCACAGATGCGCTGCGGGGAGAAAGCCATCGGTTTTTTTTTTTTTTTCTCTTTTTCCTGCACTGATACCCCATCCCACCGCTGTTTAATATATCAACTCTGCTTTCCCGCTCGGGGGGGAGTGTACGTATGGATGGTATGAGCGCACGTGCTACGGGGGAGGGAGAGGCTAAGGCTGGCTGCTATCCGCGTTCTGGAGCCGATCTGCGTATGAGGGGGTTCGTTTCCCTTAAGCGCGAGGTAGTGGACGAACCGCTTGTTTGGGCTTTTGAGGGGAACGGTCCGACTGGCAGTTTACGGGGAACTCCTGTAAGTGCGGGCAGGGTGAAGCGTAGCAGTTGGGTTAGTGGGAAGAGATATGTGGAGGTGTGGGTATTCCCCGTACGTTTGGTTCCCTACTGGAGCGGCCTAGTTCGAGTTACATCCAAGGGTGTTGGTTAAGAGATTCGCGGGTCTCCAAAACATAGCGTCTGCTGGAATCGAAGGGTCCTTCCATCACGACGGGGTAATGGCCGTCTACAAAGTCTCGAGGCTTGGTGGCCTTAGGGTGGTGAGTGATATATGCATAGTAATATGCGTGACTGTGAACGTAAGGGTTTTAGGACGAGCAACTCGCAAGCGGGTCGGGGTCGGGGTCGGGGTCGACAGCAGGCACAGGCGGAACAGGGGCGGGCGGACATGCCTATGACAGGGCGGAGTTTGGACGAATCGTAGCGGGTGTGGGGAGACACATTACGAGGTTTTGTTTCGAGTGGCCGTTGCGACGATGGTCGAGAGAGGGGAATGGGGGCCTCCCTATTCGGACCGACGCACGTATACGGGTTACAACATGTGACTGAATACAGACACGTGCTGCTCGCTGCTGCTGCTGCTGCTGCAGTAGCAACAGTAGACTAACCTAGTCATTATAAGTGGCTAATTAGATGGGGATCGGATCGGGTTGGATTGGATTATAAGATAAGTCCTATACCTACGCGTACGTGCGCATAATCCATATACCCAGGTATATACCTAATATAGCAAGCATATGAGGTATATATACTACTATTAGACCAGGCGAACAAAGTGACATATAAACTGCGGAGAGGCTTGTAATAAATAGAAGCTACGATAAGAAGATGTAGGCGCCTACCAAGCAAACGCTGCCTCGGCGCGGCGCGAAATCAACAACAGCGGACGGACGTAAGGGCAATCCCGTTGACGTTACGCGGGTAAGGCTATATGCATACCTCATACATAGGTACATATCATGTAGAGGCCGTACAGAAGGCAGGCAAGCAAGCAAGCAAACAAGCATTTGAAACGGTCCTTAACAAACTAGGTTCTTTTCTTTCTTACGATATTATATTATTTTATACCTACTGTTACCTCTATATTTCTTTTGCTATGCCATACTTCTTCCTTACTTACAACATCGTGCCGCACCACATCACATCTATGACATCTAGTATCAGGTTAGCACAGCAAAAAAATCCACTTGGTTGTTGCTCTCTAAGGGTCTCTCTTTTTCTTCACTAAATCCAGTCCTCGTCTCCACCTGTACCAGACACGGACAGACAGGTATACGCATGCATACATACCTACATACATATTACATGGGGGCCCAACCGTGGAAACAGGTAGGTATACACGTATTTCTGCTTTTACTATCCGCGTATCGCTATCCAGACTGTGGGCGCTGGGCTACCTGGCTGGCTGGCCGACCACCGTACCCTACCCTACACTTCCCTGCCCGGGCATAGGGCATAGGGCATATATACATACTACGAGGTATGCACACTACCTGTATCTGCATCCATATCCATATCCATATCCATATCCATATCCATATCCATCTCTGCATTTGTATCCTATCCGTATCCGCTATGACACGCATCCCGCGCGGAAAGCCGAGTGGTTGGGGAAAAGGTTCCGGTAAAGTTACCTACCTACCTACCTACCTATATACATAATATAAGTCTGGCGGTGACAAGGCAAGGCAAGGCAAGGCAAGGCACGTGGAACCCCTTTCCCCCCCTTACTTCCTTACTTCCCTTCCCCGCTTCCCGGCGCTCCCGGCCCTATGGTTCTTCGCTTTTTGACCCTGTCCTGTCCTATCCTATCCTATCTTATCATGTCCTTGTCGTCTATGTAGGTAGGTACTGTTCTGTGCTTCGTTCCCAACCGAGACACGTTCCCCTGTATTGCGTGGGAAGCCCTTGGTTCATTGCCCTGGAAGGGGGGAGGAGAAATAGCGGAACTTTTATTTTTTTATATTCTTTTGGTTCTTTTCCTATAGGTCTGATTTTGTTCCGTTCCATTTTGTTTCGGATTATTCCTATTATTCCCTTTTCCCCCCCATCCGCCCCCCCTTTTCACTCGTTCGCATCACTTCACTATGCTACAATACATACCACTATACTTGACTTTAATTTTTTTTTCCTATTATTATTTTCGATCTCGGCCCTGCAGCAACACGCTACGTTCTATTCCTACCTCTCTACCTCCCTCCTCCATTTTCCACCCCTTCTCGTCTACGCCGCCCCGCCTTGCTTGGTCTCAAGCGAGCCTCCGCCCCATCTATCATATATGGATTCTCTCTTTTTCTCTCTTTTTCTCTCTCTCTCTCTAGTTAGCCAGTTAACTACCCCTAGTTAATAATAAAGCCCGACTTCAAAGTTCCACATTGCCCCAACTACCTAATAACAACGTTTCCTTTCCTTATCTATCTCAATCTACCTTCGTTGAGATATCTACCTCCTAGGTAGCTAGGTCCCTCTGATATACCCACCCACCCCACCCCTGTCCTCCTCCTTCGCTTATCTGTCTGCCCTGTCCTGTCCTGTCCTGCCCCGTCCTCCCTTGCCTTACCTTAAAAGGCTGAACGGGCTTATGGCCCCCATATCGGGGCTGCGCGGGCTCATGGGTAGCGCGAACAACTCGTCTTCCGTCTCTTTGGCGGCTTGGACCGCGTATGGCAGCGGCGGCGCAGCCGTCTGCTTGTTCCCGCCCAGAACGGCGTCGAGGGAAGCCACGTTGCCCGCGTCCGCGCCCGTTCTCATCGCCAGCCCGTCTTTCTTGCCCGGGGGAGGCGGGTCGCGCCTGGGAATATACGGGTCGCGTTGATGCGAGTAGTGGGCGCCTAGAGAGAAGGTGAGTCTTGGCGGAAACGTGGGAGGAAAACGTGTTTGTGGATTTAGGCAGGCAGGTGGAAATCTTGGGAGTGAAAGCTTGCAACCAATGAATGACAAGGCATCTATCTGGGAGAAAGGGGAAGGGTGAAGAGGAATAGGAGAAAAACAAGGAAAACTCTAGGTAGGTACCTGAATGATTGGCCAAGTCCGACGGCGAAGTCGCCAATTTCAGCCCCTTCAGCTTCTCGCCTAACCGGCCGCCGACCGGGGAGCGCGGGCTCTGCGGCGGCGACTGGGCTATAGAACCGGCATCCGCGACGTTGGGATTGGTGTCGGGGACCCGGAGGTCGTCGAGGCCGAAATGATCGATGATCCAAAGACGCTCCTGGACGGCCATCTCGAGCCCCACGCTCTCGCTGTTGTCGCGCAGCTCCGCGCGTATCTCGTCCTGGAGCTGTCCGGCGCGCAGCCGCGCCCATATCGTGTGCAAGACGCCGCGGCGGCCCGCGTCGCGGGATCCGATCCCGAGCCCCGGCGCGAATATGGCCGGCATCGCTTTCGCCGTTAGCGTCCGGCCCGAGCCGGCGTGGGAAATGGTTACCGCGGGCGGCACCGTGGCGTCGGAAGGTAATAGGAAGTAGACGCGTTGCCGGCGCTGTCCTTCCTTATCGATGATTCCCCCGTCGTCGTCGTCGTCGTCTTCTACTTTCTCGATGACGGGAAATGTCGTCGTCTTGGCATCCCACGCCACGACCCAGCCGTCCTCGCCCGACGGCGCAGGATCCCATTCCACCATGAGGATCTTGGACCCGTCGTTTCCGCGGCCGGTCTCGAACTCGAACCGCGCGAAGGCGTTTGGCGAGGCCGGCGATACCGGCGAGTCTATTACGCATGGTTCCGAAGCGGAATGGCCGGGAGTGAAGGATGACGTGGTGGCGGCTAGCTCAGGTATCCGGAGGGGAGCGGACCCGGAAGAGGTCGGATGACTCGGTGTAGGATCCATAGCCATCTGCGTAATTCGCGTGTGCGTGAGTCCGGTAGCCCGCTTTAGGTGAGAACGAGTGTGATGCTACCTCCCGAGGTGTGTAAGTAGGGTAAGAGGGCCGTCGCTAGGAGCGCATCGAAAGCCAATGGAGATGGCTAGATGGACGGTCTCGAGAAGGGGAGGGGGATAGGAGCGCGCGTCTGGCGCAAAGAGGATGGACGACGGGCCAATATTCCTTGAACACGCGCCGCACGCACGCACGAAAACTTACTTGCGCAGCCGCACAGCGGGGTGATAATTTATTCAAATTGTCTCGGGAATATTGTCTAGCGACGGATGAATCTACTGGGTAATATTAAGCGGCAACGGCAAGGCTAGTAAGGTAACGTAGGCTCCTTTCTTGGCTGCTGCCACTACTCCTCATGCAATGTAGACATCGGCAGTCGAAAGACGGCGACAGAGGAGAGGAGGGCAAAACCAATTTTTTTTCCTCTTGCAACGTAGGCCTAGGGAATAAGGGTATCGTATGGATAAAAGCGAGTTAAAAATAAAGACTACTTTAGGTAGGTGTGCAAATTAGAGCTCTCGATAATAATGAAGTATAAAAATTCCCTTTGGCTCTTCTGAACGCAACTACTAGGCTACTAGCTTAGACAAACTAAGGTACCTAGCCTCACCGGTGTAGTTTGAAATGAGGCTACTGTACGTATGCGGGCGTGCAGGAGCTTAGAGGTGAGGAGTAGTTTTAGGCGGGGAGAGGAACGAGATAGAAAGAGAGAGATCGAATGGTTCCTTTTCCACCAAGTGACAGCTTTCGTGGCAGAAAAGGGAATGCTCGACGTCTTGGCGGCGATGATGTATGGTACAAGAGAGGAACACGCAGAGTGAGCGAGATTTGTTATGACCATAGCAGCTGAAGGCAGCCATTTTGGAATAGCATCCATGTAGCTCATAAGTACCTATAGTAAGGGGATGTCAGTGACAACGGCGGGGGGGGCCAGGAACGCCATCAGCGAGAGCGACTCTCAAGTGAATAGAAAGAGAGTCGTGCCAATCCACCCATACATGTGGTTTTCTAAAAATAGACAACACCCAGCCAACCCAGCCAACCCGGTGGTTCGGGGCTAGTCGGTGGTTGATCTCGGTTGTGTACTGAGGAGAAATCGGAAATTGGGGAAGAGCTTTTTAGGTGAGACTCGCGAATTGTGCGCGAATGGATTAATATGGGCATGGGGCAGGGGGGTTGTTTACTATGTAAGCGAGTCCCCCATGCCCCTTTTGAAAACGAACTTCCTGATCTGTTCATCAGGTAGAAGCTAGGATCCAGAAGAGTTCCATCCTTGGAAATCCCACCAGTCTGGCTCCTCATGCTCCTCATGCTTCTCATACAAAACGACACCGAACAGCTCGAGGAAGCCTTATCTCTAGAATCGTTCTAGACGCCTTATACGCGCACGCGTCCTCGTGCTCGGAATCGTAGGAATTCGGGGTATACCGTGTCCCAATCGGCATATCGGACGGGCTTCTTGATAGGGCTGATTTTCAGCACCATTTCTTCTTTACATCACCTGCTTATTGGTGGCCTGATCTATACAAAGCGCGACTCACTGGGATTCAACGAAGAGTTCCCTAAAGAATATGTTTAAACTTAACCTAGGGAATTGTGACGGATAAATAAAACCACGATACCTTAAGTGGTGCGATATGTAGAACCGAGCTCGGGGGAAGTTTCCTACGAAATAGGCGAGAAGCTACACTACTTATGATAACTAGAATAAGGCTAGCTGTTCGTAGTCTGATCGTCTTCGCATGGCGAGTAGAGCTAATATATTAAACAAAACTGTGATGGATTACTTGGAGGCTTTGGAGCATCGGATGTGGCCCCGATGACGTTTCCCCAGGCCATGTTTCGTAGTATCCGGTAACTCGCGATGGGTGATCGTCCTAGATTTAACCAAAGACGTACGTACCGCCTTGCGGGCTATGACTGTTGACACCTCATTTGAAGCACCCATTGGAATGTGTTCTATGAAGAAACCTCAACAAGTGTTAATATGATAGTAAATGTGATACGAACGCCATAGAATTGATGAATAGACCATCGATTTGCGCCACGGAATGAATAAGTCTGGCTTAGATCACAAAATAGCAGCAATGTTTCATTTTTTCGACTTCAATATTTTGTTTCATGAAGACCACGTTGCACCCGCGCGGTTTAGTGGCGTTATAAGCTGCGGACGAGCCAGGTGATCTTCTGCCCGCGTCTACCACTTGGCCGCTGGGAAATTATCACAGAGACGTCGTACTCCTAGATACGTACATGAGTCAGGCTAAGTCAAGCTCATCTCTTTTCTGCGATGGCCACATGTGTAAATGTAGTCTTAGTCACCTCATCCTCGATTTGTAGAAATGCGTAGAAACGTGCAATTCTCGACTTCAGCAGTGTCGGAGTATCCAAATATGAAGATGAAAAAGAATGGGCCACTAGCCAATGAGGTCGAAATTACGTCGGATGCTGGGAGGGTCAGAAAAGACCGTAGTAAGGCCGTTCGGTCCACATGGGCGGTCGGTCCCTTTTTTTCTTTTTTAACGAGCAAGACGGACCCGGCGGCTCTATCGCGGGGAATTCCCAAGCCCTTGTTTCTTACGGGCCATCATCAACATCTTGTAGGAAGGTGACCTTTCTAACAGCCTTAGTAGTATAGCAAGTAATAATACGATACGATCAACGCGCTTAGCGTAACATGTTACCTTTAAAAAAACCAGCATGATATGCCAAGCTCGCCGTTTATATAAAATTTCAATCTTTTTTGTGTCTAGTTGTGGATTTGTGAAGCATTTAGGGAGTGGAGAGGTACGCTACGTACTCCTGGATAAACTACCTACCTGGTAGGTAAGTCCAGGTAGGTAAGTCATGCTAACAGCCACCATCACATTGGTGATGCTGTAGGAGTTGATTATGCCGAGACGCAAGTAATAAAGGGAATATGTTTGACGGCTCAGGATGGTCATGTGCAATGTCTCGCAGAAGTAGAGATTGAAAAAGGGGTCTCGATCCCATTGGGAAAAGAAGGGTGGTCTCTCTGTCTAGGTGGCATGTTACACTGCGAGACCGAAATGAGAAAAGCAACCCCAGAAGTGCCGAAATCGAATGCAGATCTTTCCTAAACGGTATTTGAATCACTGCGCGCTGGTGAATCGTAAGAATCGTGAATCGTGATGGAAGGCCTCACTCTCTCCCTGGCTACTTACTCCCTGGGCTGCTTGGTAAGCTGGCTCGATATGGCCCTTAAGTGAAGCAACCAGCGGCGCCGGATGAAGGCTTCCCAATTTATTGTTTGTTCTCGAGACTCTGCTGCGTCTGGCTTTCGGTCTGTATTGTACATGAGGTAGGGGAATATATTATGCTTGAATATTTGCGTCGGATCCCGTATATGCCAAGTCTTGTCGCGGTGGTGCTCATGATGAAATGAGGGAGGCTAAAGTATCGTAACCAAGTTTACAAGCATGCTCGACGACACCGAGCAGAAGAGTCGGTGCTACTTTCGGCACTGGCCATGATAAGTGTCATAAATTTCACGAGTCTATGAACGGAAGCCCACGAGGCTCCGCGAAGTACAATCGTGGAGCAATCGCGGAGCAGCAGGTTATAACCGAGCTGTAAATAGGCTAAATGGGAAAAGCTGGGTTGCGATGCTCTCCCAGCTACTAGCTAACCCCATAAACCCCATAGTCAGATCCGGCCAGACACACGATAGAGAGGGTCCTAACGTGGGACCATACGTTAATGGCGACATTGTTTATTGAAAGACGAAAGATAACAAGTAGATAAAGCTAGCAAGGGGGGGGAAAGAGCTAAGTGAGATATCAGGAAAGCTGAGCTTCGATAAAAGGCCGAGAGGAAGGGGAGCTAGCTAGGATTTGTTAGAAAATATTTTGCGGATGACCGATATATATCTATGAGATGTCCGCGGGCCGATAGGTAATGATTCCGAAGAAGACCGGGTGCTGATGGAGATGGAAATGGAAGAGATGATACAATACCAGAGCCGTATGAGGAAGACTTATCGGCCATGCCCGCACCCATGCTGCTGCTATGGAACATGGAACATGGAACATGGAACAACTCACGGAATCTTGTCTGACCTCATCAGGACAAGGATACGGCAATAACCTTCTCCGGATTCAGGTACGGTTGAATTGGTTTATTAGTCGGTATTAAGCAATGAAGTAAGCTGATGCCGGGGCCGAATATTTAATAAATACCTCCTTAACTTTTAAGATGCTTGAGGTGAGGTGATGTGATGTGATGGTACCTTGTTAGGTATTCGATACCTCTCGGGATGCTTGATACCGAGATACTTGCCAATCAATTGGGATAGACCCTGAATTCTGAGTAAATGACCCTGATAAAATTTATGGTAAAATGTTTTGCATCTACGAATAACTGTAGCCGAACGATTCGGACAATTGCGTAGTGATAAGAATATCGGGGTGAGGTGTGGATCGTGGGTCGTGGATCGTTGGGAATTGGATCAAAGGTGTAAAGGAAGTAAAAAAAAAAAAAAAAAAGAAGAGGGGTGAAAAATTAAGTGGTTTTTTCTCGGTGCAAAAAGAGTCAGGAACTACCTATAGGTAGTGTTAATAGGTGGTGTTTTAATGGGTGTTCGACATATCACTCGCTGGCCATAGGTCGGCAGCACTTCTCTAGCACTCCACTATTTGGCCGGCCAAATCGCCGTAAGCAGCAAGAAGACACACCCTCGGACACCCTATTTTATAGCTCATACCACCATAACACCGAATAGACTTAACGACTTTGACAGGTTTTAGTGGATTTTCCCTTTTCCCCCAGTGCCACCCACGCCCCAGAAAGTTAACCTCTGTCGCTTGTTCTCCACACCCACCTTACAGGTACGCAGTCTACCCGGTCTACCTACGCAGTCTACCCTACGGTTACTAGGTTACTAGTGTTTAGGTACCTTAGGTTAGGTAGGTAGGCTGGTAAGAGCAAGGTTACTAATGACACTGGCCTGGATTCCTATCGTACACTCCCCCCCCGTCCCATTCCCGTCTTTTTCCAACATCCCCCCCCCCCCCCCCCCCAATCCAAAATCGCAAAAGCTTCTAAACTCGTGAACTAAGTTCCCACTTGGGCTCTATCTATCTTCAAGTTCTCGGCCTCATTTTTCCCACGTTCTCAAACTTTATCCACTTCCTTTGTTCCAGTAGTAGTAAACTCTATGGGTTATTTCTTTTCCTAGTAGCACCCTAAACATCCTCATTACCACCCATACGGCTTCTTGCCCTATCTGGTCACTTCTGTTAACGTTGCTCTTCTCTCCGTTGCCTTGTCTCAGTTGTTTCTCTCTGTTCAACACCATTTTTGAGACCATCTCTCCCGCTTCCCGACCCCGTAGCCCCATGTACATTGCGCCTCTTCTCTTGGTCTCCTAATACTTACCAACTTATCAACTGCCACCAACTTTGCTTTCTCAAACCGACGCCCTTTTCATCTCGTCGCGATATTTACCTTTTCCCCGCCAGCTCGAATCGCGTTCGTGACGATACCGAATTCTCAGGGTCTACGACAGCCAAACCAATCTTCGGTCATCATATCAGTCTTAACGAGACTCGGTATTCCAATTCCATCCCCTACGGCCGAGACTTAGCCAACTAGAGTCCGGTTTGAGCGAGAGAGGCGCAGAGCGCTTTGGCTGTTGTATTGTGTCTACATCTGACGTCGCTCGCTTTATCTCATTGCTGTAGTTCTAGTCCCCCTGTCCCTTTATTCAGTCTCCTTCGTCCTCGACTCGATCTACGAACCGCCATCCGTCACCCCGAATCTGTGAACGGATCCTGCCTACCTTCTAATTCACCCCGATATATTCAATGTCTCAACATGTTTGATTTGCGTCCGGCCAATTTCAACATTATCGACCCCGACGCCGTCGCCTTTCCTGTCTGATAAAGGACAAACGTGCATTGCGAGCACTCTCCATCTGTCCGTCTTGACATAGGCGCGCCGGCTTCACTTGTCCGAACAATCATTCATAATGGACCCTCCACACTTGACCGAATTCGCCTCCCAGCGGTATTTCGATAAGCTCAAGAAGCTAAACGAGTCTAAAGATCAGCCTCCCGATGCTATTGCCCACGCGCAGGAGGGCTCTGTTGTGGCCGAATCCTCGACATTCATACTTCCTATCAGGAGACCGAAGGCAGCTGATCAGGCCTCGCACGATATCCAAAAGGCAGAAAAGCGTCGCGGCAATTTCATCGGCTTCAAGATCTTACCGTCGCGTAATTCTGTTGAACACGACACGCGCCGACAGTCTATCGATTCTACGAAAAGGAAGAGCATACCTTTCGATCAGTTATTCCTCGCGCTTCCTAATGAGCTGAAAATCCAAATCATCGCCTCTCTACCCTTATCTGATGTCCTAAGCCTTCGATTAGCTTCGCGGTCGTGGCACGCGATGATTACAGTCAATGAGTTCCCAATTGCTCGGTATCACTTGGAGCATCACGTTCCTGCTTATGCGAAGCGATTATATCCAGCGCCCGACCCGACTGCGATACGGCTTCACTATTTATGTGGGATATGGCATAGGTTACACGTTGCCGCTAAGCTGTCCTATTTAATATGCGAGAGGGTGACGAAGGAGATATTTCTGAGGACTACGGTGGCTCAACGTATCGAATTCGAGCCGCAATACGAGAGGATGCGCCGACGATTAATACCACTGCTCTTTACAGTATTTCATTTCTTTGAGACGTACCGAACATTACATATCGAATACATTCAGGAACATGGACATGGCTTATCCAAGGTCCCTTACACCTTAAATCCTATCGAACTGAAGATCATGAGCATGTACGACGACCAAACATTATTACGCGTCCATCAGGTGTTCCCCCTGGTGGTATCTTCCTTCTGTCGACGCCTTCGACCACCATCTTATGTGGGTCGATTAGAGCGTTCGCTCCGAGGTTATTTGAAGGACCGGCCTCCCGACGAAGTTTATGTGACTGCGATGTGTGTCGGCGGACTCCGACAGATGGAACGATTCTGGGAGATCAAGGGGTATAATTCGAGGAGAGGAGCCGTCGACTCGTGGTATAACGCGGTCTTAAGGGAACCGGTGGAGGTCGGGATGAAAACGCGGCGAGGGTTCAGGGGTCTCACGCGGAAGAAGTCGAGCGCAGGCGAGTCCGATTTTCCAAGGCCCGGAGAACCATACGTGAACGGCCGCGGACGGCAGGGATCGGATGCAGGCCGACGGGGCAGCGATGCGTCGATGATTACGTGGGAGAACCTGGTATTTAATACGAGTTTGGCTGAAGGCATGCCGATGGGCGAGTTGTCGCGCGAACAACTCAAGATGTTACTTCCCGACCTACCAACCTTACAACAAATATGGCTTCCAACGGCGGAGGCGCTAATATTAGACCGTGGAATTGTCGAACGGCCGCAGGACATCAAGCGCAACGCGCAAGTCATGTTGGAGCTGATCCGGGAGGACGGTGCCGCCGAGGAAGACGAGTGGTGGTACGGCCGGGCGGCGCCGGAGTCGGTCCGGCCGCCTCTCGAAGCCATCGAAGAGGACCCAATCGAATAATTAACCTTCCCACCTTACTTATCCTTATCTATCTACATCACCTCACCTTATCTTACCTTACCTCACCTTACCTATTCTACTATCTAGTACTTGACTTTATTATACCAACGGGGAAAGGGGACGCGAGGGGATGGTTGTGTGTCCGGGTTAGTTGAATTGATACCTAGCATAAGCGCTTAGAAAGATATCCGCGCGAAGGGTGGGGATAGCGGGCTTTTTTTTCTTGGTTTGGTTGGGTTGGTTCTAGCCGTCATCTAGCCATGTTCATCATCAGCATTTACAGGGCGTTCTTTTTTATAATATGGGGCGGGAACTTTTCCATTTATTCTTCTTTATTTTGGTCTTTGCAACAGCAGCAGCCGCAGCAGCAAGCAGCAGAATTTCCTTGTTTTTATTTTTCATGGTCTGTTTTGGTTAGTAGGGTATTACTACTTACTACCACTACTACTCCTCCCGGGGATTTGGGGCGTATACGATATATTGTTTTTTTTTTCTTTCTCCCCCTTCCCATGTTTCCTCACCTCATGGATAGGCCGAGGGGGAAATGGGGGGGAAGGGAAAAGGGAGCCTGGGAGCGAGGATGGAATCATGGATAGGGAGAAGCTTGGGCGAAAACCTATTAGGCGTTCCCGAGTTCGTCTAAGGACAACAACAACTACAACTACTACTATTTGATGGCTCCTCTTTTCTTGGATTCGCAAATACCGAATACCCAAGAAAAGACACATAACATAACCATAACTATAACCAATATCCATTATCATATCATATCGTACCAATATCATACTATTAGGTACCTGCTACTACTTGGTGTCCCCAAGTTCTCATTTCATCTCTTATTACATGTCGTTGTTCGTTGCTCTTTTTATCTGTCGTTACAGACTATATTATATTTATATTAGCCCGAAACGAAGCGTAAACTCTTACCCCCCTTCCCCACCTCCCTGCTTCCCCGTTTTTTCTTCTATCTTTTTCCCTGCCTAACTACGTGTTCCGCGCGGCATCTATTACTCCTGTCCCCCTTTTTGTTTTCCCCGAGATCATACCCGCAAGCGAGCAAAGCGACATTCCTCCGAACGTCCCCGTCCCCGATTGCGTGCTAGGAAGGCAAAAGGGGGGATTGGTGGGATGAGGATTATCTTTAGATACCGGGGAAAGGAAGGACATGCGTGCGTGTAAGATTGAACGAACAGGTGAATGGATAAATAAATGTATGGCTACCTGGTTGGTGGAATTAGGAGCTACGCAGATATTCACTAGTCGCACTCGTGGGAAGGGAAGGGAAGGGAAGGGAAGGGAAGGGAAGGGAAGGGAAGGGAAGGGAAACAAAGATAATATGCACACGTCTTCTATAAGAAGAGAAAGGGCTTGAGTAGGAGGAGGAAGAGAAGGAGGAAGAGGAACCAAGCAAAGAGGTAGATATATATCCCATATATCAATCGATGAATGTTCTCGGACCCCATCTCATCTCGTCTCGTCTCGCCTTGTCTCATTCCGTTCCATATTCCATCTCTCTTGCCTACATGCCTGAACTAAAGTTTTCGTCCGAGTCTTTTACACCCCTTCCTCCCGCCTTCTCTCTCTAACACACATGTTTTTGCCTTATACCATTCCTTACCCCTGAATGACCATCTCTTCAACCGTACCGTGCCATACCATACGATCCATTCCATCCTTCGTTGTACCCAGCATCTTCCTTAATCGCAAACAGTACAACTCCATACCACTACCACCACCAACAACAACAACAGACAAGCAGACAAAACAAGTAAAAAATCGTAGCAGGTAGAACGAAACCCGGGCAACACACAAATGGTATATTAGAACAGACCATACGGGAGAAAAAAAAGAACCGAAAACTATTTGGCGTAAAAAAGCACAGAAACAGAACCCGCTCTCTCCCAACGCTTTGCTGCCCTTTTCCCGATAATACGAGGACCAATGTCCCGCGAACAAAGTGTGAGGAAGAAGAAGGAGGAGGAAGAAAGGAGGTAAAGTAAATAAGGTAAAAACCCGTAAAAAAACCTTTTGAGGTCTGTTGCTTGTGCTACAAGTAATATTCAAAACCCCTCTCCGTTTCTCTCCTCGCGGACCGGAAAGATCCCGCCTAACGTGTACTGGCACCGGTCGGAGTCGGAGTCGGAGGAGGGTAGGAAGTCATTTAAACTATGAAGAAACGAAGAATGAATAACAAATAGCTCCCTAATGCCATGTTCCTTTCCCTTTCATTTCTTCCCTTTCCATAATCCATTTCCTTTAAAACTTTCCGTCGTAAAAACTATGCAGAGGAAATAGAACAACCATAAAAAGGGAGAGAAAGCAGTTCGAAGTCGTGCTCTCAACCCCCCCTAAGATCCATATACAAACGCCACTTTATTTTATTTTTCTCCATTTCCTTAAACGCCACATTCTGTCGTATATCATGTGCATATCGAAAACCTAGAAAATGCCCAGGTCTCGGTCTCATACGAGATGAAATTTTCAGATGAAATTTTCACGACGGCCACCTGTTCTGGGTAGCGCGACTAACGTTTGAGGAAGGTAGATAACTGTTGTTCATACCCGTGGTGGAAGAATAGAGCGATGCTGCGCTCGAGCCGGTTGTCCGTTGCTGAGACGGTACGCCACCGCTGCTCAGCCCGTACGAGCCAGTCCCGAGACCTAGCGCACCGTGGCTATTACCCGAATCCAAGTTCTGGAGTTCCAGAAAGCTCGAGTCGAAAGAGGGCGCAAATGTTGAGGGCATCGCGGAATGCGACGTGCTATGTGTAGTCGTCGGTGTTTGGCGCGCGCCGAAGTGAGGAGAGTGGTTTGCGACGCCATGACCTGTGGCACCTCCCGTACGATAGTTGTTATCTAGCGGTGACGCCGAAGGTGTTCGACGCGGTGGGTATCCCGTACTGCTGTGGACGAGTGATGGCGACCCCCTATAATTAGTGTCGCTCTGTAAGAGCGGTGAGTTTGACTGTGCGCCGAACTGAGGAGAATTAGTCATGTGCTGTACAAGACCTGTTCCGGGAGATCCTGTAGCCATATGCTGAGTCTGACGTTGACTAGTAGAATACGCAGATGGTTGTGTATTGTAGGACGGGTTAAGAGTCTGTGTTTGGTAGTAGTTTTGAGATGGTCTGCTCTGCTGGTGGGTAGCCAGCGTAGATGGCATCTGGGGGGCCTTGGATGCCTGCGAAGAAATAGGAGAAGCGCTTTGAGTAGTCTGCTGCATCTGCTGACGATTGGCAGTCTGCTGTCTTGCGTTGTCCTGGCGGTTTTGGAGGGCTGTAAAACGTTCGTAGTGAGCTTCTAATCCTTCCGCGGGAGTTGGGGACGCCGTATTGCCCATCGATGTCGTCGTTTGATGCTGCTGTTGCTTTTGAGAGCGATTGGCATTGCTCTGTACTGGATCACTACGGTTCTGTAGTGCAGCTATTCGCTCGTAATGAGCTTCGAGGCCTTCGGCCTGCGTATGGTTTTGTGATGGGATGGAAATCTGATTAGATTGCCGGTTTTGATCCAAGCTGGTCGCTGTAGATGACGCAGAATTTTTATTCCCTATATTATTCGGAGTCGAGCGTTTCGCCGTCTGTAGCGAACCTGACTCTTGGGATTTACGCGGCCGTTTTGTAGACGGCGTATTATTAACATTGGCAGAAGACTGCTGAATAGACTGGACAGCAACAGCCGATGGCTGCACTTGGGGAATTGGAACTGAGGTTGCTTGAGAAAGACTCGCTTGTGTTTGCTGGGAAGTGGCGTTACTTCCGACGCCACCATCGGAGGCTCCGTCAGTTTGAAGGTGGATAGTACCGATAGGGGCAGACTGACGCTTCCGCTTCTTCCCAACTATTGAGGACTCCTTAACTTGAGGAGTCGGCGTCTGGCTATTAGACATCGCAGGCGGAGGTAACAGCTGAGATCGCTGGTCGCTCTGAGAATTAGCACCATCCGCGATAGAGGACGTGGTAGTGCTGCCTGTAAACGAAGGGCCAACAATAGGCATCCGTGCGGGATGCTGATTATTTTGGTGATTCACCAGTTCGGTCGTTTGCAACTGCTGAGACGTAGTGCCATCTTGACCTGCGGACTCGCTGGAGGCCTTGGGGCGATTCTTAGAACCCTTTGGCCGTCCAGCATTCGCCTTCCTCTTCGGTTGCTCACCAAACATGGGAATCGGTACCGGCACAGGAGTCACCTTTGGCGGTATTGGATGCGCTAATGCATGATCGGCTTGAACAGGAGTGGAATTCGGGTTTGCAGATGCGGACTCAGCTGACTGATTAGCTTGCTGTACACCGGAAGCATCCTTAGGTCGATTTTTGGAACCCTTCGGTCGACCACGCCGTTTTATGCTGGATCCAGGCCCAAGCGTGGTATTCGCATCGTTAATAGATTTAAAACCGCCTGTCGAGCCCATCATCGGAGTATTGTTAAACTGCCCCTCTTCGTGAAGTTGGGGGGGTGTACTCGGAGCGTTCTCCGATGGCCCCTCTACTTCGACTAGATCGTCATCTTCGTTCAATTCTAGAACGCTATCCTCTACATCCACCCAGCTGTCATCTTGAGCTTCTTGGGCTCGGTTTGTGGTACCCTTAGTACCTTTCTTCATACCCTTGTCACTCCGAGATTTGCTGGCTTTGCTGCCCTTTGGACGTCCCCTGGGTCGTCGCAAATTCATCGGCTGCGTGGCTGGAATCGATGTCCGCCTTCGAGGCTCCTTGAGATTAGGAAATATCTCAGCGATCCACCCAACAAATAAGGAACCGGAGCCGTTCGCCTCTGCGCTTTCAGGAAATTTACCATCTGCTGGGGGTGGTGCCTCTGGTATGCCGCCAAAGAATGCAAGCGCTTTACATAATTGGTCTACCACTGTATGAGGGGGGAGAGTTCTCAGAAGCGTCAATAATCGTGCTTGTTCGGTTTTTGTTTCGGTAATAGTGAGAGGACGCAATTCCTCAACTACGGGTGCTATTTCGGGAACCGGTTCTACAGAAGCAGACTTCTTCGGGGATGTGAATTGTTTCAAGCCAGGCGGCCTGGGGTAGTTTGCTCGTCGTTGATGAGACACGTAACTATCAGTCTGGGCTAGCTTAGCCTGCAAGGCCGTGCTCTCGCTCGTGCGCTTCGCAGCAGCATCACGGCCCTCGCTTGCGCGATGACTGGCAACATCCATATGCATTACGCTGAAGTTCCCCTTCATCTGTTCCGTAACATCCTTCAGCTTACTGGGGACTGGATTTCTAACGCGCCCGTCCCGAGGATACTGCCTTAGATCTGTATGAAAGGAACCGTCATTGGACAATGTAGAAGATAGTAGGCCATTGGTGCCACCATTTGTAGTAGGGCCGGCTGAGGATGGCGACGGTGCGATTAGGCCGGGCGTAGGAGATTCGGAGGGTTGCTGTCCAGAGACACCCGAGGGCCTGGCAGCAATGGGAGGTGGATTATTTGCCGGATTGGCTGACTGTTGGCCTGTGATGCTGAGTTAGGTAGAGAGATACGAGAGGGAGGGGAAAGAGGCGTACTGGATGTGGTAGCCATTTGGTCGGAGCAGTGCCAACCATGACAAAGAAAGGGTACAATCCAAGTCTGTCTCGTCGGCTAAGCCGTAGAAATAAAACTTATCACCGACAGCTGAGTATGGGTTAGTTGGCGAAATTCCATGCTCATCGACTGCAGACCGAAAATATAACAACTACCAGCGCGTCATCGCGAGCAGTTGATGCGACAGCGCGACCAGCCGGGGGGAATGGAAAGGCTCAATGGATCGAATGCGCCGGAATATTTATATTAAGACGGCCAGCCGAAGGCGAGGGATTTCGCAGTTATATCCGTAGTAATAATATGATAACAGTGGTGGTGGTAGCGGCGGTGGTTGTAGTGGTTAGATATTGCTGGCTACACTCACAAATGTGAAAAGTTGGGGCAGCAAATATGGTGCAGATTAAGTTTAGACGCTGATATTCAGCTGCTGGCGAGGAACGGGGCAATTCAAAATCAAATGTGATTGTCGGCGACAGGTGGTTGGGCTTCATAGGACTGGTTGACCGCTAAACGTTGGTGTAAATGCCTGGTGTAACGGGTGATAGGAACGATGCAAGACGCAGGTTTTTCATAGGTTCATAAGTTCTTTAAAGGATTCAAAACCTCAAGGTCAAATGGGAGAGGAGGGGTGAACAATGGAAAAGGTAAGATTGTTTTTTTTTTCTTCCTTTTTTTTAAAAAGGAAAAAATTAGAAAAATTAGAAAATTAAAAAATGGTGTTTTGGTAGTGAGCCTGTAATTAGTGGTTCGGACGATTTGGTTCTCGTGCTCCTTCGTCGGCGGCTATTGGATTTACACGTCGACTCACCAAGATTTGGGGTTGTACTTTTTTTTCTTTAAGACGGAATTAGTGGATTAGGTACCTTTAGTTTTTAATGCCTGTTTTAAAAAGACCAAAGCGGAGTTGCGACGCTGTCTGGCTTTCTCTAGGTTGCCTGACTTGTTTGGTAGGGAAATCGGGGGACCCATAAACCGCTGCGATGGGCAGCCATGACTGCCATGGCAATCAATAAACAGGATCGATAATGGCTGGCTTGGATGGCCCGTGCTCGACGTGTCCCGCAGTAGAGAAACAGCTAATCCGACCAACCCTGCTGCAGCATCAGCATCGACGTTTATCTTATCAACTAACCTAGGTATTTATCTCCCTCTAGCCGGGTATCTTGATGCACACTAGTACCTAGTACCTCCTATGTATGTTCATTGATTGGCTCCGGGGACAACTAAACCTTGTGTGAGCTGAATGAGATATTGCGTTTGATGCCCCATAAGCGTTATGCGATTGATATTGTTTCCAGGTACCTACATAGTAGGAAGTTGAATATAAGTCCCATCTTAATAGTTATTCGAAATGCCATTTTAACTTTATCTCTTTTAAGGTATTATACAGTTCAGGCAACGCACTCGAGCATTAGGTACTTGAGAATTGTAAAGTTCTTATAAACAGCTATAATCCTGTTATAATCCTGCTATGCTCTTATTGCTCTTATGCATATATAAAAATATATCAAATTCATTATATATCGGTAGAGAATATACGCATGTAAATACTTGAATTTAAAGCCATTGCCATGGCTTTCTTAATGTTTGTACAATACCAGACTTGTGTAAGCCATGAGACTGCATCAGTGTATCAGTGGATGTACAATACCTAGGTACCTCTTATACGCTGAAGTACTCCACTTAAGGCTGAACTAAAAGAAGCACTGACGTTGAGTCTACAGCGGCATGGTACAGGTGCATGTACCGTGTGTATGTCACAGGTACATACCTACCTTAGGTAGGTATTTGCAGCTCCTCCAATTGAATTACAAAACAGCCTTACTGCATATTCCACAGCGCAGCTCCATCTCGACTTCATCTTGTATACTTACAATTATATTCCCACGAACCGAACCCTAAATTTCGTGGTTACCTTTTCATGCGAGGAACTCATACCTACCCGCTTATCCTCGACTTCACTTCTAATAAAGCATATACTTCCCTTGCTTAGCTCAGGTCTTCATTCTTTTGACACTGAGCAATATACTAATAGTGTATATACTCCGACTTCCAGCTAGCTACTCGAGACCGTAGCTCAAGTTCCATCCATCGATTGACGCACCATATAATAAGCACGGATACGACTATTTAGCTCCCAATCCGCCACCATGGCCCCGACACCGACGAAGTATGTCCTCCTGTCGCTACCCCTGAGCACCTTCGACACGAGCGACAAGCAAGAAGCTCTCGACTCCGTCAAGGCCACCATCAACCCCGAAAACGGGACGGTCCTACCCTTCCCCGTCCCCAGCTTCAAGATAGGCACCCTGGACGCCTTGGTGCAGCAGGCCGACGACTTGGCAAAGCTCGACACGGCCTGCGAGGCAGTGGTCAGCAAGGTCGGCGATTCCTTGCGCTCCTTGTACGAAGGCAACGAGGATAAGGCTTCCGAACAGAAGATGGTTAACGACAGTTCGTAGTCCCCCCCCCAAACCTCTCTTCTTGCGACGGCTTTGGACAATGCTTGGATGTTAACGCTTGGCTTTAGAGCCGACGGATCAGTACCTTCGCACCTTTACTTGGAACAAAGTCCGCTACCGAGCTGACAGGTCTGTGGGCGAACTAGTCGATATCCTACAAAAAGTACTTCCTTCTACTTTCGCTCAGTTTCCTAGGACAAGTCTCAGAACAAGAGCAATGCTAACGCAGACCTTTTTTGCGCCGATAGGAATTGACTACAATCGACAACGATGTCAAGAGTAAATTCAATCAATACAACCAAGTCAAGTCGAACCTCGCTACTCTTCAAAGAAAACAAACGTAATGCGCCTCTAAAGCCGTTTGGCACTCAGAGTAAATACTAACCCTACCTCCTAAATTTAGGGGCAACCTTGCGACTAAGTCCCTCACACCGGTCGTCGACCCGTCTCTACTAGTGCAGGATTCCGAATACCTCGAAACGCACCTCGTCGCCGTCCCCATCAGCCTGAAAAAGGAGTTCCTCAAGAGCTACGAGACCCTGGCGCCCATGGTCGTGCCTCGGTCGTCCATCCAAGTTGCGCAAGACGAGGAGTTCGTCCTGTTCGCCGTCACCACGTTTAAGAAGCACAGCGCCGAGTTCCAGCAGAAGTGCCGGGAGCAGAAGTGGACGCCCCGCCAGTACAAGTACGTCGAGGGCGGCAAGGAGGAGGAGCAGAGGGAGATAGATCGCGTCACCCGCGAGGAGAAGAAGCTGTGGGGCGAGGCTCTGCGGCTGACGCGCACGGGGTGGAGCGAGAGCGTCATGATATGGGCGCACGTCATGGCCCTCCGCGTGTTCGTCGAGTCGGTGCTGCGGTACGGCTTACCGTTGGAATTCGTATCGGCTCTCGTAGTGGTAAGCGCACGACTCACCTTCTTCCCCCCCCTCTCTCTCTCTCCAAAAAAAAAAGGGTCCTTTCAAACTTGGTAGTAGTATACTAACAATTTCGATCGCAAACAGACAAACGCGAAGCTGGTGAAGAAGGTGAAGACGGCGCTGGACTCGTCGTATTCGTACCTGGGCGGGAATGCGTTCGGACGGGACAAGAGAGGAAGGATCACGAAGGACGACGCGGCGCTGACGTCGGAGATGGTGGCCGCCGGGCTGGGACACGCCGGGGAAGGAAACGAGTACACGGCTTACGTATACTACGAGTTCGAGGTATAGACAGCGTAGCAAAGCAGTTTAATTTACATATCAGGTTGGCGCTTTTTTTTTCCGCGACGAATAAGGGAGGTTTCGGCTATCATATCGCAACAACAACAACAATAGGATATTTCTATGTGCATTTCTTGGGAGTGTTTCTTGTCTACTGCTGAAATTTACTGTTTTCTCGCTTCGCTCTCTATTTTCCAATGGCGACTTGGGTTCCGACGCCGGTGATAGACTGTAGCTCACATCCCCCTCCCTCCCCCTAATTCTTTTTTTTATTTTCCTTTATTTCCCTACCAATCCGAAACGTGCGCTCCTCACGAAGCAAGAGCGGCACTCCCCGCGGCATCGGCAGCCGTAGCGGCGGTAGCCGTCTTCGTCGGAATCAAGTCCTTCTCCTCGAGCCACTGGACGATCTGGGCGACGCACTCCTCGACGGAGTTCTCGTGGGTGCGGATGATGATCTCGGGGTTCTCGGGGGCCTCGTAGGGGCTGCTTATCCCGGTGAATTCCTTGATCTCGCCGGCGCGCGCCTTCTTATACAGGCCCTTGGGATCCCGCTGCTCGGCGACCTCGATGGGGACGTCGACGTAGACCTCGACGAATGGGAGGGGATCGTCGGCGCCGTGGGCGGAGGCGGCGTGCAGGTCGCGGGCGAGCTGGCGGTCGGCGCGGAAGGGGGAGATGAAGGAGGTGATGGCGACCTGGGCGCTGTCGGCGAACAGCTTGGCGACCTCGCCGATGCGGCGGATGTTCTCCTGGCGGTGGGCCTCGCTGAAGCCCAGGTCCCGGTTGAGCCCGAACCGCACGTTGTCCCCGTCCAGCCGGTACGCCGCCACCCCCAGGTGCAGCAGGTGCTGCTCGAGCGCCGTCGCCACCGTCGACTTGCCCGACGCGCTGAGCCCCGTGAACCACAGCGTGAATCCGCGCTGGCCCCGGAGGGCGAAGCGCTCCCGGCGGGAGAGGGAGGGGTGCCAGGTGATGTTGCTGGAGGGTTTGCTGTGTTAGTTACATGGTTCAAAATTATTTATCTTTTCCCCATTTTACTCTTTTTTGTTTTTTTTTTTTTTGGTGTCAAATCCATATTTCGTTGTTAAATGCAGAATATATATATGTCTTATTCGTCATTTGCTAAATCTATTGGGCCAATGGACGATGTATTGAAGAAAAAACATGATGGAGGTATGTACACTTAGAAGAACGTAAAACTGACAGATGGCGGGGGAGGGGTAAGAAAAAAAAAAAGAAAAAGAGGAAAAAAAGGTACTCACGTCGCCATCTCGATTCCTATTCTTTCCAGCAATAACTCCTCGCAACGAAAAGGCCAACGGTATTTGTTACCTGAGGTATAATGAACAAAACAAAATATAAATAAATAGGACCGATGATTCTGGGAATAGGTAAACTTTAAAGAAATAAGTAATAATTAAGCTCTCATAAAAGTCCCCCGTTCTCATTTAACTTTATCCAAGGCTTTGGAACAGGTATACTCTATACCTACCTAGGTAGTACCTAATATTGTACCTAATAAGGCTTTAACTAGCGGTAGCAGGAATTAGTCTACCGTTTAAGGTATTAGTAGTTGGATGACGTGCTTCTATCCGCCTCCGATTCGCGGGCCTTCACTCAACTTGGCAATTGCTAATGCCTTGAGTGCCCGACTTTAGGAGGGATATTGTAAGTGTAAGGGTTATTATCACCGATGTGCATTAGGTAAGATGAAAATTTCCCAAATAGATTCTTTTATGGAGAATAGGGAATTTACAGCTTTTAATTAAGTACCTAATATAAGGTATTAGTAATTCAGGGGTGTTAATAGCTTTAGCTTAAGCTAAGATCGTTACTCTTTTAAAGCTAATCATAAACGAAGATAAGTTTAAAGGAACGTGTGCAGTTTAAGCCATGGTTTTGTCATTTCTATTCTTTTCTTCTCTTTCAGAGATACGATCCTCGGCTTCGCTCTCGTTTGCGCCGTCGCTATGCCACACGAGCGCGCTGTCACACTCGCTTTCGCTATCGGAATGAATAGACAGCCGGGATCGCTTATTGCTACATACGTCTGAATCGTCGTAGCGGTTGCGGTTGCAACCGCGGTCGCCGGGCTCTCGCGGATCGTCGTAAGGTACAAAATTGCCGGTACGGACAGAAAATACCAAGTCGCTTTCCATGGGATAATCTGGAAGATCGGCATCGAGGTGGCTGGCATCGCGCTTCTTGCCACTGCCGGTAGCCTTCGATTGGGGGGGGATAAACTCTTTTAGTGTTATTATTTTCTCCACTAGTGGCGAGGCGGGATTTCCGGATTTTTCGGGGACTAGGACAGAGTACTGGTGCTTGTGATGGATGTCGTTGCTAAAAAGCGCGATAATGCCGTTATCAAAGATGGACCATGCGAACCGAGCGAACATGAATTCTATAGGGATATGCGGCAGGGGTAAGCACGGGACGTTATGGTATAAGGTAATCATTTCAATATCAGAATCAGTGGATTTGCCCAAAGATTTCGGGACGTGGCTAGTAAGTCTGAACTTTCCTTGTTCGTCTGGATGGGGTTTAGGCATGAGGGTAAAGATGTTTTTGTTAAAGAGGAAGTGGATATATTTGCTTAGGAAGAATAAATTATCGGTGGACAGATGGACGGCTTGTGTCTTTCCAATTTTGAACGGACTTAGGCATCATATAGGCCTCATCGAGTGCTGATATACGAGCGCTGAGCCTGCAAGGTGTAGGTGTGCGGTTGGAATCGTACGCGGCATATCTTTGGGAGGAAACGAACGGGTTATAAGCTCGTCTCAAATCTTCCCAAGGTTTTGGTAGATTTTTATGAGGAAACTTCCAGGACATGAACTGAGGGATGATAGGATACGGTGGGTCTAGGAGGTAGTATTAATAATAAGATTCTTCAGGTAGGATAATATGCAGGATCTTACTTTTCTTATATGTAGGTACGTGGAAGTAATATTGGCCAGCCGGCATGACTTTACTTTGGGGAACAATATAACCGGGGTTTTGTGGGGTCTGGGTATTCGGAGAGGAACGGAGCGTTCTGTTCGCTCGGATCTTGACCTTCGCCAGGAGACCAGATGTTATTTGCGATTATGCAACAGGTGTAGTATGGAACATTATAATATACTCCACCCTGGTCGCTAGCCCGGAAGAAAACTAGGGGCTTCGGGTGTGCGTATCCAGGATGGTAAATCTCCACAAGCTTCCCAAGACTTGCGCACATCTCATCGCTGGGAAGAGGGGTGAATTGAGGAAAAGGCTTAAAATCCATTATTAAGTGTAGTTAAGTTCGGATGATTATATATAGAAGGCGAACAGTAATTTTGATTGATTTGATAGATGGTAATGTCAGGTGGAGGAGGTTAAAATACGTAAGATGCCTACGCAAAGTCCTAGATTATGTAATAGCTAAAGCATGTTCCTAAAGTATAATTTTATACTACCTTCATAAAAAGGTTAACTAATGGATTGTTAGGTACTTATCTACCTCACTACCTCATATAAGTTAAACCAAGGATTTGTCACCTTATAAATGTTTAGTATATTCCTTACACTAGCCTATAAAATGTATTCATTTAAACTCGAAGTGAACATTTGTATAAGTCATTGAGACTTTCTCGCTTCGAAAACAAAACATCTCTCCATCCACGGCTTTGTGGTAAACCAATTATACCTTTTCCACACTTGTAGCAAGTTACTACACGACATGGATGTATAATCTTGCATAGTGGGGAGAATAGACACATAGGGTATAATATATGTAATTCCCAGACAAGCAAATGTCCGGATACCTATTCGATTTGGCCTTCGATTCCATTAGGGCCCAAAGAAATACCTCGAAAAAAGAAAAGAATAACTAAACCCCAAAGCATTGCCATCTTTCGTCCCAACTCCGTGCCAGGTTAATGTCTCGTCTATCCCGATTCTACAAGTCTATTCATTAAATCGCCACCACCACCACCGTCATCATCTATTTTACCCTTTTATGCCGTAGGGTACAAGTTCATCATGAGCTGTAAATAGCGTTAGCTAACTTTAATTCTCTAGAGGGATTTTTCATCATCATCATCGTCATTATCATCATCACCGATGTATGCATGTGTACGTACCGCTGCGTTCTTAGGAGAGACAAACAAGGCCGTCGCCTCGGCAAGAACCAACGGGGTCTCGCCTTCGCCAACCAGCGTCTCGATGCGGCCCTCGACCCAGGCCTTCCGCCCCTCGACCTTGGTCGTCGTAGCCCGGAGCACGACGTACGAATCCGCCGGCGCCGGTGCGCGGTAGTTGATGTTCAGGTTGGCCGTTAGGCCCACTTTGTGCGGCAGCGCGGCGAAGCAGCACCGCGCCAGCCCTTCGTCCAGCATGGTCGCGAGGAGCCCGCCGTGCACTATGCCCGGGTGCCCGCAGAGTTCGTGGCCCAGGTACGATATCGAAACGAGGGACTTTCCGCCCGCCTCGACGAACGTCACCGGCGGCACGACGACCTTGCCCGGTCCCAGGAGCGTGCCGCCCGTAAGGTTGTAGGCCCGGTAAGGGGCGGGGATCTTGAGATGTGGTCGCGACTCGTAGAACCCCTCCTTGGCCCGCAGCTCCTTGGTGAGCGGGTGGTTGTTGATGAACTCCTCCACCTCGCGCTGGTGGTCCGTCTCCGGCTCGAACATGGTCAGGGTCTCCTCGTCCGTGGGCGGGTTGAGGATCTCCTTGACGATAGGGGCTGCCGGTGCTGCTGTCATTGTGACGCCGAGAGTAGTGAAAATCAGACCGAGTGCTATGACGGAAGCGGCGCGACGCAGAAGCGAGGGTGCAGGTGGTGATAACGACGGGTCTTTATACTCCTGATGTCAGCCTGGGCTACTAATACGCCGTGTCGACGTCCTGTTAGGAGAATCCTTACCTGCAGTTGGAAGTGTGTTGACAAAGCGACCGGACGAAGGTAGATTCGGACGCAGGACCTGATTTATACTCGGGTTCACGGGAAATCTCTGACAGCTACCCTTAACCAGGGCGCCGGCTCGTACTCGCGCGGCCAACATGGTTGCGATAGGGGAAGGGGGACGGGGGGGACCTAAGCACCGAGTGGAGACTTCGGTGTCCGCGGCCTATGGCTCGTAACCAATGAAATCAGATCCTATGCTAGAATATATTTATCTTCAACATGTCCGTAGAGGCCGTAATCGTTTACGCGGCGCACTTCGAAGGGTAAAGAAAAAAAAGAGGGCGGGCTGTGTGTTGAGCTCGGCTTGGCTGGACTTCTTACGGATGCAATTCCCAACGAATTTTGTTCCAATTCGGCTCTAGTTGTCCGTCTGCAGGTGCCGCTAAAGAAAAACCGGGACCACTTTTTACCCGACAAGGAAAATACCGAGGTAAGTTGGCATTGTACTATGTATTTTACTATACCTATACCTATTAGGTAATCCGTAATACGGCATAAAGATGAGATGATTCCATGTATGTACCTATCTGATAACAGGATACGTCAAAAGATACATCTAAATACATTCTAGAAGGATTTCAACTTGAATCCCGTACCTAACCAAAGCAATGAGGGGCACCATCTGAGATCTGCAAGGGGACACGATGAAACCCGCCGCCGTTATATGGGGGCCCTCTTTAAATGGATCGATCTATGAAGAGTCTGTTTCAGAGCTTTTCTATGCGTCCTCACTTTACCTATGACGTCCATTGGCAGATATTGTACACTATGTAATTCATGGAAAAGGCACTAAGTACCTAGGTACCTAGGTAAATGATCGTATTAGAGAGGCCGGCTAAAGCTACCTAACCTTAGTTGCCGTTATATCCGCCTCCGTAAATCCACAATTCCGGCCGTCTCCGTGTTAGTGAACCCGTGTTAGTGGGCCGGACGGCTTCACCCCATCTACCAATCCAGATCTAAAATTAATTTGATGATTTAAATAAGATCCCCTTTTTTATATTTCCCCATGCCGTTACACAATACGATCGGTAACAGGTACGTACATAGTAAGCGTCCTATCACTTACGTAATATCAGCCTTCGCCTCTGACGCAAACAACTTTGTGACGTTTTATGCCCATGATTACGTATGGACCTGTAGAAAACCCATCTAGGTAGATTAACCCCAGCTTGTTACACCATATGCGAGTGATCTCCACGATCTGACGCGGAGTATAAGAGTAAGGCGCCTGAACCAAGTGCTTGCATTTAAAAGCTTGTCAATCTTAATTAAATAGATATCCTACCTAGGTAGTCAACTTACACAAATAACCAATTTCTTGCCATTGCAACCCTAGAAACAACTTCTATCTATTTACACCGAAGCAACTCCAAAACACCAACCTATCATGGTAAGCTGTAGTACATACCTCTTGACACAAGCCCCACAACCAAAGCCTTCAGCAGCCAAATAAAATAAAGTACCTAATCTAAACGTTATAGGCCACCGCCGAGACCGTCGAGCTGGGACCACCCCATCCGCCCAAGGAGGAATCCCTCAAAGTCTTCAGCGAGATCGAGCACGAGCTCAAGAAGACGCTTCTGCACATGAAGCACACATACCAAAGTAAGCCCACAACCCTTCCTCTCTCTCTCCCCTCCCCCCTTTTCCCTTTTCCCTTCCCCCACTCTCCCCTCTTCCATCTCTCTCTCCCATAACCCAAACTAACCCACTAACAACCCCCGCAGAGCACGAACCCGAATACTTCGCCCCCGTCCAACCCCTCAGCGACGCGGCCCTAACCGCCTTCTCCTCGGCGGACCTAACCTCCGTGCGCGTCGGCGCCTCCGCCTACGGGCTGCACCTGTTCGGCAAGCTGCGCCTGCCGGCGATGCCCGACTCGGGGCCCGCGTACGTCCACTTCCGCGCGTTCGTAGGCGGCAACGGCGACGGTCACCACGCGCCGGGCGTCGCCACGCTGCACAGCATACACACCGAGGATCGCGAGGAGCCCGACGGCGGCGGCGGCCACACGTACCGCGCCGTTTTTACCAAGGACGATCCGCTCGAGTGGTTCGATACTTGAGGGCGCGCGTGGGGTGAGAGAGATTATTTATTCGGGAGGTTTTATCTAGATGAGAGAGAGAGAAAGAGAGAAAAATAACGTAGCGGGAAATAGGTTAATATTGCCTTGAACTGCAATGAAATGCAACGAAATAGTATAACACCGCCACTCGTGTCAAAAGAAAAAAAAAATCGCATTATTTCCAAGTTTAAGTACCAGATCGGGTATCTTGAAATTCTGAACCGTCTATGTTTATCTGTAGTAAAAATACCGTTGGCATACCATCGGACTGATCAAAGCCAACATAGGAATTCATCGAGTTTATATATCATCATCATCATCCTGACCAAGCAACTCCGCATAATCGTCGGCGGACGCGAACGTAGGCAGGTTCTTGAGGGCCTTCTTCCTCTTCTTGCGGTCCGACTCTGGCTTCTCTTCGTCTTCCTCGGCTGCGGGTGCCGGTTGCATCTCAGATTCCCCTTCCTCGTCCTCATCCTCCGAGTCGTCCCAGAACTCGACTCCGCCTTCGTCTTCTGAACCATCTCCTTCGTCCATCTTTGCCATCTCCTTCCTGAACTCGTCGTCAGATTCGTCAATACTCATTAGATCCTCGAAGCCGGACTCGCTGTCTTCGTCGCCTTCAACCTCTGGTCGCGATGCTACGAGCGCGTCCCAGATTTCCTCTTCCTCTTCCTCTTCGTCACCCTCGCCTTCTCCATCCTTCTCCTTTGTCTTCGATTTCTTGCGGTCAGCTTGTTCGGCCTTGCCCATCCGTGTGAAGTATTCGTGGAAGAAGACATCCTCCACAGCAACATCCTCGCCCTTCTTTTTCCAGAATTCTACTGAGTTCAAGCTGCTTCCTGCCGTCTTGGCCGAAGGTCTGCTCGACAGCAAGATGCTTCCTTGACCACTTGCAGCGACAGGCTGCATGATAGATACACCCTTGGTAGTGTCGGTAGCCTTGGCATTGCGGTAGACAAATTTGTCCAGGAATGCTATGAGCGTATGGTTGGCCAATTCAGGTTTCTGAGCAGCCTTTTGTCCATTGATGAGACACGATGCGTATACATCCACAGAAGGGTGATAGTGTCGAAGGAAAGGTAGTAGCTCCCACAAACAACTACGATGCGCGTTGCTGTATTCTGGATCTCGCTTCCTCCCATCATAAACGCCCTCAGGCTTCTTCGATTGAGATTCCGGCCCATCCACGACTGTCTCGGCTGGGGCATCTGATGCTACACCTGGAGTCGCTTCCACTTCGTCATGCTCCTCCGGCTCGTTTATAAGTGTTTTTAGATCTGGGAACGTCGTGGAAAGGTCGATTATGAGGTAGAGAATACCGCAAACAAAAGAAGGTTGATGCAAGTTCAAGACCTGTAACATCCTCTTGACAAATGCCTTCACACGGCGGACATCTACATCGGATTTCAGACTTCTATAGAGCAGGTTAAGGTATAAGGCTTGCTTGGAAGATGTGATGAGACGCGGATCGAGTAGCGACTCGTATAGAGTCCGATAGAATCTTTCGGTAGCAAGATGTCGGGTAGCTGAGAGTTGCTGGATAAGCATAAGAGCCTGTATACTCGTGTTAAAGTTGGAAGAATGTGTGATGCGGAAGAGTGTATCCAAGTGCGACTCGAGTCTGGAACAAGTTAGCTTTACTGGGTATAATCGTATGCTTTGAATAATAGGACTTACGTAGACTGCTCAGCTTGTGAAAATGGCACGGCTCGGTTTACACCGGTAAGAATTGCCGACACGAGCTTTTCGGCAGCTTCTTGATCGCCCGACACAGCCTTGCTCTTATCATCAGTTTTCTTCGCTTGCTTAGGGTTCTTCTTCTGCTTGCGTTTCCCGCCCTTAGAAGCTTCCGGGTTTCCATCATGTTGACTGAGTTCACCGCTCTTGAGTAAAGCAACGAATAGACCAAAATATATGCTCAGTAGAGAATCTGCGATTTGGGGCTCTCTGGTGCTAAGAATGGTCTGGTTCAGCGTATTAATGGCGTAGTACTTGGCGCGCATTTGCTGTCCGGGTCGGAACAGGATATCTTGTTCGATACTGCGGATGACCACTTGTTTCATCCCCGGATGGGTGTTTAAGAGTTGTAGAAGTAGGTAAGAAGCTCTCGAGGCAATCTTACGTTCGCGATCACCAAGCTTATTCACAAGAAGTCGCAAAAGGTTGGATTCCTGCTCAGGCTTGTCTCGCAATAACGCAAATGTTAAATCAACAGCCTTGGTTCGGGCATATTCAACTTCGTCATCGCACCAGACCTCAAGGTTTTGGATCATCTTGAAATAGGCTTCCTTTAGCCAGTCCTCAAATATCCATGATATAAGGTGTTCCTTGGTAATTTTCCCTGGCAGATTCTGCCCCGCAGACCACGTCTTCACGTTGTGTTTTTGGAGTGTTCCAACAAGACCCAATTGAGAAGAGAAAAGACGCAGTTTTCGATCCGATGGTAAAATCATTCCGGGTCCGAACAAGTCCACTAGAGCGGCGAGAGCAGAGAGGGCCTGCCCACGACTCCTCTTCGCGGAAAGCCCTATCAGATTTTCGAGGGCTTTGACATTATGTATCGGAGATTCCTGGATGGCCAGAGTCAAGGCGGATACCTTATCAGACATAGTACCTGAAGACATGATGGTAGACATGAACTTGTGAGATGACGATTTAGACAAGGTCTTATTGTATTCAGTACTATCCTCCTCCAAAACGGATTTGGCATAGGCCTTTAACTCGGCTATTGCTGGTGCATAGGCCGCTACATCATCAGAGGACGGAGTCGGTAGAGGTTTTAAACTAACAGCATGCCAGTCAGGACGAAGCTCAAAAATCTTAAGACGACGGTTAGTTCAGCTCATACTAAGGATCCTATACTTATAGAGATTCTTACTAACCGTTTTTCTTTTCGGATCTTGTGGAGGCTTTTCTTCGACCTCGGCCTCGGCCTCGGCTTCACTCTCACCTTCGCTGGCTCCATCTTCCTCTTCAATTCCTTCTTCGTCGGCACCATCAACTTCTTCAGCATCAGACTCCGGTCTCACCTCGTCGAAACCAAGACCAGCGGCAAATTTAGCCAATTCGGCTCGCAGATCCTTGTCTGCGTTCTTCTTGCTTTTCGTGTTTTCGAGTTCCTCGTCTTCGGAGTTTATACCATCTATTAACTTTAAATCCTCCTCGTCACCACCAAGAGCTCTGATTTCATCAAGAAGGGTACTGGAGTTAGGTTTCTCGGAAGAATTGGCAGGCTTTTGAGTCTTCTTTGAGTTGCGATTAGTCTTGTTATCATTAGGCTTCGATATCGTCTTCCTCTTATTCGGTGGCGATTGGATTGAATCTGCTGTCTGGTCTCGTTTCCGCTTGCCCTGGTCCTTCTTCCCTGGAGCCTTCTTAGACTCGGCCAGCTTGCTATCGATTTTGGCCGTCAATTTCGACAGCGCTGCATCGTCGAAAGTCGCCATCTTGGATAGGATATATGTGAACTTCAATTGGCGCAAATTGGCTTAGTAGGGTGAGGACCGGCGAGTATATCCGCGTTTTTAGAATTGCCTGCGTCCCGTATTCACAAGCCTCAAGATTATACAGCGAGGCGTTATCCAGTTGCGACAAGTAAGAGGAAAATTTAAAAAACCAGAACGAAAAAAAAAAAAAGTTGGGAGGGGCGAGGCGGGATGGTCCCAATCTACAAATTAGCCAATCGATAGGTCTCGATAGGTCTCGATACTAAAGCTACCATGCAAGGCTGAGGACCCCTGGAGTTCTGTGGCCCACTTAAAGCTCTTACCTTATCGAGTACCTAACCTTAGCTGCTTAGGTACCTAAGGTAAGTATCTTTTCTATATGTGCAAGTCGCATGTTTAAGCTCATATGGAAAACACTAAGATCCAATTAGCCATTCTTATAAACATTCTTAATAAGAAGTAACTTTCTGAAATATTTTTATACTTTACTACGTTGTTATGTGCGGGGAGAAATCAACCATGCTACAATCAAGATGATGCTCCTATCACGTACTCCGAGGAGAAAATATGCATTTGCACTCCAACGCTTGAGAGTTTATGCTATACGACCTTCAAGTACTTCGGCGTCGCCAAATGACCACCTGGTTTGAATAATGACCCCTATCAGCATATCCTACAAATAAGTTAATGAATCCTTAGTCTGAACCCATTGTACAAGACAGTTTCACTCGCCTGTCCAAGTTCTGGATACCTACGGGAGGAATAACTGCTACCGAGAATGAAGGTACGCAGGTTGTTATTTTAAAATAAAACTATTCTAGTTGCGCGACCATCCTGATATATGTCTAGATGCTCATAGCAAGTTAATCCGAGCTGGATACCTCCGTCAAGTAAGTCACCACATAAGAACTTGTTTCATTCCATATATTAAGTTCTTAAGTCTAATACATCACACTCTTGCTAAGTCTCATGCTGGGATCTTCCATATGCTCCCGCTAGGCCAAAAGGTCCAGGAGAAACTAGAAAGATTAATAGATAAATATATGTCACAAGTTGGTGAGAATCATACACACCCCCTCTTCCTAATTCTATTCTCGTCATGCTTATTCCTATCAAGGCGCATCTAAGGTGGCCTTATCATCTATCTCATCCCAATCTCTGTGGCAGCAAACAAACCGACTAGAAGGTTATGGTCCAGAGGTAAGCTAGAGAAACTACACCTTTAAGCCAGTATTTAGTAAACTCATAATGCTTTCCAGTTATTCCGGTTAACCGATAGGAAAGATGTTCCCTATTTACTGGCACCAACTCACGAGGAAGAGATAACAACACTCGTCGCAAAGACAATCAAGTCATACAAGAATCTACCTTTAAGACTTTATCAAATTGGTAAGTTACCTGTTCAACTTAATTCTTTAGTAATTGGGTCTCACCTTTTTCTTCTAGGCCGCAAGTATCGCGACGAAATCCGACCCCGACACGGATTATTACGGTCAAGAGAGTTTCTCATGAAGGACCTCTACACTTTCGACTACTCTGTCGAATCCGCACTCTCAACTTATGAACAAGTATGTGCTGCCTATTCTCGCCTCTTTGACGAACTGAAGCTCCCATACCTAGTTGCGGAAGCCAGCTCCGGTGATATTGGAGGCGATCTCAGCCACGAATACCATCTTCCCACTTCGATTGGAGAGGACAACGTGATTAATTGCGACAGCTGCAACTACGTCGCTAATGAGGAGCTTGCTGCCACACGGCTTAGTCCGTCAGACACTCCTCCGGCTGAATCCGGAGATGTGCTAACTGCTGGAGTTTGGCGCGGCGTCTCCAAAGATAGGTCAACTCTTATCAATGTTTGGTATCCTGCTTCCTACTCGGACGACGACATTAACACATATGCAATCAAATCCATTCTTCCAGAATTAGATTCGAGTCTCATCGACTCAACGCCGTTTTGGTCTTCTGCACCTTCTGAAACTAGAAAGGGGCTACGATTAGTGAACATTGTCGATTGCCGGCTTGGTTCTCCTTTTACTGTCGCGCTTGAAACAAATCCAAACCCCAAGTTTCTACTACCCGAAGGAGCCGACCTCGACCTTTCTATCATCACGAGCGACTACATAACCACGTCGACAAACGGAGAGCCTCTTAACGTTCTTCGCATTCGTGATGGCGATAGCTGTCCTCGATGTGAGTCGGGGAAGCTCAAGGTCCAGAAAGCAATCGAGCTCGGACATACATTCCATCTTGGGACACGATACTCGGAACCTCTTGAAGCTCATGTCCAGGTTCCTAAACACTTGATAGAAGGTGGTTCCTCCACCGCTAAACCTGGAAGCATGGTGACCGTGCCCATGCAAATGGGGTGTCATGGCATAGGAGTGTCCCGCATCATCGGCGCTGTCGCGGACCACCTAGCCGATAGTAAAGGTCTGAACTGGCCCCGCGCCATCGCACCCTTCGAGGTAGTTGTCATTCCGGGTCGGGGCTTAGACCAAGACAGCGTAATCGTCTCGGAGTATCTAGCAAATTCCCAAGCCTCTCGGACCTTGGACTTGTTGCTGGACGACCGTCCGGAGTCTTTACCGTGGAAGATGAGAGACGCTGACCTGATCGGATACCCGGTTGTAGTGATCCTCGGGAAGGGATGGAGTACGGACAGGCTCTGCGAAGTCCAATGCAGGAGACTTTCTAGCGTATCGCACGTCGTCCTCGAGGAACTCCCTATGTATATTAACCAACTCCTCACTCAGCTCTAGATTCTAGAGGAAAATTGAAAAAAGAGTGTAAATATCCACACCTTCGGTCATTTACAAACCTGCCAAGATAGGTACCTAACCGTAAGCCCGCGTGCTGCAGGATTATCGGGAAGACTTATAATGCGGTCGCTTAGAACTCACAGGGGGATTTGTTAGTGGATAAAAAAGCAATTCGGGACCGAGATAATGCCATGTCTTACATTGAATCCATCAAACGACACAGGTAATGATCATTAACTGCTTACGAAAATTCGGAAGCGCGAAGACGCGGGGATCCCCACACCCGGCCGTCCGGCTCGTCACTCCTCCCGTATATAAGGAGTAGCCAGTTCTTAGGTTTTTAGCGCTCTTGGTAGTTAGTTCTAAGACAATCTTATAAGCCTGCAAAGATATATCTATTATCGTAGTCCAGGGTGCTTATGCTATCCAAATTAATTCACCTAAGAGGTAGCTAAAAGAAGACTTGCACTACTATATTAGGTACCTATTCGTGTTCTCACTCACCGGCCCAAGTCATCGTCATCGCCATGGCCGCCCCCGGGAACAGGTTCTTCATCCAGGAAAAGCTCGCGCAGACGGCGCCGCACCACGAGAGTTTCAAGGCGCTATGGGAGACGAAGTGGAAGCAACCTGTACGCCATCACCTAGTTCTCACGTCATGCCTACCTACCCTACATACCTACCTTATATACCTAGGCACACACATACCATAGACGATGCGCAGAGCAGCTAATCAGCCAGGGGATTCTCTCGCGACCTTAGTGCGAGATGGGCGTGTACCCGTTCATGTTCGGCGCGATCCAAGACTTCCAGCCGGTCGTCGACGACATCGTGGCCAAGGGCCTCCAGCGGCCGTACGACTGGGACGCGTACGCGCAGTGCTTCTTCCCGAAAGCGCGGGAGCTCGTGGCGCGCGCGGAAGAGGCCGAGAGGGACGGCGAGGTGGAGAAGGCTTCCGAGCTGTATTTGTGCGTGATACCTACCTAACCTAACCTAAAACTTCACCCCTATCGGAAAATTCCTATATGGCTTTTCAACGGCTTCTCTACGCTGATACGGGGGAGGGTTGGTTGGTTCTGATTATGTGTTTGCTTTTGTTCTTGTCCATATTCATATTCTTATTATTTTATCATGCAGGCGCGCCTCAGCCCTCTACCGCATAGCGCGCTTCCCCGCGCCGCGCTCCGAGCAGCAGCGGCACGCGTGGACGCGCGGCAAGCAGGCGGCGCGGAAAGGGCTCGGGCTCTCGCGGCACGCGATGGTCGAAGTGGCGATCCCGCACGCGCGGCACGCGGCGGGCGGCGACGGGTGGGTCCTCCCGGCCTTCTACCACCGACCCGCTCCGAAAACGGCAGAGACAGATACCAAGTGTCCGCTCGTCGTCGTGTTCACGGGCCTCGACGGGTATCGCACGGAGCTCGCGGTGTGGAAGGACGGGTGGGCGGAGCTCGGGTGCGCGACGCTGGTGGTCGAGATCCCGGGGACGGGGGACAACCCGGGGGCGGCGGGGGATCCGGAGAGCGCGGACCGCGTGTGGAGCAGCTTGTTCGACTGGGTCGCGGGGCAGGACGGGATCGACCAGAGCCGGATTGTGAACTGGGGGTTCAGCACGGGGGGGTACTACTCGATACGCGTGGCGCACACGCACGCGGATAAGTTGAAGGGGGTGGTCGCGCTGGGGGGAGGCGCGCACCATATGTTTGATCCGGAGTGGTTGGATGCCGTTGACGATTTGGAGTATCCGTTCGAGTAAGTTTTCTTCCTACCTAGGTAATCTATAACCACACACTCTCCTCTCACTACCTACCTATCCCACTCAACATTAAATACCAGGTACCTAGGTAGGTAATCAAGTAGGGAAGGGGATTTCCCAACTAACACTATTATTATGTCTTCGCAGTCTAGCCCATACGCTTAGCCACAAGTTCGGATACGCAGACCAGGACTTCGATAAATTCAAGAAAGAAGCGCGAGACAAGTTCTCCCTGCTGGTGACGGGAATACTGGACAAGCCGTGCACGCGCCTGCTCCTGGTGAACGGGACGGAAGACGAGATCTTCCCGATCGACGATTACTACCTGTGTCTACAGCACGGGGGGCCGAAAGAAGCTCGGTAAGTCTAAGCGAGCGACATGACATACATAAATAACACACATAGTTATATGTCCCTTTTTAAACTCCCTCTTCCTATCCCTATCCCTCGCGTTTTGAAAAAAAATTATCTAATTTCCGCTGCTCTCCCCCTACCTAGGTTTGTCCCGGGCGTCAAGCACATGGGCGAGCCGCAGTCGTTCTCGATCATCCTGCAGTGGCTCTTCAAGCTGCTTGATATCCAAGGGGACGTGGGGAAGTTCCTGTTGACTATCCCGTCTAAGCCGAAATATTAACTGGCTATATGAAATTCGCTTGGGGGTTTGAGCATATACACAAATTAAACATGTATAATATAACGCACTCATAGCAAATCCTTAATAGAGAAAACATTAGGGGTATGATTGATTTATGACTGATGTTTGCTGGTAAATTAATTATTACCTATGCCGAGCATATTGAAACACCACGGGCCGTAACACATATATAATCTATCAATTCGTTCGCCTCGTTGCATGCTTCTATCTTTAGTTTTGTTTGTTTGTCTGTGTGTGTTTTCTTTTGCCCCTTTCTCGGTACCAGTTCCATGCATTTACCAGTACCGGTACAATAATACTACGTGCTACCTAGATCCAACGTGACGAATCACTTATTAGATTAAATAAAATAAAAAGATGATCAGCGCGGGGTGGTTGGTTGGTCTGCTGCTGCGGTGCTGCTGTGCTTCCGTGGCTTGCAGCTGATTTGCGAAGGAAGGTCATCTTCTTGCATGTCTTGTCTTGTCTGGTCCTGCATGTCTAGCGCGTGCTCTTTTTCGTCGATTGTGTACATGGTATTTTCGAACAATCCCTAGGAAATACGACCTTCCTTAAATAATCATTCGTTGCGCCTACGCGGATAATGCGGTTTCTACCTTAGATACTTTAGATTGCCGAGAGTGGAATATCTAGAATTTACTCTGAGCATTGCGGTATACACTTTTTATCATTTTGAGGCATTCACACCGCTATGGACTAAGCTATCAACCCCACCATCGGTAAGGGGTTCTGGTTCTGGTTCTGGGCCTGTGCAGTCTTAGATTTCGACGAATTTGGAGTTTGCAAGGTGCCTAAAAGCATCCCGAGTTGTTACGTAGGACTTATCACATCTACAACAAACACTGACATTCCTCCACCAACTCCGGACCGCTCGGTGCTTGGACCTCCAGGCACGGCCACTCTCACGATGGCGCTTTCGGGAATCGTACTGGGCCTGCTAGCAGCGGCGTTTGGCAGCACAGCAGCAGGAGGGCTCGCGAGAGACGATCCCGTGGTGACGGTGAAGAACGGCAGTTACGAGGGCTTATACCTTGCGGGATTTGAGCAGGACGCCTTTCTTGGTGTACCGTATGCCCAAGATACCGGTGGACAGAATCGGTTCCGCGTTCCGCAGTCCTTGAACGAGACGTGGAGCGGGACGCGGAGCGCGAAGGCTTATGGCAACGCGTGCCCGGACTATTATCTATCGGCCGAAGAACTGCATGGCATGAGCGAGAATTGCCTTAGCATCAATATCGTGCGACCGGCTGGAGTCCATAACAGCGGCAGTAGTAACGATAGCGCGCAGCGTCTCCCGGTGTTGCTATGGATCCACGGGGGTGCTTACCAATACGGCGGTAGCGGACAGGCCGTGTATAACCTCACGTACCTTGTACAGAAGTCCGTCGAAATCGGCTCGCCCATTATTGGAGCTAGCATCAACTATAGAAAAGGTGGTTGGGGTAACATGTACTCCGTGGAAATCCAGGTGAGACACAGCTGTCTGCTCTACTTGAGATCCACAAGGAGCTAATTTACGGGATAGGGATCTGGAAACACCAATCTAGCGCTGCGAGATATGCGCCAAGCGCTAGCCTGGGTACAAGAGAACATCGAAGCTTTCGGAGGGGATGCTTCATCAGTGACGATCTGGGGCCAATCTGCCGGATCATTCGCCGTGGTATGTTTACGATGAGTATCATGGAGACAAATTGCCGAAAGCAAAAAGGTAGCTAACGTTGTTAAATCGAATAGGGTCAACTTTTGTTGAGTTACGGCGGACGAACGGACGGCCTCTTCCATCGGTCTATCCAGGAGAGCGGAAGTGCAACGACGGCCTGGTATAATGGGTCAGACTGGTACCAGCCTATCTACGACAACATCGTCAAACAGGCCAAGTGTGACTCGGTCCCAGATTCGCTTGAGTGTTTGCGTACCCTCGACTACGAGACCATATACCCGCTCCTAAACTCGTCCAATGTCGGAGGCCCAGGCTTTTACCCTACGGTCGGTGAGTACCGCAAATAAAAATAATATCCGCGCAGTTAGTCGCAATAGCTAATCTCGGGGGTACCGACAGATGGTGATGTGATTCCGAATTACCCATCAGAGCTCCTGAGCACCGGTCGATTCGCGCACGTCCCGCATATCTACGGGACGGTGTCAGACGACGGCACCGACAACGCCCCCTTCGGCATCAACACCGATGAAGATTTGCGGAACTACCTGCTCCACCGCACAGGCTTCAAGTTCCCCGAAGCAGTTGTCGATCATATCCTGGAGCTGTACCCAGACGACCCAACGCAGGGAGTGCCCATCAACACAGGATCGGAACGCTTCGCGGACAACGGATGGCAGTACAAGCGGGTCGCAGCCATCGTCGGCGACGTCTTCTACCACGGGCCGCGCCGCTTCGACGCGCAGAACTACGCGCCGCTTTCGCCGACGTACGTGTACCGATTCAACACGCGGCCGTGGCAGAGCACGCTGGAAAACACGACGGCGCACGGCAACCCGTTCGACGGGGACGGGGGTCTGACGCCCGCCTACAAGGGCGTGGAGCACTTCAGCGAGGTGCCCTTCGTCTTCGCCAACCCGGCGATGGTGGGCCCGTTGCCGGAGTACCACGAGCTGAGCGACCAGGTGAGCAGCCAGTGGATACGGTTCGCGAGCACCGGTGATCCGAACGGCCCGGGGCTGCCGCACTGGCCGCGGTACGACGAGTGCGAGGACGGGTATAATCTGGTTGTGCAGACGGAAGCGCAGGGTGGGACGTATGTGGAGGAGGATACATACCGTCTGGCTGGACGCGAGTATCTAACGCAGTGGGCGAGAAGGAGACACGTATAAAGAGGTAGTAGGTACATACCTACCTAACCTATGGAATCTCGTCTCTTAGAATTCTTCCCAAGGAAGGCTTGGTTGTAGTACATAACGTTTCTTACCTATTTAATGCTAGGGATAGGGATAGACTATTTTCGTGATTAGGATGAAAGCCCCTATTCATTAATACAAAGTTCGACTACCGATTTTAGGTACTTTTAGTATCTGCTATTAGTAGTAGCTTCATGCTGTTTGTTAGTTTGGGATTCTATCCGATACCTGGCATGAAAATGAGAGAAGTCATCTAACAATAGTGAAGCCCTCATGCGGTGCAACATAATCTACCAATGCAAACCCGGTGTATGTCAGAACCGTAAGCTGAGTTGCAAGTTGCTTGCTTACTATAGGCTTAAAATTGACCTGTAACATCTTCGTAGTTGTGTTTCATAGTTGTGCAAATAGGCAGCACAGGCGGTCAACCGTTCAACTCCAAGGCATCAACCACGGTTGATGGACAGTAAAGTTTAAATAACGAGGAGGATAAAGGGGGGGTGTGCTGCCTTGAGGAATGCCAAGTTCAACAATGCTTTTAATAAGTCACAAGACTTCGCGACAAAAGTTCAGGGGTGCTTAAACGTTGTGGACCCATTATAATCCCCTGGGCCCCATACTTTAGGACCCCTAACGATCAGAAGTTTAGAGAAGACCCCTGTTTTTTAGGCTCCAGTCGCGCTAGATTTTCTTCAGCTTCTCTCAATGGCGCATCTTCCCCACGATGGTACTATAATCTTTGCCTAAAACGGTAACAATAAGAGAACATGTATATTGTAGCTATGCTCAACGTCGACAAGTCTGCCTAAATCCTGACATCCAGTCCGTCAATATCGTCTATATCGAGATCACTACCTAGGTTAAGTACCTTTTGTACATAGATCTCTAATATAAATAATATCCCAATGCCATCCTGTTCCGTCTCAAATCGAACGTAGTTGTCTTAATATACCTCACCTCACTTCTCTCCAAGTTCTCTCATCTCCTCATTCAACCTCGTCTCGTTTCTACCTAAGTCTCTAGCATTATCTTGAGTCCTTATATTCTGAGCTGAGCTCAGTCGAGAACAATGGCAGCTATAGACCTTCCCAAGTTACCCGTCGCCCACGACGGGCTAGTGAACTACGTGGCCAACCACCCCGAGACTCCGATGAGAGAGATAATGGAGCCCTTTCGCAAGTACGAAGCAAAATTACGTGAAGTATACGCTCAGGAGCGTAACAACCCGGCCTTGGATAACCCTTATCTCAACACCCTACCCCTTTTCACTAAAGATACGCCAAGTATCAAGACTCGTGCCCGTAACCTCGAGGCGGAATCGCCCGAGGAGAAAGAGAAGTACATCATGACCCTCCCGGACGACAGGCGACGTCCGAACGGCTCACCCGCCGTCGTTACTTCTCTCAAGGAGTTCCGCCGCAACTTCGGCATCTTTTCCGAGTCGTCGCTCGCCGAGATGGACTGGAGCAATGTCGTTGCCGCCGGGTCGTCCGTGGTTAACTGCCTCCTCCCCGTCCCCGACAGGTACAACAGCTCGAAGAGAGCTCTTCGCGAATATTATCATCAGAAGTTCTGCCCTGCTTCTGACGTCGACTTGTTTTTATACGGGCTCGACGAACAGCAGGCCATCGAGAAGATCAAGGATATCGAAGCACGGGTTCGAGACGCAATCCTCTCCGAAGTGACGGTCGTTCGAACTAAGAATGCCATCACTATCTGTGAGTACCTAGTCATCTTTATGCAAACCTATGGCTGTGACACTGACCCTATGGTAACCAGGCAGTCAATATCCCACTCGCCACATCCAGGTACGATCGGGGATGACTTACATTTTTGTATCCGTTGCTAACACCCTCTTTAGATCGTTCTTCGAGTATATAGGTCTATCTCGGAGATTCTTACCGGATTCGATATCGACTGTTCCTGTGCTGCTTACGACGGAGAACAGGTGTATTGTACCCCGCGAGCTCTGGCTTCGTACATCACCCAGATAAATCCTATCGATCTCAGCCGGAGAAGTCCCTCCTACGAGAATCGTCTCTCCAAGTACAGTCACAGGAACTTTGAGGTCTACTGGTCAGAACTAGACCGATCTCGGGTCGACCCTACCATCTTCGAACGTAGCTTTCAGAGAGTCCTCGGGCTTGCCCGCCTACTCGTTCTCGAACGCCTGCCGACTACGAACGCCCGGGACGAATATATGAAGAAGCGTAGACAGGAGAGGGGTCGGCCGGAACTGCCTTTTCGTTACCAGCGCCGCCTTCGAGGAAATATCAAAGATTACCACGAGGACGAAGTGGCAGATTGGGTTGCCGAGGACGAAGTTGCTAACTACCATACCTTCACCATCCCCTACGGCGAGAAGTTCCACGCAAAGAAGGTCGAAAAGCTTTGCTATACTAAGGACTTACGTAAGTACAAGCTCTTATACCAACGAACCAGGCCGATTTAGTCCTATCCTCGTGTGGTTCTTGTCGTATTCTTAGTCACATGTCTAATCTCGCATTAGTTCTGAACGCCGAATGGAACCAACCTAAGGAGAGGGAGGTCTATCTGCACAGACACCCCGCGTTCTTTGGGAGAGTCCAGGATGTGAGTAGAAAAATCAAGGGCCTGGGCATGTTTCTAACTAGTTGAAGGTGATCGATGACTGCTGCGGTACCTGTCCGAAGCCCAAAACTCCCGAAGAGATCGAAGTAGCAGAAAAGGAGAGCGAGATATATGTGTCCGGCAAAGTAACTTTTCGCATTGACGATCCAGGTAGACAGGTAAACAGAGTCCATCAACTAGATGATGATGCATATAAAAACTAACACATCCCGTAGCAAATAGGTTCATTTAATCCGCTCACCGAGGATGACTGGACCGAGATGGCATACGTCGGTAATACCGCTCGACTCTGCCAGGCCATCGTCGACGGCGACCTCGAGCACGTGGAAGATTGGCTATCGCAAGAAGGCGCCGATCCCAACAAGAGGGACTACACAGGCCGAACTCCTCTGCACCTTGCCGTCAGCAGTTCGACTCCTCAGATAGTGAAGTGTCTTGTCGACCACGGAGCACGTCTCGTCGCTCGCCTAGCGGACGGGCGGACCGCGCTCCATCTAGCCGCAACACGAGGCGATATTGAGATACTAAAGATCCTTCTTGAGAGGAGCAATGCTAACGAGGAAGAGGAAGGAGATAAGCTCGACAGGCGTCGCAAGGCTCGTAATGCGACCAGCCAAGATACACCACAAGTCGAAACCGACGAGAAGTCCGGCCATGAATCTGATGAAAACTCTGACACCGAGATGATAAGCGACGAAGAATCCGACCGTAGCAACGATATAGAGACCGTATATACCGCCGGATCATTTGTCAAGGTCGACAAAGACGAAAAAGCCGAGGAGGATGAGGCCTCGGCGCTTGAGGACGGCCAGGGCGGACCTGATTTCTACAAGATCGACGCCATCGCATGGGACTCCAAATGCAGCCCTTTGCATCTAGCCATCCTCGGGGGCCACTGCGAAGTCGTCAAGCTCTTGTGCCAGGAATTCGGTGCCGACGTGTTCTTGCCCGTCAAACACGGCGACGGGTCGCACTCGAACCCTAACGTTGCCATCCTAACGTTGACCCTGGCTTTAGCTCTCCCGACCGATAAGGCCATACCGATGGTAGAGACCTTGTTGAGCTTGGGCGCCACGTCTTCGCAAGCCGAGACGAACGGTGTGACCGCGTTCCACCGATACGCGAGAAGCGGCAGGCTGGAACTAATGGGGATCTTATTGGAGAAGGACAAGATCGGTCTTCAGAATGCCATCAACCACGTTGCCACTTACGGAAGTATCTATCACGGTAGCGCAAATAACCCACTAGTTTCGGCTTTGGACGCGGGTAGCCGAGATATCGTATCTAAACTTCTCCAAGTGGGAGCAAAGGTTGCCATCGACTTTGACGACTGGTTGAAAAGTGCCAAAGTCACTTACGGAGATCACATGGGTGTAAGACAAGGCGCTTACGGATACCAACTGGATGTAAGTGCGTCCCAAATTCTTCCAGGACATAACTTATTCGAAGCTTGCTTCGAGTGGTATTTTGTTCGGAAGAGTCGGCACCGTCTTCTACGGAATACGCTTCGACCCCCCCCTTCCGTACCTATTTTTCGTCTTCGTAAATGCGTTACGTACCTCTTACTAAATGTTAATAGACACACAAGAATCTTGAGAAATTTCTCGATCAAACCGAGCAGCCTCTGATCGTTGCGATTAGATCTCGGCATCCCGCAGATGCTATCGACATATTAGAGAAAGGAGCTGATCCAAACACAGTTACCAAAGTAAGCCATGCGGTCATCAGGTCCCAGAGTTCCAGCTGGAACAAGGGCCAGACCGCATTGGATCTCGTGCGTGATATACTTCAAGAGTGCCGCGAATATAAGGGGCAGCTGGTCAAATGGAGCCAAGCTTCACAGTCCGGAGAGGAAGCAGGCTTCTACAACTCAGAGACAAATACTTACCAGAAGCGCCCGGCCGAACCTTTCGGAATAGAAGAGTTCCTAGCAAAATTTAGCCCAGGGACTTACCAGCACTGGGCCGTCTCTTTGGACATTACCGCGACACTCGAGTCTCACAAAAACCAGATGAAGTGGTTCGAAAATGAGAAAGCAAAGAAGTCCAATCCGCAGGACTTGAGGGATAAACTCGACGTCCTCGAAGATGTCATCTCGCAGCTCGAAAGCGTGGAGAATATCCTCGAGGCCAAGGGTGCGAAAACTTTCAAGGAACAGTACCCCAAAGCCCCGGAGCAATTGAAACGCGCGTCTTATCACGTTCCGGTCAATGAACCGTCGGCATACGAGTTGAAATTCAGCTTCAATGCCCTGGACGCCACAGGCGCAAGAAATGACGCATATATCAAACTGTGAGCGAACCCCCCCCCCCCCCCCAACTTATAGCCTACCACATTACTAACCTGTCGCAGTTTGGAGGCGGCCTGGGCTGGAGACCTTCCCACGATCAAATCTCTCACCCTAGCTCCGTGGGACGCAGAGAAAAAGGAACCGCCTCTAAAGATAGCAGTGTCCGACGCGAAGCACAACAATCCGTTCTCTCTCGCCTTCATACGCGGGCATTACGACGTGGCGAAGGCGATTCTAGAGATCGCTCACGCCCAGTGGGCGCCGAAAGAGGAGAAGACGAAGCGATTCACCATGAATAAGGTCGAAGGCGAAGATTCCGCGGAGTCCGAAAGCGACAGCGACAGCGACGACGAACCCGGGATATACGAAAAGATCATCGACGACAAGTTCACCATCGAAGACGTCGGCCAAGTCTCTATGCAAGTAAAGAGCGAAACCCTCGCAACCCAACTTCTTAACTGGTCGGCGCCATCATTTATATGCCGCGGCGGCGCGTTTGTGGGGAGCATAAATCCGCAGGTACCCCTTTTCACCGCCGTAAAGGATAACGACATGAAGGCTTTCAACTTCTTGCTCGACCTTAACATTTACTTTGCCAGCAGAGAGCCCGTCGGCGAAGATGAATCGAGCCGGTTCTTCACGTTTCCGCAGAACCTATTCGAGTACGCCTTGGGCCTCGGCCGGACGGAGATGCTCGCGACCGTCGTCAAGCGGGTCGGCGCGGGGATCCCGATAGACGAGCTAGTGAAGACGACCGGCGAGGAACCGAAAGCGAAACCTCGCTACTACCAGGGTCTGAGCGTCTACGGGAAGAAGAGAGCGGACTGGGCCAAAGCAGGCCGCAACCTCGTGGTCAAGACGACGGGAAGCAAAGTACCGCCGCTGCTCACCGCCGCCCATCGGGGCTCCTTGGAGTCCGCGGAATGGTGCATCAGCGACGCGCCGATGCGGCTCTACTCGGAGTTCGGCAAATCCAAGGTCGCCAAGGAGGATCCGCGTCTCAAGCACTTAGTCAACGCTCCCGGCGGATTCGACAGGGCTATCGCAAAGTGGCTCGGGGCCCAGAGTAAGCAATACCTAACCTAACCACCTCGACTCCAGATTTACGCGGCCTCTTTTTTCGCTAACAGTTTTATAGACGACCTCGTCATCCACTGCGCCGTGATGGGCCAGCACACGGAAGGTCAGAACAAGCTCGTCGAGTATCTAACAAAGGTGTGCCCGGCGTCGCTCGAGGCCAGGACCGAAGAAGGGCGGACTCCGCTATACATCGCGTGCCTCCTCGGCAGGCTCGACTTAGCCAAGACGCTGCTGGACGCCGGAGCCGACCAGTCCGTGAAGGACAACAACCTGAACAACATCATCCACGCTCTGCTGACAAACCTGGGGACCGGGCCGGACAAGGACAAGCTCGACCGTCTCCGGGCCTTCCTGAACCTCCTCGACCCGGATCTCAGGGCGCACATGTTCCTGCAGCGGAACAACCTCGCGAGCGGCGGCGACACCCCCCTCCACTTCTGGCTCAAGACCGCCAACCCCAACACGGTCTACCGAGGGAACCGCAGCCGTTTCGGCTACACGCTGCTCAACGACGAGAACTCCCAGAACGTCGAGGTCCTGCGCCTGCTCCTAGAGTTTTCCGGCGGCGCGGAACTCGGCATCTTCAACGGCGCCGGGGATACAGTCCTGCATTCCGCGGTGCTTCGCCACCTGGCAGCGCACGTGCGGGTGATTCTCGACCAGGACCCCGACCTGGCGTACCGCGAGAACGCGGTCGGCCGGACGCCGGGGGAGATCGCGCACGACCTATTCATCAACTCGAAGACGGGAACGCAGAAGTCCCTCGAGACGGCGCGGGACACGACGAACAGCGTCGTGAGCAGGCTGAAGAACAGCGGCAGACAAGGCTTGCCAGCAACCTACTACAGGCGACGAGGCAGGGCTCCCGGAGACGCGGTCGGGAAGGACCGCAAGGAGAGCGCGTGGCGGGTGCTCGAGAAACATCTTCATCATCATATCGCTGCCGCCAACAAGCGCCGTCGCCTCGTCAGCCTCAACGAGGCGAACGACGTGGCGAAGAGGCTGGGCGAGAGCTACGCCGGGCAGCGGTACTACCAGAGGCCGACGTCTACGGACGCCGAGGAATACCAGGAACAGCAGCAACAGCCTCAGCAGCAGCAGGATGATAAATTGGTGGGTTTCATCTCCACGATGTACGAGGGTGCGAAACAGGGAGCTTGGGTTGGGAGAGACCAACGACGTACTTCCTCCGAACCTACTACTATCTTTGGAAGCGGTATATATCGTGTCTAGGCTGGGTTAGAGTAGTTTGAAGATGGATGGGTTTTGGGTTGGTATTCTTGTTATGTACTGACCTTTTTTTGGATATCTCAATTTGAGAAACATATAATAGGTTCTCCTGTTATATCTTTACTGCAATGCTCAAGTAGGTCAAGTTCAAAATGTAGGAAATTTGAGGCACGCTGCTCCCTCGAAGGTGCTTCGAGGGGTAAGCGCTAATAGATCACTACTCAACACTACATGCTTAACATCCTACGTGCTACTGCTTCTAATATCCACTATATGTACATATGTGGATATTATAAGGGGTCTAATGTCTATATAAAGGGTAGCCATCTCCTTTGAAGGAAGTTAGAAGGCCAGGTGTTATTAGATCATCTATAATAAACTGCATGCTGGCCCTCTAACACTCACACTGTATACGACATCCATCACGGGCACTATCTGACATTTATCATATTCAGATAATGTCCACAGTGTAAGGACCATTGAGCGAAAGGAATACTAACCTTAGCAAATTTACGTAGCCCAAGGAGGTTGCGATGTCAAAGTTAGAAGAGAAAAAGCACATCCAAGATAAATTGAAGAGGGGGAATTAGGTAAACCTACCCCTATGAAGATGACTACGAGGTATCTCAATACTAGAGCAAGTTTTAAAGTTTAGGCTAGTCATGCACGTACGTAATCTAGGTGCTTGAAGCTCTTTCCTCGCAAACGCATCCTGCAATTAGGTAATATCAGGAGTTCTGGATAAGTTCCTGTATATTGCGGGACTTACTCGCGGTGATTGATCAGATCAACAGCTGTAAAGTGGCGTTACTTATTTGTCGAATTGGGATATTTTCGGTTTAATACCCCCGCGATTTTCAAAAACCTTTCGCTTATAAAGGGAAGTTACAGGGATTGCTATTGCCTTCGGGCATTTGGTCAATTTGAAACGATACAGAGAAGATTAGCATGGCCCCTGCACTAAGGATGACACGCTTAATCAAAGTGAGCTTCAAAATTTTTTTTAGATCCTCTTCTCAAGAAAAACAAGGATTAAATTTTGCAAATACCGGGGTAGTTACACACCCGAGCTGTTGTGTAACCTTCAACCTTATGTCTATTTTTAATTGGCTATCTGTTTATCGATTAGACGAAAGGAAGGAGCATTCGAGTCTGGTAGGAAGTAATGATTTTTTTTTCTCATAGTGCGCCGCAGCCTTAGCTGCCCTAGCTTACCTAGGTACCTACCGTGAGGTACTTGTAAGTACCTAACATAATGATGTAGCTAACTTAATGCAACCTTGTGAAAATAATATACACGCTACATACCATCGCATATACAGAAACTCCTATTTACCACTCTCATGGATTCAATTCCGACGTTTGTCAAACCTTCGCCTACCTGTTGCTTTTTACTACTCCCTGGATAGTTCATCTTCGGAATCTTCTTCAAGTGCTACTACTCCATCCACCCACTTGTATATTGGCCCAAAGTCCATTGGCTCCTTGTCGCTCTGCTCATCCTCCAATGGCTCTTCACCATGGTAAAATTCATCGACGATATTGTGCGTGAAATTTTCTTCTACTTGGTCACGGGACCAGAAGAAGACGTTTTTGGCTGTGTATTTGGAAATACGACAAATTGCCTCCATATCCTCCTCATCCACTACCGTTTCGTCACCAGTACTTATATTTTCTAGAGGTAAAGGCATCGGAGGTTCAGGGTTGCGTTGATGCGTAGTAAAGCCTTTGTCTCTTATAGATCCAGGAACAAGCCATGTCCAATGTTGGTACTTCCAGTGGTGTGAACATCTGAGGTGGCTTTGCAACTCCATATCAACGTCCTTGGAACGCATAAACCCAAAAGGGGGCCACGGGTTATTTGGAATCTTATGGTAAGACTCATCCGTATAGTTATTGAAGCAGTCGTGACGCAAGCGCCAAACATTGGCTCTAGTAACCGTATCATCTTCTCGTAGATATGGTCCCTGGTTTTCGAGATCTAGAAACGACTGAGAAATGCCTGTCCAAGGGGCTATCTCCTCCCATTTGATTGTGTAAGTGTCACCATACTCAAGACAAGCGCGAAGGGGATATCCCCAATTACACAAGGCAACACCGAGCCACAAAGGCGCCGCTTTTGTACTAGACAGAACTTTCGCTAGCAATTCGTAGTCTCTCGATTCGTAGATTGGATCAACTATCTTACTGATGGCCCGAATCACGGCTCCTGCAACGTTGCAGTCAATACCCGGCTCCCAAACTACACTTTCCAGGCAAGCATCGAAGGTGTGGATGGAAAGGCTGAGTGTCATGAAATAGCTAAGTGACTCGAAATGGGGAGGATAGATATCGTATGATCCAGAGAGATTTACGGATGGAGGTAATGAGACTGCGGGTAAAGTTATTGTGGGAAGCATCGTATACGTGGAGTAGAAGCTGCGCGACGGGAGAACGAGCGCCGCTGCAAATGCCGCAGAGTTCTGATCTCCCAGGCCACAGGCGGCACAAAACCGAGCTAGATAAGTGGCAGCTATGGCGACCGTTGGCAGTTCCGCAAGTTCTGAGGCAACTCCGCTCCCGATAATCTCTAGTGAGCCAACGTCTTCAAGTAAAAGTGTCCAGGGCAGATGCGGACCTCGTTCCTTTTTGCCTAGCTGAGGCCTCCCGGGCGTGCTAATGAGTTTCCACCAGGCTACTTCCTGGTCTGTTGCATAAGCAAGTTCGATACGTCGCGGCGGATCCGACGAAGCACACGAAGAAGAATCTCATCGGGGGTTGGACAGAAGATATTTCAAATGCAAATGAAGACCTTTCCGTTCTGCAAGACTCATATTAAGAATGTACGCCCAGGCAAGAACAAGAAGAGCCAATCCATTATACTTGGAAGTTTTCCATGTTTGGAAACTTGCTTCGGTGGATAGACTGCACTTGGTGTACCGTGGTCGCCGTAGGGAGAGCTTTTGGGTTGGATTCTGCTTCTGTCGCAAGTCACAGCTCTTACTTGGAGAGTTGCCTTGATTTTGCCAAGTTGAAAATCCCTCAATGGCTCCCCAGTTGCTGGGGATACGTGCTGGCAGCGCGGGTATTCGAACCAGAAGATTGTCTAGATCACGCGCGTGTAGAAGGTTGTCAACAGGAGTGGACTTGGCGTGACCAAGAGCCTTCTTCCAACGTCGATATGTCCTACGGAAAATTGCTTCTCGTCGAGGATCATCAAAAGCTTTTCTCGGGTCATTGTATATTGTGTCGGCGTGTTCCATTGTCGACCTCGACGCCATGGTTTGGGAGATTCTTTTGTGTAACTAGTAAAAACAGTTAGATGAGTGGTCAATAAGCAATGATTACTTTGCTCATCCGCGCATCGTAGATTTGCCGTTGACTAGTAAGGAAACTGGCCAACAGCAACAAGAAAAAGAGAACAAAAAAAATAATAAAATCTATTTTTTATATGTGATGATTTAGGTGAAGACTATGGCTCCTATTTCGTGGAATTGGATAAGTTCAAAGGTTAGATACCTAGGTACCTTTAATGATAAGTCAAGACCCCATCACTGGGGGCCCCCTAGCTGGGGCCACCCATTTCCCATACAAATTCAGCAAATTCGCATACATGTATTTAATTTAAATAAATAGGTACAAATATGAGGCTTTTACTTTCGAGGATATTATACAGCTTTCATTACGTATATGAATTAATAGAATATTCAAACAAGTATGCGTTCTGCAATGAATGGTAGTGTGTGCATTAACAAATGCACATATAAATTTATATGTAAAGTTGTTAACGCTTATTTATGTTTATAATGTTACGAATATCGATCCTAAAAATACGCTTTTTATATTATTAAATAGAGAAAATTTCAATGAAGCCTTTCATTTTAAAGAAGCTATGTAAAAAAATAATTGATAAAGTTATGTGTGTTTATAATAATTTGATGTTTTTGATGTAAAATTCCTAATTCTTTTGAAAACTTTTGAAGATAAAAATAGCAATAAAAAACACTCTTTAATATTTCACCACTAAATAACGAAATGAAAAGTTAGAAAAGTTTATACGAAATTAAATAGGTATAAAGAAGCTATATTAAAAAAGTACATATTTTTATCTATTTCTTTGGACTAAATATATATATGCGAATTTGCTGATTTTGTATAGGAAATGGGTGGCCCCAGTGACGGGGTCTCGACTTACGATGCTGAATGGGACAGGTTGCGATAATGTAGAAAAGAATAATGGAATTGTTTACGTGTAATCCTGTCAAGGCCCGGTAGAAGCAGTTGTTGTTGCATAAAGAAAGAGGGAAGTGGTAAAAGGTCCCTCGTTTAGTTACTTTATTTATATACACGACGATGACCCGGAACCTGGCTTCGAGGAAAGAAGCTAGCAGGAGAGCCAAGGCCCTCACGCTGGTTCTCCGGCTTGTCGGCAGGAAGTTCAGGAATGCTACCACCCTTATGTAATCGTAGCAAAACTTGATGGTTGACGTCAAAAAAAGACTGGTTTATGCTTGGCGTCATAATATCGTTTTGCTGTCATCGCGGCTTGCGTCGTGAATGTCTATGCGAGAACGCAGGGCTTTGTCTGGATCAGGCAGAATGGGACGGCCATCATTGTCTCGAAACCACTCCAGTGCCGTGCGAAGGGATTTGGACAAGTAAACTGTCTCAGCTCTATGTGTCCGCGACGCTTCAGGCGTTTTTATTGCTATGGAGAGGAATTAATCGGCAGGCTAGGAGCCATAAGATAGGGGACCAAACTGAGACGTACTATAGGTTGTAGGTGACGAGAGCTTTTGTGGTGGTCTAGACGAACCATATGAATCTGTCAAGCCAAAGGGACAGGGCGTTGTAATGAAGTAATGAAGGCAAAGTGATGAGGGAAAAAACTGAGAACTTTGGTAGAGAAAAGGCACATCTATGGTAAATTGAAAAGAGGGGGATTAAACCATATGTTAGGTACCTCATTACCTACCTCCTACTTACCTGTAATGTAGGGCAACAAGGCATCTACTTGCCATGTATGGTTGCTGCGATCTTACAAGAATGGAATCTACGAATTCAATATGTACCTGCCTGGGTTAATAACTGAGATGATTTTTTTTCATAATGAGATTATTACCCAAATAAGTATAGATAGGGTAGGTACCGAGTTTACTAGTACTTTATGTAGCTCTAACAACAGGTAGGTACTGTGTATTAAACAATAGGAAAGAGCCAGGCAACAGGAAAGAGACAACAAGCAGTAGGAAAAACCTATTTAAGCAACGCAACCCTCCATTCAATCTTCTCAAACTTGACACAAGTTATTACTAGCTTTCACATGTCGCACATATTATATTCAACTAACACTAAACTTCGATCTTCTCAAACTTGACATAAGTTATTATCGACTTTGACGCGTCACGCATATTCTATTCAACCAACACTCACATATTCGTACTTGAAGTTACGGCTGAGATTACATTAGAGACGAGGCTGCAATGTTATAACTTTATTGTATGTATTGTGAGATGAAGAAAGAAGAAAAAGTAATTACAAAAGGCGGCAGGACATGTGGGAATATATACTGGTGTGGAAGTTGCCACGCAACTGCCTGGTCCAGGGTTTGACCCACATATGGGCCGTTACTCTTGATCCCTTTTTACTCTTCCAATCTCCGCAGGTAAGATCTTGATTCCCATGTTCCCACTCCTACACACGGTCTCACGTTTCCTAAACAGTTTGACTGTCACGGTACGGTCCTATAACGTGGACCCCTAGTGGGTCACCATCGTGTATATAAGGTAGCTAGGCGAGGGACCTCTTACTAGCTACCTCTTTCTCCCTTTGTGCAACAACGATTATCTCTACTCAAACCTTGACATTGATCGACTCGGAGTCTTGGCGGGAGTTAGATGGTCTTCTCAGCGACTGGACCCATGCAGCTTGGAGTCGAGCATGCGTATTGAACAGGATATATGAGTATCAGTGGCCAATCCTTTGCTCGTTTTTCAATATGCCTACTTCACCTAGGGCTGCGGCGCACGGTAGATCCTACAATAATTCGTCGAGTTTGGAGTTCTTCCAATCCATTCCCAGGTTCACGTTCTCGATGAACCCATAGCTCAACACCGGCCCTGGCATCTATTGATCTTCACCCAGAAACCGTCGGTAGAATATGTCTTGGATGCTCTCAAATTAGTCGGCGCACACTTCAAGTTCCCACGAATGCCGATCCATACCGCACCTATCACGGTACTGTCCGTGGAGGTCCTTATAGGTGGAGATAGCATCGTCAACTTGTCACGTCGCAGAGCATGAGGTAGGACAACAACTACGTTCTCCCGCAAGAAACTCTGATTACAGTAACTTTGAAGCTAAAGCTATATACAAAACAACTCCTTTGTTCAAAGGAGTCTCAAATGACACAACTCCTCGAGTTGACATCGATCTACTTTTTGGTAGTGTAGCTATCTTCCGAATCCTTACAGTGATCCTGGCTCGAACATCCAAAGTGCAGTTCTCCTTGTGGGAATCAGTTTTAGGTTGTTTACCTCCGGGCAGGATGGAGTACGCAAGATGCATTTGCACTGGGTTAAGGATGGGGTACTTGCCTCCTATCCCTTTTGCGGACGATACTAAAGTATTCACTAAACCAGCTGGCGGCGTTCTTTGTGTGTTGACCCAGGAGGCATCGGTAATGGATGGCATCATAGGATTTGATCGATAAAAGAATTGAAGCCCAGCATAGGGAGATGGGAGGGGTCATAGATTATGACGCCTTTGAACGAACAACCAATCTTTCAACAGTTTTAAAAAAGCTTTCCGAGGCGGTGGAGTTTAATGAGTCGAAGCGAGCTGCTGAAGATCTTGCCTTGCTTTGTATAGTAAAGTCCCATGATAAAGTACTAAAAATCCGCGAGGGTTTACGCAAGAATAACACTCGACTGATGGCTAATATCTCGGATTTGAAGAAAGCGACGTCTAATAATTAACCTCCGGCTGCCCTGGAGCCTGCAGGATGTCTAGCTCTCTCAGTATAGACCCCAAGTGGCCCTCTTGCAGAGTCTTGACTCCATCATCCGCGAACTCCGTCGTTATGCTCCTAAGCCTCTTGAGGACCAGCCCGAGGACCAGCCCGACAATTTTAACCCTCCTCCAGTTACGCCTCATCGTCCCATTATTCAGCTTAGCTGTCCTCACCAGCCTCGTTATCGCTCTCCTCAGCCTAGTTCTCCACCTATCCTGCGTCTTCGGGCTCCTGACCGTCCCGCGGGCCGTCTTAGGGACTTTAGCTCTCTTCCGATTTCCACACGGCTGAATAGGGTAGTGGTCTGGCGGGCCAAGGTCGCCGTTGCCATATAGCGATGACGTATTATTTATCAAAGTTAGCAAGGCTTCCATCACAACTCTTCAACGCTGTACACTCTTGGAATGCAGCAGGATGGAATAAAAACGATATTGGCGGACTATCCCTGGTCATGATTCGGTCGATACTTGGCCAATATTCTACTGCTTCGACTATCCTAACTTCTCAGTTACGGCCGCGTTTCAAATAGCATCATTCTTCCCATGGTTTGCCGACCGTAGTCTGTACGTTCAGATATATATATCGGAGCTCCTTATTGACTCTCGGAAGCTTTGTTATATTGTTCTGCTCAAGAAGATTCCCACCCTGCAAGATGTGCAAGATCTCTTAGTCGGCACTCGCAAATTCTACGACCTCCCCATTCATGCAGAGGCCATTGTGACAAGAACTTCTGTCAGGGATATGAGGATATGTGGATATAGCAGGGGTCTATTGTCTATATAAAGGATAGCCAGATCCCTCGAGGATGGTTAGAAGGCTAGGTGTTACTAGATCTCTACAATAAACTGTATACTATTCCCCTGTCACTTACTTTGTATGTGACATCTATCGCAGGCGTATCGGATAGCGTAACGTCTATTGCCTATTTGTATAGACTGTCTCTTAGACTAGTATAATAGTATATGAAGGGGACGCCGCTCCTTTGAAGGTGTTTCGAGGGGCAAGCGCTAATAGATCACTATATTACATACTATTATCTTTAGACTTTAGTATTCACTCTACATTCGACATATATCACGGGATCTCTTTCATAATAGGCCATTTGACAGATTATTCGAGAGGCGATTAGATAGGATTTTATGGGGTTTATAAGTTACTTAGTATTGCCTGAATCTTTGAAAGAAAGGATACACTGTAACAGTACCCAGCTAGCGATTACCTTGTAACTGCGTGGCTGCCTTGGAATAGGCTAGTGTCAGAGAGATCCCGTGGTGTATATCGTACGTAGAGTGAATACTCAAGACAATGGTAAATGTATAGTGTAGTGATCTATTAGTTAGCACTTACCTAGGTACCTTTTGAAACATTTTCAAAAGAGCAACATCTCCTTTATATACGACTATCCTAATGGGTTTATCTCCTAATCCGTTCTAATGTACCATACTCCCGACAGCTAGTGATGCAGCGAGTAGTGCGCACTATTGTCGCCCTGCAGCAGGCTAACGTTATAGATATAGACTATAGTAGCGGTTAGCTTTTGTAAAGACGCACTGGTAACGAGAAGCCGTGTAGCCCATTTATTAGCAACGACGAGTGGTTGGATAGTCGCGTAATAGTTTCGGTGGCTATATATAAACAAGCATTTATAGATGAGAGATGAGATTGTAAATAGGTTATAGGTATCAATGTAACAGTAGGTGTGGTAGCAATATATTAACGAAAGATAATGAAAATTTTGATAGCCGGCTTGAAATAGCAGCTACGAGAAAGGGGCTACAGTAGTATGATGTTATAGGGAGGAATATTGCCTGGTTCCTTGAAAGATAGGATATTATGGAGTCTCTCACGCTGTAATAGTATGGCTAGCAATAGTTATTATAATAGTAAGAAGTTAAAAAGCTATATTATAGTAGAGTTGATGATAATTATGATAAGGTAATTAGATTAGTTATAAAAGGATAGATGGTTTAGACTGCAAGTGAGTGGTTACGTACCTGTTGTATGATGTTATAGGTACGAGTATTGGCTTGGGTTTTGAAAGGTGGGATATCTAGGGGTTTCTAATGCAGTAACTTTATAGTTAAGACTAGCGATGTAATCGCATCTACGAATACTACGATATAACGAGTAACTAGGTGGTAGTGATAGTAATATATTAACGAAAAATTGCAACAGCAGCGTTCGCAATGGTTATTTAAGTTCTCAAATAGCAGTAACGAGAAGCCAAATAATTGGCTTAAAGCAGCAACTTCAGAAAAAAGAAGAAGAAGAAGAAAAGCTACAAGATAGCCTAGCAGTTAGGGAATAGCAGTAGTTGCGAGAAATTAACAATGCCCATAAACGGGATAGCTGCGCGATAGTGGTAGCGGTAGTTGCGAGCGAGGCATTGGCTACAAGAAACTAACCTACGAGATGACAGTTACGGATGGCTGGGTAGCCGTATAAATGCAGCTACTGCAGACAACAAAATCCATAATGACTTCTTTATTATGTGTGGTCTTGGGACGAGACTATAGGGGGAGGGGTGACATACTCAGGGGTATAAGGATATGTGGGTTCCCATCGCGGGTATACCTGACCACAATACCAAAACAATCTTTAGTCGTGCAGGCAAATTCTTGGAAGACGTATGTCAAAAGAATCAAAAAAAATCTAGCCCCCTGGTCAGATAAGCTTCACAGCGCGGCCCTATTCTCTATGGCAATTTCCAGAACCAAGAAGCCCTTGTTCCACAAACACGTGTGGACGCCCTAAGAGAGATATGGACAGTTCTAGAGGGACATCTGCGTCTTCTTAAGCGCTGCAGGCATCCCCAAGGTTGACGTCGTGTTTCCAAGCCAATCAGGCTTTTGGGGCCCTGGCTCATATATCCATATGGGAGTGCAGTGCTATCACTGTTCCTCATTCTGAGCGTAGATAAAGTTTGCCGCTGCGCATTAGTTAGCGTCGACGGTATCACCAGGTGGTAGGTAATTAAAATAATAGCGCTGTCGTAAGTTAGGCAGGTAGATAGGTACCACGGTACTCACCAACAGGTTTCAGCCCGTTCTCCTCCGCCCAGTCCCGCACGCCGTGTCGCGCTTTGCCCGTGCCCCAGTGCTTCCTGTCCTCCGGCTTGGTCGGGTGGAGCGGGTCCGTGGTGCCGTTCGCGGGGGCGAATAGCAGAAACACGTATCGGTGCTTCCCGGTCTTGGGGGGAGGCCCGGGGGGCTTGTACGGCATGATGTAGTTCAAGCTGGACGGTCGGAGAGAAGTAGTGGTGGACTCGGATGATGGTGATGATGATGAGATGTCTAACCCCGTGGCGATGAGGTGGCAGAACTCAGACCACTCCGGGTTGTCGCGGGACGGTGCGTCCGGGTCGGTGATTGTGATAGTGTAGGTTATGCCGGGGCGCTTCTCATTGGACGACGAGGATGATAATGATGAGTGGCTCTGGCGTACAGTGATGGTGGGGTTGTCTTGGACGTCGTCTACCTTCATGGTGTTGCCTAGTTCTGCACGTTCTCCCGATGGCCATGTCGCGTCAAGGAGAAACGAGGGGAGGAATTTGTCGATAACTATGACTAGTTAGTTATAAGTCATCTATATATGTGAACGGAGACTTACCTGTTGGAAATATCTCGGCTTTTTTCAACCTGGTATGATCATTATCAGTTACGTTCTACTTCGGTTATTGCCGGGAGGCATCAAGGCTTATATGGTAGGCAATGCACAAATACACGTACTCATGCTGGACCTTGGATACGTCCGGATCTAATTGATGCGGCTCGGATGGAGTAATTACAATCTGCTCAGCGGGCTGTCGTTGACCGGCTACAGCCAAAACCTCCAACGCAAAAAGGGATATCCACGTAGTTAGATAGACCATCATCTTTCTAGGCTTCAATTTTAGCAATTGGTTGATTGACCGGTTGATATGTTTTCAAGTCCCAGGTAATAAGTTTTGAACATGTTTCCAAGTCGAGTTGAAATTTAGATGTTGGTTGTTCTCCCCGCATTACATTGTCGTGATGTCACCCATCCTACTCGAGAGGTAGGCATGAAATGTCGATCCTTGTAATTGGTGTTACCATCTCTGTCTATATTATTTATTTGAGCGTCAAAGATTAAGCTCAAAATGTCCAAATCTTAGATATAGTAGTCGAATTTCCAACTTGTAACTTCAGTGGATGGTGGCGTATAGCAGCGCTATGCAAATTTGGGGGTAGATGTATTCCGCAATTGAGTTCCCTATAGGTACGCTTAGGTACAGTACTGCGTACTTTAATAGTCTTTTAAGTCTATCGGCAAGAACAGTGTTTTTATTATTGAACAGACTGGGTGTCGGGATAAATACTACTAGATATTACCTGACTGGCGATGGCCTCGAAGAGGCCATCCACAAGGTCGTTGAATAGCCTGGATCGTGGCTATCCACCAAGGCTTTCAAGCCCTGGTATCCACGTACCCACACACACGAGGACTACTTATACAGCGTACGTATCCGTACGCTGTATCCTGAGATAGCTACAAGTGGTCGTCAATCAGAGTCAGTTTTACAAGTATCGTTTTGTTTGTTGTTTTGTGTTTCGCTCCTCCGTACGTACGTACGTAGATCCAGTATAATGCTGTGTGTATTATGTTGACCTTGTCAATCCAACACTGGGAATTGAGTTCATTAGTTTATCCCCTGGCCAAGATAAACTGATGAGAGGTAGGTAGTAACTGGAATATCTGAGGGTAGTATTATGGTGGCAGGAATATAATGCTTGTGGCTCTACAAAACACATCAAGATAATTACTAAGAGTTTTCTTTACTTGCAATATATATTATATATATTGAGACAACTATAACACCGGTTAAGCGTACGAGACAAACTAGTCTTTAAAAGTGCAGGACTTCGAATTGAGTGAATTAGTACGATACGAAGTTGTGGGTTTGTATAGTTGGATTAGGCACTTCCCATTGTTAACAGGCATATGATATGCTTTACCAAGAGGGATACGGTAGGGCTTTATGCGACGACGCAAGAAGAATGTATGTGTTTTCAGGAAAAAGCAAAGAAAAGGGGCTCCGGGTGATTCATGTTCAGGGGCAACATATTTACGAGATGCTCCCCTTCGAACGATCCTAACTTGTTTGCAGTCTTAATAATAATAATAATAACTAATAGATATATACAACGAATGATTAGAGTAGAACATAAAACGTCTACCCTAGGACTAATTACCTGTTAAGCCATCAGGTTAAAGGAGCTACACACCTATATCCAGTTGATCATGCCAAAAGAAGAAGAGGAATGAGAAGTAAGAAGCTTATTAGTAACTACCAACAACTATCATTTAGCCCTTGAAATGTACAAGTACTGTAAAATTTTACCAGAAAAGCAAAAGACGATATCTAAGGTTGCAATGCGCTAGATATGATCGACCATTCCATTACCCCCTTCAAACAACCTTAACACGGGGGTATGTATGTTATGACGAAGAACGAACAAAAGAAGAACGCCGTTTGCTCACCAAGGTTCGGCCTTGGGCGCCTAGGGAAATCTCAACAACAACAACAACAACAAAAAAACGCCGTCTTCCATGCAAAATATTCCATCTACGTGAACCGTGTCTTTTTAAAACGAATAAAAAATAATAAGCGCGCGATCGAAACCAAAGGAGTAGTATGAAGAAGCGGCTAATCCCGCGGAACTCTTGCGTTGATATTAGATTCTAGGTCTCAGCGACCTATACCAAGTCGTCGTCTCCGCTCCTCCTTCTCTCGCTTAAGCTTCTCCTCAAGTGCCTGCTCTCGTTTGTCCTCCTCGCGGCCTAGTATCTCGGCTCTTCGTTCTTCTATGTCGATATCAGAAATGCCCGCTTCCATATCGCTGGAGCCGTCCGAAACGTATCCGCCATAGCCCATGCCTCGGCGACTGGAATAGTCGTCCTCCTCGTCGTCATATTCGATGAAATCGTCCATATCGTCATCATATTCGTCCTCGTATCGGTCCCGGCGGCTTGGCCTCGGGGGTGCGAGGAGGCCACCAGGCTTATAAGCTGAGGAGCTGCCCTTCCCGGATGCCGATTGTTTCCCAAACGCGGCCCCTGGTGGAGGTCGAGCGGTTCCGGTATAGCCTGTTGTAGCCGTTGCCGACTTCTTCACTTTCTTTGCTGGTGCTTCCTCGCTACCTGGACCAGGCTGTGCCTTTCCACTTGCTTTGGCGTCTTTTCCGGTACCGTTCCGGCTGACGTCACGAGCCGCCATTCCAGGTCTCGCACCCCCTCGTGCGGGTATGGTGGATGATCGACCATTTCCAAGATACGGCTTTCCATCTTTCCCTTTGACCCCGCTCGGCTTCTGTTCTACCTTCGCGGGCTGCTCTTTCTTGGCTGTTCCGATAGACTTGTGCTGGATCATACCGACCTTACCCATAGACGCTTGAGCCTTCTTAGCACGTTCCATAATCTCTTGATATGAGCCCTTCTTTGGCGCCTTGGACGGATCCGAGGCTGTCGGAGTCGTAGGCGACGATTTCGCAGGAGGCGCTTTCGAAGCGGCTGCTAGTGAAGATGCACTAAGTTTTGGCCGACTAGCGATCTGGTCCGTCGGTTTTTTCGTTTGGGACGTGTTGGATCCTGTTCCCGGTCCTAGCTTGCTGTTTGAAGAAGAGGTGTTTGTACGTTGCACGCTTGGTACTGGGGGTTGATAGCGGCTATTTGTAGAATTTGTGGATGGTGAATTCGTGCGCTGAGGTAGAGACGAAGACTTGATGGTTGCGGACGCGGGGGTGGGTTTCGGTCGATCGACAGTATCCGTCTTCGCTTCGCGGGAGGTCTTACTTACCGGGTAAGACCCGTCTTGCTGTCGCGACTTAGGGTATTTGTTCGATGTCGTGCTATGCGAGTCATCATCGGCTTTTCGCTTAACTGCGGTCGATGTCGATGTCGGTGTCTTGGGCCGAGGTTCAGAGGATGGTATCCCGCCAGAGATCTCGGCGAGAAGGTCACCGATCTTGAAGCGCAAGACGTTAGAACCAAGGTAAGCACTACAGAGGAGAAGTGAAAAAAAAAGATGACACGTACCGGCATTATGATAAGACTTGATGTCTACTGGAGAACAGAAAAGACTCCCTGGAGGGTATCCCGATTGCCGTCAGGTGCGTATAATGTCCCTGAGGCGTCATAAGTCGGCGGGCTATGGCATGTGCGGTGACTCTTTTCTCTCGACTTGATGCGATCTGAAAACGACTGTAAATACGACTGTAAGTACGGCTGTACAAACTCCAAAGTCGAAAATACTAGCAGTAGCAGCCGAGGCAAGAAAAAACGAATGCGTCGAGTGATCTAACAACAAAGAATGCGGGTATCGGGGTCGCTGATATTAGAAATGATGATAAGAAGGTTGTTTGAACAAAAAGAAAGCTCGTGCCGTTCCCGCTCCTAAGAAGACGTTCCAAGTACGAAGTACATATGTACTTTTCTAGCTTGATTCTACAGGTAACCATAGCCAACCAGGAGTTGTGGCTGAGCTACGTCATTATCGAAGCTGTAATTCGCGGGTTGGTGGATGGGCAAGCCACAGAGAGTGTGGAGTACCTAGGTACGTAATACATAGTACATGTAGTATTGTACCTAGGTCCAATTGCTGGACATATACCAAAGATACACGACCCTAATCAGGTGATAGGCGAGGGATCCACTCTACCAACCTTGCCCACAGTCAAATCCAGGCGCACCGAAAATCTAAGGAAACTTTTTTGGCCGAAATAAGTCATCAATCCTCAACTTCGACCTCTTCACACCGAACTTCCCACAGAACTCGAAGGCTCAGTCTCCGCCCAAAACTGCGGTTAAATCGATTGATTTCTCGTGTTCTTCTCACATCTCGTAAGTCTACCCTTGAAATATCTATACTATCTATCACTGAATTATTACCGGGTTCGAATTGTCGCATTCGCTCACCCCGCGCACCCCTCGTCGCAAAAAATCCAATTATATAAAAAGAAAGCAGCTCCGCTAACAAAGGTCCGCGCGCCGCAGAACAAATCAGAAAAAATGAAGCACCTCGCAGCTTACCTCCTCCTCGGCCTTGGTGGCAACACCTCGCCGTCCGCTTCCGACGTTAAGGAAGTCCTCGAGTCCGTCGGTATCGAGGCTGACAACGAGCGTCTGGAGAAGCTCATCTCCGAGCTTGAGGGCAAGGACATCAACGAGGTATGAGCTATCTGAAATTGCAAACCTGGAGAAAGTAACGTCGAGCTAGCTGACACGGCATTGCAGTTGATCGCTGAGGGTTCCAGCAAGCTTGCCTCCGTTCCCTCTGGCGGTGCTGGCGGTGCTGCTACTGGTGGCGCCGCTGCCGCCGGTGGTGCTGCCGCCGCCGAGGAGAAGGCCGAAGAGAAGAAGGAAGAGGGTACGTTTACGGCCTGCTGCGATTCGATCTGGACTTGTGTACTAACAAATTGGTATAGAGAAGGAAGAGTCCGACGAGGACATGGGCTTCGGTCTGTTCGACTAAGCGAATATCGTACCTGGTTACGACAACGAAGTCATACATTTTCGGGGAGGTGGCACGGAAATGGGCAATGGTCATGCATGATATCCGGCGTGGAAGGGTCTACGTTTGATCAACTAGGGCATCTAGAGACGGTTAAGGAAAAAAATAAAGTGCTACTTCTCCGGACTTCTATGTTCCCCTCCCTGATCTATTGATTTGTGCTTCCAGTGAACGTTGTGCGATGGTGGTAATAAGCGTTTGAGTTAAGCAAATGCCTACTTAACCTTGCTTAAGTGAAAGTTGAACCTGCATCTATCTGCATTGGCGTAACTTAAATTCTCTTATCGGTTCATCTGATATACGTACCTAAGGTAGGTTTAGCAAGGGCGATAAAGTCCCTTGGCTCTCTTTAAAATATTTAAAATTAATCTTGGAGGGGTTTGTTTATCTTGCATCCAACGTATAAGGTAGGTGTAGGTACCTAATGTTATGCAATATCATGGTATATCGATTTATACCCATGCGAGTGGATTCGTTATGCGGGACTTCCTGACGGCAGTCAAATTAGCGAACGGGATTTAATTGGCTACCGAAACGGGATTGTAGACGTTGCTCCTAGCAACGGATAAAAAAAACGAAAAGGACGCCAAGCCAATGGAAACAGCATTTCGCAGGGAGAGGTCAGGAACCAGTGCAGACAACCTTTCAACCAGCACAGCACCCATCGCGCCCCGTTGGTTCAACTAAAAACTACCCAAGTATAATGTTTTTGGAACCATGATCTGCTTTGACACGTAGAATATCCATTAAATCGACAAGAAAAGATACCCCCCAATTCGCCAATTCGACGCGCCATAACCATAACCAGCCTGTTTTGTTTTCAATTCCATATTATTATTTTTTTTCCTTTTTTTTTCCTTTTTTTATTATTTTTTTTTAATACCGTCCACTTTACAACCCAACCCAACCCACCTTACAATCTAATGGCCTCCGCATCGCCGACGCCCGGAGCGTCCAGTCAACATCCGGGTGCTTTAACGAGAAAGTCGTCGCTAAGATCCGGTTTGAGGAGGGCTCCCTCTAGGTCCCAGATCGGTCGTGCCGAATCCAACATTCCCGCTCCAGTTCCTATCTCCAAGTCGCAATACGCGAATAATGATAGCTCAGATGACGAGATCCCTGTACCTATGAAGCTCAGTGCTCTTACCAAAGCTCTCCTCAACGATGAAGGTGCTGAACAGGAACGTGATAATGGACGCGTTCGAACCCGAGCTCAAACCCACCGTCCCTCGTCGCCTGTCCACTCGGAGCAAGAAAAGCCTGTTAAGAGGCGCAGCGTCCTCGGTGCGTCGGTGGCCTCAATCGGCGAAGAGAGGAGGCATACCCGTGCCAGCAGCTCCCAATTATCATCAAGGCCTACCTCGCCGGCCAGAAGCCAAGCTAGTAGAGAGAGCAGTCCGGTGAGGAAGCGCGTTGTCCGTCTAAGTGCCTCATCAGTAACTACCGCCGCTGCATCTCAACCGAAGCCTGCGAAAAGGAGGTCAACGTCGACTTCCTTCTCCGCTTCGCGAAACGGGAACCGTCCTCCAAGCCGGGCTGATAGCGTCGCCGAAGAGAAGGCTAACGGGTCCATAATCAAGGACAAGGATTTGAATACGCCGGCCCAACAGGGTCGTGTGGTCAGAATTACCGTCGGATCGTCGGGCAATAGGGGTCGCTCGTCAGCTTCGTCGGTGATGTCTTCTAGACCGGCTGACCAAGTCTCATCATTCTATTCTCGCATTGCACCATCTGACGAAAATGACCTTCCCGATGCTCCCCAGACTGTTCCCCGACAGCAGGGGTCGTCTAATCCGGGCAGCGCCTCTAGGTTAGGCTCTAACGGATCTAGGAATCGCAGCGACGAGAATCAAGCAGTGCAGAGCTCAATGCGTATTAAACGAGTAGGAAAGGTTCCCGGTAGCTTTCTTAGTGGCCCGGCGCGCCGAGGACGAAGGAGACAGAGTGAAGAGGACGCCGAAAACGAAAGAGAACCTTACCGATCTAACCTCGAGTCCGACGCGCCCCACGCTCGGGATCCCGAGGACTACGATCCGTTAGATAACCTCGCGTCCTCGTATTACGTGCCCGATCGCCTCGCTTCGGGGAGCCCTGTTAGTTCTAGGGGGTCTGCGAGAGCAGCCCAAAGAAGAGAATTAGCTACTGCGGCAGAAAACGTACAAGCCTCACGATCGCGGCAGGATTCGCCCGAGCACGACGAAATTCCGATCCCACATTATCGAGTCCCACCCCCTCGAGCGGAAATGCCGGAGAGGCAAGATCAGGAGAACGAAGCTCCGCCGACCTTCAAGAGGAGCAAACCTCCTGTAGGGAGCTTTCTAGAGAAGGATGTACCTAAGACTTCAGCCCGTCCTTTGAGTGCTGCCGAGGTGGGTTCCGCACGACTTATCTCACCGGAGCGCAAGGCATTAAGCTCGCTGAGCCAGAACACGCCTCGTAGGGCAGCGCCGGCGCCTCCACCGAAAATGTCGATCCTAGATGCTGCTACCTCCGCAGCCGGTGCGGCGACCACGGTCCAAGCGAAGCGACGAAATTACATGAAGGTGAACGGGAAATGCTATACGAGGCTCGATTCGCTCGGCCGTGGAGGTAGCGGAAAGGTTTACCGTGTGGCGGCCGATAACGGGAAGATGTTTGCGTTGAAACGAGTTTCGATCGAAGGTGCGGACGAGAATACAGTCCGAGGCTATAAAGGCGAAATAGACCTTCTGAGGAAGCTGAATAACGTCGATCGTGTTATTACTCTATATGATTACGAGATGAACGAAGAGAAGCAGGTCCTCAGCCTGGTAAGTTTTATATGCTGTTCCCCTTCGTCCCCTTAGAAGCCATATCGAACTAAGCTAATTGGGGGTTCTTTAGCTTATGGAAATGGGCGAGCTGGATCTTAACACGCTCCTACGCCTCCGGCTGTCGCCCGAGAATGCTAAATTCGATCCGGTTTTTGTGCGCTACTATTGGCAGGAGATGCTCGAATGTTTAGCGGCGGTCCACGCTCATGACATCGTGCACTCGGATTTAAAGCCCGCCAATTTCGTTGTAGTTCAAGGTCGATTGAAGCTGATCGACTTCGGAATTGCCAACGCTATTCAGACCGACGAGACCGTTAACGTGCATCGCGAAACTCAGATTGGCACACCCAACTACATGAGCCCGGAGAGTCTTCTCGACTCAAACACCACCGACTCCTCCGGTCACCGGATTACGTCCCTTGGCAGTACGCCCCGTCCCAAGCTTATGAAGCTCGGAAAGCCTAGCGATATCTGGAGTTTGGGCTGTATATTGTTTCAGATGGTGTACGGCACGCCGCCATTCGGCCACATTCCTAACCAAATGGCACGATGCCACGCCATTATTAACTGGCAGTACGACATCGAGTTCCGCGACAAGGGCGTCGGCGGAGCACCTGTCCCCCCCAGCCTCCTCCGAACCATGAAGCGCTGCCTCAGCCGCGACCAGCACCTCCGTCCCACGTGCGAGGAATTGCTGTCCAGATCCGACCCGTTCCTGTACCCCGTCGAAGCGCCGGCGGGCACGCTACCCATTACCGAGGAGCTGCTCGGACGAATCATCCAGAGCGTCGTCACCCGCTGCCGCGAGAGGATGCCCACCGAGGCGGAGGCGCTAAGCGTCTGGCCTCAGGCCTACTGGGGTAGCGTCGCCAAAGCCGTGGGTAGAGAGGCGGCTGCGAGAAGCTCCCCGGATGGGACGAGGTGACGAGGTAACGGACAGGATGACGGTTTTGATAAAACATGACTTAATGACTGGAGGGAACTGGAAAAGGGAAAATTCACGCTTGGATAAGGTGATAGTAGGCCTATCGCCCTATTTGCGTAACGAATGGGTTGGTGTGGATGGATAATTAGTGTTTTTGGTTCTGGGGGAGAAGGGGAACTCCAAACGCTTTGTTTAAATCACCTCCCCTTTTTTCTTTCTTTTGCTTTCTTATCTTCCTACCATTCGAGTACTCAGAGGGAGAGGGGAGGGGAGGGGAGGGGAGGGCAAAGGTTATAGACCCTACGGAGAGAGAAGATATACCTTGACGTTTTTTTGTTTCCTGCTTCACGCTTACGTTCTTCTTATTCTTCTTGTTCTTCTTCATTAGCCACGGAGTTCAGGATAGGATTGGAGGGGCATGAGATGATTGATGCCTTTGTTTTTCTATTTATTTATTTGTCGTTAGAATCACGCCTTGAACTGTGGTGTGTGTATATGTTTTTCAGCGTTACGTTTGTGGTGGTTGTTGGGAAAACTTTACTTTTTAATGATGAAACAAACCTCTCCATCACCTTTTTTTATATTCTTGCGTTTTGTGATATGAGTGATGTGAGTCTTAGATGCTTCATTGGGAGGTGCTACTTATTGTGAACGGACAGGAATTGCCCAGTATTAATGAAAATAATGATGTAAGCATGGGCAATTCATGTCTTTGATACATGAGGTAGGTACCTAGGTACCTACCTAGTTATGTATAAAGTGTATAAAGTAGCCTCAGGAGTATGCTGCTGCTGATTTATGAATTCATGTTTTATACACAGAGCTCGATGGACATTTCACAAGCTCGTTTTCCTAAGTGTTACATACATGACATGATATCCACCACTGACTGGCTTCAACCTATGGTTGTCTTCCCACAGGTCTCTTCCCCCCCCCCCGAGAGAAATGCAGTCAGTTATATAGACAGCGGAACGGGCTAACCGAGTCCTCGCCTTCTATTTTCCAAGCCAGTAGTAAACTAACCTAGCCCCCCTCCCCCTTCTCCCTTTTCCGTGAAAAAGGAGGCAAGGCGTTAATTCCCGGCATAAAGCCAGCCTCGTCGTGCCCCTTTCTCTCTACCACTCACTCATTCTCTATCATACTATCACTATCACCATCCCATCCCATCCCGCTCTACCCCCTAAGAAGGCCCCAAAACCTTCAACTCGCTAATGGCGAGCACGGTGTACCGATGCTTGCTGGCGACGCGGCGGGAGCGGCGGTTGCGGCGCTTGGTCTTGACCTTGACGCGCAGGGGCTCGGACTCGACGCCGAGCACGGTGGCGCGGCACTCGAACAGGGCCGGGTCGACATGCGGCGTGCCCACCAGCGTGTAGTCCCGCGAGCCCAGCGTGCTCGCCCGGTCCAGCCGCAGCACGTCCCCCGGCAGCACGCCGTGCATCAGGAACGGCAGCCGGATCCGGTCCCCCTGCGTCACCAGGTATGGCCGCCCGTGGATCAGCACCGTGATGTAGTGCGCCGGCTGCGCGCGCAGCAGCGGCAGGAACTGCGCGACTGAGGTCGATGTCGTTGGCGTTGTTCCGGCGGAGGGGGTGGGGGTGGGGGAGGAGGAAGAGGAGGAGGAAGGTGGTTTGGAGGGTGCTATGGGGGGCACGGTAGTCTGTGTGTGCGTTGCGCTCGGAGACGTCGTCGGCTCGGAATTATGCCGCGCAGCTGTGGTCGCGAGACTGCGGGCTCGGATCGGGAGGAGGAGAGGCGGCGGGAGGCGTGTTATGGGCGTGCGCAGCTCCAGGACGGAGCGCAGTAGTGACCGGCTCATTTTTTTTGGTAGATATTTATTTGTAAATACAAACTCGGCCGGGGAACTGATTGGTGTGGTTTCGCTTTGACTTATTTTTTTTTTTTTTTTTTCTCCGGCTGTCGTTCGACTTCGCCGAGAAGAGAAAAAGGTAGGAGTCGACGACGAAGCTCCCGAATTGTGATTTGGGATTTGAAGTTGGAACGGAAGGTCGAAAAGTTAAAGTGGAGACACTGGTTTTTCCGCCGCAGTGAAACTTCAAAGTAGGTACCTAGGTACCTTAGGTATATTTTACATAGATCTTATCCACACCTGGTATCTAATCGATGTGGCTAGAGCTCCTTGGAAATTTTGATAGTGGCGGGTCCCTTAGAATCGATAACATCAAACCGCCGTAACTTTTTTATTATCAACCAAGTCGCTACCAATACCTACTGGGCCTCCATATCTATATAATACAACATTCCCAATTCAATTCGCTGAACCTGAAATTGGAGTACGGATCAAATCTTAGAGAACCCTTTATAATTACTTCGCAAGTCCCTTTTGAGGGCAAATCCATTCATCATGGTAAGATTTTTACTACTACTACTATCACTTCTCCTCCCGGTTCGAGAGAGAAAGCACCAATGGATCATCAACTAACCCACGACAGCCTCAAAACGAGTACATGGAGCGTTTCCGCAAGACGCACGGCCGGCGTCTGGACCACGAGGAGCGCATGCGCAAGCGGGAAGCGCGCGAGGGCCACAAGGCGTCCAAGGACGCGCAGAACCTGCGGGGCCTGCGGGCGAAGCTGCACCAGGCGAAGCGGCACAAGGAGAAGATCCAGATGCGGAAGCAGATCAAGGCGCACGAGGAGCGCAACGTCAAGTCCGCCTCCGAGAACGACCCCAAGACCCCGCTCCCCAACTACCTGCTCGACCGCTCCAACCCGTCCCAGGCGAAGGCCCTCAGCACCGCCGTCAAGAACAAGCGCGCCGAGAAGGCCGCCAAGTTTGCCGTCCCCTTGCCCAAGGTGCGCGGCATCAGCGAGGAGGAGATGTTCAAGGTCGTTAGTACCGGGAAGAAGGTCGCTAAGAAGAGCTGGAAGCGCATGGTTACCAAGCCGACGTTCGTCGGGCCAGATTTCACCCGGCGGCCTGTCAAGTACGAGCGTTTCATACGGCCTATGGGTTTACGGTAAGTCCAGTCCATCTACCTATCCCTCCCACCCCCTCCCCCTTCCCCCCCCCCTTACAAAAACACACAAAAGCTAATTACTTTTTCTTCGCGCCAAACTACTATAGATACAAGAAGGCCAACGTGACGCACCCGGAGCTCGGCGTGACGCTGCAGCTGCCCATCGTCAGCGTGAAGAAGAACCCGCAGCAGCCGCTGTACACGCAGCTCGGCGTCCTGAGCAAGGGCACCATCATCGAGGTCAACGTCTCCGAGCTCGGCCTCGTCACCGCCGGCGGCAAGGTCGCCTGGGCCCGCTACGCCCAGATCACCAACAACTGCGAGAACGACGGCTGCGTCAACGCTGTCCTGCTGGTTTGACGTGGTTGTGCGCCTGTGCATGCATGTATGCATGCGTAGGTACATACAACTCCCCATTCGTCTGAGAGTTAACTAAGGAAAATGTCGAATGGGAGGGGGAGGGGAGAAGGATGGCGAAAAAAAAAGGGGGGGGGGGGGGGGGGGGAAAAAGAAATTAATGTGAAACCAATAACGTATATTTGGGGGGTATAAAAAAAATTACCACCCCCGGAAAGGCCAAGGGGAACGTATGGGGTGGAGCAAGTGACCCCGGGAT